GGGGAAATATGAACGAATTCCTATGCCCCACAAATAACCCAGAGATGCATTTTAAATAAAAGCACACATTCTACTCATGTAAAAACATGCTGATTCCTGGACCGTCTGCGGGCCAGATTTAGAAGGCGATTGGGCCGGATATGGGCCTTAGTTTGCCTACCCATGATTTAGAACTTCTGAAAGTTCTAAAAGGAGAAATGCTGGAAGGTGTTGGGCTGGGAGGGAGTTCACAATTGAGTGACAGCTTCAGCTTTCCTCCCAAGCTCCTCCTAATCCTGGTTGGCCCTTTGTTTCTGGAGCACCGTTCAAGGTGTAGTTGGCCACAATATTGTGTTTTAAAGTAAAGTTGTGAATCCTGAACTGGGGGAAGGGGGGCTAATTTATATTCAAATAGTAAAAAGGGAGCAAAAGCTTTGCAGGATTGGGATAGAAGAAGTAAATAGTAACCCTGGGTTGTAATGCTCTTTTTCTCCTCCACCACAGCCAGGTCTCCTGGAACCAACATCCCACCTGATTCGGGTGACAAAAAGTGCCCCCACCTTGGGCATTGCCATTGAGGGAGGAGCCAACACTCGCCAGCCGTTGCCTCGTATTGTGACCATACAGGTAAGGGAGCTGGTGCCTGGTGCTCTCAGTCAGTGGCAGGTACATCTCTTTCAGGGTCCGAAATGATTAGAAACGTATCAGATCAAGGCTGCATCCTGCACTGAGTAGATGAGGAGGTTCCCCAGCTGTGGTCAGTGAACCACCAGCCCTTCATTCAGGAGGTCTGCAGCATGTCTATGTACTTGTGGTTGAAGATAAGAGCTGGCACACCCTATGCATTCAATATTCATATTGACTTTAGGCTACGTTTCTATTTCTTACCTTGGATTTCATGGCATTACGTTTTGAATTCCTTAAGATGTAATAAAATGCAGTATAAAAGAAGCACTGAAATACAATTAAAAATCATGCAGCATCTGGCATGGAGCTTTACATTTGCTAAAGAGTCAGAAAAATAATTAAGTGGTCTGCCAAGACCCTTGGCAGTTTCCAAGTTGTGCTTCCATGGCGGTTCCAACCTTTTTAGGTCCGTGGGCATATTTAGGTTTTTGGAGCAAATGCATCCTCTCTGATCATTTCTGTCTCTCCCCTCACCCTGGCTCAACATCCCTGCACCAGCCACTAAACACAGAAGGAAAAACTGCTGAGACACTCCTTGAAGGGGAGTGCAGACCTTCAGCATTCTACCCTACAGTACATGAATGAATCCCACTGTGTTCAATGGAATTTACAGTGGATGCTTGGGCTGCGAACGTGATCCATGCAGGAGGCACATTCACAACCCGCAGCATTCGTAACCCACAGTGTCGCATCTGCGCACACGTGGGTTGCGATTCAGCGCTTCTGCGCATGTGCAAAGCGTGATTTAGTGCTTCTGCGCATGTGTGAACGCCAAAACCTGGAAGTAACCTGTTCCTGGTTTGGTGTGGTACACAACCCAAAAACGCGCAACCCGAAGCATCTGTAACCCGAGGTATGACAGTATAATGAATTTGATTGACTGAAATGTTCCCGCAATTAACTGAGCAAAACACTTGTTGTTTTTTTAAGTTCTGCATTACTGTTAATACAAATATTTTATTTATTTATTTTAATCTCTTTATCAACCACCCAATAACCACAGTTCTCTGAATAATGTGCAAAATGAAATTGAAAGTCAATGTTACGATTGCTCAGGACAGCAAAACTCACAACAATGTATCAGCTCGTTCTGCCTCTTAATATCTTCTTTCTTTCTTCTGCTCCTGCTCCAGAGGGGAGGCTCTGCCCACAACTGTGGGAAGCTGAAGGTGGGCCACGTGATCCTGGAGGTGAATGGAGTGGCAATGCATGGGAAAGAGCACCGGGAAGCAGCTCGCATCATCGCCGAGGCATTTAAAGCGAAGGATAAGGACTGTGTTGATTTCCTAGTCACTGAGTTTAATGTCTCACTTTAGGGATAGGGCCCAGAAAGGTCCAAAAGCCAAATGCAAGAAAGAAACAAAGCAAGAACAAGGGTTCGAATAGACTGTCACGTGCATGTTAGCACACGTGCACTATCACAAGACCCAGATAACTCCCACCTGAAGCCCAGCAACACATGCACGCATGCCGCGCACAGAGCACATGCAGGATATATGCTTTGGGTTGTTGCACTGGTACTCAAAGCAGCTTCTCTGCTACCACTCCAAGACTGAGCCCGGCCGGGTGGTCTGTGGGAACAAAGAGCAATGGAACATAGAGGAGAAACAAAGAGAGTCAGTCACCTCCTGATAATAGTTCTTTCCATAAACCATTCTCATCTGGTTGGTGAACTATGGCGTAGATGTCCCATCTCTGCCTATTTTGTCTCTGTGTTTGAATGACTTGGCCAGTCACTTGTCTGAATACCTCACCCCACCCTCTCTAGCTCTTCCATTGCTTGCACCGTACAGTAGCATTCTGCACCTGCTTCAGATCACCTGTGGGTTGGGTGAGGGGAGAGCCCACCTCCACTTCTCGAGCAGTCCTAGAGGAGAGAGGGGCTTCCAGGGGGCGCCATTTGTAATGCTTTGGGGTTTAACCTCTGTGACACACCTGGTGTGAGGCTCTTATACTCTGCCTTCCCACCCATTCACAGCCTGCCATGAACAATGCCTTGTAAATGGCCAGCAATGTCACTGTATTTATATATGAAAGAGCTTGTGCTTTTAATTTTTCAATAAATGAAACACGTTAGGAAATGACAACTTGTTTGATTGGTTATAACAGGGTGGGGAGAGAGCCAGTGTGGTGTAGTGATTAAGAGCGGTAGGCTTGTAATCTGGTGAACCAGGTTCGCTTCCCCACTCCTCCACATGCAGCTGCTGGGTGAACTTGGGCTAGTCACACTTCTCTGAAGTCTCTCAGCCCCACTCACCTCACAGAGTGTTTATTGTGGGGGAGGAAGGGAAAGGAGATTGTTAGCTGCTTTGAGACTCCTTTGGGTAGTGATAAAGCGGGATATCAAATCCAAACTCTTCTTCTTCTTCTTCTTCTCAGACCTAGGAGGCCAAATGCAGGCCTCCAGCACTCTCTATTTAGTCTTCCAGTACTCTCCCCAGACAACACCCTCCTTGAGTGTTTTTGCCTGGCTAGGATGTGTCCTTCAACTCTTGACAATACCTCTTGCTTGTCTGGGTGAAGGATAGAGAGGGCTGTGTGCATATAGAAACTAGCCCATGGAACGAACCCACTTCTGCTTCTGGCCCCTGCCCACCACTGGCATGTCAAGGTTGCCCTTAAGAAAATGCCGACCCCAGGCAAAAGAATGTTCTCCAGTAGAACTTGCCCTTATGAGGCAGTTACATGGACCAAAGGTCTCCGTCTTCCCACAACTCATTAAGTGTCCTCCTTCCCCTGTTCCTTCCCAAGCAATCTGAGGCTCGTCATCATCTTGTCTGTCTTTGCTCTGCCCTTTCCATACCTCTTCAGGTTCTGGGAGATGAAGGGGGATGATAGCTGGTCGCAGCAGGAAGGGGAGACAGCCTGGCTTCCTTACCAGCCTAACTCATCTCTGCCTCTTGACCTCCCTCCTCTCCTGATGCAGCTTCTGTCTCTGCCTCTGGACTGCTTTCTGACTGCCTTTCCTGCTCATTTCCTGTTACCTCTTCAGCTTTCAACACCACCTCCCAGTCTGCTCCCTTTTCTCCCTCTGACCATACATTGTCCCACCACCAATTCCCTGGTTCTGAGCCGCCTTCTCCTGGAGGTTCCCTTGGGGGTTCCCCAGCTGGTGCCTGACAAATCTACATCCAGCCAGTCCATGACAATATCAGTACAGTGGTACCTCGGGTTAAGAACTTAATTTGTTCTGGAGGTCCATTCTTAAGCTGAAACTGTTCTTAACCTGAAGCACCACTTTAGCTAATGGGGCCTCCCACTGCCGCCGCGCCGCCAGAGCCTGATTTCTGTTCTCATCCTGAAGTAAAGTTCTTAACCTGAGGTACTATTTCTGGGTTAGCAGAGTCTGGAACCTGAAGCGTCTGTAACCTGAAGCATCTGTAACCCGAGGTACCACTGTACATTTAAAAGAACAAAATGCACACATCAGTGACTACTACATCCAACTCAAAAGATGGGCATCCTTTCTGTTTATTACCCCACAAATTCCACACAGTGAAAACCTTGGATTTTTCCAGCTCAGAAGATTCGCATTAGTGCAAACAAGCAAATGTTTATTTTTAGCTGCAGTTAAATGCACATTTTATAAAATCAGCTGAAAACAAGCTCCCCACCCCGTTCACCCACACAGCCTTCTCAGGTCATGAGGAGCAGAGATGGGCAAAAACTCCTAAATGCAGCACCCTATATGAAATAAAAGATGGTACAGAGGAGTTTTGCAAAATGAGGGTCTTTTAGCTTTTATTGAAACACAGTTTATCTTTTCAACTTTACAAAAACCTTAAGTAGGTTTTAGCAAACAAAAATATAAATGAAACAACATTTCTCCTTCTCCTGCTGCTGCTGCAGAGCAAACTATATATGCACACAAAAAAACAACAACACAAACCAAACATTGATACCATGAAATCTTTGATGGGGAAAGGAGGAAACTTGGTTTACACTAGGGTTGTTGGCTGGGCTGATGGGAGCTGTAGTCCAACAGCATCTGGAGGACCACAGTCCCGCCCAGCTCCACTTCGGGATTACTGTACTATGTGTTTTGCAAAATCCAGCGGGTGGGGAGAGTCCCCCACGTTCTGGCGAGGAAAAAAAAGAAGCAGTTCTTTTTTTTTTTACGCGTCGCTCTGCATGCAAATTCAGCCCCGCCCCGATTTCCGACCAATCCCAATTTAGCAAGAACTGTCCCGCTTTTAGCAGTCATTGAATTTCAGAGCATACTCTGCCTCTTTGCTAACGGACGCGAGCGGATGTGGGAGGAGGAGCCTTGAGGGCGTATTATGCAGATGACCCACCAAGCCCGGCCTCTTCCATCCCTTGCTATCTGCCTGCCCAGTATTGGAGGAGACTATTGTTAGCCGCCAAAGTTGCAACTCCAGGAAATTGACTAAAGGGGCCAAGCGCTCTTTTCTCGCCCGCGAAGGCGCAGCTGGAGGAAGAGAAGAACGGAAACTTTGTCGCGCGCGGAGAGCGGAAGGAAAAGCTGGTCTCTCCAGGTGAGTAGCCGGCTCTGGAGACGCCGCGTTTCGCGACTCTCAGGAAAGGACTCCGTGTGGGGAAGGGGCGCGTGAGAGAGACTGTCTTTAAAAGAGGTGGGGAGGCAGCCCAGGATAAATCCCTGCCACCCACCCCCATCACTGAGAAATCATTCAGTGGCGCTTTGACCCCCCCCCATCTCCCCCCCTCGAGATCCGCTTTCTCTTTTCTTGAGAAAAAGAGAAACAAAGTTGAGAACGTGGCCCTAATATGTCGCCAGTTGTGCATCACTCCCCCTTTTCATGTTTATTTCAATTATGCCTGATTTTCCAGAAGGCTCAACTTAGAAAATGAAATAAAATCTTTATCTTTTAATAAAGAGCAATCTTCGTAGCACACCGTCGATGCTTGCTTACTCAGGAGTAGGTCCCGCTGTGTCAGTGGGATGTTACATCCAAGTTAAGGTTGTATGCAGGGTTGCAGACTTAACGAGTGATGCAGCGCTAAAACTACTAGCATATCTGCAAAGCTAAGCGGGGTCCAGTATGCTTTCAAATTGGATGGGGAACCTCGTGTTGAGATTCCTGCATTGCCGGGGGTTGGACTAGAGCACCCTCGAGGTCTCTTCCTACTCTACAATTCTTCGAGGGTAAGCGTTGTGCGCTGCCTTCTGTGTGTTGTTTCTCCCAAAGCGGGAGAAGAACCTGTTGTTGCTGTGGTTGCATCTTAAAGGGAAAAGGCATTGGCTGCAGGGAAGTTTTGTTAGTATCTGGCTACTTGCTAAGCAACCGAAGGGAACAATCTAAGGCTGGCGAGTTCATCCGCTTGCTTCTCTCTGAAAGAGTTTTTAGACTTTCCTTCTTAGTTCCAGGGGAAGTGGAAGAGGGGAAGGAAACCACTTCGTTACTGAGGCTGCAATTCTGCATGTACACTTACCCAGGAGTAAGTCCCATGGAACTCAGTGGGATTTACTTCTAAGTAGCTATGCTTTGCAATGACACCAGGCTTATGTGTGTAAGTTAAACTGAGCAACAGGGAACTTCCTAAATTCTCCCACATGACTGGGGGCAAAAGAGCTGTCTGCCCCCTTAAGAACATTGCACCTGCTGGATCAGGCCATCTAGCTGCTGGATCATCCCATCTAGCCCAGCATCCTGTTCTCACAGTGACTATCATGGGAAACCAGCAAGCAGGAATCGAGCACAGGAACACTTTCCCTCCTGTGGTTTCCAGCAACTGGTATTCAGAAACATTGCTGCCTCTGACCATGGAGGCAGAAAATACGTAGTCACCATGGCTAGTAACCATTGATAGCCTTCTCCATGAATTTTAAAGCCATGTAGTGGTTAAGAGCGGCAGACTTGTAATCTGGTGAACCCTCACTTCTCTGCTCCTCCCCATGCAGCTGCTGGGTGACCTTGGGCTAGTCACACTTCTTTGAAGTCTCTCAGCCCCACTCACCTCCACATTGTGGAGGAGGAAGGGAAAAGAGATTGTTAGCCACTTTGAGACTCCTTTGGGTAGTGATAAAGCGGGATATCAAATCCAAACTCCTACTCCTCTTCTTCTTGGTGGCCATTACTGCCCCTTGTGGGTGTGAGTTCCATAGGTTAACAGGGCACTGCATGAAGAAGTACTTTAGTTTATCTGTTTTGAATCTTCCAAAATTCAGCTTCATTGATTATCCACAAGTTTTGTGTAATGGGGGGGGGGGACTTCTCTCAATCCACTTTCGCCATGCCATGCCATTACAGGAAATTCCAGGCTTCCTCTCTGATTTTCTTTTAAGGAGGTGGGGGTGTTGGCCAGCAAATATCCAGCTTTATTAACGGTATTCAATATGCAACATAATAAACATTCCAGTTCCCCCTCCTCCTTTCAGAGGGAAGTTTTGGTTTAGGCAGTAAGTCTACAGTAGTGTTATCCTAAATGTGTTGGACCTAAGTGAGTAGAGCCTGTCGATTGCAGTAGGTCTACTCTGGTTGCATCCAATGTTAGTCATACTCAGTGCATCTCCTAAGAAGTAAGCAAACGAGTTATGTGGTCCTTTGCAGGGTATTGCTATTATTATTTTTTACACTATCCCATTACCCCTAGAACAAATATTGGCAGGGCAATTGCTGGCTCAATCAGAGATCCCAGTTTGCAGATGGAAAGCTGAGAGTCTGACACATAACAGCAGCTTAAGTCAAAGGCTCATATCCTTTTCGCTGTAAAAAATAAATAAATCTTAAGGCTATCTATGTAATAAATAAATAAAAAATACATCAATCGTACTTTCATGCTTTATAGAATTGAGACTTGAAAGCTTCTCTGTTGCAGTACCACCATCAACAACCAGAATGTTCTCATGAGTTGCTCAGCTAACAGAGTTTTTTGTCTTTGATCTAAAGCTCCAATGAGTGACATTGCAAACTCTGGGTTCATTTATTACCTCCTGGGGTACATGTGTGTCTGTGTCTGTGGCTTTGCAGTATAACCTAGAGGTATCCAGATGGTACACAAACCATGTGAAACACAGCTGGGTACAGAAGAAAGGAGAAATTCTGTGTTATATAATGTTCTGACTGTACAGTCTCTCTCTCTCTCTCTCTCTCTCTCTCTCTCTCTCACACACACACACACACACACACACTCACACACACACAAGTTTCCTTGTCGTACTGTAGTCTTAACCCAGCCTGTTGCCCTCCAAAAGTTGTTAGACTCCAACTCCCATCAGCCCCAATCAGCATGGTCAGTGACTGCAGATGTTGGGAGATGGAGTCCAGCAATATCTAGAGGGCCACAGGTTCCCATCTGCTCTGATTAAAGGGCTCATTTTCAAAGATTTGGTTTTTTAATCAAGCAAAATATGCCACATGCCAAGCAGAACTTTAAAAAATATCAAGCCACCCACTTTGCAAAATTTATGTGATCTCAGATCACGCAGCAAAGCTGTAAAGCTGACTTTTAAGACATTTCCTATCAGTTTCAAAAATGTTAAAAGCAAATGACATCTGCACACTTAAGTTTAAGTTTGGAAGACCTTTTAGTTTCTATTTTTTATAAAATAATAAAAAATCCCATATGCTTATTTTTAAAAGAAGAAGTAATCAGCTGAGTACAGAACTCAGGGCTGTTCTTAGGGCTGTCCTTGAGAACGGGGAGAGAGCTCTGCTTCTCAGCTCTCCCACGGCTGGAATGTGAATGTTGACTGAGTGGCCAGCATACTGAATGAGTTGAATTCTGTGTTACAGAGTTTGATGCCTTATCTATTATACTGTTTATGGATTTTGATGTTTTCCACACTGTATTTAATTTTTACTGCTTTATTGCTTTTTTTTTTTTTTTGTAAATCACTTGGGGATCTGTTCTGGTGAAAATCAGCATGTAAGTACTTGACATAAATACTAATAAGTAAATAACTGACCAACTTTCCTCTGGATAGAGTGCAACTGGTTTAAAAATCCATTGGTTTAGAAATCAAAGATGAGTGATGGGTTGAAATTAAAATGTACTTCTCCACCTAAGCTGCTTCCTTATTTATTTAACTAACTCAGTTGGTAAGAGCATGGTGCTGATAACACCAAAGTCGCAGGTTTGATCCCCATGTGGGACAGCAGCATATTCCTGCATTGCAGAGGGGTTGGACTAGATGATCCTTAGGGAACCTTCAAACTCTACAATTCTTTGATTTTATGATTCTAAAAAGTACACACCCCTTACATGACAGAAAATATCACAGTGGTCTATGGAGAATGATCTAAAACATTCATTTTAAAAACAGTGATAAATGCAAACATTAAAATCATTTATTTATTTAAATATATAAAAATAATGAATGGTGCCAATAATAGTTTTTTTGTGTGTGTTTTTTAAAAAAAATTATATATGTAATAAAATGTAGTGTTAAAATTGCTGCATGATGCCTGGGGAGGTTTGTCAAAACACAAAACAGAAAATTCAGCAGGTGCTGAAAACAGTGCAGGGAATGTGCCTGCCTAACATTAATAACATTAATAACAATATTTTAAGAGCGCAGAGATAATTCATGTCTGGATTTCATAAAACTTTCCTTGCCAAGAAATTGCAGCCACGTGTCTTAATCTTTAAGCACCATTCTTTGGAAGTGAGCCGGGCTGAGATCTTTGGGACTTAATCCTGTAATTGGTTGCATAATATGGTTTAACTCAAAGTCCCATCATTTTGGTACTTTGACCGTACAACCTGGAGGGGAAGGGTGGTCCACAATATGTCTATGATTCACTGTCACAGCATACCCTCCAGATGTTCCTATATAACTGAGGTAGGGAGTCTTTTTCAGCCCAAGAGCTGCATTCCCTTCTGGGCAACTTTTTCTGAGCCACGTCACATCCCAGAGGTGGGCGGGGCCAGAGGCAAAAGTGGGTGGGGCAATTAAAATTTATCTTTCTACCCGGAAGAGTTCACTTCGGTGCTGCAGACACAGCAGGCTTGTTTGTTTTCATGTACATGTACATACAGTATAGACACGCATATGTACACACACACACACACCTCTCTGTCCTCCATCGAGGCAAACAAAAATCAGTGTTATCTAGTCCAGGCGTCAGCAAACTTTTTCAGCAGGGGGACAGTCCACTGTCCCTCAGACCTTGTGGGGGGCCAGACTATATTTTGGAAAAATAATAATGAATGAATTCCTGTGCCCCACAAATAACCCAGAGGTGCATTTTAAATAAAAGCACACATTCTCCTCATGTGAAAACACGCTGATTCGCGGGCCGGATTTAGAAGGCGACTGGGCCAGATCCGGCCCCCGGGCCTTAGTTTGCCTACCCATGTTAGTCACTCGATATGTATATTAAGCTGTAACATGTTACTACACATTGCACATTACAGTAAGGTCAAAACACTCAGTTGCAAAGCTGAGCCAGTAGTGGATGTGGCTGGGGAGGGGTGATGCTTGGAGACAGTCCCAAGGGCTGGTCAGAGGGCCCCATTTGCCCCCGCTCCCAGACCTGAGGTTTACTATACCTCGGGTTAGAGGCGCTTCAGGTTACAGACTCCACTAACCCAGAAATAGTACCTCGGGTTAAGAACTTTGCTTCAGGATAAGAACAGAAATCGTGCTCCGGCGGCAGTGGGAGGCCCCATTAGCTAAAGTGGTGCTTCAGGTTAAGAACAGTTTCAGGTTAAGAACGGACCTCCGGAACGAATTAAGTTCTTAACCTGAGGTACCACTGTATACAAACAGCCCTTATTTTCTGGTACTTGTCCCAGTTAAACCCACCAACAAGCCGGGATCACACATTCTCATGGTTTCCCAGGCTCATTTCCCTGGGAAGATGGACTGATAAACACTGTGAGGGGAACGTGCTTCTTCTAGCAGCTCTCTGCATCCCAGGATTCCTTTGGAGAGCCCACAACTTTTTAAAGTGATAATGATACAGCTTTAAACATGCAGTGCAGATGAGGCCAAACAAACAACCTTCCAAAATACTGTATAAAGTAGGTAACATTTTTTTTAAAAAAAATCCAGGAACAGAGGGGCACAGAATTGGGAAAACAGATGATTTCTTTCCCGTTTTGTGCCTCTTGGACATACTTGAGGAGGGAGGTGATCAGCTGAACAGAGCGCTTAGGAGGGAGAGGAGTCTGTGGCTGGGGAAGATGAATAATCTGATTAGCAAAGCTGACTTCTCTAAACTGCAAGGGGCGGGGAGAAATGTAAGATTCCTCTTAACTGGCCTTTTTCTATACAGTGTATGCTGGTAGCAGGATGCAGTGTATTTCTGGGGAAAGCAGACAGAGGAACTCTCAGTAGTTGTTTAAAAGGACTTTCTTTGCTCAAAACGGAACTGGATTGATGCTTCATGTTCTGATAGCAAAATGTTTAAGTACTTGAGAGGGAGGGGAGCAGGGAGAGAAAGAAGCAGGGATCCTTCAGTAGAATGCGGGGAAACAATTTTTTTTGCGTGCTGTTTGTTCTCTAAATTTGGCAACTTTTTTTCAGTATGAAGAAGGGTACAACGTACCTGCAAACTTCTTTATACATTTTGCATTGGAGTAACAGTGGGCATAGTATTCAACATGGTTCAGGACATAACAAGTTGCTTTATATAGTCAGACCAATCGTCCATCTAGCTCAGGCGTCAGGAAACTTTTTCAGCAGGGGGCCAGTCCACTGTCCCTCAGACCTTGTGGGGGGCCGGACTATATTGGGGGGGGGGATGAATGAATTCCTATGCCCCACAAATAACCCAGAGATGCATTTTAAATAAAAGCATGCATTCTACTTATGTAAAAACACACTGATTCCTGGACCGTCCGTGGGCTGGATTGAGATGGCAATTGGGCCAGATCCAGCCCCCGGGCCTTAGGTTGCCTACCCATGATCTACCTCATTGCTGTTTACACTGGCTGGCAGTGGCTCTCCAGGGTTTCAGGCAGGGTCTCTCCCAGGCTTTGTGGAGATGACAGGGGTCAAACCAGGGACCTTTTTGCATACATCTCAAATGCCCTGTCTGACCCATGGAGAGATGCTGCCAGTCAATGTAGACAATATTGATCTAGTTAGAGCAGTGGTCTGACTTATGTCATATAAGTCAGCTTATGTTCCTCCATGATTTGTCTTCTCATATTTGAATACTGCTTTAAAGGTGACATCAATAAATAGTGTTGGCTCAGATTTTGGAGGGTCTTTTGAGCAGGACATCTTCCGTAAGCCACCTCCCATCACCAGCTTCAATTATCCCACCTCCACCCATAGCCACCAGCTTTCCTCTTTCTCAGTGCAGCTGACATCTGCTTGCTTGCCAGAGGGCAAGCAGGAAGATGCAGCTACTCTTCCTCCACCTTCTCACCACCACCACCACTGATCTGCTTGCTTCCACCCTCTGAAAGTAGTAAGAGCCTGCTGGATCAGGCCAGTGGCACATCTAGTTCAGGACCCTGTTCTCATAGCGGCCAGCCAGGTGGTTAGGGGAAGCCAACAGGCAGACTCTTAAGTGCAACAGCCACTCTCTCCTACTGTACTTTCCAGCAACTTATATTCAGAAACATACTAGCAGGGATACAGGCAACTTGCAACTTATATCCATTTAACTTGAGAGCATTTTGTTTTATGTGCTTGGCAAATCTTTAAAAAAAAATATGGAAAGGAGACAGCCATCTGGGAAAAAAGACTTTGCCAATTCCACCTGCCATTGAACCCAATGTGCTTTGGCTTTATATGCTATCCCTGGAACATAACCCCTGTGTAAGTTGAATCACCTGTATTTACTAAAGGCTTCAGATATAGATGACCTCATTCCTGCATCCCATGGCCTCGGTGTAATGCATATTTTCCTGCCCTCACCAGAATTTAATTTAATATTTATTTAATTAAATAATAATAATTTAATTTTTTTTATAAAAAAAATTAAAATCCAAATAGTTGCTTTAAAATGAAATTATAAGGGTGATACTTAGGAGGCTGCTTCTTGCAACTGGTGCCTTCATTTCCACCAAGTTGTCCTATAACTGAGCCCTAAATACAGTTTTTTTTAGGATTGACAGCCTGCACCTGTTTGCTTGCCTTTTTGAGTTGAAAAAAGAGAGAGAAAGATCAATGTGCTTGGATATATCAGGAAGGGTGATCAAAGAATGTGAACGGACTCTGATGACTAATGAGAGTTAATGCACTCATGCCACTTTGCCAGTTGCCCAGTGGCATGTGATACATTAGCAATGGATCAATTGCAAGTTAGATAAATAAATAGTGTCATCCTGGATAAATATGTTCTGTTTCTAGTTCAAGTCATTTTGTCTTGCTGCACCGCTTTCTGTTTAGAGCGAGCCTTTCTCAGTTTGATGTGTGAATGGGAGGGGATGATATTTAAAGGGGCTGGAAGACCCTCTCTTAAAGACATAAAGAGAGTCCTACTGGATTAGACCCAAAAGTCCATCCCATCACAGCTTCCCACAGTAGGCAACAAGATGCTTTGGGGAGCCCTACAAGGAGGACATGAAAGCTACCTCCCCTTCTTCCACCCACAGGTGATTGGTAACTAGAGATAGACTGTCTTTCAGTATGAATGGTCTATATCAGGGGCACAGGTGCTGGGTGTTGATTTAAGCAGAGTCTGTCGTGGCCAGCGGAAGGATGAGTAATACGTGTTACATACTCCATATTGCTTTATTTACAGTTCAAAGCTGGTATATTACAGAAAGACATCTTGCTTCTGCTTGGAGCAGAGAAAATGCATCCTCTCTCCTCAACAGCTTGGAGAGAATCACACAGTGAAAAAACAGGAAACCAGTGTACGTCACATCCAGTCTCCCTTTCCCGTGAGAAACTCCAACAGTACAGATTGTGGAATGTAAACACCTGTCTTGTGACTGCAGTTGCTGCTCAGTGAAGGAAATAGAAACCAACATCCTCCCCTTTCTGTGAACATCACTGGGCAGCGTGTTTGCACAATATCAGTACAAACCCAACTTCTGCACATAGGTACAGTGTTGATCCCTTGATACAATCTTGGACAATACATCAGCAGGAATTTCATTACCTGGCATATAGGACACCGTTACGAGTCCCTTCTGAATACATTCCCTAGCATGCTGCAACTTTAATTGCAAGTGCTTTGTGCTTTGCTTACAACCTTCAGACTTCAGCAAAGCCAAACATGCTTTGTTGTCCTGGTAAACCTGGATTGGACATTTGACAGGAATTTTCATATCTTTGCACAATTGTACTAACCATTCACAATCTTTAAGTGAATAAGACAGTGCATTCAGTTCGGCTTCACAAGTACTTAAGCTAACTGTTGTTTGCTTCTTGCATGACCAATCAAACAGACTCTGATTGTACATGTAGCAAACTCCAGACGTACTTTTCCTGTCTGTAGCGTCACTACCAAAACTTGCATCTGCAAATATCTCAAGACCACCAGACTTCTGATTGTTAAATCTCAGTCTGTAATGCATAGTGCCTTTCAAATACCGCGCTATGCGTTTCAGAGCTTTCCAATCCTTGACACTAGGATTGTTGACTTGTCTGCTTAGCAAATTACAGCTAACAGCAATGTCTGGTCTTGAACATCTTGCAATGAAGTTTAGCTTGCCTAGCACACTCCTGTACAGTGTAGTGTCAGAAAATGCTTCTTCAGTGTCATCTACCTGATAACCTGTTGTCATCGGTGTGTCTACAGGGTTAGCACCTATCAGATTTAGTTTGCTTAACACATCAGCAATTTTCCGTGACTGGTGTACTAGAATGTTACCATCTTGATCTCTCTCTATTTCCAGAGATAGGTAGTTGTTTACCTCACCAAGATCTTTCATGTCAAAGTGCTCTTTCAGTTGAGCTAGGGCGTTATTGTACATTGCGACATCTTTCCAAAAGAATAATAAATCATCAACAAAAAACAAACAGTACAGTTTCTTTTGCCCCTCCTCTTTGACAAATACACATGGTTCATATTTACCTTGCTGAAATCCTAGAGAAAACAATACTTCAGTGAGTTTTGTGTGCCAACACCGTGCACTTTGTTTGAGACCATAAAGGGATTTCTTCAGAGCACAAACAAATCCCTGTTTTACCTGTACGCCATCAGGTGGAAGCATATAAAGTGATTCATCTAGAGATCCGTACAGAAAAGCTGTATTAATATCATGGTGACTAATGTGTAGATTTTCCTCTGCAGCTAGCTTGAGCATAAGCCTAATGCTTTCATATCTCACTGTGGGTGAATAGGTCTCGTGATAGTCTTCACCTGGTACCTGTGCAAAACCTCTGGCTACCAATCTGGCTTTGTGTCTGACTATCTTGCCATTTTGATCTGTCTTCGCTTTGAAGACCCATTTGCTTCCAAGCAGTTTCATTCCTGGAACTACTGGAACTAGCTCCCATGTTTTGTTCCTTTCTAAGGAATCAAGCTCAGCCTTCATGGCATTTAACCATGGCTCAGCTTCCTTTGAATCCAAATCCTGGATTTCTTGGAAACTTGAAGGTTCAAATACCTTCTTGGAGCTTTTAACAGCTGTTACTGCTATCTTAGCAAACTCATCAGCAAATCTCTTTGGAGGTTTGCTTTTGTGGCTCTCTGTGACCTACGAATTAGCCTTAAGTCTTCAACACTCTCCTCTTCCTTCTTAGGAGAAAAACGACCTATTGTGAACAATGGTTCCTCCAATTCTTGATCAGAGCTTTCAGAGGGTCGCATAGAGGCTTTCGCACTCTTGAAATCCTCTGAATCACCCGATTCAGTTTCAGATTCAGACTCAGAACCTTCATCAGTGGGTGTGGGCTGTTGTGGTTGCTTTTGACTATCCTCAGTCTCATCACCGTCATCAGGATAACATTGGAAAATTCCCACATTCTCCCCCACTTTGCATTGTACTCAACACTTCTCGTGAGCTTAATTGTCTTAGAGTCAGTCATCATTATTCTGTAAGACCCTTTCTGATAACCTAGAAAGATACCATGCAATCCACGCTTGTCTAACTTGGAGTTTTGTGGTGAGCGAACCCACATGTCAGAACCAAAAATCTTCATGTGTTTGATGTATGGCTTCTTGCCAAACATCTTCTCATAGGGGGTACAACCAATCGCTGAAGATAGCCTGCGATTGTAACTGTAAACAAAACACGAGAGAGATTCGGCCCAATAACTCTCTGGAAGATTGGCATCATGCAGCAAGGTTTTTAACCCTTGAAGCAAAGTCTGATTTGCCCGTTCCGCAAGTCCATTCTGCCATGGCGAGCGAGGACTAGACAAATCGTGTTGAATTCCTTTCTCAGTCAGAAAAGCTTCAAACTGCTGAGAAGTGAATTCCCCCCCGCGATCACTGAAAAGAGTCTTTATCTTCTTACCATGCACATTTTCCAACCAAGCACAGAATTCCTTGAACCTAGGAAAAGCCTCCGATTTCTGCTTGAGATTGTACACAAAAATATATCTAGAAAATGCATCAATGAGAACCATGAAGTATCTATTTCCACCCAAAGAGGGCGGTAGTGGTCCAACCAAATCAGCATGAACAACCTGGTATGGTTCTGTAGCTTTCCTACTAGACACCTTACCTTTCGCAGCCATTTTCACCTTGTTTGCTGCGCATGCTTTGCACTTCATGTGGTACCTGCAGGGTTTAATAGTCATACCTTCAACCAAGGCAGGCATTTTAGATACTGCCTCAAAATGCAAATGACCAAATTTGCGATGAAATCGTGAATACATTCTGCATGCAAACTTTTGTTAGAACCTGCAATGCAACAAGTGTCATCCTGCACCACATCATCATAATACAAAACAAACAAATGATCAACATATTCTGCATGCAATACATAATCATTTTTCTTTGTGATGATGCACTTCTTGTTCTTGAAGGAAACGTCAATGTTCCGCTCATTCAGCTGTCCAACGCTGAGCAGATTATGTTTGGCGTCTGGCACGTAAAGCACATTCTGTATCGATAAGTCCAAACTGTGAAGAACAACAGTTCCGTAGCCTTTACTGGGAATAGTGTGGTCATCCGCCTGGTGAATCGCACCTTCCTGCGGTGTAAAAGACACAAACAGTTTCTTATCGTTGCACATGTGGTGGGTGGCCGCTGAATCAACAACGAAGAAAGATCTAGACGTCTTCTGGACCTCTGCAACCTTTGGAGTGAAGCGTGAAACCATAGCCTTGTGCTGCGTTGTCCTAGACACCGGACCTTTGCTTTTGCCTCGGCCTTTTCCGCGTGATGAGCTTTCGCTGCGCTGCTCTGTCTTGGCCCTGGGATGTCTGCATTCCCTCTTCATATGGCCTAGACGTCCACACGAGTAGCATTTGACTGCCTTCAAAGCTTTGGCGCCATCTGGTGGTTCCACTGCACTATGGGATGACGTCTGTGAAGACTCTCCCTTGCCCATGCAGCTAGCACCCCGGCGATCTGCTTCATTTAAAATCACGGCAGTAACAAAGTCCACTGTCAGCTGAGCAGTTGGTTGCACAGCAATCTGGGTTGCAACAGACTCCCAACCTGAACCCAAAGATTGTAGTATCATGAAAGAATACACAGCCTCTGGAAAGTTGAGTCCTCTCTGTTGCAGCTCATGTCTCAGATTTTGCATCTCTATCAGATGTAAACGTACATCTCCACCTTCAGCAAGAGCCATATTATGCAGCTTGTTAAAGTAATACATAGTGGATCCAGCTTCTGTCCTTAAGTGAGCCTCTCTCAGAGCGTCCCAAATTTCTCTGGCTGAGGTCTTATCACGCAATAGACAGAGCTCTTCTGGGGATACTATCAATGTAAGAGTTCCCTTGCTTTGGAATCCTTAGCTTCCCATGCATCTGTAACTGGAACTGGGGGGGTTTCTGTAATCACCTCAAACACACCCTCTTTCCGCAGAATTGCCTCTGCATACTGAACCCAGTCGCTATAATTTTTCTTGTTGAGCTTAGGAATCCCACAAGCATCCTGAAGGGCCATCATGACTCTGGCATTAGCCTTCAGCGTCATTATATGCTGCTTTAAATCTTGCTGCGTCACTGCTGCAGCTGCCTTATCACAAAGGCACTCTTAAAAGTTACTTTCGATTTCCCCAGCATAGTGACTTGTGCCTGGGAGCCTTTTGCCTTTTCCCGGCAAAACCGGCTTTAAAAGTTCAAAGTCCAGCCATAAAGCCATTAACTTGAAGCTGGCAGGCTGCCCGGAGCAGTAGCACATACCTCATCAATCACTTCTACGCGCAGAGCAGATTCCTTTCCGATCCGTCCCTCTGCATTCCGATCCTCTGCCGGCACTCCGATTCGACTCCTGGGCCCATAACCACGTGTTGATTTAAGCAGAGTCTGTCGTGGCCAGCGGAAGGATGAGTAATACGTGTTACATACTCCATATTGCTTTATTTACAGTTCAAAGCTGGTATATTACAGAAAGACATCTTGCTTCTGCTTGGAGCAGAGAAAATGCATCCTCTCTCCTCAACAGCTTGGAGAGAATCACACAGTGAAAAAACAGGAAACCAGTGTACGTCACATCCAGTCTCCCTTTCCCGTGAGAAACTCCAACAGTACAGATTGTGGAATGTAAACACCTGTCTTGTGACTGCAGTTGCTGCTCAGTGAAGGAAATAGAAACCAACACTGGGTAGCCCCCAAGATGGGGGTGGCGGTACATGGCTCATTGCATGATATTACACATATTTTCCAACACTGTGCAGGCTGCACCAGCATGGCCTAGTGGAAGACTGTGTTGGCCTGTGCAATGTTGGGAGATGCTTCTCAGGCTGGAGCAACCTTGCCTCCTCTGCATCTTCAATTTTCAGGGGGCTGAGCCCTCTGCTAAGGAATATTGAGGGGGCTGATGACACCTCTGACCCTCAGAGTTGGCATGCTTGATCAGGGGTAGGAAACCTCAAGGCCAGGAGACAAATGTGGCCCTCCAGGCCTCTCTGTCTGCCCCTTGGAACGCTCCACAGTCTCACCCAGTTGCATTCCTCAGTGACCCTCCTCAATGCCCTCCTTTGATTGGAGCAGGGGCAGTTGACCAATCCTCAATTTCCTTGGTCTATAACATACCAGCATCTGTTCATTTTTTGCTCTGGGATTAATAACAGTTTTGGTGAAGAGGGGCAATTAAAGGGGGAGTTGGTTGAATGGCTCCCCATCGCCATTCTATATAGTTGGCCACTGAGCATGCTAAATCCCATTCCTGGGTTTTTTTTGGGGGGGATATTCTTTGTATTTCTACAAATCTTGGGGTTTCTCTTAGCTCCCCTCCTCTGCATGGATGGTGTTGCTTTGGCTACAATAGCAAGGACACAGGTCTCTAACATCAGAAATAAAAGGTGATGATGGGACCGCCAATGAATTTGACTCTTAAGAAAATTAATTCCCTTAGCAAATACTGGTGTACGTGTGTTCATGCCTCTTTTGATTGGTTTTTATTACATTTATATCTCATCTCTCCTCTAAGACTGCATACTTGGTTCTCCTCCTCCACATTTTATTCCTCACAACAACCTTAGGCTGGATCAGCCCCAAATGTCCATGTAGATCTCCCTTCCACATGTGGCTAACTTAGGTTCCAGTTAACTTAAGAAGAGCCCTGATGGATCAAGCTGATGATCCATCTAATCCACAGTTGCCAACCAGATGCCTCAATAGGAAGACTGCCAACAGTGATGTTGGATTGAAAATAAGTGGTTTCCAGCTGCACAGGTTAAAGTTAACGATAGATTAAGATTAAAGATTAAGATTAAAGATGTTTAAAGAAATGGAAATTTGATAATAAAAGGGAAAAATTTAAAGCTATATGACATTAAGAGCAAGGATTAGGTTTAAAAAAGTTGAAGTTATATATTTTAACATCTTATTAAATTAAAGATTGGGATTAAAAAAGTGGAAAAGAAACTGCTGGACAAATAATGTGGATTGGAATACAAAAGAGGGAGGTATGAGGAAGTCCAGAAAATAAGTAATTTAAAATTGGAAATGGAAAAGAGAGTTTGTTTTTAATTGTTATGTGTTGTGTTTTTATTGTTAAGTTTTGTAGTGTTTTTTGTGTGTGTTGTTTTTCTTTTTTCTTTGTTTAAAACCTTAATAAAAAATTATTAAAAAAAAAAAAAATAGGAAGACTGCCAACAGAACCTGAGTGCAACAGCACCACTTCCCATTTGTGGTTCCCAGCAACTGGGAAAGTCCACAAGCCCAGTGTGAGTGCAACAGCCTTCTGCTGCTGTTCTGGCCTAGCAACTGGTGCTTCAAGGTGCTCCTGTTTCTGAACCAGGAGGTTGCATAAAGCAATCATCTGGTAGCCAGTCAAGGAAAAGTGGTCATCAACCCTCCTCCATCCCTGACTGATAATCAGCTATGTTTTGTCTCTGCCTACTGGCTAAGCATCTACTGCCAATGAGTTTATCTCTGCCTGCCAGCCTGTTTTTTCTTTTGTCTTGATTCTGAGTTGGGGCAAATCTGGAATGGTATTTTTAATGACTGCCCCCCCCCCCCACTTGTTGTAAGAAAATTTGCCATTCAACAGATCCAATTCCCCTTAGCACAAATAATTGATTAAGCAACTATCTGGGATGCTGAATTGCAAAGCCATGTGAGTGAAATGAACAAGTACCCAGAAATCAAAGATAATGGGAGGGGGTTTACTTCAGTGAGGTATATATCCAAGCTAGACATACCCAAATTTAGAAGATCTTTTACCCTTGCCAGATTCAATGTCCTACCACCTGCATTAGTGCAGGGCAGATTTGAAGGTAAACCATATTCAGAGAGAATATACCCATGTGGTCTGAAGGAAGCTGAAACTATTACTCATGTCCTATTATGTTGTCATTACTATAGGAACATGTTTGGTATTTATCACTCCAATCATGCAGTGAACCCCAAGCAGATCTGATGACCACTACTTAAAATATCTAATAGAGGACTGGGAACCAGAGATTACCTTAAAAGTGGCCAAATTTTGTGCTGCTGCTATAAAACTAAGGAGACAATCTCTGAATGTATCTAATGGCCAATGTCTTAACATGCATATTTTAAATTAGCAGCTAAGGTCTTAACCTACATATTTTAATGGTTTTATATCCGTATTATTTCCCGTGCTCTAGCTTATAGAGTTTAATTTTAACCTATGTATATTTACATGTTCTCTATTGTTGTATATGTCCGTATTTCTGGTCTGTGACCATAATAAATTGATTCATTCAGTTTCATTCAAATTATTGATTTCAGCCTTATAGTTAAAGAGCCTCTGCTGTTACTGACAAAGGTTTTGGACCTTTCTGTTAAATCTTAACATTTAAGAGATGCAGAGGCAGCTTCATGTTCCAAGGGTCCCAGTTCCAAGTGGCATGTTCTGTAAAAAAAACCTGTACGTTTTCTAATCCTTATGATTATAGGCTTGGAAATGTCTGGGCAATGTCATCTGAAGTGTCAGAAGCTGGCGGAATTTCTGAATAAACTTTCTATTGGCCAAAGGGCTGGGCTTCTTTACCTTTCTCCATGACTAGAAAAATCAGAATTAAATGATGCAATGTATTCATTCCCAAAATTTCAAAACCAAAAAGTAGTGGTGGCTGGTCTACTGGGGCTAACGAGCCCCACCAGCCTCAGTCTGCTCTCAGCCAGCCTTCACCTGCCTGTCTCCTCACTTATAACCATTCAGGGGGTGGCTCTGCCTGCCATTTAAAAGCTCACACTAAAATATTAACAAGGCATCCCCAAAAGGGAAAAAAGCGAGAGTTATCATTTACTGGGGGAGAGAACCAGCAAAAGGGAATAATGGGTGCAGATGAAGTAGCTTGAATAAGCTGTTCAAAAAGAAAAATCCTATATAAATTCCCTCTGTTTCTTAAGTTCAGAGTAAGCAAATGGTAACCAATAAGTAACATGATACCAAAATAGTACCCTCCGCATATGAATGGGAGATATCAGTAGGCTTAGCGGGGAAGTCGGACCCCCAAGCTTATCATTAGTACCAAAACATCTCTAGCAGAATACCAAAGGAGTAGGGGAGACAGCCAGATGGCCCAGAAAGGACAGAGCCATGCTTAGCCACCATAGAATACTGACTGGGTTTTGGGGGGCAGAGGGGGGGGGCAGAATGAAAAATTGGCTGGGATGGGAATGGAAAGGAGTATAGTGGAAGACAATATGGCTGGCTGGCAGCCTCGAGGAATACTCCCTGCAGTAGAATCTTGCTGCAAGTCTCACATCTACAAATATGTATAACTTTAAATAATCGATAAAAGATACAGGAGTAAACAGTTTTGTTTAGCTTGGAGCATGGGGTGGTTTTTTTTAAAGAGTACAGTGATACCTTGGTTCTCAAACACCTTGGTACTCAAACAACTTGGAACCCAAACACTGCAAACCCGGAAGTAAGTGTTTGGGTTTGCAAACTTTTTTTTGGAAGCTAAACGTGCTCTGTTTTGAGTATTACACTTCCGATTTGCGTGCCACACTTCCGTTTTGAGTGTTACACTGAGGTCTGTCTGTTTTTGCTATTTATTTTGTGTTTTTTTGCGGCTCTTTTTCTTTTGTTTTTGTGACTGTGTGGAACCCACTTCAGCTACTGATTGATTGTGTAACTGCAATACATTGTTTTTTGCTTTCATTTTATGGATCAATGGTCTCGTTAGATAGTAAAATTCATGTTAAATGGCTGTCTTAGGGGTTGTTTTTAGAAGTCTGAAATGGATTAATCCATTTTGCATTGCTTTCTATGGGAAAGTCTGCCTTGGTTTTGGAATGCTTTGGTGTGGAACGGACTTCTGGAATGGGTTAAGATTGAGAACCAAGGTACCACTGTATGCAATTTATCATAATGATGCATTCTTGGGCATGCCTTCTTGGAACTAAGTTCCACTGCTTGTCACAGGCCTTTCTTTTGAGAAAACAGAAGGTGCTGTGGTTCAGTGGTAGAGCATCTGCTTTGCATGCAAAAAGATCCCAGATTCAGTCCCCAGCATCTCCAAGTAGGGCTGGGAAGGACTCTGGCCTGAAATCCTGGAGAGCTGTGGGCAGTCAGTGTTAATAGTACTGAGCAAGGTGGACTAGTGGTCTGACTAGTGGTATAAGGAACCTTCCTATGTTCCTAAAATGGGATTATACTGTAAGCACAATTCAGCTGGTAGTAAACTTTGCATGAGAAAAGTGGATAAGGAGCAGTTTTTTAAAAAAAATCTGCAGCCCAAGGAAGTACATCTTCAGCTGTACTGGGTGGAGATTTTTCTTTAAGGCATGTTTTGGTCTTGTAATATAAGTCCCATCACATGTTGTTTTGAGGCCGGGCTGACCATTGCTGCAATCAGAAAAGCTGTAAACTGAGATAGATCAGCTGTCTCTTAAGAAAGAACAATGTGCTGTGACCAGGATTGGGGTGCTGGGGGTGGATCTTACAGAAAGGTCCCTTCTAAACATCTGTTTTATCATGCATTCATGATTATTTGTGCTCATGATGGTATTGGGGCAGCTATACACAATCCTGTTCCAATACTATTTGTGCCTACAGATGTTTCAGGACTACAGTGGTGCCCCGCAAGACGAATGCCTCGCAAGACGAAAAACTCATTGACGAAAGAGTTTTCCGTTTTTTGAGTCGTTCCGCAAGACGAATTTCCCTATGGGCTTGCTTCGCAAGACGAAACGTCTTGCGAGTTCTTGCAAGTTTGTTTCCTTTTTCTTAAAGCCGCTAAGCCGCTAATAGCCGTGCTTCACAAGATGAAAAAACCGCAAGACGAAGAGACTCGCGGAAGGGATTAATTTCGTCTTGCGAGGCACCACTGTATTTCATTTCTAGTCAGGCACTGCCCCATAGCTTCCTGTGGAAACCCCATAACTTTTTATGCCACAAATCACAAAGAGTGTCCCTCTCAACAGTGATAATGTGGTAACATTGGGGAAGCACTGCAGAACAAAAGTGGAATGATGCATGGACAGTCCAGTATAAATCAATGGCTAATGCACTGTTATTATTTCAATTACGTGTTGTGAAATATACTCACAAACCAACAATTATCCACCATTCTGGAGGGAACCACAGATCTTTCATTGGCACCCCTACCTTTGTCCTTTCTGCAGAATCCCTTCTGCAGTGCTGATGTGCTTGTGGTTTTGCTATAATGTTTTTGGAGATTGGCAAGCAAAGCAGAAGACAGAAACAGCAGGAGAGGCCCAACTGAGGAAGTGAGATGGTGCAATAGAAATGAAATAACTCAAAAAAAAGTTGATGAGATCATGTGGGTAGCAAATAGCCTGTCTACAACTTTTTCTGTTTTTTGTCCTGTAAGGTTGGGGGTTTTTTTGCAAAATCATTTCTTGCCTGCCTCATCTGCAGGCCTTGTTAAGAATCATTTGCATTTACAGTGGTCCCTCGGGTTAAGAACTTAATTCGTTCTGGAGGTCTGTTCTTAACCTGAAACTGTTCTTAACCTGAGGTACCACTTTAGCTAATGGAGTGTCCCGCTGCTGCTGTGCTGCCACTGTGCGATTTCTGTTCTCATCCTGAAGCAAAGTTCTTAACCTGAGGTACTATTTCTGGGTTAGCAGAGTCTGTAACCTGAAGCGTCTGTAACCCGAGGTACCACTGTATATAAAAACATTTCAGAAACAGGTAGTCCTTTACGTACATCAAAGGGGAATGTCTTTTTCAGCCTGAGGGCTGTATTACCTTTCAGGAAACTGGGAGCCATGTGCCAGGGCTAGGAAGGGCCAGAGGCTAAAGCAGACACAGCCACAGATGTAAAGTTCAGTAGGCTTCTAGCCACAATGGCTATTTTCTACTTTCACTGTTGGGAGCAATTGGCCTCTTAGCACCAATTGCTGGGGATCACAGGTGGGGAGAGAGATGTTGCACTATGGTCCTGCTTACGTGCTTTCCACAGGCATCAGGTTGGCCACTGTGAGAACAGGATGCTGGACTAGATGAGTGCCCTTTGTATACCATTTGCCTGGAATTGCAAGTGGGCTGTTAGGCTCAAGTCCTGTTTGTGGGCTTCCCACAAGGATCTGGTTGGCCACCGTGAGAAAAGGTTACTGAACTAACTAGATGGGTCATTAGCCTGATCCAGAAGACTCATCTTACGTTCTTTTTGGGACCTCTGCCTGTACGAAGCTCTGTGTGTTCAGGATTTGGATGAAAAATAGAAGTAGGACTTGCAGCTTGTGAGTACAGTTCTAGGTCTAATTTAGGGCGGGGCGTGGATGGCGCTATAGGTTAAACCGCAGAGCCTAGGACTTGCCGATCAGAAGGTCGTGGTTCGAATCCCCGCGATGGGGTGAGCTCCCGTTGGTCAGTCCCTGCTCCTGCCAGCCTGGCAGTTCAAAAGCGCGTCAAAGTGCAAGTAGATAAATAGGAACTGCTCCAGCAGGAAGGTAAACAGTGTTTCCGTGCGCTGCTTTGGTTTGCCAGAAGCAGCTTAGTCATGCTGGCCACATGACCCGGAAGCTGTACACCGGCTCCCTCGGCCAATAAAGCGAGATGAGCGCCGCAACCCCAGAGTCGGTCACGACTGGACCTAATGGTCAGGGGTCCCTTTACCTTTAAGCAAAAGTGGAGGAGGCTACTGGAAGTCTCATGTAAATTTAGGACAGAGGAACAGGCTATTATAATATCTGAAGTGCCCACCTGGAACAGAGGCAGGTCTCAGCTTCTGTGCAGATTTCTTAAAGGTTGTTCCCAGTCCAAGCATTGCATGCCAGCATTCTCCGTGACATCAGAAAAAACCATGTGTTTCAACCTTAAGAATAGCCCTCCTGCATCACGGTAAAGGGCTCATCTATTTCAGAATTCTGCTTCCCACAGTGGGCCAGTCAGATATTTTCAAGGCATGAGGCAACAGCCCTCACACATTGCTTGCCTATTTAGCAACTGGTGTCTTCATGATCAGAGGCTGCAGGAGCAGCTGTTGTGGCTCGGTCAGGTCTGAGCTGACTGTGGAAGACTGGGAGACATTTGCACCTGAGATGGTTGTAGAACAATGAGAGGAACCTCCCAGATAACCAGAGCTGGTAGGGCCATTCCCTGGAGCCTCCTGGGCACCTTCCCCTGAGCCTGAAGCTCCAGATGCCTCCCACTGCACATCACCAGGAGGGAGGCTGTAGTACGGAGGGAGTGCCCGTCTTCAGGCCAGAGGGTTGGCCCTCTGAAGTTCTCTCAAGGGAGTGAAGCCTGGAAGAGGGAGGCACAGGCATTAAAGGCCTGGATCTGCTCTCAAGCTTTGTGTAAGCAAGCTGCTCATTTGGAGCTGTCCATGGTCTTCCAGCCTTGGTGCTTTTCCTTTCGGTTTCAGTGTCAGACCAGAACATGACAGGTGTTCAGATACCTTGCCTAGAGACATGAAGGTTCCATATAGGCACCACAGCTAGCGGCCTTTGATAAACCCATTCTTCATGAATTTGTCACATTCCCTATTGAAAGGGGAAAAGCTCGACAAGAGGAGCGTTACGGAACACCACTTAGGTTTCCAGCTTTTCTTTTCATTAACATCATAAGCAGAGGAGCAATCCAAGTTGCTGTTTTACTGGTGAGTTGTCCTTCCTGTGCTTACTCTGGTTTGTCCTTCAGAAAAGCTTCATGCTGAGAATCTCCATGGTCACAGCTTAGATTTAATCCATAGTGATGTGCTGGGTTCCCAAGTGCGGCAATTACCAGCTGTCTCCAGTTTCAGATGTGGCCTTGCTGTGTTTGTTGCGCTGGTTCTTTTTGCTCCTGGGTGGAGAGGTGTTTAGCACAAGAGAAGGAGCAGTGTCTTGGGATGCTAGGCGCATTTACTCAGAGGCAAGTCTCACTGAGGTGGCCAACTGGTGTTTGCCCTGCTTCTATCCAAACTCCATGTGGGGCTCATATGCTCGAAAGGTTGCTGCATAACAAAAATAAAACCCTACATGTAGAAAACTAGGAGAAGTGGCTAGTCTCCAAACCCTGAGTCACTAGCTTGTTAAGTGCAGGGAACATGTGTGGTGTTACAGAGGAGCATCATGTGAGCCCTCACATAAAGTGGGAAACTCAGACACATATTGCCCACCTCACTGAGAACTAGGAGCTTAGTTCAATGGAGCATAGTGCCGTGTACAGTCATAAATCGGGTTACAGCCACTTCAGGTTGCGGTTTTTTTGGGTTATGGACCACCGAAACCGGAAGTACCGGAATGGGTTACTTCTGGGTTTCAGTGGTTGCACATGCGTAGAAGTGCTAAATCTCTCTTTGCTCATGTACAGAAGCACCGAATCGCAACCCGCTCGTGCACAGACGCGGGTTGCGAATCCTGCGGGTTGCGAATGTGCATCCCACATGGAGCACGTTCGCAACCCAAGCATCCACTGTAGATGTGTGGTTTGGCCTTGTGTGGACTTGATCTTGTATGTTTTTTTCCAGAATTCAGATTGCCTCAGTAGAGGATTTGGGAGTCTTTGGGTGGATTTTTTTCTCTCTAACCTGTGGAGAAACAGAGTGGATGAAAGGACTTTTCTCTAGAGAGGGGTAAAGGGGGCTGTGAACTCATGGCTTTAGGGAAAGCAAGAAGAGACAGCATGAGTGGTTACTGGTGCCTTTGGTGTGGGAGGAAACTAGCTTCTCTCTCTCTCTCTCTCTCTCTCTCTCTCTCTCTCTCTCTCTCTGTGTGTGTGTGTGTGTGTAAGAAAAGGAGAATCACACAATAGAGAAAAATCATGCAGGCTTCTTGAGAGGCCCCTCTCTTTAAAAGCAGCCTTGGGCGACAGTGAAAGTGAAGGCCACTTAGTCTCCCAGAACAAACAGTGGTGAACAAAGGAGGCTGTGTGCTAATGGGTCTTTCTCAGCCAAGCTGGACTGCAACAAGCCCAGCAGCTGCAAGTGGAACCCAGGTAATGTGGTTGCATTTGCATAACCTCAGGGTGAGCTGCAAACCCTAATGGACTGTACATGACCTTACCTTGATGGATTCCCTTGTGGGGTGGGGGCAGAAGCCCTGTCCACCTCAAGCGGCGCATCATGCAGGAAGAAGGAAGCCCATACTTAAAACTATGGAACTCACTCCCAGATGATGTGGTGACAGGCACCAACTTGAATGACATTAGAAGAGGATTGGACAAATCCATGTTGATAACTACTAGGCACATTGGCCAAACTGTTCCTCCGCAGTCAGACAGTATGCTGGGAATTGCTATTAGGGAAGAGTGCTGTTGCACTCATGTCCTGCACCCCAGAGGCATCTGGTTGGCCACTGTGAGAGCAGTATAGGAACATAACAGGCTGCCTTGGTCCATCTAGCTCAGCATTTTCTATGCTGACTGGCAGTGCCTCTCCAGGATTTCATAGAGGGTCCACTCCCACTCCTTTCTGGAGATGCCAGGGATTGAATATGGGATGTTCTGCATGCAAAGCAGATGCTTTACCACTGAGGTATGCGCCTTCCCCAAATGGACCCTGCTAGGTGGGTCTTTGGCCTAATCCAGCTGGAGTCTTCATACATTCTGTCCACCTTGTACAGAATCCTACTCCCAACAGCTGTGCACAAGAACCCCTGTTTGAAGTCTATGATCTAATAATAATAATAATAATAATAATAATAATAATAATAATATTTTTTTATTTATACCCCACCCTCCCCAGCCAAGGCCGGGCTCAGAGCGGCTTACAAGCAATAATAAAAACAAGATGAATGATTACAACTTAAAAACAAAAATAAAATACAACATTAAAATAATGGAACATTAAAATATTAAAATGTAGCCTCATCGCAGGAGGAGAAGGAAAAGAAAAAAGAAAGAGAGGGAGGGAGGGAATCAAACTGGCTCCAAGCCAAAGGCCAGGCGGAACAACTCTGTCTTACAGGCCCTGCGGAAAGAAATCAGATCCTGCAGGGCCCTGGTCTCGTGAGGCAGAGCGTTCCACCAGGCCGGAGCCAGAGTTGAAAAGGCCCTGGCTCTGGTTGAAGCCAGTCTAACTTCCTTAGGGCCCGGGACCACTAGGGTGTTGCTATTTATGGACCTTGAGGCTCTCCGTGGGGCATACCGGGAGAGGCGGTCCCGTAGGTACGAGGGTCCTAGGCCGTGAAGGGCTTTAAAGGTCAAAAACAGCACCTTAAATCTGACCCTGTACTCCACCGGGATCCAGTGCAGCTTGAAAAGAACTGGGTGAATATGCTCCCATGGCAGAGACCCCGTGAGGAGCCTTGCTGCAGCATTCTGCACTGCTGGAGTTTCTGGGACAGCTTCAAGGGCAGCCCCACATAGAGCGAATTACAGTAGTCAAGCCTGGAGGTGACAGTCACATGGATCACTGTGGCCAGGTCGGGGCGGGAGAGGTAAGGGACCAACTGCTTGATGCGGCGAAGGTGGAAAAATGTCACCTTGGCTGTTGCTGTAACTTGCGCCTCAATGGAAAGGGAGGTGTCAAGGATTACACCCAAACTCTTAACGGAAGGCAATGGCACTAATTGGGCCCCCACAAGAGAAGGGAGTTGGTCCCTCATCCCCATGCCATCACGACCTAGCCATAGGACCTCTGTCTTCGAAGGATTTAGTTTCAATTGGCTCCCACGAAACCATCCAGCCACAGCTTCCAAGCATCTGGTCAGTGTGTTCGGGGCCGAGTCGGTGTGGCCATCCATCAGCAGTTAGAGCTGAGTGTCATCAGCATATTAGTGACAGCCCAGCCCAAAGCTCCGGATAATCTGGGCAAGGGGGCGCATAAAGATGTTAAAAGCACCGGGAGAGAATTGCGCCCTGCGGCACTCCACACACCAAGGAGTGGCGCGACGACATTTCCCTCCCTAGTGCCACCCTCTGTCCCCGACCAGAGATAAAAGAGCACAACCAGTTACGGGCTATGCCCTGTATCCCCACGTCTGCGAGGCGGTGGTCCAGAAGATCATGATCTTAGTGGATTGTGTGAATGCCCCCTTTGATTGTCTGCTGTGCAATGTTGCCTGACCTGCTGCTCAGGCTGGAGCAACCTTGCCTCCTCTGCATCTTCAATTTTCAGAGGGCTGAGCCCCCTGCTAAGGAATATTGAGGGGGCTGATGACACCTCTGACCCCTAGAGTTGGCATGCCTGATCAGGGGTAGGAAACCTCAAGGCCAGGAGACAAATGTGGCCCTCCAGGCCTCTCTGTCTGCCCCTTGGAACTCTCCACAGTCTCACCCAGTTGCACTCCTCATCAACCCTCCTCAATGCCCTCCTTTGATTGGAGCAGGGGCAGTTGCCCAATCCTCAATTTCCTTGGTCTAACATACCAGCATCTGTTCATTTTTTGCTCTGGGATTAGTAACAGTTTTGGTGAAGAACCCCTGTTTGAAGTCTATGATTGTGTAAATGCCCCCTTTGAGTTCCTCAGCTCTGTGTGAGATGAGTCCTTTATTGCCTTGCTGGCTCTGGAATCAATGCCACCTCTCCATTGGAATGAATGGAACCTTTTCAGACACTACAGTTTGGCTGGAGAGGATAGAAGACACACAAACCCCCCGCAGCTGCGTCACACTTTGCCTGTGGCAAATGGCACGGCCTGATACTGGAATTTCTGTGTCTGCCATCTGTATGGAAGGGGAGGCTGAAGTGTGTGTGTGTGTAGAAGAAGAAGAGAGTGGAATCTATTGTGCAAACTGGTATCGGCCTCGGGAGAAGCCAGCCTTCCTCCAAGTGGTCTCTTCTTCACACACACCAAATTTCATTCGTACAACAAGACTGTGAGGTAGGCTATGCCAAGAGTTGGTGATTAATACAAGCTGTCCCAGAGTGAGGATTTGAATCCAGGTCTTCCTGGCCTTAAATCCAGTCCTCAGCACATTTTCATTCGATCCTTGGCCTAACTTCAAGCAGGTGAGAAGGAGGGGGCTGTGGGAGAGAGGAAGAGGCGTGCCATGCCCACTCTTGCCTTTGGACACGCCCACTGTGAGCAAGCACAGCCACCAGGTAACCTTCAAGGGAATGTAGGCTGCAGCAGAAAGACAGTTCCTCATCTCTACCTTGCCTGCTGCCCTGCAATGGCATTCTAGCACCACTGAAAGTTCCACAATTTCCCCCTTTTATCTACCTAAGTTTCTTGTTCCTGGGATAAGCCTTGGGTTTCTTGCAGGATATCCGAGGAGAGAAAGCAGCAAAAGAGTGTTACAATCAAATTGGGTTGGGAATCTTTTTCACCCTGAGGGCCTCATTCCATTCTAGGCAGCCTTCCCAGGGCCACCAGGGATGGACAGAGCCAGAGGCAAAAACAGACCGAGCAATGAATGTAGGTTTTACCTTTGTTCAGTAGGCTAGTTTCTACGCACAATCATCCTTCTCTATTGCAAGAGCAATTCTCAGAATTCAAGGACACAGCCAGGACATGTGGGGGCGACTCAAGAAGGATGCAAAGCAAGGCCACTGAAGGGGGTGGACTGGGGAGATTTCTGAGGGCCACACAGAGTGGCCTGAGAGTCCATGCCAGGGGTCAGCAAACGTTTTCCGCAGGGGGGGCCGGTCCACTGTCCCTCACACCTTGTGGGGGCGGACGGACTATATTTTGAAGGGGGGAATCCCCCCCAACGACTCTCCCCTCCCTTCTCCACAGCACTGGACAAGCCCCGGTGGCTGCTTACCTGTGCCTTGTGAGTGGCAGGGGCTGGCAGTGGCAGCGGAGGGACGGTGAGTGGCACGAAAGGGCTGGCTCAGAGAGGGGCTGCTCTGCTTTAAATGGCGCTCAGCCAACTGTGGCTCCTGTGCCTTGCGAGTAGCAGGGGCTGGCGGTGGTGGTGGAGGAGGGGCGATGAGTGGCGCAAAAGAGCTGGCTCTGGAGAGGGGCTGCTTAAAATGGCGCTCAGCCAACCATGGCTCAACAAAGCCCAGCCCCCTTCCTCCTCTAGGCAGGGCAGGGAGAAGCCAGGAGGAGGGAGGGAGGAGGCGCTGCCGCAGTGGGGGGGGGGGGAAATGGCACAGCCTGAACAATCAGAATCCCCACAGTGATCCACGTGGCGAATCCTGGACCATCTGTGGGCAGGATCCAGAAGGCAATTGGGCCGGATCCGGCCCCTGGGCCTTAGTTTGCCGAACCATGCCCTTGTGCTGGAGTGTCAGGCTAGGGTTCGTGACATTAAGCTCTCCAGCTTGCCAAAAACTGGAAAGCTATTTAGGGACAGTTCCTGGAAAACCAACACTGTCAACCAGTTTTGCTGTTTTCTCTCAGTTCTGTCTCCAGGGACAGCCTGTGTTTGCTGACTGCCATCCCTCGCAAGGAGAGGGCAGTTGGGGCATGTCTTACTGGCCTACAGAAATGTTAACCATTGAATTGAAAAGGCCAAAAAAAAAGGGTTCTTTGAGAAAAATATGAGCCAACTTTCCTGACTACCATTCAAACTCTCTCTTGTCTTAGCCCCCTACAGTCTGGGGACAGGATGTGTGGAAGTGCTGAATGAAACTGCAATGTGACCTACTTTTTTTCCAAGGCTCGTACCACCCGACACCCCTCAGCTCTTTGCAGAAGCAACGATGAAACGGCGCAAGTGAGTCTCACTCCCGCCTTGTTCCCCCCCCCCCGGGAGGTTATTCCACCACGCCACCCTGCATCAATCTGCCTTATCAGTGACTGCGGGAATGTCCAATGCAGCAAGGGATGGCTTTGAAGCACAACACCTCCGCCTGCAGGAGGAGAAGGAGGAAGATGAGCTCAAGAGGCGTGCAGATCCGGACGGAGACCCCAGTGTGGGAAGAAGCAGGCTTGTGGGGAGCCTAGATCGGCAGGGTGTGTCTTCTCCTCAGGGGATGCTGGAGGATGTTGAAGGTCTGGAAGAGCTTAAGAGCAACCAGGAATTTTTGGCAGAACGCAACTGGGAGTCTGACTTGGGTGAACGTCAGGACTTCGAATGTGCAGGGGCAACCAGCCCCGGGACTTCTGCAGACCGACACAGTGAGTAGCACAGGAGATCTGGTTGACCCTTCTCTATGAACATTGGCCAATTGAGTGAAAGTAGATTATGACCAGTAGGAGGCTGGCCTATTAGGGCAAATGGGGCACTGCCCACCACCCTCAGCGAGTCCTCAGCCAGTCTCAACCTGCCTCCCTTCTTACTTACATCCAGTCCAGGGGGTGGTCCTTCCTGCCAACTTCCTCCTCCTCAGTCTGAAGTGATATCCTTTGTAGAACTCAGCAGGGAGGAGGAAGAGAGGGACAAAGCTAGAATTAGTTGACTCCAACTCCCTACAGTCCACTCTATCAGCACCCATGAACACTACGCCACCCGTGTCGCAACACGGGACCAGAGAGGCAGCTGAGTAAGGTTATCAGTGGTTTTGGAACTACAGTGCCCTTTAACTTCCTACTGTTACTAGCAAAACCAGAATGAGAGATGCAAAATGCACATGGTTTTTGCAAATTTGCATAATTTATACAGATGTCATAAACTCAGCTGTGCCTGGCATGGAATTTGTGTGGAGTTTTAATGTTGTGAAATACACACACTGAGGCCAAATGCCAGTTCTCACACTTCTCAGATCTTCTGAATGATGAAGCTGGGGATGAGATAGTTGTTTACCACATGGCACATAATGTGGAGAAAATGAACAGAGGGTTTTTTTGTTTTCTTCCATACTGCTAGAACTCTGGCTTATTGGATTCGGGACAGACAAAAAGATGGGCACATAATACATTATTCAGTTATGGAACTCCCTGTCACAAATGTGGTGATGGCAGTCTGGTTCAGATGGTTTTGAAATTAGGTGCTTTCATGTATGCCAGATCTGTCAGTGTCAATGGGGCACAAAAGGTAAATTGAACCTTCATGTTCAGGGGTAGTATACTTCTGAATGCCACTTTCTAGGAGCAGCAGGGAGGATGGCTGCATACATTACTCTCCCCTTTTCCATTTTATCTCCACAACAACCCTGTGAGGTAGGTTAGGCTGAGCAACAGTGACTGGCTCAAGTTTCTGCAGAGTCAGCAAGAGGGTGTGGGGTGGGGTGAATTAATTATGCCAGTGGGTGTGCTCTAGGTAGGACTAACATTGAATACAACCCTTATGTTTGATGAGGAAAGGATCTAAAGGCCTTCCTGAAATTTTGGTAAAGTCGTGAGGTCTTAAATGGAATTACTCTGAGCTCCTGGAAGGGGTCTGGGACTTTTAATCTAATTTAGTATTTTAATGCCTGCCTTCTGCATTAAGCTACATGATCAAAAGTGGGATATATTTAAGCATTCTCTTCTTCCTTCCCCACAGAACATCTAGAGGACAATAGAAGCCCCAATGATCAAGGTCCGATTTCCTACTGGCATCCACAGAGAGACCAACTTTTGGGTGCCCCAGAAGATGACCAGGATCCAGGCAGCTCCCAAGATCTGGAGAAACAAGCAGGGGAGTTGGATGCTAGCAGTGAGGGAGAGACCTACCCAGAGCTCTCATATGAGGTCCAGTATGGCTCAGAGTATAGCACCAGTCCTGAGGCACTGAGAGACCCACAGGCCTCGTACAAGAGCAGCAAATCCTACAGTTTTATCTCAGAAGGTGGAGAAGAGTTTTCTGATAACTCCAACCTTAGTGCCTCTCCTTCCAGGCCTCCTTTGGAATGCACCCTCTTGAAAACAGATGCCTATGAGCTTGGCAAGACTCAGAAGTTTCCAGAGGAAATGGCACTTACTTCCCTATCAAGGAGAAGTCCTCGTGGCAGCTCTTTTGGGGGTTCCATGGGCAGCAGTCATAGCCCCTCGTTTGTAGACCATGTTCCAAATTTTTCCAGCATTGAGGCTGAGACCTTACCAGAATCCTCCTTTATAGAGAACCTGGGCCACCCTAAGGAAGGTGTTGACAAGGTGGTTGCCACTGCTGGCAGAGCCAGAACAACTCAGTGTTTTCCTTTAGCCCCTGTTAAACCGAAGGAGAAGCTTCTGGAACCAAGCGGGGCAATGGAAACATCTCACACCCTGAGGCAAGTTGGCTACCAGCAGCTGGGAAAGGTGTGGAAGCTGAAAACAGATGTTCCTCATGGACTGCCATCCAAATTCAAAATGCAGTCCAGGTCCCTGAGCCCACAGGGGAGAGCTGCCTGGAAAAGGGCAGGAGAGTCCAGTTTGAGCAAGTCTGTTCAAGAAAGTAGTCCAGTAAACCTGGCAACAACTGACACTTTGCAGTATGGCCGAGGGCAGCTCAACTACCCGCTTCCAGATCTGTCCAAAGTGGAGCCTCGAGTGAAGTTTCCAAAGAACGCACAAAGCTACCATCCACCCCGGGGGAAGACCCCCCCAGCGAGGACCAATGAATCTGGGAAGCCAGTGGTCTTCAAGTCTCCTGCTGAGATTGTCCGCGAGGTGCTGCTGAGCAGTGGGGAAGGGTCTGTGCAGAAATGTCAAGACCCCACCATTTCTGTCATTCCCGAAGAACTCAAATCCCCAAGACAAGCTACAGTGCTGGTGCATCAACTTCAGGTAATAGCTTCAGTGTCTATTGTGAAAGTTCTGAAGCCACACATCGACTTACTTCTTATTCAGGCAGATGGCCTGTGTCTGAGCTTGTATCCCTTAAGAATGTAAGAAGAGCCCTGGATCAGGTCAAAGGGAGCCCATCTAGTCCAACACCCTGTTCTCACAGTGGCCAGCCAGATACCCCAATGGGGAGCCCACAAGCAGGAGCTGAACACAACAGTGTTCTCCCAAACTGTAATTTCCAGGAACTGGCAGGTATTCAGAGAAAGACTGCCTCTGACCATAGATGTAGAACATAGCCATTGGGATAATTTCAAATTGTTTGACACCCCCCTCCATTTTCTTAGCTACTTGCTGTCCAGTCATGGAATTTGCATGGGTTGCAACCAATGTTAGAGTAGATATATTGATAGTCTTGTCCTCTATGAATTTGGCTAATCCTCCTTTAAAGTCATTCAAGTTAGTGGTCATCACTACATCTTCCAGAATCAAATTCCATAGAGTTGTATCCAACTAAGTATCACTCAGAGCCCCAAGAAGCCAGAAGAATTCTTGTTAGCTGTAAGGGGACAGGAAATCCCAGATAAAGTAAAAAAAACACCTCTTCCTTTACGCAACAGCTACAGGAAGGGTACTACATACTACGTACACACTAAAATGTGGAAGGAGAGGAAAATTCCGCCCAAAGACCAGTGGTTGCTTAAACTAATAGAATATGTAAAATCAGCCGTGATGATGACCAAAATAAGGGGGAAACAGTATTGAGCAAGTGGGAACAACTTTAAAAAGAAACTGTGTAAATATAAATTTACAAGTAGGGTTAAACATTTTAACACCGGTAAACATAACAAAGAGTGAAAGATAGAGAAGGGAAGAATTGGAAAACTTTAAGAGTTGTAGAAAACCAAAGTGATTGGGTTGGTTAGGGTGTCAAGGGAAAATAGGTTGGGAAGTCCAGGCAAGAAGGGCTAGGAGATGATGTATGTAACTGGGATAACTATAACTGATCGTTATTTGCACAATTTTTTAAAAAAAGTTTCACTCAGAGTAACTCAGTCATGTACACTAATTTCAATATACCTACTCTAACACTGGATGCATCCAATGCAAATTCCATGACTGGATAGGTAAAGGTAAAGGGACCCCTCACCATTAGGTCCAGTCATTACCGACTCTGGGGTTGCGACACTCATCTCACTTTATTGGCCGAGGGAGCCGGCATGCAGCTTCTGTGTCATGTAGCCAGCATGACTAAGCCGCTTCTGGTGAAACCAGAGCAGCGCACAGAAACGCCATTTACCTTCCCGCCGGAGCGGTACCTATTTATCTACTTGCACTATTGTGCTTTTGAACTGCTAGGTTGGCAGGAGCAGGGACCGAGCAACGGGAGCTCAACCCATTGTGGGGATTCGAACCCACCCGCGTCTGTGGAGGGGGGTGTCAAACAGTTTGAAATTATTGAGTGATTGTCTATACAGAACTCATCACACCTATACAACCAACATGTGGGGAGAGGAGTGGGTGAACACTGTTCTCCATGAAATGCTAGTTTTCTTTGCATGGGGATCTTTTTTTTTTTTTTAATTATATGAAAGAGCATTTAGGAATGCAGGCCATCTGTCATCTGGCATGGTACAGTATTAGACATTAGTTCACCACCACAGGAAGAGCTAGGCCATGCCATGGGTAACTGAAAATAAAGGAGCCCTAGGATCTGTAAAACTACCATCTTGCCAATCCTGTCCCAACAAAAAGGGAATGCTGCAGAAATGATGCAACATGTGCCAGTTTGCATTTCTTTGACATGATTTCTTTTCCTTTTTTTGTGGGGCGGACGAAGGAGTTATGAGCATTCATCAGACTGTGCTGTGAACATCGCTTCCAACACAGTTCTATGGTTCTTATATTATTAACTGTTAACCAGTCAGCCTGGGCTCCTGTCATTGGGGTTGACTGGAACTCTAAAATATGAACCTAACAGATGCCAAATGCCTTTCTTCTTTTTTTAGGAGGACTACCACAAACTGCTGACAAAGTATGCTGAAGCTGAGAACACCATTGACCGGCTACGGCTGGGTGCAAAGGTAGGATGTCTCCAGCTTGTTTGAGGACCTAGCACTGTCCTTCATCCAACTGTATTCTGTCATGCTAGATTTCTGTGTGTAGGACAGGAATGGGGAACTGGATCTGGTGAGCGGGCTGGATTCTTACCTCTCAACTGCCTCCCTCTCCCACTGCAGTGGAGACTGGCCTATTAGGGAGAATGAAGCACTGCCCCACCAACCTCAGTCTGCTCTCAGCCATCCTCCACCTGCCTGCCTTCTTAGATACCACCACTCATGGGGATGGCACTGAATGTCAGGTTCCTCCTCCTCCATCTTGGTGTTGACCTTTGTAGAGCTCAGCAGGGAGCCTAGAATCAGTCAGCTCCACCTCTCATTTGCTCTGGCTCATCTCACCTCTGACTCCACCTGCCATTGGTCTCCCCACACTGTTGTTCTCCCTGCCTTCCACCCTACCAGAACTAATGGGCACCACCTTCCACTGCCCTGTGGGCCAAATCTGGAAGGTGATGGGGCCACTTACCCATCAATCACCTGGCATGACAATGACATCAGGTGTCCCATTTTCCTTTGCCCGCACAGTTTGGCATTAAACAATGCAGGCAAAGGTACAGCAATTTATAAGTTCCTGCGATCACAGTGGTGCCTGCAAACCCCACTTTTTAACCCAGCTGCTGATTAGGCAGATGGTGCACTGATGATCAGCAATTTGGATGGCTTCAAAAGAGGATTAGACAAGTTCATGGATGATAAAGCTAGCAGTGGTTCCTAGCCACAATGACTGTGCTCTGCCACCACTGTTGGAGACAGTAGACCTCTGAATACCAGTTGCTTAGAATCACGTGAGGAGGGCTGTGACACTCAGGCCCTGCTTGCAGGTTTTGCACAGGCATATGTCTGTGGAAGGACAGATCGTGAAGCTGAGGCTCCAATACTTTGGTCACCTCATGAGAAGAGAAGACTCCCTAGAAAAGACCTTGATGTTGGGAAAGATGGAGGGCACAAGGAGAAGGGGACGACAGAGGACGAGATGGTTGGACAGTGTTCTCGAAGCTGCCAACATGAGTTTGACCAAACTGCAGGAGGCAGTGGAAGACAGAAGTGTCTGGCGTGCTCTGGTCCATGGGGTCACCAAGAGTCGGACACGACTGAATGACTAAACAACCACAACAACATGTCTGGCCATTGTGAGCACAGGATCCTGGACTAGATGGGCCACAGGCCTGATCTAGCAACCAGGCTCTTCTAGCAAGGCCCCCTCCCCACTTTATGAAGGAGAGAGTCTGTTTAAAGAAGAGAATGGGAATCATTATGTTTTGTTTTTTGACATATACCCCGCCCCCACACAAGCACTTTTAGTTCCAGGTTCCTGTTTGAGTCAGTGAGTCAGGCAGCCTGGCCTCTGCTTGAGCAGGAATGTGAGAATACGAGAACGTGCCTAAAAGATGAGCAGCTCAGGGTTGCAACAGGTTTTCCCCCACCCACCCCTTTCCTGTATCTTAAGAGCTGCGTCTTTTCAAACCACAGCCCAGCAGAAGCAACCACCATGGCAGCTACTCAGAAAGAGGAAGGAAGATGTGGGACATTAATTAAAAGAAGTCTTAAGAACATGAATGGCTTTAAAATAGGGTTGGAGAAATTCAAGTCTTATCAGTGGCTGGTCACCATGATGGTTGTGCTTGTGCCTCCATGGTTAGTTGCTAGAAATCACAGGAGGGGAGAGTGCTGCTGTGCAGGTTTCCCACAGTCATATGAACGGCCACTGTGAAAACAGGATGCTGAACTAGATGACCCTTGGCCTGATCCAGCGGGCTCTTGTATTATTATGCTATGTTCTTAACAAAAGAAATATATCTGCTGGGTCACGTCAATGGATGATATAATCAGCATTCTGCTTCCAGAAGTGGTTAGCCCAGTGTTGAGAAGGCCACTGGCAGGGCAACTCTCCTTTCTAGTTGTCGTTGTTTTGTCTTTGATACTCTGGGTAAAGCACTACAGAATTTGGAGGCTCTGTTTGGCTTTCATGCAGAAAACTGGTTAGGGATAAGGGATAAAATTGTTTGGCTTGCATTATCTTATCTTAATTTGACCTTCCCAAATCAACATGCAAAGGTATTATTGTGGCTATCTTTCAAACTTCTCACTCCTCCAAATTTTGCAATGCAATTCCCCAGCTAAAAAGTGCATGCGGAAAGAGGGAAGTGTGTTCACCAATGCCTTTATTAGTCAAAATGACAAACAAGTGTGCATTCTATATGGAGAAATTGCTTGCAGAAAATGTGTATGAGGCAAAATTGCATCCAAAAATATGTAAAATAGATGCATTTATTACCCTGATCTCTAAGCAAGATAGTGACTTAACAAAGACTAAAAATTACAGATTTCTTTATTGAACTATGATTATAAACTATTTGCTACAATTTTAGCTAACAGACTAAAAAGGACATTGATTGAGTCAGTCCACAGAGACCAAGCTGGTTTTTTTATCAGGCCATCAAATGAAGGACAAAATAAGAAACGTAATTAATCTAATAGAGCATTTGGAAGTAAGAAATGAAAAGCAGACCACACTAATCTTTTTAGATGCAGAGAAAGCCTTTGATAATATTTCATGGTCATTCATGATTAAGGTATTAGAGAAAATGGAATAGGTAATCCTTTCCTTTCTGTTGGGGATAATTAAGACTGAAATCTCCAGGTGTCGGAAAAGGTTATTTATGTATGCAACAACAGTGGCTTGTGTTTTGTTAGCCCCAAAATGGAAAATGAGCGAGGTCACAACCAAAGAAGATTGGCAACTTGCAGACTTAACATATAGAATAAGAGAACAAGAAGAACATACATTTAAAGAAGATTGGAAAACATTTATTAAATATATGGAAAATAATTGTGTACCATTGAAAACACTGGCAGTATTAATATAAATTCAACAGTGTAAATAAGTTTTGATGGATGTGATAATAGAAGACCGATTGGTATACCGTAGTTTTTGTAAAATATACAGGGATATAAGATATGCAAAATGAACCATGGAAAGAGAAGAAGGGAAGTCACTGACATCTTAAGTATGTAAAATATTTATCGGAAATTGTAAAATAGACAATTCAATAAAAATCATATTGAAAACCAACACCCCCCCCAACACGTAAAATAGGAGAAATTGGAAAGTGTACATATTTGCTTTTAAATAAATTGCAATAATTGCAAACTGAACTGGAGATGGGGTAAGCTGAAGACTGAAAAATGAGAGAAACTAAAACTGACAGACATGTCCATTCCTGTTGCTGATAGCTGTTGATGGATCTAACATCTCCATGAATTTAACAAATCCCTTTTAAAACCTCTTCCGAAAGTAACTGCCATCAGTATTCTGGCTCAGATGTAGAGGACACCACCAGTAAATTCTCACCCAGCCTTGTGGCTCAGTATACAGGGGCATTTAGACAAATAGTGAAGCTTATAGTGAGTCAGACCATTGGTCCAGCTATCTCAGTGCTGCCTACACTGACTGGCAGCAGCTCTCCAGGGTTTCAGACAGAGAGCTTCTCCCTCCTCTACCTGGAGGTACAGGAGATTGATGTTGGGACCTTCTGCATGCACAGCAGATGCTCTACCACTGTGTTACAGTCTCTCCCTAAAAGGAAAAGGCTTCTTTGGAAACTAGATTATAACTGAATGTGCATGAGAGGTATAGTAGAATGGATTTCCAGGTCTGTGGTTCACAGAGGGGTATGTGGGAGGAGTTTGAGAGAGAGGCATACTGCACAGATGGCAAGGATTAATGAAATCCAGCTTTAGTCCCCGCCAACTGAAAATAAGTGAGCAAGGGTGATGGAGCGAGGAGATAAGGGATTTTCCTCAGCCCCCAGAGCTGTTTGTGAATGGGTAATCAGAAATGAGCTCATATGGCCTTCCTGAGCAATTTTATTTTGACTCTGGCAACATCAGAAGTTGCTTTCTATCAGATAAGGCTATTTGTTTATCTAGCGTGGTATTGTCTAATGGCAATGGCTCTCCAGCTTTTAAGGAAGGGCTGTAGCTCAGGGGAGGGGAGTGGGTAGAACATCTGCATTGTATGTGGAAGGTACCTGGTTCAATCTACAGCATCTTCAGTTAGGGATGTGAAAGACTCTGCTGCCTGAAACCCTGGAGAGCCTTCCAGTCAGTGTAGGCAGTACTGGGCTCAAGCAATGAAGAGCCTGTTTTCCATAGCTTTCTGACTGATCCTTTTTAACTGGAGATGTCACAGATTAAAACGGGGGTCTTCTTCATGTGCTCTAAAAGCAGCGCTACAGTCTGGAATGTACTCTGTACATGTTCAGAGGAACTGTATCAGTCCTTCAAATAACCACTGGCATTTAAATAGAGAAAGCCACCCCACACCTGATTTCCACCTCTTGATTAAGTCAGGGCAATGGACATCAATGCTATGACCATTCATTGTCCAGCCTTGGTAGGCAAAGTGAGTCCCAGGGCCTGAAGGTACTTCATGGGGAAGAGGCCATCTGCAGTTCAGGTGGAGCTCCATGCAGATCTAGCACCTCTTCATAGCTCTTCCCCTATGACTCCCCTCCTTACCCTCCTCACCCTTCCCAGCACCCCTGTGTTTCAAAATCATATTTGGATTGAATAACCCCATGGATTTCTTCTTCCTCTCAGGTGCGGCTGTACTATGACCATTCAAAACCCAGCCATGGGGTCCAAATGGGGACTGTGGCTCAGGCCTCCAAGGTCGTAACCATCAGCATCCCTCAGGCCAGGACAGCTGAGGTCACAGGGAGCTCTAGCTCAGCACCGAATACTACTTGGAATGAAGGTAAGGTCTGAGAAATCTGTGCACCATCCTTTGGAAGAAATAACATTTGTAGAAAGTTCACTTTGGGACAAACAGTAAGGTCTGGATGAATATTGGCTAGATCTCTGGTGCTGGTAGCTAAATATGGTCCCATCCCCCCAAGCCCAGCCTCTGTCCCAAACTACAATCATTTGATGAACTTGCTTAGATCAGTGGTGAGTAATGTAAAGGTAAAGGATCCCTGGACAGTTAAGTCCAGTCAAAGATGACTATGGGGGTGTGACGTTCATCTCACTTCAGACCGAGAGAGCTGGTGTTTGTCCACAGCTTTCCGGGTCATGCGGCCAGCATGACTAAACTGCTTCTGGCACAATGGAACACCATGACAGAAGCCAGAGTGCTCGGAAACACCATTTACCTTCCTGCCGCAGCGGTACCTATTTATCTACTTGCACTGTTATGCTTTAGAACTGCTAGGTAGGCAGGAGCAGGGACAGAGCAATGGGTGCGTTCCAACGGCTCTCTAAGTCGTTGTTAGATTCCAGTTCCTAACAGCCCCAGCAAGAAGGGCAAGCATTTGGGATGAAGGGAGTTTTAGCCCAACAGTATATAGAAAGCATCATGTTGATTACCCCTGCTCTACCTTAGCTGAGCCAGCAGAATAGCAGGCCCTTGAAACTGAGGTGTGCAAGGCCCAAGCTCCAGGTTCCTGATATGGTTCTAAGAACTATCCCTGGCCACATCCCTCACCTGATCTGTGCCTTCCTTGAGTGTTTTTGTCTGGCTGGAATGTGTTCTTCAACCCTGATAGTGCTTTTTGGGTAGAGGATAGTGGTGGAGGTCTATGAGTGTGCATAGAAACTAGCCTACCACACAAAGGTAATTTTACTGTTTACTAACACACACTATTCCACCCACTTTTGCCTCTGACCCCACCTATCACTAGTATGTGGCCCCCATAAGGTGGTCCAGAAGGGAATGTGGCCCTCAGGTTCAAAAAGATTCCTCATCCCTGCCTTAGATGCCCAAGCAGTTCTATGTACCTTGGGATCCTTCCTATATTTTATCTTGGCTGGTTTTTTGTTGCTTTCTAACTAGCCCTGAAGACCATCTCCTATCTCAATATGTCAGTTCCTATAGACTACTAATAAATTCATTCTTGTGAGTGTGGATCCTGGTGTAGCCAAAACACAAGATGAGATTAGAGTGAGGTTTTGGTGTAGCCAAAACACAAGAGTGAGGTTAGTAGCAGTCTTACGGGAACTCCAAGCTTTGCAGAAGTGCACAAAGGAGAACAAACTTTATTCAAATAAGAAAAGGGGGGTGCACACCCAACAGTGCAATAAGAAGTGAGCATGCTCAGTATCCACAAAATGTCGACTGAATTGTGTGGGTGGGAGAAATATAAAAGCAGGAAAGAAAGTAATGGATTGGAGTAGTCTGGAAGAGAACATGGCTAGCTAGACTGTCTCCTCCATGCCTTCCCCATTCCTTAAGCAGTTCTGATGGGTAAGATCTTGCTAGATTCGTTTATCTCAATGCATAAAAGTTTTTGTCTCCTTAAATTGCAGGATTTTCTGGCCCTCAAGCAGCCTCCTTTCCTCTTCCCAACTCCATGGGTTTGGGCAATCCAGCAGCAGATGGTGCCACCGCCACATCAATACCTTTTTCAGGAGATCACTTGACACACCTGTTGGCTTCCCAAGCTAGCAAATTCCAGACTCAGGCAAGTTCACAGCTTAGAGCCAGCAAACTGTTTTGAAGTGCATGTCTGTGTGTGACTATTTGCTTCCCTCTGAATCTTTGTGCAAGCAATGCACACAATTCAGTACTATTTTTCTAGAAAAAGAGGTGACGGAACTCACCATGAACGCCTCTCTTATAGTGGCAATGGCACCCACCTAAGAGGAGCCGGAACTGAGTTCCGACAAGTTCCAGCTGAAATAACCCTGCACACACCCATCCAATTCAGTGTTTTAGAACTGTAGCCTCTCTTAAATAACAGTCCCCTTTAGCTACTGTTGCAAAACTGATATGCACACACACTCTCAGTTTCATCTGCTCACCATCCATGAATAACAACAGAATCCCACTTAAGAGAGGGAGGAGAGTTGGATTCTTAGTGTGGCATTGGTTTGTTGTGCTTGTTTGGTTGCTAATTGGTGATGGGATCCAATTAGCCTTGTTTCTTTAGTTAGCACAGTTGATGACATGTAAAAGGAAGGGAGAAAGTGAGTGCTGTTAGGGAATAATGAGCTTACTACTGGTGTTGTTATGAGTTGGGAAGGTGTCTTCACAGGTTGTTTTTCACCCAGTTTGTTGGTGCCAGGACCAGCTGGTGGTTTTTGCACTTTGTAAGGTAAAGGTAAAGGGACCCCTGACCATTAGGTCCAGTCATGACCGACTCTGGGGTTGCGGCGCTCATCTCGCTTTATTGGCCGAGAGAGCCGGCGTACAGCTTCCAGGTCATGTGGCCAGCAGGACTAAGCTGCTTCTGGCGAACCAGAGCAGCACACAGAAATGCCATTTGCACTTTGTAGGGCTGTGCAATAAATCACCATATCGTTGAATACGGTATTGAAATAACATAGTGGTAAGTGTTTCAACAAGGCAATATACCAGTGAACAAAAGGTGGAGATTCAACAGCTTCCCAAGGAGTAGCTCAGCTGAACCGTACTTTACAGATACTTTGCAAATATTTTGCAGGCATGGTGTCTCCAGCTTTGTTTGCTCTTTCCCTCCTCCCTTCTAACCCATAATAAATTAAGATATGCCCTCACACAAACCAGCAAACTCTGTCAGCTTTACTGGTATCTTTCCACTTAGAGCTCAGCTAATTATGCAGAACCTGCTAACTATTAAAAACAAAGCATATTAATGCACTTCAGTTGCACAAACATACATTTCAGTTTGCAACTGAATCCTCACGAAATACTAACTGTATGGAGGTGACTTTATGTTTTCACCTAGAGCAGGGGTCAGCAGACCTTTTCAGCAGGGGGCCAGTCCCCTGTCCCTCAGACCTTTGGGGGGGGCAGACTATATTTTTTTGGGGGGGGGGATGATGCAAGAGCCCCACAAGCCCCACTGGCTGCTTACAAGCGGCAGGGGTTGGCCACGGCAGAGGGATGATGAGTGGTGCGTGAAAGGGCTCTGGAGAGGGGCTGCTTAAAATAGCGGCTGCTCGAGTGCTGCTGCTGACACCGACAAAGCCCAGCCCCCTTCCTCTTCTAGGTAGGGCGGGAAGAAGCCAGGAGGAGGGAGGGAGATGATGTGAGGGAAAGGGAAAGAACGTGTGCGCTGGCGATCCACACAGCGATACCCAGACCGTCCACGGGCCGGATCCAGAAGGCAATTGGGCCTGATCTGGCCCGCAGGCCTTAGTTTGCCTACCCATGACCTAGAGGCTTTGGGGAACAGGCCTAAGTATGGCACAGGTACTGGAGGAGATTAAGCTGATTAAGGAAGGTGGGGGAATCACCCAAATGGAGATTGTGTAGCAAAAGAACAGTGCCAGCCCACCTCAAGGTATTATTTCTGGTTCTTAAGCAGGACATGATGAAATGTTCTGAATGCTCTTATTTAGGTGGAAAACTTGGAGGAGCTAATTCGAACAAGGAAGTTGCCACTTCAAGACCAGCTAAAGGTACCACAATCATTTTCTTGAATTAATGTTGCATCTTCTTCTTTTTTTAATGAGATTTGTATTAAAGTCTTTCATAATACGTAAAATAGTGGTTACCAAAAAACAAATAGAATAAGTGGAATACAGAGTCCTTTCTTAGTAGGTCATTCTTAGCCCTTACCACCCATAGAGCACAGTAGCTCCTCCCAGCTCTCACCTGGGATCTTTTCTTTCTCTTCCCAGCCTCTCACCCTGGGAGACTGACATTTCCCTGTTTCTCACCCAGGGTCCTCCAACAACCATTTACCACCCCCATGAGTGTACAGTCTATGGACCTTAATAAAAGTCCCTGACATGGGACTTCAAAGAGAACCAACAAAAGAAAGAAAAGGAACAATAAGAAGAAAGAAGAGAGAAGGAGATCAATAAAATAAAAAAGACAAACAAACAAAAGAAAAAGAAAAATTAGAGAAAGATTTTAAAAACTTCTGATTTTCCATCTGCCGCTTACATAAAAAAAGAAAAATATATATGATTATTTAAGACATTCAGTTCATGCCTACACCCATCTTCTTCACCTTGAAATTGCAGAAATGGTAACAAGTTGGGTGCAATATGATCAGCTTAATGAGGCATTCAAATTGAATAAGAGGAATGGTTTTGCGATGCAAACCTCTCAGAAAGATACCTGCTAGACCGGGGTAGTCAACCTTTTTATACCTACCGCCCACTAATGCATCTTTCTTGATTTCCTTACCCTCCACCAGTGCTTGATAGAAGGAGGATTCAGCTTGTGCTGTAGAACCCACTACTGCCCACCTATAATCCTGAAACGCCCTCTAGTGGGCAGTAGGTACCAGGTAGACAACCCCATGCTAGACATTAACAATAAATTACTGTCTAAAATGTGTTTTTGTATTGTAAACCACCCTGTGATCTTCAGATGAAGGGTGGTACATGAGTGGTGGTGGTGATGTAAATAAATAAATTTCCAGGGTGCTGAGAGCTGTTAGGAGACCCCTATTTCCTTCACAAAGCTACACTTTCAAGAGTGGTTTAACAATTCCACTTTGCAGGAAACTTTGGAAAGTGTAGCTCTCTGAGTGGCATAAGGTGTCTTTCAGGAGAGCAACGTCTGTCTGAAAGCTTCATCCTGGGAGAATGCCTGAAATAATTTACTACAAGGTGATTTTTGTCGGTTCCATTATCAATGAAACTAGAAACTTACCCGTATTGCTGTATTGCTAGCGTGCCATTTCCCATCATAAGGATACAGTTAGAGTTGACACAGCTGTGGTACTTGGGAGTCAACAAGTCACTCAAAATCCCCTGCCTCTTTCAACCTTGCTTTCCATTGTAGGGGTTTGCAAGACTAAAGGAAGCCCAGGACGCCTTGGAGCAGACATATCTACAGGCTCGAGATGAATACAGGCAGTTGCAGAACCATCAAGAACCTGCGGGGGCGCTAGGAGACTTTGATTCTGATCGGTATGTATATAAAGTGGTACCTTGGTTCTTAAACACCTTGGTACTCAAATGCCTTGGTTCTCAAACGCCAAAAAAGCGGAAGTAAGTGTTCCGGTTTTTCAAACATTTTTTGGAAGCCGAACGTCCAATGTGGCTGTTGGCTATTGTTTCCAGGGCACCTGGACCAATCTGAAGCTGCGCCTTGGTTTTCGGACATTTTGGAAGTCAAACGGACTTCCGGAATGGATTAAGTTTGGCGCTTTTGTTTTTGCTATTTATTTTGCGTTTTTGTTTTTGAGGCTTTTTCGGTTAATTTGTTTTTGTGACTGTGTGGAACCCAGTTCAGCTACTGATTGATTGATTGATTGATTGTGTGACTGTGGAAATGAATAAAAGCTCACCATTCAAACAATAACTATAATCAGTGCAGGTAAGATTTTATATATATATATATCTACAATACTGTTTTATTTATTTTATAGTACAGTACATTGATTATTGCTTTCATTTTATGGATCAATTGTATCGTTAGATAGTAAAATTTATGTTAAATTGCTGTTTTTGGGGTTGTTTTTAAAAGTCTGGAACAGATTACAGTGGTACCTCAGGTTAAAGACACTTCAGGTTACAGATGCTTCAGGTTACAGACTCTGCTAACCCAGAGATAGTGCTTCAGGTTAAGAACTTTGCTTCAGGATGAGAACAGAAATCGTGCTCTGGTGGCACGGCAGCAGCGGGAGGCCCCATTAGCTAAAGTGGTGCTTCAGGTTAAGAACAGTTTCACGTTAAGAACAAACCTCCAGAACGAATTAAGTTCTTAACCTGAGGTACCACTGTAATCCATTTTGCATTACTTTCTATGGGAAAGCATGTCTTGGTTTTGGAACGCTTTGGTTTTGGAATGGACTTCCGGAACGGATTAAGTTTGAGAACCAAGGTACCATTGTATTGCACAAGTTGATTGAGCAAGGATTTCAGGCATGGAGTCTCTCCCAGCCCTACCTGGAGATACTGGGGGTTGAACCTGAGGCCGTCTTCAAACTGTCCTGGGTTGGATAGGAAAAGTGGGAACTAAATATGAGGAGAAGACAGTGTGTTGACAGACTTTTGGATGAGACCCCTTGGGAGCTGTTGCCAGTCAATTTAGATCAGGAGTAGCCAAGGCAGCATCACCCAGAGGTGGTTGTTGGACTACAAGCCCCATCATTTTTGAATATTGGTCATGCTACTGCATGGGGTAGATGGGAGTTGTAGTCCAACAACACTTTGCCTACCCGTGATACAGGAAGTACTAAGCATTATAGAGCAATAGCCTGACTTCTGTACTCCTATTCCCTGAGCTATATTGCTGTTCTAGCTTCTCTCATCTTTGCTAACTCATTTTAACACTTTCCAGAGCCGTGGAAGGACAGATATTCCAACTGGAGATGCGCTTGGAGGAGCTGAAGGAAAGGATTGACCAGGCAATGTGGGACCAGCCAGTTGCACAGAGCAGCGTTGAGGCGCCTGATTCATCTCCTACCTGTTTTCCAGCTCAGGCATCCGAGTCGCAGATGAGGTCGCCGACTCCATCTCTTCAAGCCCCAGTCCCGGCTGTCTGCACTCCATACCCTGAGGTCACATGCAATTACTTCAAGGTTTTCCCAAGCGAGAAATGGCATATCTAAAGGATATTTTGATGGACAGATAGATTTGATTATATTTCTATGCTGCTTTTCATTCAGAGCTATCCCAAAGTGGATTACAAGCAATAGAGCAATAACATGATAGAACATAATAGAATATCACAAACACAGCATAAATCGTATGGAATAATTAACAAATCATCAGTGAAGCAATTAGTCTATAAAACACTGTTAACAAGGCAACAACTAAGAAATAAGCTAAACATCACAATTAAAGTGAAAGTAATATTCGAGATGGGACGTGGGTGGCACTGTGGGTTAAACCACAGAGCCTAGGGCTTGCCGATCAGAAGGCTGACGGTTCGAATCTCCACGACGGGGTGAGCTCCCGTTGCTCGGTCCCTGCTCCTGCCAACCTAGCAGTTCAAAAGCACGTCAAATTGCAAGTAGATAAATAGGTACTCCTCTGGTCGGAAGGTAAACGGCGTTTCTGTGTGCTGCTCTGGTTCGTCAGAAGCAGCTTAGTCATGCTGGCCGCATGACCTGGAAGCTGTACACCGGCTCCCTCGGCCAATAAAGCGATATGAGCGCCGCAACCCCAGAGTCAGTCACGACTGGACCTAATGGTCAGGGGTGCCTTTACCTTACTAATATTCGAGATACAGGAGTGTGTTTAAAGGTTTCTTTGTGCACCAATCTGAAAGTTTTTTTATACCCTGGATTTATTGGTATTACTCTGGAGCCCTTTACAAGACCACATATATTACAAAGCATGAAATGGCTTGTGTCTCCTATCTCGCCTGTGGGACACTGTCTCCAGGCCAGGGCCAGATGACACATGAGGCAGGCTGAGGAAGCTGCCTCAGATGTGGAAGCCCAAGAACAGGCATTCCAACTTGCATAAAATATTGGGGAGGCCCAGGTAAGCCCTGCCTCGCATATTGATCACAAGGCGTGTTGCAAACACACCATTTGAATGTCAGTGCTCATCAACTTGTGGGGGGCAGCCCTTTCAAATCTTTTATTGTGGAATGGGGTCTAAGGGACCTTAGCCACTAGGAGTTGGCTTCTGTGCCCAAGAGACAGCACCCCCACAAGTGCCCCACTCATCATACTGCCTCCACCACTGGTGAAGAAGCAGTGTTGGCTTTTCCGGCAAGATTTCATGTGCTCTATGAGATTTCTCAAGATCTCACCAGAAGCTGCCATGTCTGCTGCTGCTTTATGGGCACCACCATGCAACCCAGGAAAGGGAGATTTTGGTAGGAGTGGGGAAGAGCGGTGGCAGTATGGGGGGGCACCTCCCTGTTTCACCTAAGGTACTAAAAAGGGAAGGGTTGTATTAAGTAGTGGGTGGACATAGCAGACGACCCAGAGATTTCTCCAAGTAGTTCTTTATAAGTAAGCTGAAACTGAACTGAACAGCAAACAGCTCAGCAGCCTGCTTTTATAGGCAGCCGGCTGTCAACAATATAACAACAACAGCCCAGGGTTTCCCACCTAAATTAACTTAGACGGACCTGAGTGAAAACTATATACACAATACCCCCTGGTGGCCAGGGTGAGAACTTCAATAGATAACAGTTTGTCCCTGCATCAGGCCATGCAGTAGGCCATGCTTCCATGGCAGCCATCTAGTGACTGGCGCCCACAGCACTTTCTCAAAATTCAAAATGCACCCACTAGTCCTCCATAAAGGTCACCAACCTCTGTTCTAGACTGACAGTGATTTAAATTGTTCAACATTTTATACCAATTGCCAAATTCTTTTGGAGAGGGGGTGGCTTTGCTTTCATTTGGGCCTTGCTCATGCCTTGACTCTCTGCTCTTCAGGCCCCCTTCCCCACGAATGGCCGCAGCCAAGCCCAGCTGGACATGGAAGTGAACTCCATCAGTGATGAGACTGGAGAAGAGGGAGAAAGCAGCCTTCCGGAACCACTCCGGCACATGCAAGCCAAGGTGGAAAAGGACTTTGATCACCTCCTGGACCAGTAAGTGTATGAGTTTTGTGTATATGGGGTGAATGTCTTTTTGATGTCAGAGAAAGACCTCTCCCCCCAGTCCTTCGATAATCTTTTATAGATTTACAGCCTTTTCACTCTTCAAATAAAAATTATCTCTGCATCATGCTGTTGTTCTAGCATGGTAGAATGTATCCCTTTGGATTTCTGAACAAATTGATCGTTGCTTTGATGTTTTTTTCTCTAGGACCCCATTTTTGCTATACTTTTAAAGCAGTATTCTGCCCCTCCCAATAACTGTGCCCTTCTGCAAAGAATCCTGGGAATTGTAGTTTGTGCTTAAAGTCCTTAGGAGACCCCCGGTCCCCTCAGAGCTACAGTTCCCAGAGTTTCTGGAAAGGGGAATTGGTTGTTAAACTGAGAACTGTAATACTGAGAGGGGGAACAGAGGTCTCCTTAGACCTCTCTGCCCCCTTAACAAACTACAGCTCCCAAGATTCTTTGGCAAAAGCCATGACTGTTTAAAGTGGTAAGGTGCTGTTTTAAATGCGTAGTGCAGATGAAACCTATATCTCTACTTTGAATGGTTGGTTGATAGATTGGGTTGCTTCCAGTGAAGTTCTACTCAGAGTAGACCCATTGAAGTGAATGTGCCTAAGTTAATCATGTCCATCAATTCAAATGGGCCTACTCTTAGTAGGACTGGCAGCGACTAATATTCAGTGTCAGTTCATCTGGTTTCTGAAGGCTGACAGACCCAAGCTTAACCTATTGTCTCTTGTCCCATAGCTACAGCAGCTTCAAATCTTTGCCAGAGGCTCTGAGCTTGGAGCAGCTGCACCTGGACAGACATCACTCACCCCCAGATGAAGCAGATGGTGCAGCTATAACCGATGTTGGGACAAAGGAAGGCTCCCACTGGGTGGTGTCTAAAGCTAGCAAGACCTCTTGCAGGCCTTCAACCTTGCAGTAAGTCATCCAGGAGAAGAAACCACACTTCAGCCATGCCCTAATTATTTCATAGGTCAGGGACCTGTGGCCCTCCAGATGTTGCTGGATTGTGAGGAATATTGCTCATCCCTCAACATTGGCCATGCTTACTGAATCTGATGGGAGTCCACGGCATCAGGAGGGCACCACATCAGCTCTCTTTATCTATCCTGAACTTTCCAGCAATCAGCTTCATCATAGGCATCCAATGAAGCTGAACGGTGGAGTATTCCAGACAGATAAAAGAATAACCTTTACACAGCATGTAGCAATACATTCCCACAGGAGGCAGTGATGGCTGTCAACTTGGATGGCTTTTATTAAGTACAGTGGTACGTCAGGTTAAGAACTTAATTTGTTCTGGAGGTCCATTCTTAACCTGAAACTGTTCTTAACCTGAGGTACCACTTTAGCTAATGGGGCTACCCACCGCATGATTTCTGTTCTCATCCTGAAGCAAAGTTCTTAACCCGAGGTACTATTTCTGGGTTAGCGGAGTCTGTAACCTGAAGCGTCTGTAACCTGAAGCGTCTGTAACCCGAGGTACCACTGTAGTGGGTGGACATAGCAGGCGACCCAGAGATTTCTCCAAGTAGTTCTTTATAAGTAAGCTGGAACTGAACTGAACAGCAAACAGCAAACAGCCCAGCCGGCCTGCTTTTATAGGCAGCCGGCTGTCAACATGGTAAAACAACAGCCCAGGGTTTCCCACCTAAATTAACTTACCTGGACCTGAGTGAAAACTATATACACAATACCCCCTGGTGGCCAGAGTGAGAACTTCAATACATAACAGCTTTACAAGAGGATTAGACAAAGTCATAGAAGACAAAGCTATCAACAGCTACTAGCAATGATGGCCATGTTTTGCTTCCACCGTTGGGGGCAGTATGCCTCTGAATGCAAGTTGCAGGGAATTGCAGGAGAGCAGAATTGCACTCATGTCTTGCTTGTGGGCTTCCCACAGGCTTCTGGTTGGCCACTGGGAGGGCAGGATGCTGGACTAGATGGGCTATTGGCCTGATCCAGCAGGGTCCTTATGTCCTTAACTGCCTCTGGTCTAACCACTCTGCACATTGCCTTGAAAATATTGGTGGGAGACCTTTCACAGACCACCATGATGCCTGCAAACATTCTGGGATGTGACTAAACTTAGAAGCAGGGGGGCTTGCTTTTCCAACAAAGATGCCTTTGCTTTCTCTCCCTCTTTCTTTCCCAGAGTTGGACAAAGGAGCTTTTTATTTTAGGCTATTTTTATTTTCAGTTCTTCCTACTCAATAGGGCTGAGTTGGCAGGGCAGATGCAGGGGCGGGGACTGTGGAAGCAGAAAAAAGAGAAACCGAAGGAAATAGGGGAGTGGGGGAAGGGGACGAATTTGATGGCAAGGAAGTGAATGTGAAGCCTGGAATCACATGGAGTGAAAAGGAAGGGGGAGGGAAATGCGTATGAAATCTCTCTCTCCTTTCCTTTCCTTTCCTTTCCTTTCCTTTCCTTTCCTTTCCTTTCCTTTCCTTTCCTTTCCTTTCCTTTCCTTTCCTTTCCTTTCCTTGCATGTTTGCAGGATGCCCATGGCTGCAGCTTGTAGCTTCCCTACTTATGTAAAACATAGTGCCTGCCTCTATAACCCATGCAAAAAGACAGCTTTGTAATTTGGGCACATGAAAGCACAGATCCTACTTTAGAAGTCTGGGAATGAAGGGCCTTCTTAGTCTCTGGGTTCTGACAGGAACAGACTCTCATAGCCTGGCTTGAAAAGCACTTGCAGCAGGTTTGGATTGCTCCTTCTCTTCCCAGATCCCCAGGTGGGGATTAAAAAAAAAAAAAGTGATGTTGCTAACTCCTAAATGTATGGTGGCTGGGGAGGTTAATCCACCTTCTTCTCCAGGATGAATGTTTAATAAGAAAACCATCTGAACATGCCCTAGGCCAAGGGTTGCAAGTTCTTCATCCCTGACTTAGCAGGTGCCATCTTGAATGTTGGACTTTTCAACAGCCACTGGCATCTTCTGTGTTCCTATTCCCTGAGCTATATTCTTGAAACTGCTGAGAGCTTACCTTGGAAGTAGGGGCAGTCCAGAATGTGAAAGGCTGTTGACAGCAAAGCCTTCGTATGTTACTTTCCCCAGAAGCCTTTATTTGTTTTGTTTCTTTAAAGTGAAGCTGCACCTTTGACCCGATAGCTTTATTCAGAAATCTGTAAAACTAGAATGTGGCCGGAATAGGTCAGACAACCCATAAGCCTCTGCTGAGTCCTCCCTTCTCTCTCTTCCTGCTCCCCCATTTCTAATAGGCAGCCCCAACAGATGGAACCTTCTGAGCAGCTTTTGAGGAAGTCCCAGCAGGAAGTACCTGACCAGACCAGCTGCTCACCATCCATCCAGCAGGAGGAGGAGCCAGTTCCTCAGGGTTCAGTTGAACAAAAATGTCCATTGTCTCCAGTTCCAAAGGCCTCATCATCTAAGAGGCAGCAAAAGCACCTGTCGCCACAGAGCAGCATGGTCAGTGTGGCAGGCAGTGCTGCTTCTGAACACACAGCCAAGAAGTCTCTCCAGAAGACAAACACAGGATTGCCTGAGGTAAGCATTGGTTAGTGGGGAGGGGGCTGTCACAATGGAGCAGTGGGAGAAAACATTTTTCACCACGAGGGCCACCTTCCTTTCTGGGAGCCATGTGCTTTCTGGGAGCCATGTGCCAGGGGGTGGGACCCAGAGTGTGGGAAGAATCTGGGACCTGGTGTCCTCCAAGTTTTATTGAGATTTGACTCCCATCATCACCAGCCAGCAAGCCAAGAGAAATGAGGAGTCCCTGGCCCAATGACCAGGTATGGTGGGAGTGCTACTTCTTAAGAGCAGAGCAGGGGGAAGAACCTGTGGTCCTTCAGACATCGTTGGATTACAGCTCCCATCATCCCTGACCATTGGCCATGCTGGCTGAGGTTCACGGCAGCTGGAGTACAGAAACATATGGAGAGCAACTGGATCCACATTTCTGCTTGGGGGCCAATGAAAGCCCTGAGAAGCAGCTCTCCTCTGCTTGGAGATAGGATTGGAGAAAGAGGTTTGGGACTGGGCAGTGAAACTTGGAGGCTAAAGTAATTTGGGAATGGTTCAACTTGAGTCAAAATTAAATCAATTTTAGGTGCCCCTGTTCTGAATAGAGATGAGAGGGATCTTGCCTGTCCTTCTTGTGACCCATGGAGTGAAACATACAGTCCATATGCCGTGTATTCTAAGCCGAACCTACCTCACAAATTTGCTGAGAGGGTAAATATTGGGGTGGAGATGACCTCAACTTCGTGAAGGAAATACCAAATAAAAATGTTTATATATATCCTTTGTTGCCTCAAAATATGGTTCTTTTTGAGGAAGTTCAGGCAATCATTTAACCGCCTCAAGGATAAGGTATATTTTTCAGCCTGTGGGCCACATTCATTTCTGGGCAGCCTTCCAGGGGCCACATGCCTGTGATTGCCTGAGTTGGTGGCAAATGTGGGTGGAACAAAGGAAGTAAATTTTCCCCTTGTACAGAACACTATTTTATACACACTCACTCACATAACTCTCTCGATTTTCCATTCAGGCAAGCCAGAGGCACTATTAAAATCCAAAAAAATGTCCCAGCCAGGAAAAACACCCAAGAAGGATGCAAATATGGGCCCATCAAGAAGTGGGGTTGGCCTCAGAAGAGTCCTGAGGGCCAAGTAGAAAGGCTCGGAGGACTGCATTCAGCACTTGGACTTGACGTTCCCCACATCTTCTTTTTCCCTCTCTTGCAGAATTTACGCCTTGTTTCCCCTGAGACAGACAGTGGATTTGTGGGATCAGAAGCCAGCAGGGTGTCCCCGTTGGCACAAATGCCAAAGCACTATACATCCAAGTTTAGGTATGAAGCCTCCCTCCCTTCTTTTCTTATGAGTTGTGTTAATTCCCATAATTGTGTCCCTGAGTTGGCAGTGAACAGGAGGAAGTATATAGAAGATACCTGAAGACAAAAAGTGGGTGAAACCAGGAACTGGGTGGGCATCCAGCAATATTCAGATAAAGGAAAGTGTGGTTGGAAGACCTGGAGCATGAAAATGACCAAACTAATTGCAAGCTATTGGAAGTTTTTTTTTTTAATATGTGTTAGGAGATTTGACCTCTTGTATCAGCTTTAGTTTGACTTACAGCAGAATCAGATTGCAATTCTAGACTTGCACACTTGGGAGTAAGACCAGCTGAACCCATTGGGGCTTCCTCTTGAGTAGACATGAATAGCATGGGTGAGGATTCTATGGTCTTGCAGGTATCACTGGACTCCTACCATCATCCTTGATCACTATCATGCTGACTGGGGCTGAAGGAAGTTAGGGTCCAAGGACATTTGGCTCTCCTCCTTTGCACTATTTTTTATTAGTAGTGTTGCTATTATTTCATTGGCTTTTTATCCCATCCTTGCTTAGGAGCCAAGGACAGCTATAGAACATTATAAAATACCCATGTCTTCACAGTCATTAAAACAGCTAAAACTACATCTCTTAAAAGCTGCTTTGTAGAGGAAGTCCCTCAAAAAGAAGGGTACACTTTTAAAAATAGCATCTATTTTGCCTGCAGAATGTCCCAGGTTCAAACCACAGTATTTCTAGATAGGGCTGGGAAAGCTGGGCTAGAAGGACCCAAAGATCTGACTTGGTATAAAACAACTTTGTGTTCCCATTTCTTGTCAAGGTCCCACAGCATGCTGGGAAATTCAACCTCTGTTGATGTAGACTTCGAAGCAGAATCTCTAAGGAAAGCGCCTGTCACATTGGAATCATTGGAAACAGACAGGTCACCCAGGCACACACAATCAGACAATGGGATGCAGAGACAAGGCCTCTCCAAAGGAAGACATTTCCAGCTTAGCTCCCCTACCAGGTGGACCAACAGCATCGCCAGTGAGATGGAGCCAGGCATGGATAGTGGTGAGCTAAAAGCAGTCAATTGCTTTGAACAGGAATGCCAGGTCATGTGCCTGTTCTTATTTGAGGTCTTTCCTAACATCCTGCCCCTCAGTACCTTGCTAGCTGCACTACCCTGAACATTCACTCACATAAAGCTCTAGCACATGCTCACACATGCAGCCCGGCCAGCCTGTACCAGCTTACCTGGATCCCCGAAACACCTTGCAGAGATCAAACAACACCCCTGAATCATGGACCTTTTGCACGGCCTAGTGCTGGGTCAGTTTCAACACGCTGCAACAGGTATTTGTTCTGTGCCATCCTAAGCGCATAGGGATGCAGGTGGCGCTGTGATCTAAACCACAGAGCCTAGGGCTTGCCGATCGGAAGGTCGGCGGTTCGAATCCCCACAACAGGATGAGCTCCCATTGCTCGGTCCCTGCTCCTGCCAACCTAACAGTTCAAAAGCACACCAAAAAGTGCAAGTAGATAAATAGGTACTGCTCCAGCAGGAAGGTAAACGGCGTTTCTGTGCGCTGCTCTGGTTCACCAGAAGCGGCTTGGTCATGCTAGCCACATGACCCGGAAAAACTGTATGCGGACAAACGTCGGCTCCCTTGGCCAGTAAAACAAGATGAGTGCCGCAACCCCAGAGTCGTTCATGACTGGACTTAACTGCCAGGGGTCCTTTACCTTTCTTTTTCTTTTTTTTTAAAATCCTAAGCACTTTCCTCGCTCCCTGCATCCAGTTGTAGGGAAAGAGAGTTTGTCAAGAGTGGTGAGCACTGGAGACTCTGTGATGCACATGTTGGCTGGTAATCAGCTCTTGGAGTCACAGGGGAAGTGCTTCTACAGGTGAAAGTGCCATATCTCAGTGGTACAGCACCTGTCTTGCATGCAGAAGTTCCCAGGTTCATTCCTTAGCATCTCCAGGTAGGGCTGGGAGAGAGACCCATGTATAAAGCCCTGGAGACCTGCTGCCAATCAATATAGGCAATACTTAGCTAGATGGACTAATGATCTGGCTCTGTATAACGCAGTTTCCAAAGTGGAAAGATCCACGATTCATGCATTGCTGTGATTCCTGGATTGCAGAGTTGTTGTTGTTTTATTAAGTTTTTTTTTTTTTTTAATACATTTTTATTAATTTTCATTGATTATACATATATACAGTCTAGATTACATAAGTTGCATATAACATAGCTGTTACAAAAATCATATATATAGTACACAATTATTTATGGGCTCCGCCGAGCCTCAGACTTCCCTTCACTTTATTGATAAGTATCAGATAAGTTCTAAAGTTACATGTTTTATCTCCTTTACATATTTGCCAAACACTGTTAGAGTTATTCTAACCCTGCCAGAGTCCTCAAAGTTCTATACTTATCTCTTATATACGTCAGATATTTATTCCAATTTTCATGAAACTTCTGGTCATCCTGGTCTCTTAGTCTTCCTGTTATTCTAGCTAGTTCAACATAATTTATCATCTTGTTCTGCCAGTCGTCTATAGTAGGTATTAATTCTGTTTTCCAGCTTTGGGCCAACATATTTCTAGCGGCCGTTGTGGCATATAGAAACAGATTTTTATCCTCTTTTTAATTTCCTTGCCAACTATTCCTAGCAGGAAAGCTTCAGGCTTTTTGGGAAAAGTATATTTAAAAATCCTTTTAAGCTCATTGTAGATCAGTTCCCAAAAGCCTTTTACTTTCCTGCATGTCCACCACATGTGGTAGAACTCACCATCTTCCTCTCCACATTTCCAGCACTTCTTATTCTTCAGTTTGTAAATCTTAGCCAATTTCACTGGTGTGAGATACCACCTATGAATCATCTTCCAGAGATTCTCCCTTAATGCCGTACACGCCGTGAATTTCATATTTACATTCCACAATTCCTGCCACTTTACAAAGTCAATGTTGTAACCAATGTCTATGGCCCATTTTATCATAGCCTCCTTCACCTCTTCATCTTTTGTATACCAATCCAGTAAAAGGTCATACATCCTAGATAATGTTTTGTTTTTGCCTTCAATAATTTCTACATTAAATTTAGATTTTTATCTTCAAATCCCAGTTTCTTTTATCATCTTTTAACAGATCATTCACTTGATGGTATTGCAACCATCCCGTAAGTACATTCTTTACCTCCTCATAGGGCTTGAGTTTTATGCCCTGATCAGTTTTATTGATAAGTTCTTCATAGGTGGCTCTTTTCCTTCCATATTAGTTTTTTAACAGTTAAGACATCAATTGGTGAGATCCACCATGGAGTTTTCTTTTCCAGCAAGTTCTTATTTCTTTCCCATACTTGAAATAATGATCCTCTGATTATATGATTTAGAAAGCCTCTATGAACTTTCACCTTTTCGTACCACAGGTACGAGTGCCACCCGTACCTGTTATCAAAGCCCTCTAAATCCAAGATATCAGTATTCTCTAACTTTATCCAGTCTTTCACCCACATTAAACAAGCCGCTTCATAGTATAGACTCAAATCTGGTAAAGAAAACCCCTCTTTCTTTTTGTCTACCAATATTTTCATTTTTATTCGTGGTCTTTTCCCCTGCCAGATAAATCTCGCTAAGATCCTTTGCCAATCTTTACACTGTTTTAGTCCTTTCATTACTGGTATAGTTTGGAACAAAAATAACATTCTGGGCAGGACGTTCATTTTAATAACCGAGATCCTCCCTAAGAAAGAAAGTTTCAATCTCTCCCAGATTTCTAAGTCTTTCTTGACACCCTTCCAAGTAGCCTCATAATTATCTTTATATAAGTTTATATTTTTGCTGTGATCCACACTCCTAAATATTTTACCTTCTTAACAACCGTAATTCCTGTCCTTTGTTCTAGCTCTGCTATCTCTTCCTTGGTTATATTTTTGTTATCATTTTGGTCTTATTCCTGTTAAGCTTAAAACCTGCCACTTTTCCAAATTCTTCTAATTTCTGTAAGGCTGCTTGTAGACTGTTCTTAGGATCTTCCAATGTTAATATCAAGTCATCTGCAAATGCTTTTATTTTGAATTCCTTACTTCCTACCTTAATTCCTTTAACTTCCGGTGTTTCCCTTAACCTTTTATTAAACACTTCCAACACTGTTATAAATAACAAAGGGGATAAAGGACAACCTTGCCTAGTCCCTTTGGCAATATCAAAGGCCTCCGATATATTGTTATTTATTATAAGTTTGGCATTTTGCTCTTGATAAATTGCGTCAATACCTTTTCTAAATCCTTCACCAATTCCCATCATTTTTAAATTTTCCTTCATGAAACGCCAGGAGACGTTGTCAAATGCCTTCTCGGCGTCAATGAAGATCAGCGCCGCCTGTTTGTCTATTCTAGTATCCAAATACTCAATGATGTCAATCACATTTCTTATGTTGTCTTTCAGTTGTCTCCCGGGAGGAAACCCGTTTGGTCTTTATGGATTCTTTTATTTAAGACTTTTTTAACCTTTCTGCCAGTACGTCTGCGAATAATTTATAGTCGTTATTTAGTAACGAAATAGGTCTATAATTTTTTACCTCTAAACCATCTGTGTCTTTTTTAGGGATTAAGGTAATATACGCTTCTTTCCAGGTGTTTGGAATTCTCCTTCTTTTAATACATTGTTCATGACTTCACATAGCACTGGGGAAATTTGGTCACTTAATATTTTATAATATTTAGCCGAGATACCATCTGGCCCCGGCGCTTTTCCTATTCTCATTTTTTTTATTGCTTTCCTAATTTCTTCCTCTGTAATTGTCTGGTTTAGATATTCTCTTTCTTCAGTGGTGATCTGTTGCAATTGGTATTTTTTCGAGTAATTTTCTATCTCATTATCTATCTCTCTTTCTCTTTTATATAGTTCCTTATAGTATTTCTGAAATATCTTCTTTATCTCTTTTGGGTCCTCCACTATCCTTTCTCCATCCCTTATCTTACATATCATGTTTTGTTTTTTCCTCTCTCTCAATTGCCACGCCAGGTATTTTCCTATCTTATTTGCTGATTCAAAGTTCTTTTGTTTCATCATTTTGATCCTCCATTCAATCTCCTGGTTCACTATCATAGAAAATTGAGCTTGTAGCATCCTTATGTTTTGTTTTAATATTTCATCTCCTGGTTTGATGGTTAATTGTCTTTCATTCTCCATAAGGTGTAGTAAGATTTCTTCTTTCCTTTTCTCTTTTATCTTTTTGAGATGCTATTTTTCTGAATAAGAAAACCCCTCATGACAGCCTTCCCGGCATCCCACACCGTTTCTAGAGATGTTTCTTTATTCAAATTCCACTTAAAATATTCCTCAATTGTCTCTTTTTGCTTTATTTGCTATCTTTTGATCATTGAATAGGTTTTCGTTCATTCTCCATCTTAATGTTCTGAAATCTTTTCCTTTTACCTCCATATATACTGGATTATGATCAGATAAAGTTTGTGGGAGGATTTCAGTCTTAATTACTCTTTGCGTCAATTCCTTCGAGACCCAAATCTCTAATCTCTAAGGAAAGCGCCTAAGGAAACTTACTAGTCGCTTATCGCCCCAAGGTGTGCAGGTGACTTACAGCAGGTGTGTGCATGTGCTTGCACCATAAGGTGCAACCATAAGGGAAGAAAAAAGAGAGGAAGGGTCATACAAGACATCACTATATCATCTAACATAACATTTATGAAAAAACAAAAACACACCCACCATATAATTAATAACAGACAATATTAACCATGCATAAATAATAAACAAAGAATACTCCCACCCACTAATTAGCAGATAAACAACTGTTTTACCCCTTTTAAACTCCTCTCCCCACCCAGAAGTCTAGAATCAGGCCATCTGTTGCAAACCAACAGTGGATGGGTCCCACATCCTCAAGCCAGGGATGGTCCTGCTCCTCTCCTCTGCCTTTGCTAGGCAAAGCAGGAAAAGGTTGGCAAAAGTCTTGCCTGTTTTGCAGTTCATCCAGCTACTGCTTATCTTCTGCTGCCACTGGTGGCCCTTGGGGGTCCCTTCTAACCCTATGATTCTATGATGTGTTTCTGGCTCTTTTCTCACCAGCTCACACAGACTCTGAGGCTGATGCCCAGGCAGGACTTGAAACTTACAATGCGCCTCCTGATGAAGCAAGACATTCTCCTAGCTCCTCTGCTGTTTCGCTGCCCCCAGACCAGACTCATGACTACAGTCTCCTTGACTCCCACGTGCACCGAGCGTAAGTTTCCTCTTTGGAATGGTGGGGGCACTGGGTGAGAAACACAATAGATCATAGATGAGGAACCTCAGGCCGAGGTGGCCGAGGCAGTCCCTCAGACCACTTTGCCTGGCCCTCAGAACTCTCCCCAGACCACACCCATCACTGGGTGATGGTGCTTTGTACCTTCCTCGAGTCTTTTGGGCAAACTGGAATGTGTCCATGAACTCCTACAGTGCTCCTCACTTCCCTTCATGGAGGATGGAGGGGGGATGTGCAAAGAAAAAAGCCAACTGAATACAGTGGTACCTTGGGTTAAGTACTTAATTCGTTCCAGAGGTCCGTTCTTAACCTGAAACTGTTCTTAACCTGAAGCACCACTTTAGCTAATGGGGCCTCCCACTGCCACCGCACCGCCGGAGCACGATTTCTGTTCTCATCCTGAAGCAAAGTTCTTAACCCGAGGTACTATTTCTGGGTTAGCGGAGTCTGTAACCTGAAGCATATGTAACCTGAAGCGTATGTAACCCAGGGGAACCACTGTAAAGCTAAAATCAGCATTCATTGCTCTGCCCACTTTTTGCTTCGGGTCCTTGCACACCACTATTTTGTGGCCCCTGGAAGGTTGCCTGGAAGGGAGTGCAGCCCTCAAGGTGAAAAAGCTTCCCCTCCCCTGGTCTGTACTAACTGGCAGCAAACCTCCAGGTTTTTGGGTCAGTCTCTCCCAGCCTTGCCCAGAGATACCAGGGATTGAGCCTTCTGTGTACAAAGCAGATGTTCCACCACTGAGCTACGGCCCTTTCCTCCAGAGGAGAAGGCATCAATTTTAACCCTTTTTAGGGGAACATTTTCTCCATTTGGCAAGCTTGCATTCAGCTACCAGCCTGGGAGCTTTCCATCATTCTTAAGAGCTAACTCCTGCAGTAAAAACATTCCATATGCAAGCTGGTTATGTTTTGTACTTACTCTGTAAGAACTGTAAACAGAAGCAGCCTCACTAGAAGTGAAGTTGTTAGGATTTTTCCAAAGTGGATGCCCTATCACCAAGCTATGACCCTTCCACTATAGTGTGTACAATTTGGGTTGCTGGACATGTATAGCATGCCTAAAATTAATATCTCTTGTCATGCTAGGTCCTGATTTTAACTGATCCTTGGTTGGGGGTTGTTTTTGTCCCTTTAACAGCCAGGCTATCAGAGCTTTGCAGCATGAAGTCTCTAAGCTTCGCCAAGTCCTGGAGAGGACCCTCCAGCAGCCTCATGGTTATCCAAAGCAGCCACCCTCTGCACATACCTCTACACCCCAGATGCCAAGACAGGACAGGACCCGCCTCCCCAGAAGTGCCAATCCAATAGGGTAAGCAATGGGCAGAGCTTGTTCCAGGTTTGAGGGTGGCCCAGGCAGCCTCTCCTTTCTCCATCCCTGTCTCCTGATGGCAGCCAGGGCTGGTTCATGTAAGGATTTTCCCACAATGCCTCTGGCAAAGCATTTCTTCAGAGAATGGTGGGGAGTTAAAATGGCTGCTAGATTCAGCTGCCTTATGCTACTTGAAGGGGCAGGCTGCTGGAGGGGCAGGCGCCAGCAACATGCCTTACCTGGACCTAGGGGCCCTGGCACCTGCCTGAAGATGCTGGGTATTGACACCCTGCACAGCAACAAGTGTCTTCTCTCTGGTGCCATCTGCTGCCCATACAATGTCGCAGAAGCCCAGCTTTCTTTCTTGCCTTTATTTACACCAGGTATCAGCTGGAAACCCACTGGAAACCTGAAATATGATTTATTGTTTGTTGAGACTAATGATATCCTATAATTTTTCACATACAAGGTCATTTTTAGGCAAACACTTGGTAAGCTTCTGTTGCAAAAAGAGGGGTGGTCTTGGAGCCCTGATACGCAGAGGAGAGAGGGGCACTGCAGAGGTAAAGACCCCTTACTTGTGCCCACCACTTCTTCCCTTTTAAATTTTCTCACACAGACACACATACTCTCTCTCACACAGATTTGCAGTAGATAAGCAGAAGTTCTCTGCCCTGTGCTTGCTGCTGCTCATGTAAGGAATGGTGCAGTGTGCCTAAAACAATTCACTGTCTTGCAGGTCCAACTACATCCCCACCTCATCTCGCAGCAAAACATCCGGGAAGAACACAGCTGACCATGACAGTTCAGCTCTGTTGATCAAGCCAGAAGATTGGATAAAGAGATCAAACCAGCAAGATGGAATCCAGCTGGATCTCAGTAAGCAACAAAAATGTTTGTGGTGTGCATTAGGTTGCTTTGGTTATGCAAAGAGATGCATTTTATTCTGAGGCTGAATATAAGCATGCCTTTCAGAAGGATGTGCTGTCTGTGCTTCTGTTCCTCATATAAGCCTGCCAGGACCCTAAGGTCCTTTTCTGCATGCCACTTTTGAAGGATGTCCTGAAGAACGAAGTACCTCGGAAGGTTTTTAAGCAGAGGTTGGATGGCCATCTGTCAGGGATGCTTTAGTTGTCATTCCTGCATTTCAGGGGGTTGGACTAGTTCTGTGACTCTATGAGGGTGGCAGTGACACAACAGTAGCACCTCCCACATCCATTGTACAAACTGCTCTAGTGCCAACCTTGACATTTATTTGAGGCAAATATGTTTTCTTTTTCCTGGGCAATTGGGTATCACCAATCATTGTACTGTTAAATCTGGGTGGGTATGTTTTGTTTTGTTTTAAAAATGTTTATGTGAATTTTATTTGTGTTTCTTTACAGTGGTTGCAAATCGCTCCAGACTTTTTTTAAGGGAAGCAATGTATGAATTAAATAAGCCTAACCTAAACCCTTTCCAGCTTTTCATTGTCAGTGACATCTCATGCACTAGCCGATCAGTGCTGTGCACAAGTGGCTTCTGCTCCAAACCAACAGCACTTGATTCCCTGGGACTTGAGCCTGTTTAATGAAGTGACTGCTATTCTATGTGCATATGAGGACTGAGGGTGTCCCCACCTGTGTTGTTTGCAGGCCCTTCGGAGTCAGACTACTCACCACCAAAGCCATGGAAAGGGAAACGCCAGGAAACCTCTGCTTCTAGGAAAGAATCCCCAGAGCAGCCCATCCTCTGGGGGCCCTACACTGGTGAGCAATGGGCACCTGACCCTGCTTTTATTTACCAAATCAACTGCCCCAGGAAGGACTAGGCAGGTAGCAGTGCACTGCGCTAGAAAGGCTGGGTTGAATTTCCATGCTAATAAAAATATGGCCTAAATTTTAGGGGGAGGGTATGGGAAGCAAAAGAGGGGAGCAGAACTGCCTTTCCCCCTTTTGCATTTTGGGGGTGGGGGTGTAATTTTCAGGGGAAATTTGCTCTGATTTGTGGCAATAATTTCTCCTCCCCTCCTCTCCAGGTGGGGGGGAATGAATGGTGGTCCCCATTGAGAAAGCTACCAAGCAAATTATTACCATCATCATCCTTTCAGTTTATCAGTTGCTTGGCACCAAATGTCTCCAGGCAACCTACAAAATTTAAAAACATAAAGTGTGGCATAAAATCAGAAAAAAAGAACAATGTGTTACAATAAAAGCTATACAATAATAATTATAATAATAATTTATTATTTATACCCTGCCCATCTGGCTGGGTTTCCTCAGCCACTGTGCAGCTTCCAACAGAACACTAAAATACAATAACCTATTAAACATTAAAAGCTTCGCTAAACAGGACTGCCTTCAGATGTCTTCTAAAAGTTTGGTAGTTATTTTTCTCTTTGACATCTGGTGGGAGGGCGTTCCACGGGGCGGGTGCCACTACCGAAAAGGCCTTCTGCCTGGTTCCCTGTAACTTGGCTTCTCGCAGCGAGGGAACCGCCAGAAGGCCCTTGGCGCTGGACCTCAGTGTCTGGGCACAACGATGGAGGTCGTTATAGCGTCTCTAACATAAGAAGACCCCTGCTGCATTAAACCAAAGGCCCATCGAGTCCAGCATTCTCTTCCCACAAGGGAAACCAGATGTCTGGAGTGTGTGTATCAAGTTTCTTTGTTTTGATTTCTGTAGGAACCCAGTATTCTTTTTCAAGTCCCAAGTCGCAAGAACCAAAGACTCCCAAAATCTCTGCCCCGTGCCCCTATTGCCAAGAGGTCAAGTCACGGCTTGAAGACGTACCCACAAGAAACCAAGATGCCAGAGGCTTCAAAGGTATCATAAGAAAAGCCCTGCTGGAGTTAGTCCAGCATCCCATTATCACAGTAGCCAGCCAGATGCTCCACTGGGAAGCCCACAAGCAATAGCACTCCCCCCATTTGTGATTCTTAGCAACTGGTATTCAGAGGTTTACTAACAGTAGATGTAGAACATAGCCATCATGGTGAATAGCCACTGCTAGCCTTATTATCCACAAATTTGTCCAACCCTCTTTCAAAGCCATCCAGGTTGGTTGCTATTGCTGTATCTTGTGGGAGCAAGTACTTTTAACTCTGTGCTGTGTAAATAAGTACTTTCTTTAGTCTGTCCTGAGTCCTCTAAAATTCAGCTTCATTGGATGTTCATGAGTTGTGGATCTGCTTTCTTCACATCATCTGTCATGTTGCCTCCTTCTCTCCTTTGCTTTAAACTAAAGATGCCCAAACTCTGAAACCTTACCCCATAGTGGAGTCGCTCCATCCCCTTGATCATTTTGCTCATCTGTGAGGCAGTAATAGGAGTTGTAATCAAATAGAATGTGGAGGGCCACAAGTGCCCCATCTGCACAATCCAGACCACAGAGCAGGGCAGGATTCGCAGTGGCAGCAAAGTGGCTGGCTTATGTCAGCAGTCCACTCTGTTGGAAGAACAAGGAAGTCAGAGTCTGTGAGCAGGGTATGTTCTGAATCAGGAGTTCCACACAGCAACTGATAAGAAAAATTAGCCCATAACTTACACCACCAAATGGCTCACTGAAGCAATTGTGGAACGAATCAGGTGCTGAAGGTTGCGTCTCTGCTGGCTCTCCACCTTAAATTTCCTCTTGACTTTTCCCTTTTTACAATTCTGGCACTTAGCAACAGGTGAAATAGTGCCACAGGAATCATTATCCTTGGTTAAATGTTAACTGGTACCTGGTGAATTCCTGCATTCCTAAATTAAGGACTCGGTCTACATGTCTTTTCTTTTTTTAAAAAAACTTTTTTTAGGAGATTAAAAATAAATAAATCTGGGTCAGCAGTTTCAGCAGAAACTGAGAACGACTGGTCTGTCCAAGACTTATCTAATGAGTTCTATGCTTGAGGCATAGGCACCAGGTGCCAGGGCCTTGGGTGCTGTAGCACCCACAAAATTCACTCTGAGGGGGCTGGGCACTCACAAATTTTGGTGGTGGACATCCGTGCTACATCAGCACGCCTGGAGGCACGCATGTCATGATTAATTTATAGCTCAATATCTTAGCTGCTTCCACATACTGGTAGTGTGTTGTTGTTTTTTTAAAAAAAATCCTCTCCAGGGCTCTGGTTCTGTGTATTCTTGTTTTTGGATTCGGGGTGGAGGGTCCTTGTGGCAAGATGAATTACTTTGTCTTTCATTTCTAGGCTGTGACTCCCCAAGGGATTCATTTGGACCCTTCTACCAAAGCACTCCAAAGAAGTCAGAAGCACCAACCCATCTGTGCAAGGACACCAGGAACCCCAGGAGCAAAGTAGTGCATGGTGAGAAAGGGAAATTCTGGTGTGAAAACTGATGCCGTGTTGGCAAACTGGAGCGTAGGTCCTGACGAGGGCAGCAAGGATGGTGAGGGGTTTGGAAACAGTTCCCAAGAGGAAATATAAGATGAGGCTGCTAGCTCAAGCCAACAGCTCATCTAAGCCCAGCATCCTGTTTTCATAGTGGCTGACCACAAGCAGGTCCTGAACACAACAGCACTTTCCCCACCTGCAATTCCCAGCAGCTGGTATTCAGAGATGTGTCACCTCTGACAGTGAAGGTAGAACATAGCCATCATGCCTAGTAGCCATTGATTTGCAAAGTGCCAACACATTTTTAGAAATCAAGTAACAATAAAACAATTCAGGCATTGTATAAATGTTATGGTCGTAAAACAGAGAACAAATGGCCAAAGTTGAGACAAATTAATTCTCTAAAAAGTACTTAGTGAAATGGAAATGTTTTTGGAAATGTTTCAAGGGGAAGAGTGTTCCAGAGCATCTGTGCCACTGAACTTCCATGGACACTAAACAAAATATGAGATACGTGTTGGACACTTGGGGCTTCTCGAGACTGGGATGAGATTTTTGTGTGTGTATTCTGCAACATGTCATTGAATACACACATATGCACACAGAGGGCTGCTGCCCCTGCTCACTCAACTCACCAACCCCTCTGCCCCTGTACTTGGCCAACCCTTCCTCCCTTTACATCTGAGCAAACTCCCTTCCTTTACACCACGTCCACCCCCTTGGTATCCCCTTTATAGCTCATTCCTAGTCCCCCTCCTCACAGCTCACCCCAGCTTCAACCCCCTTTCAAAGGAGAGTGGTAGTTGCTCTCTGAAGTGCCTCCCACTTTCCTTTATAGTAAGATATCAATTCCTCCAATTATTGTAAAAACCTGCAGGTTTTTTAAATAAAATATATATGAGATATACGGTATATTAGAACAGACGAATAAAAGAATAAGTTAAAACAATTTGGAGTATACAGGAGAGGATGAAAATAAATGTAAGGAACCACAGAAAGAGGGGGAAAGGAGTCAAAATTGAAAATGTTAAAACTTGGCAAACAATGTTGTAATGTATATAAATGAAAATTATGAATAATAATAATAAAGTTATCAATTCCTCCCAGTTCTGTCTAAGGAGAATTTTAGATCTTGTTTTCTCATTTGCCCCCAGGGGTGGACCATGGTGCAGGGGACAAAGCAGAGCAAAGTTCTGGACCACAGCAGAACCCCAGCACTCACCATCAATCACAGCAGCCTGGACTCTGGTATCTGGCACTCCCAAGCTCTGCTGCCTCCATCAGCTATGTCCCCATGGTTCCCTACCCTCCAGCGTCTATAATGTAAGAACCACTCATTCAGGTCTTTGTTCAGTGAGAATTCTGAGAGATATGACTTTTTCCCTTATTGTGTTGACCCCAACAATGGCGAGCCTGTGGCCCTCCAGATATTGCTGGACTAAAACTTTCCATCAAGCTCCAGACAACATGGACAGTGATCAGGAGTGATTGGTGTTGTAGTCCAGCTTCAGTTGTCTGCCTCTATAAGGTCTCCTACTCTGATGTTGACTTGTTCCCTGCCACCGATGCCTCCAAAACTCATTCGGGAAGGTACCATTGTTCAGTGAGAGAGGGCATATACCTTACCAGCAGAAGTCCCCAAGTCCAGTCCCTAGCACCCCCAGTTACAAGAATCAGGTAAAAGGATGAAAAAGGTCCTTGCTCTTCCTGAGATTCTGGGGAGCTCCTGACCAGTTAGTGCAGACCCAGGGTGGGGAACCTCAGACTCAGGATCTAAATGTGCCCCTCTAAGCTTCAGTGTCTGGTCCGCTGGGCTCTCCCAACGCTACACCCCTCACTTAGCCCTACTGCATACCCCTTCTTGAGTGTTTTTGCCTGGTTGGTTGGTTGGTTGGTTTTTTAACTCTGATTATGCCTCTTGCTTACCTGGAGGACGGGGGGGGGGGCATGAATGTGTGTAATAGCAGCCCACTCCACTAAAGTAGCATTTATATTTGTTGTTCTGCCCACTTTATCCTCTGGCCCTGCCCGTCACTGGCATGTGGCCCCCAGAAGGTTGCACAGATGGAAATGCAGCCCTCTGACTGAAAACCGTCCCCCACCCTGTGTGAGTGTCTGGAGGAGGTTGGAGGATGGACAGCAGCTAACAGATCGAGGTCGAATCCAGACAAGACAGAAGTACAGTGGTACCTCGGGTTACATACGCTTCAGGTTACAGACTCTGCTAACCCAGAAATATTACCTCAGGTTAAGAACTTTGCTTCAGGATGAGAACAGAAATCGTGCTCTGGCAGCGCGGCGGCAGCGGGAGACACCATTAGCTAAAGTGGTGCTTCAGGTTAAGAACAGTTTCAGTTAAGAACAGACATCCAGAACGAATTAAGTACTTAACCCAAGGTACCACTGTACTGTTTTGGGGGGACAGAAGGCGGGCAGGTGTAGAGGACTCCCTGGTCCTGAATGGGGTAACTGTGCCCCTGAAGGACCAGGTGCGCAGCCTGGGAGTCATTTTGGAAACGCAGCTGTCCAAGGAAGCGCAGGTCAATTCTGTGTCCAGAGCAGCTGTTTATCAGCTCCATCTGGTACGCAGGCTGAGACCCTACCTGCGCGCAGACTGTCTCGCCAGAGTGGTGCACGCTCTAGTTATTTCTCGCTTAGACTACTGCAATGCGCTTTACGTGGGGCTACCTTTGAAGGTGACCCAGAAACCAAAACTAATCCAGAATGCGGCAGCTAGACTGGTGATTGGGAATGGCCGCCAAGACCATATAACACCAGTCTTGAAAGACCTACACTGGCTCCCAGTACGTTTCCAAGCACAATTCAAAGTGTTGGTGCTGACCTTTAAAGCCCTAAACGGCCTCAGTCAAGCATACCTGAAGGAGCGTCTCTACCTCCATTGTTCTGCCCAGACACTGAGGTCCAGCGCCGAGGGCCTTCTGGTGGTTCCCTTGCTGCGAGAAGCCAAGTTACAGGGAACCAAGCAGAGGGCCTTCTCGGTAGTGGCACCCGCCCTGTGGAACGCCCTCCCACCAGATGTCAAAGAGAAAAGTAACTACCAAACTTTTAGAAGACATCTGAAGGCAGCCCTGTTTAGGGAAGCTTTTAATGTTTCATAGGTTATTGTATTTTAGTGTTCTGTTGGAAGCCACCCAGAGTGGCTGGGGAAATCCAGCCAGATGGGTGGGGTATAAATAATTATTATTATTATTGTTGTTGTTGTTGTTGTTGTTGTTGTTACCCTTGGTGTGGGCAATACTGAACTAGATGCATAAATGCTTTCATCTAGTGTAAAGGTTTATTCAGACCCTCCCCTTCTTTTTCTCTTCGCCAGCTATTGTTCTCCACTTGGACCTCAGGTCTCCTCCCCTGCTGCTGTCCCTAGCAGGCCCCAGGCCACAGAGCTGGAAACCTCGGCTTCTCGGCACCAAATGCAAGAGGGTTCCTGCTGCTCCATGACTCTGGACTGCGCTGGTCTGCAGGACCTGAACAGGTCTCTGAGCCGTGCCATAGTAGCTGCGAGAGACATGAAGCTCACCACCAAGCGGATCAGCCGGTCTCTGACTTCAGATTTGAACAAAGGGAGGCACCAGCGGAGATCCTGCCTCTTTTAGCAAGAGAGCCAAGTGGATGGACACCTCCTCTACTGGTTTAGCTGGAATTGCAAAAAAGGGGGGAAATGGGACTCAGTTCCCCCAAAACATAACATGGGAGAGATATTCTTGGTCTTTTATGTGCCAAAGAGCCACCACCATAGAGCCCCTAACTCACTGTGGAGGTGTCCCATTTTTGGGTGCCCGACAGCCTCTTAAGCATTGTGGAGGTGCTCAAGTCTCTAGGCTGTGTGTGGCGCCTGTCTTAATACACACTGGGAGCCTTCAAAGATTGTGGAAAGGGACTGCTGCTGCACTTCCCCTTCACTCCCACCCCCTGAACAAGCAACTTAACGTTGTGTCACGAAAGCCATCTCTGCCCTTATTTTGCGCGTCTTAAAAGGGCAAATTTCCAAGCAGTTTGGGGGAAGATGTAGCATTTTCGCAGACTAGGGGTAACAGTAGTGGTTTCTTTATTTTTCCAATGGACATTGAGGGTAGTGTATCTCTCTTAATGTTGGCAGGGGGTTTGGTGGTGGGTCCTTAGGTCAGCCTTAGATATTCCAGTGCTGGGTGTCCTCTACCTGCCTGTTCCTCTTTTCTCACCTTACCTCAACTGTATTTTGCCTTAAAAATGAAAGTCTTAAAAGCTCCTTTGGGGGCATAGTGGCAGAAGCAGAACATCTTCTGGCACACTGAGGCCATGTGAAGATGGTACTTCTTCTCCCCTCGATTTATTTTCAGGGAATTGAAAGGCCCTATAGGGGGCGGTCAGCAAATGGCTTGTTGACCAGCAGACAATTCTGGCACCTGCTGCAGAGTTATCCCACTTTAGCACCCTTCATCTCCTAGGAAGATGAAGATGATATTGGGCATAAGCAGTGGCCAGTGGCTGTTCAGAGCCTTTAAGGCTATGCTATGCCTCTACTGGTGGAACAACTGTGTCTTTGAATGCCACCTGCTGGGAAATACAAATGGTTCTGCTTTTGGACTTCCCACTGGGACATATGTTGGTCATTGGGAAAACAGGATGCTAAGCTACATGGGCCATTGGCTCGATGCAACAGGGCTCTTACGTTTTTATCCTGATTGTCTTGCAGGAAGGTCTACTACCTCCTCCATGCTGTTGCTGAACTGATCTCATTCACTGTAAACATACAGCACTGTATCCAATGTTTGTCATTCTTAAGAGCAGACTCACTGAAACTAATGCACGTAACTTAGGTTCATTAATTCCGGTGGAACTAGTCTGAATACAACCCCTAACAGGGTACTGTCTTACTTACAAGGCTCAATAAGCTGAGAGTAGGACATAAAAGTTTTTGGGTGGTCCTCTTAAGGGCCGTGAGTCTATTGCAATACTTACCTCAGGACTCTTCGTGATGCATGAGAGAAAGAGCCATGGTGAATTGTTTTCAGAGATATGTGTATATGTGTTTGGGTGTGTGTATTTGTTTTTTTTACACGTGTGGTTTCAATTGCTGTTTGGTTTGGTACTATGGAATGGAAACAATGAGCATTTTGTATGTCAACTCTTTTGGGGTTTTTTTGCCTTCAAGAATGTCTTCAAAATATATTTTGCCAGAATACTTTTCTCTCCCTCCCCATTTCCTTGTGCCCATTAGGTTGTTTGTGTGTGCTTTAAGAACTTTGGGCAAGCAGCCACTCCGAGGTCCAACACATTGTAGGCAGTTTGCCAAGACCAAATGCAATCAATAAGCATCGGGGGCAGTAGATATATAACAGTATCAGACACTTTTTGCTGTCATTGTCAGGGCAAAGTTGATCAATATTTAAGACAGAATAGATATCAGTGGTGAGCAACCTTCAGCCTGCAGGCCTGATTAGGCCTGCCCACCCTCCTCATTTTGCCCACAAGGCTGGTTTGCCCAAGGGGCACTTATATTTACAACTAGTGTCATATGCAGTATCAAGAGCAGGAGAGATAAAGAGGTGTCAGAGCTGGGAGGGAGTTTGTAGGTAGCCCCCATTAGGTGTCATATCAGGGCTTTGCCAGCACCAATGTTCGGCTGATCACTGGGTCTTGTAGAATATTCCTGTATTACATGCAATAGGATTCCTTCTGGGCACATGATCGCTACCCAGGAATTTGTGATCAGTAGCAGAAACAAGCTTCCTCCCACAAACCAACACACAGTTTTCCCCTAGGCATTCTTTTTCAGCAACCTAAGGCCCACCTGCATGATATATTGAGGCGGTATGAAACTGTATTCAAGCAGTCATGTGTTCCCCCGAAGAATCCTGGAAACTGTGGTTTGTTAACGGTGCTGAGAGTTCCTAGGAAATTCCCTATTCCCCTCTTTGCAGGAAATTCTGGGAACTGCAGCTGTGTGGAAAAGCACCTCTCAGCACCCTGAACAAAGTATGGGTCCCAGGATTCTTCAGGGGAAGCCACAACTGTTTAAAGTGGTATAATGCTGCAGTCAATGTATAGTGTAGATAGGACCTCACCTTTAAGACAGCAGCTTTTGGGTTATTGTTATTAGGCCATTGGGAGTTAGAAGCCCTTGCTGATCTGTTGGGGCTAACCCAGAGATTTCCTAGGAGACCCTGTTCTACCTTCTGCCAATCACTGAATTGAGCAACCGCTTAAATGCAGCTGGGAAGTTGAGGCCACCTTGGCTGTTCTTGGTCCTATCCTCATTGTTGCTAATGTTCCATGCTGCCTGTAGATTATGTGAGTTGAGATGAAAGTGCAGTAATAACAGGAATTGGCTGTCATAAGATGAGTGCCTTAGAAACATTGCAACAGAAAGCAAGGGGAAGTGGGCAGCTGATGAAGGATGTCTGTGCCATTTCTCCCCTGACACCTTTTTAAATTATATTTTTTGAATCTATAAATATACCTTTTTTTAATAAGAAAAAAATCATAATGACAGATCCTTCTCAACACTCATACGATCTGTAGAAATGTGCTAAAATGTGCATTATGTTGTAGACAGTTCTCAAAGCACTTTCAGACACAGGGTGTTGGTGTAGGGTGTGTGTGTTTTGCATTGGAACCATTACCACAAACAAAATCACTGTGAAGATATGATAGTTGTATCTTTTTCAACATTCCTTTAAAATAAAATAAAATAAAAAACAAGCACGTCTCTGGTAATGAATGCAAATGGGTGTTTCTGTTTTTCTTGCTCAATAAATGATTTTTGTCTGCTGGTGTCTTTATTCATTTTTTAAAAGGGGAAAGATTTCAAACACACACACTGACTCTGTTTGCACATGAAACCTACAATAAGCCAGAAAGTCTTATTTTGTTATCAAGAACAAGTGATGTCCTGTCAGAGTGCTTGTACCTCCTGCTGCCCAATGCAAACAAAACAGATTGTACCAGGTTTTCTTTACATCCAAACCAGGCACTGTGGTTAGTTGCTCCCTTGCAAGCTGCGATTAGCAAGTGAACAACAACATAAAGTATTTCTTCACATAGCACAATCACACTTTGGAATTCGCTCCCAAAAGAAGTAGAGATGGCCACCAATTTGGATGGCTTCAAAAGGTTACAAACTACTGTATTTTTCGCTGTATAGGACGCACCAGACCATTGGAGAAGGAAAACAAGAAAAAATATATTCTGAATCCCAGAAGCCAGAACAGCAAGAGGGACCACTCTGCAGTGAAAGCAGCAATACCTCTTGCTGTTCTGGCTTCTGTGATAGCTGCGCAGCCTGCATTCACTCCATAAGATGCACACACATTTCCCCTTACTTTTTAGGAGGGAAAAAGTGAGTCTTATAGAGCAAAAAATACGGTAATTCAGGGAGAGCAAGGCTAAGATTGGCTATCTATGACGGCTATGCCTTAACTCCACTGTCAGAGGCAGTATTTCTCTGACTACCAGTCGCTGGGGATCACAAGTGAGGAGAGTGCTTTTGCATTCAGAGATAGCTCATTGCCATCTGGTTCATCATGGTAAGATGCTTCCCATGCATGGGAAGATGCATGGGAAGATAGCCCAAGATGCTGGGCTAGATGGGTCTTTGGCTGGATACAGCAGCTTATGATCTTCAAAAGTCATGGCGGCTTCAGGATGGCTACCAATCATAACTTGTTAAGGAGAAGCACAAAGGATCTGCTGCTTATACTATTTACATTCAAGGAGGAATGAAGTACTAGCAATTGGGCGCTGTTTGCTTGCTTTCAATAAAACACGGCAAGCCAGGAATATTGTTATAGGCATGCACAGCCTGCACCAGGGCTCTCTTACAAGATAAGAGCAAGATGTGGTTGGCAAATTTTCCTTGGAAATTCACCCATAGGGCCCTGCTTGTGGTTGGTCTCTCCCATTCAAAGCATATGCTGCCATTTCAAAATCTTGAAAAAAGTATCAGTAGCATCTTCATGGAGCACCTCATATTTGGACCACTGTTTTAAGATGCAGAACCTTAAGAGGTGGTGGAGTTTGTCCACAGGCCTACCTCACAGGGCTGACCACATAGCCAAAGAGAGAAAATCTAGAAAACACTCTGCAAAGTGAAAGTCTTTCTTTATGCATCTCTCTGTCTGCCTTTTGTCTCCTGCCCCCTCCCCGCACTCCAAACTAGTTCCCATGTCAAATCAATCCTCTTTTACCTCGCTCGATGGGACAGTAAATCATTTATTGACTCCAAGTGCTTTTTTTAAGTTACAGAAGAACAGCTAAACAGAGATGACACATTTGTGCTTCAACAGTTCCAAACACTGAAATTTCAAGAATTAAACAAGTTGCATAACAAGAATTTGCTGTTGTTTTTCTCTTTTGATAAAGTGTATGTGTGTGAATATATATATATATGTATGTGTGTGTATATATATATATATATATATATATATATATATATATATCTCACACCAAAAACAACAAAAACACATCTAAACAAAAGGGAGAGAAAGAGATACCTTGAAGCGGCTGCAATGCTAAATTTAGAAGGGGAAGGCCGGGGGGGGGGGGGAATGGGAGGGTGCAAGAAAAAGTTGGAGAGGTGGCAAAACAGTTACTGATGCAAAATGACCACAACCATTGCCCGAAAAACAAATATATTATGGGCAAGGGAGGGGGAAAATGGACCACAAAAATAGTAGCAAACAGAAAGAGTATTTTCTTCTCTCTGTTGGGATATTCTAGGAAGAGACATTAATGCCCTGGGACAGGTGGAAGAGGGACAGCCCAAAACTGCAGGGAAGAAAATACAGTTTTTTAAAAATATCACAGTAAGCGAACACAGCCATTGTGGGAGTCAAATGAGAAAAGGACACACAAGGAAGACTCGGTAAACCACTTTACTTCAAGCTTGTTAGGACGACCACAATACACAATTATTTAATTCATATACATACAGTCTGCAGGGGGAGCAGAAGGACCGGCAAAGGGATCTATAAATGCAGAACAATTGGGGATTTTTGGCGCTTGCCACAGCCAGCAATGTTTCACTACTGGATGATGAGAGATAGAAAGGGGGAAGGAATCCAAAGGGTGCAGGGCAAAATTTGATGACGAGAAATGCCATTGTTGACGGCAGGAGAAACGAGACGCTCCAGCTGAAGTTAAGCTTGAGCTTTAGTCAACATGACGCCCCACAGAGTGTGGGGACTACATTTCCCAACAACACAGGAAGACGGATGTTGTAGACTGTATATTGTGGGCTACAGTTCCAATCAGCTCCCCACAACCACTGTGGGGTGATGGTCATTGTAGTCCACACTATCTGGAGTCACTATGTTAAATAGGATAGTAATGTTGCTCGAATCCCATATTAGCTCAATAGACATAGAAGCACTTAAACTGTGGCTGCCTGGTTGATGATGTCATTTCCCAAATCCGTTTTGCTATTTTCAGTTCAATCCTGAAATACGTCATGTGTTTATTTTTTATTTTTGCTCCTAAACAAGAGAGGAAGAAATTGGGTACAATCCAGCCCAGAGCTGAGGAAGCTTTTAAGCCCATTTAAAGCTCAATGGTATATTCTTTGTTGGAGAATGACCACAAGGAGGTGCTGTGGGGCCAGAAATGATGTCTGTGGGAAGCATCTAAGTCCCACACAGAGGAGATCCATTTAAAGGAATGTACCTAGGTTGGTCATGCCACCAGGTTTAATGGATCTACTCTGTGTACTCTGTGTAGGACTAACATTGGATACAGCCTCTTGTTTTCACAGCAAAGATCCTGGTCACTTTGTCTTTGCCCGGGGCAGTGATCCTTCATCACTCTCTCAAAAATATATTTCCCTTTCCTGACAGTTTTCAAGCCACTTGATCTCCCTCAAATCACACAAATGGGAGGGATTAAATGATTCACAACAGCTGACACGTTCAGCATCATGCAATCTACACCATGCAGTGTACATCTACACCACCCAGCCAATCTGTCATCTGTCACTGAAAAGAGAAAGCTGTATAGTCTCCTCCTTCCTCAGTAGGCAAAGCAAGGAAGTGCCAACATTGCTTACTACAGGGGCCGCAGATGTGCTGTTGGATGCAAACTCCCATCAGCCCCAGCCAGCATGGTGATGGGAGTTGTAGTCCAGGAATGTCAATTCAATGCAGCACAATGCAGATTTCTGCTTTGTGGGCAGGACAGTAGGCTTGGAGACAGATAAAAGATGATTAAAAGAGCGGTGCAAAGAAAGCAGGCCTCTCTGCCCCACACAGCAATGTGTGAATCTGCCAAGCTAGAAGCAAAAGTGGGATGCACAGGATGTGTAGCTTATATCCCACAAGCAGCGAACTCTCTTTCAAACTGACGTCAGCTTCTCTAGAATCTGAGCTAAGGAATGCAGATTCCAGGGACTCTAGACATGTGCTTGCAAGAGTACAGGGGGCAAAGCTAGAAGGACAGAGGAAACAAGCTGACTATACTACACAGCGTATCATTTTACATGAGCTGCGGCCACCTCCAGAGAATCACGGGAATTGTGGTTTCAAGACAACTTTGCTCTCAGCAAACTACTGAAAGGAAATTGACTCCCAAACCAGAACAAAGTCTATTGAATGAATACACCATTGCTAGCAGTTGCCTTATGCTTTCATGGGCCAGAAAAGTCTGGAGATCCCGATAGATCCTGCCCAACCAGGGCCTGCCTTCTGGAAGCCGGTAAGAGGAAGCATCCTAGAACCAGAAAATCCTGCCTGCTATTCACTGAACCGTGAAATCAGAGACATACTGTGGTCTAGAGGTTAAAGCGCTAGAGTTCGTATCCCCAGTCAACCACAATCTTATTGAGTGGTGTTGGGTTTCTCACCATGAGTAAGACAGACCTTCCTCACAGGGTTGTTGTGGAGATAAAATTGGAGAGACAGCCCTGGGCCCTCAGGTGGAAGAATGTGATAAATAATATTACAGAATTCACAAGCGAACTCTGCCTCGTTAAAGGTATCACCGAAGTGCTAAAATAAAGCTCCTTCCTAAAGAAAAAAAATAACATTTGCCAACATGTTTCAAACCAATTAAAAACCAGGGGTTGGTCTCCAAATATGCTTGTGATGAAATAAATCATCATTCCTGGGTGGGACAAAGAAGATCTAATAAGGAAGATTGATCCAGACATGCTGGAATTGCAAACCACAAACACTCCATTTAAAATATTGCCCCCAAAAAGTTGGAAAAGGTCAGGGGTGAAGCAATAAAAAAAAAACCCCAGAAATGCACCAACCACCTACACACTGATAAACTAAATAAATATGAAAATTGAGAGGACAATCTCAACAACAACAGCAGTAGCAGCAGCAGGGGGGACGAGGGAGGACAAGGAAGGTCAAATGACAGTTATTTCCAAAACGCAAGCAAAAATCCCAATACACAGTGGGGGGAAGAAGAGCATTCCTTTCACAGTTTGCATCTGAGGTTAGGTACAAGATCACATAGCCATAAATAAGTCACAAGCATTCGTCCATCTGGGCAGAAAACTAAAACCAGAACTAAAAGGACATCATCATTAAAAAATAATAATATTATCAGCATCGTCGTCATATAATCGCCATGGATGAAATGATGGAAGTTTAATTTTTGGTGGTTTATTTTGGAGGACACATATGGAGATAATATCTATATTATAGAATATATTATTTTTCTTATCTTTCTTTTTTCTTTTCTCTGTCTTAGAGACAATGGAATTTCCCCACCCCAAACCCTTCTCTTATTTACCTTCGTTTCAAATGTAGGATGGAAGGGGAAACCAAGACGAATAAGAAGAAGGTGAAATGGAACCAGTCAACAAATTTAAGTGGGGCAAGGATCACCCCAGAGCTGGAAGGAAATGGGATGCCCCAAATGTCATGTCACTGATTTTTTGATGATGGTGTCAAGGAGGGAAGAGCAGGAAATGGGGGAGGAGAGAAAGAGGGAAGGGTCTGTGTGTTGGTGTGTGTGTGTGTCTGTTTAACTGCTAATTTCTTCATCCGTTTTATTCAGTTTCTTCAGAGTGTCCAGCAGTTTCTGTGGGGTGAGGACGTGAGTAGAGCCTGCAAATGGGGGTGGGGGGGAGTGGGAGGCAGGGAGAAGAGGAGAGAGATGCATATTAGAACTCCCACCCTGAAAAAGGCATCAGAAAAGGGGGAGGGGTTGTCATCTATAAGGGCAGGGGCCTTGGTGACCTGCTGTGGGTTTGGGTGGGTGGGGGCGAGGATGGGGGAGGCGCTATTGCACCCACGTCTGAGCAAATGCATGTGCTAAGGACTGCCTGCCCCACCCCCCAACAAAAACAAATCAGGCAAGTTATTATCAAAAGCTTTTAAGAGGTGCAACATGGTGGAAAAGAGGGTCAAAATTGATCACCAACACCCATAAGTGGCATGCTGGTGATGTGGTAAGTTAGAGCAGCAGCCACTGTGTGGGGGAGGATTTGTGAACCCCCTTATCAGGTGGCCCCAATCCATCCCCTTCTACACCAGTTTCTGTTATATACATAGGAAAGAAGAGAGAATAATTGCAGACACCGCCCCCCTCCCTGACACTCAGAACCTCTTACCTGCCACGGGGACAGCGTACCAATTTTTATTTTTTATTTTTTAACCACAGGAAGAAATGCTTGCAAAAATGTTAAGCCTATGGAACTACGATTCCATCTAGTGCAGGAAAAGGAAAGGCAAAAACCGGAAACGAAAGAAAGAAAGAAAAAATATAGAATACCAGATGGAGGCTTTGTAACCCCGTGAGTTAAGTGTGGTGGAGGAATGATGCATATGGTATGCTGGAGAGGGCAGCATAAGGCCATTGACGTCGAGGGCGCAGAGATAGATAGCGAAAGCGAGGCAGGAGTGGCTGTGTGGCTCATGAGGCCCTGGCATGCAGTGGCAAATGGCAGGCTGTCAGATAAAAGGTCGCCTCTTCCTCTCCCTCCTCAGATGGGAGGGAAGAGCCAAATTAGAAAGAAAGAAAGAAAGAAAGAAAGAAAGAAAGAAAGAAAGAAAGAGAATTGCCTATACTTGAAAATGTGCATAAATATATATATTGAGATATGGAGAAGGGGGTTGAGAGGAGTCAGGGAGAGTGAGATACAAGGAATATTGCAGGAGCCTTCAGGAGAAAGCCCGTGTCACTGAAGACAAGACAAAGAAGGAGGGGGGGGGAATTCATAATGACCAGGAGCCCCTTGGGGGAAGAAAGAGAGAACTCTCCTTCCTGTAGCCCCAGATGTATCAGTGGGTGGGGGATTTGTGCACCCCTTAAAAAGGCAAAGTTTCCCAGAACTGCCAGTGGACACTGGTAAGGAGCTACTGCTCTTAAAACTGTGTTGTAAGAGCTGCCACTTCTTTAGAACCTGGGATCAAGCTTGCTTTTCTCTCTGCTCTCCCACTGCTTGTTTTATCAAGTGCCATGGTGTTTTTCAGATTGTCTTAGATGATGATTCTTGTAAGCTGCTCTGGGAGCCTTTGGAGGTATAAAATGCTGTAAATAAATATGTAATTATGGCTACCCTTGACCAGAGTGTGTGTTAGGAAATAAAAATAGCAACAAACAATGAGATTCTAAGGCCTGCTGCCAATTGGGACACTCTGTGGGCACAGATGAGGATGTGTGTGTGTGTGTGTTTGGTTTGTGTGGGTGTTGCTCTAGCCTTGCATCTCTATGCTCAAAGCATGGCAGCTAGGTCCAGTATAGCACTAAATGTCCATCTGGATTGCACTGGGGTCCTGCTCCCTTAACACCAGTGTCCCATGTGCCAAGAACCCCACCCTCTTAATCAATGCAAAACTCACTAGCTGGCACCTCCACTTAACTAAATAAAAAATGATCCAAAGCAGGAGAAGTGCGATGAGGCTGTACCAAAGACCTTGGGAGGCGATAAGCCAGTCAGGACAAACAAGTGAAGTGCCCTGCCTTTGAACATACAGCAGCCATACAACCATCATGACTATTGGGGCAGGAACTTGCAAGCTACAAACCAGCAAGCTTTTCAGAGGCGTTCCTTGCTTCTCTGGAGTCACTGACTTTCCCCATCTCCTGTTCCTCTTTGAGGCAGAGCAGGAAATGCAACTTCCTTCCCACCAGCTCAAGAAGCAGGAGCACCAAAGGACAGGCAAGCTAATTTGGCGCCGTAGGCAGAAAAAGCCCCACAGGGCCTCTCCCTGAGAGTAAAACAAAAGCAGGACTCTTTCATTCTATCTAGACCATGCAATATATTCTCCCATAACGGGGTGGGGGGTGGGTGAGAGGGGCTCCCAAGGGGCAGCTGACCCAGTCCTCACCACACCCCCTGTAACAGTGACAGCTAGGCAGGCGTTTTGGCTGATGAGAGCAGGCAGAGAGAATGCGCTGTAGTAACAGCAAATGCCCAGCAGTATTTTCATGAATGTATCAACTGCTCTAGGAGACTGTCACTGGAACTTTGGCAGGAACAGTGTTGAAAGCCAGGTGATGGGAAACCTGTGGCCCTACCGACATTGACTCCAACTCCTATAATTCCAGACCAGCATGGCCAAATAGTCAGGGATGATTAGAGTTGACAGGTTTCCCCACCTCTGCTGTAAGCTTATTAACACCTTTTTAAAAGCCAAAGAATTCTTGGCAGGTGCAATGCTACGATTTACCAAAATGGACTCTGAGCAAAAGTTAAACAAGTTTCAAACCTGTTTAAATCTGAAGTGGCAAATGGACACTTCCCAAGTCTAAATGCAGCCCCTTTTCATTTTCATATTTTTTTTTAAATGGGAGTGTTGACATTTCCTTTGGAAATAGATCACCGTTAGTGGGAGGAATGGGCAAGTTCTGAATAAGAGATGGTGTAGGATTTGATGGAAGCAACGCTGGGCACATTTTCAAAACCGTTGTTTTAAAGACAGAAAAAAACCGCAAGCATTTTCTCATTTAAAGAACCAAAAAAATGGACAAAGAAAGAAGAAAAGGAGGGGGGAAGAGAGAGAGAGAGAGAGAGAGATAGGAAAGAGAGAGAGAGATGTAATAATCAAAGAAGCCCTTCCGAGCGAGGGAAGAGTTTCTTTTTCTATAGTAAGCTGCTTTTACTTTTTATTGTTTTCTTTGGCTCTCATTCCATTGTTGGAGCCTGTTCCTCAAAAGATACCCTAGTGGAATCTCTGAAGTCGGGATGCCTCAGATCCATGAGAAATTTGGTGGGAGTAAGAATGTGAGTAGAACCTGCGGGAGAACAGAGTGTGGGCTGACTCCTTGCACAGAGAAAAACAAAAAAACAATTCAAAAGGGCACATGCTGAAAAAAGATTTTTCTTTTCCTTTAAAAAGGCCTTTAACATTACTTCATTATCAGCAGAAAGTATCAGTACAAAGAAGCAGAGTGAACATGTGTGAAAGAAGCAAATGTGGAAACGACAGACACACATACAGAGAGACGAAGGCAGATGGACAGTCGAGGAAAGCATTGTCAAGGCATGCAGTGGAGTGGAGTTGATGGATCTGGGTTTTGGCAGTCACCCCTGGGCCTCCAGGAACTGCTGTATGCAGCAGAAATGCGTTTGGGGTTCAAGTTAGGAATGAGCGAATCCGTCAATTTTGGGTTCTCCCAGTTTCTTGTTGTTCAAATCTTAAGTTCAGTTATTCACATTCATTTGTAATTATTATTTTTTTCATATAAAAATACGTTTATCTCATGTATACAAATTCAGATTTAGGTGTGAATGTTCCTCAACACGCACAAGTCTGTATGCAATTGTGTCCTAGAATGCACATTTTCACTAAGCAATTCCCCATGTAACCCAAGCACAATTTACCCTAGTAGTGTATGCATTTTTGCAGACAGCACTTGGGCTCTCCTTCAGTGAAGGTTTATAAAACAGAGGTTGGATGGGAATCTGTCAGGTATTATTTAGCTGTGACTCTTGCATTGCAGGGCATTGTACTAGATGACTCAACTCTACAGTTCTATGATTGTATGAAGTTCAATCCTGTAGGGAATTCTCTCATGCACTCTCATGCTGCAGAAATAAGGATTGACCTCCCTGCACATTCGCTGATGTGCAGGCAGTTCAGTCCTGCATGGTCACAATCTTCCTCCGCCCCCATGAGCCAACCTTGACAGAAGGGTCAGACTACCCCCTGTCAGTTACCTGGCTTCATTGTGAGATTGGATGACTGACTGCTAGGTGACCTGGCCCACTGGACCAAAAAGGTTTACAAACCCACACCCACCCCCGGTTAGATGTCTCAAAATAATTCAGCTGAATGAGGGATGAGAAAATTCAGTTTGCATTTGAAGATTGGGCTACTGAATTCACAGTTGCCAAAGCAATATATGAACCAGCCATCCTTCAAACTTGGACTACTGCAATGCACTCTATGTGGGGCTACCTTTGAAGGTGACCCGAAAACTACAACTAATCCAGAATGTGGCAGCTAGACTGGTAACTGGGAGTGGCCGCCGAGACCACATAACACCGGTCTTGAAAGAACTACATTGGCTCCCAGTACGTTTCCGAGCACAATTCAAAGTGTTGGTGCTGACTTTTAAATCCCTAAACGGCCTCGGCCCAGTATACCTGAAGGAGCATCTCCATCCCCATTGTTCTGCCCTGAAGTTGCCATGGGTTGAACCTTGGATCTTCTGCATACAAAGCAGGTGCTCTGTGTTCCTCTTACTGTGTGTTTGTTGTTTCTAAAAACCAAGGCTGCATACACAACATGCATATAAAGTGCATGGCTGACCCCAAAGAATCCTGGGAAGTGTTCTGAGAATAATAGTTTATGCCATGGATATAAGAGCTGCTGCTCTTATTTATACTGCTTTCAGTTTTGTTCTTTGTTTTCATCACTTGTGAGCCCATTAATTGCCCTTGAGGCCAAAAGGCAATCATGGAAATGTTGGTCGGAATAAACGAATAGGTCTAGTTAACTAAGAGGCGGCATGGAGATTGATGCCTGACACCCAGGAAGAGCATGGGATGGTGCCTGGTTCCTTGATGAACATTTAAAACACACACACACACACACACACACACACACCTATCACAATCCTAGATCAGACAAAGTGTGCATCGTTCAACATTAAAAGCTACATTTAACAGTTACCTGACATGTCACATGTACGTACATACAAACATACATACATATACAGGCACAGAACAGTGAAGCCACATGGCAAACCACGGTATGAGAGTAGAGGAAGAGAAAAAGAGTTATAAAGGAGGCTCACCTCCAAGAAGGGAAAAATCCAGTGAGCAGGTGGGGGCAAGGGATGCAGAGCTGTAGTGCTCCAGACATTTCTAGAATCTGGCTCTCATCAGAGGTGCATCCAGCACAGCCAATAATCACGAATGATGGGAGTTTGAGTCCAGCAACATCTGGGGGGCCACAAGCTCCCCATGCCAGATTTAAACCCACACCTGTCCCCAGTCGTACATAATATGAGACTGCAGGGTCCAATCATTCAATTGAAAGGAGTATTCAGATGATGGGAAATGAACCCTCCAGCCAGCACTCCCAATGGTCAGGGATAGAGCAGTTGCCATCCAGCAACATCTGGAGGGCTACATATTGCACACCCCTGCTCTAATAAGCAGCATTCCCTACTGCATGCAACGGAAGGAAGGAAGGCTCTATTCAGAAGAGGCATTCCCTCAGACTGGAGAACCTGTAGCACTCCAGCTGCTGGGCTGCAACATTCAATATGCCAGAATTATGCAAGTTGCCATCCAGCAACATCTGGAGGGCACAGGTCACACCATCCCTGGGATAGGCAACTGTTGGGATGGAGAATAAGAGGCCTGTGGGTTAAGGCTGGTCCAGAAGGCCAGTATTGGAAGGGCCAGCCCTAGACAAATTGGTTCCTCCTAGTCCCGAAAACTCAGGGTGCTTATAGTAACCAAGGTTACTTGTTACAGTGGTGCCCCACAAGACGAATGCCTCGCAAGACGAAAAACCCGCTAGACGAAAGGGTTTTCCGTTTTTTGATGCGCTTCGCAGGACGAATTTCCCTATGGGCTTGCTTCGCAAGACGAAAATGTCTTGCGAGTCTTGAGATTTTTTTCGCTTTCGCCCCCCTTTTTCTAAGCCGCTAAGCCTTTAATAGCCGCTAAACCGCTAATAGTGCTAGCCTTTTAGCCGCTAAGCCGCTAAGCCTTTAATAGCCGCTAAACCGCTAATAGCGCTAAGCCGCTAAGCTGCTAATAGGGTTGCTTCGCAAGACGAAAAAACCGCTAGACGAAGAGACTCGCGGAACAGATTAATTTCGTCTTGCGAGGCACCACTGTATTTTATTTTTTAGATACATTTTAAAGATATGGTTGACTTTCTCCTCTTTTGTCTCAGTGTTGCCATTGTAGAACCTAGCAGGAAAGTGGGCAGGGCAAAAGCAGAATGAATTGGCGCTACCAGTAATTGGGCTCCAGCTCTTACTGTGGGCCTCTCTACCTTCTGCCCCACCAGTCCCAGTGGGGTTTATCGTTCACGTCCCCATTGCAGGGAATAGATGCTTTGCCAGGGAACTGGAGAACCTTCCACCAGCATTGCACCCCCAACTTCCACAGGTAAGCCGCTCGGGGGGAAGTGGGGGAGCTGGAGGCAGATACTTGATAAGCAATTAAAACAGGCCCCATTTGAACAAGAACCATACTTGACTTGCTCCTGCCCACAATCAGTCAAACAGTTTGGGATCCCTTGCCACAGCAGAGTTGCCTGTGCAGGGACTCAATTATGGCTGCATTCACACCACACATTTAAAGCACTTGTGTTGCCCCGTCTCAAACAGTTGTGGCTTCCCCCAAAGTATCCTAGGAGCTGTGTTGTGCTAAGGGTGCTAATAGTTGTTTGGAAACCCCCCATTTCCCTCCAAGACCTACAGTTCCCAGAGTTCACTGATTGTTAAACTGCCCTGGGAATTGTAGCTCCATGAGCAGAATAGGGGCCTCCTAATGACTAAACAACAACAACAACAAACAACTCTCAGGGCCCTTAGCAAAGTACACTTCTCAGACTTACAGACTCAATGTTAAGACTGTGTTCGTGGAAGACAATATTACTCGGCTACGAGTGATTGCCAACGAAGAAGATGACAAAGACATGTCTCAGAATTCTCTGGTGAAAGCCATGACTGTTTAAAGTGGCATTGTTCTGCTTTAAATGTTAAGGTTGCCTACATAAAAAAATAACAATGCTTTAGTTGGAACTGTAGGAGTTAGGAATGTGAAATGGAGATCTGGCTAGACCAACCATCATTCAATGGGATCTCTCTAGAACAGGCCACCTGGAGACTGGATTTTGCCACAGGTGGGAGCAGATAGGGAAGGGATAAGGAGGAAGAGACAGACAGGTAAACAGACACAGAGAGACAGAGAAAGAAGAGGACAGAGAAGCTCATGATGGAGTGAAGAAAAGGGAGGTGGGGCCAAGCATGACTCTGCCAAAAGGACTCACCTATTAGCACCTCCCACTTCCCACTGGCTTGAGTCACCTCATAAGCGCAGCGCATCTCATTCAGGCCCACACCCCCCAGGATGAAAATGATGAGGCGGGGGCCACTCCTGTACTCCCCAGGAGCCTTGTTCTTGTGCCAGTGTCCATAGCGGGCACTGAATGCAGGAGAGAAAAGAAGGACAAACAAGAGGAGGGGAAAATACATCATGCAGAAGTTCAACAATTTTAAAATACACGGAATTGTGTTAACATGAACTAAATGATCCCGGCTAGGATTGCACATCACACAATCTTGTGAGTAGTCAGAAGTGACAGGTCACACACATTGTCCTGTTGCAATCCTTACAAACAACCCCCACAAGGCCCATCTGCACTATACATTGACATCACTACAAGGCAAAAAAAAAAGGTAAAGGACCCCTGGATGGTTAAGTCCAGTCAAAGGTGACTATGGGGTGCGGTGCTCATCTCCGCTTTCAGGCCAAGGGAGCCGGCGTTTGTCCACAGACAGCTTTCTGGGTTATGACTAAACCACTTCTGGTGCAATGGGACCGTTTACCTTTGTACCGTAGTGGTACCTATTTATCTACTTGCACTGGTGTGCTTTCGAACTGCTAGGCTGGCCAGGAGCTGGGACCGAGCAACAGGAGCTTGCCCCGTCGTGTGGATTCAAACTGCTAACCTTCCAATCGGCAAACCAATGAGGCTCAGTCATTTAGACCACAGCACCATCACTACTATCCCACTTTAAACAGTCATGGTTCCTCCCATATCTAGTATTATGAAAAGCAGGGAAACACCTCTCCCTATCCACTTTCTCCACACCACACATAGTTTCTATACACCTCTATCATGTCTCTTCTTACTTGTCTTTTTTCTAAACTAAAAAGCCCCAAACGCTGCAACCTTTCCTCATAGCGGAGTTGGTTTGAGCTTTTTGCAGCTCTGCAAATATCCTTTTTGAGGCGAGGCAACCAGAACTGTACACAGTATTCCATGGATGGCCTTACCATCAGTGGGTAAAACAGCACTAAGACACGGGCAGCTTTTATTTGCAAGCCCTATTCCCAACATGGGATTCAAATTCTTCCACACTTCCATTCCTTTAATAATGTGGTTGCTTTTTATGCTGTGCTTTCGTGACAAGGCAGCACAAACCAGGTTGGAGGGCTGTTAGAACAGAAGATAAAAGGAGGAAGGTACAACCCAAGGAATGCCTTTGTGGCTGTTGCTGGCCTGGGAGCGAGGTGTGAAGCCTTCTTCCTACCTGACCGCTGTAGTGCTGAAGGAAGCAGAGGATCGGGTGGAGATGTAAGGGTAGTGTTTGGTGTCCAGTTTGTCCTCAATGGCATCCTAAAAAGAGAAGAGCAGAAGATCAGCAGTTTTGGAAGAGCTTTCATATGTGCATCCTAGTGAGCTAGCTCTAAGGTAAAGGTAAAGGGACCCCTGACCATTAGGTCCAGTCATGGACGACTCTGGGACTGCGGTGCTCATCTCGCTTTATTGGCCGAGGGAGCCGGCGTACAGCTTCCGGGTCATATGGCCAGCATGACTAAGCTGCTTCTGGCAAACCAGAGCAGTGCATGGAAACGCCATTTACCTTCCCGCCGGAGCGGTAACTATTCATCTACTTGCACTTTGATGTGCTTTCAAACTGCTAGGTTGGCAGGAGCAGGGACTGAGCAACCGGAGCTCAGCCCGTCGCAGGGATTCGAACCACCGACCTTCTGATCAGCAAGTCCTAGGCTCTGTGGTTTAACCCACAGCGCCACTTGCATCCCTGCTAGCTCTAAAGATGAGCAAATCCATCAACTCTGGATTCTCATTTCTCATTTTCAGTTCTCCACATTTCCACATCAGTTTGAAATTTTCTTTTAGCCTACATCTGCATTTTAGTGTAAATTTCTCCTAATATACACATTTTTCTCCTTAGAGCCACATTTTTCTATGTCATTTTTCCTAAGCAAAGCAATTTGCCCCCCATGGCTTCAATGCACATCTCATGTCCATTAGGAGCCGTGCATTTAGGATTGCGGGTCCAATTTTATGGAACTGTTTAGACAGGTCTTCACAATATGAGTTTTCTCTTTCTAACCAACTAATATTTGAAGATGCTTTACTAGTGTTTTTAACTCTGCAGATGCTTTTTGTAGATGCCTCAGGGCTGGCCCAATACATGTTGGTGCTTGAGGTGAATCATAACATGGTGCCCCACACAGTGGCGGACCTAATTTTGGGGGGCTCTGAAGCTTGAACTATTATGGGCCCCCCTTTGCAACTAGCAATGAGGTCTAGGTAGCCACTGTTATCTTCTTCAAGAGAGTTGTTCCATAACAGATCACCACACCTTTATAACATCTGTGCTACTGACTCTCAAACTTAGGGATTGTTGAAATATATACAACAACAAAAATAATCAATTTGAGTTGTGCGACTCAGTTTGGGTCTACTAGACCCAAAAATTCTAAGCAATGTGGACTAAAGTCATTTCTTGGGGGCTTCACTAGTTTCATAGAAGACCCATCCCCAGCCTCACCAACCCCAGGAAAGAAGCAGTGAGTGAAGATCTACATGAGGAACAATGGGAGTAAGCAAATCAACCATACCCAGCAGTTAAAGTGGGAATGAAAGGCTGTCATGAGGGGGAATCACGCCAGGTGGGTGTAGACCCCAGAAGATCCCAGAAGGCAGCCCCCACCATTTCCTTTTGGGTGGGGGAAGAAGAGCAGCAATGCCTCCTATTTGCCAAGAGGCTACTATAGAGGCAGCAGATCCAGCCTCAAAGGAGCCTGCCGCAGCCATGGCTGCTACCAAGGTGATAGCAGCAGGAGGTGATGTATATTTGGAGACTGTTGATTTGGCCACCAGAGGCAGTTGTCTCTCCTTTCCTTACAGTGGGCCGGCCCTTAGATGCCTCTCATTCTTTTAAGCCTTAATACATTTTTTAAAAAATACAGATTATAAATATGCAAATAGAAAACCAAGGAGGCTAATGGCAATCTCCCCCAAAGATGCATTCATCAAGTGCTTGACCCTATCAACTGTCAGTGCCAGCCCTATGATGACCGGCAAATCCAAGGAGATCCAGGTTGCTCATGTCCATCACATGCCCACCTGCAAACTTCATAGGAACAGCCAGTCTGATCACAGGCAGAGTAACAAATGTAAATCTTACTTTAGGACAGCTGGCTAGTTTCTGCCCCTGCCCTCCACCCAGGCAAGCAAGAAGCGTTATCACAGCTCAAACACACATTTCAGCCAGACAACAACTCTCAGGGAGGATGCAAAGCAGAGAGTGTGGCTAGACTGGAGACGTGGCCTAAAGAGAATCTCAGAGGCCAGACAGATAGGCCCGTAGGACCACATTTGACCCCTGGGTCTCAAGGTCCCCCTCCTCTAGTTTAAATCTTTACCTCCATAATATCCTTTACCACCGGGGTCCATCGAGACAGCTGGTAGGTCTGCTCGCTGATTCGCTCCTTCCGCTCAGGCTTGCTTCTGCGGCGTAAGGTAGACTGAGAAGAGGGAAATAGGCAATTGCAAACATGGAGGGAGTGCGAACAAAAAAGGCAGACACACCACACAACTGGCTTTCTTTTTCATGCTTTAGTTTAGGGCAACGCCTGTGCCTTGCAAACGGGCCACTAACAAGTTAAGCTCCTTCATGGTGCTGATGAAAGCTGCAGGGACCAGATAAGGGACTTATCTCAATCACATCAGTGTCTGGTGGACAAAGTGAGGATTTCATGATAGCTGCTGGCACCCTTCCCCACAAAAAGAGAAAATATCATAGGAAGAAGCATAAAATAAATTCCAGGTGTAAATTTAAACCACCAACATACATCACTTTTATACCCCTTTAACTCGCATGGCTTTCTTCCACAGAATTTTGCGAACTACAGTCTAGAAAGAGTCCCAAAGATTGTAGTGGCTATCCCCACACACTGAAATATATTTCCCATGATTCCCTGGGAAGGTGGAAAAATTGTTGAATTAGTCCAAGGTTGTTGACAGACACAACAATCTTTGAATAATGGAATGGAAAAGTCAGAAGAATTTACTTTTCCCATAGATCAATGCCCCTTTATAGAGAAAAAAGGTACCACCCCTAATCTACTGTGTGTCAGTGAATGTCCTGGGATTCAGAAAAGGTTTAAGTTAGGTATATTAGCTTTATTAAATTTACTTGAAGCCTTGTACTTGGCGTTGTCCAGAAATTGCAAGAAAGCCCCCAAACCTGTGCAGTTTGGAGTAGCTCAGTCCACCATTTTGTTCCAAAATGGTGTCCAGCTGTATCCAAACATAGACAAAAAATCTGCTTTTTGATCTCAGGAACCATTATGCAAAATCTGCTTATGACAACATAAAGAGGTATCCAAATGCATATAGAGCAGCCAGGCAAACAACTTCCCAAAAGATCTAGTACAGTGGTACCTTGGGTTAAGTACTTAATTCGTTCCAGAGGTCCATTCTTAACCTGAAACTGTTCTTAACCTGAAGACCACTTCAGCTAATGGGGCCTCCTGCTGCCACTGCGCCACCACTGCACGATTTCTGTTCTCATCCTGAAGCAAAGTTCTTAACCTGAGGTAATATTTCTGGGTTAGTGGAGTCTGTAACCTGAAGCGTATGTAACCTGAAGCGTATGTAACCCAAGGTACCACTGTAGTTGTATTGTTATTATTTATATACCACCATTCATCACAAGATCTCAGGGTGGTTGACATGATAAAAATACAAGGCAAAAGCACGAAGAAATAGTTTAAATAAAAAGAACAGAATAATACCCCCCCACACACTCACAAACTCATTAAAAAGGCTGTAAATGTTAATCAGACAAACACCTGGTTGAAGAGGACCATTTTTGCCTGGCACCTGAAGGCACCAGAAGAACCTCCCTGGGGGAGCATTCCATGAACAGGTGGCTACTATACAGAGAAGGCCTGCTCTCTTATTGCCACTCTCAGGGCATCCTTCGAAGGTGGCACACAGAGAGTCGGTGTTCCAGCTTTGCATGCTGAGCTAGAGCCCTTTTCCTTCAGCAACTGGGAAAGGCATCTCCGAGCCATTGCTAAAAAATCTTCAAGACCTGGTAAAAACTTACATCTGTGATGATGGGTACTCCAAGGTGGGCCATATTGGTGATGATCTCACTGTCCTCAGGTGGAATCTGAGCATGTTGAATCAGCTTGTTGAGATTTTCCTCAGTGATGCCTGGAAGGGTGGAAAAACATAAAAAGTGAGGCTATTTCCTTCCCCCAAAAAGATAAATAATTTTACATGTCACTCAAACACCCCTTTCGCCAGGTTTTCCAAACTTCTGAGTTTATTGACCCCCATGGATGGACTTACAAAGTTGTCATTGACCCAACCCAAATTTTTAAGAAAGTGAATGAAATAAAGTCAATAAATACCAGCATATAATCAACATTTATCAATCATCAATCACCATGACTTGAAATCATAAAACAAAAGAAAAATAAGGAAGTAGAAAAAAGTATAAAGAGGTAAAGGGACCTCTGACCGTTAGGTCCAGTGGCACGAACGACTCTGGGGTTGCGGTGCTTATCTCGCTTTATTGGCCGAGGGAGCCAGCGTACAGCTTCCGGGTCATGTGGCCAGCATGACTAAGCCACTTCTGGTGAAGCCAGAGCAGCATACGGAAACTCTGTTTACCTTCCCGCCTGAGTGGTACCTATTTATCTACTTGCACTTTGACGTGCTTTCGAACTGCTAGGTTGGCAGGAGCAGGGACCGAGCAACTGGAGCTCACCCTATCGCGGGGATTCGAACTGCCGACCTTCTGGTTGGCAAGCTCTAGGCTCTGTGGTTTAGACCACAACGCCACCTGCGTTCCAGAAAAAAGTATACTTGCATGCAAATCTGTGTAGTATATTGTGGAATCATCTTAATAAATTCTGAGGTTCCTCATTAACCAGAGGACACATGGTTCCACACATTCCTAGGACTTTTATTTCTCAGGCTCATAGTTCCCAATTAAACTTTTTGCACTACATCTTATGAGATTCTTTTTTACATCCCTGGGAGTTTAACAACCTTCTTGACCACAAAGTCTTTATTCAGCCTCTGCCCTGCCCCACTGACCTCTGGGGTGAGGTGGGGATCAATATCAACCACTTTGGAAGCAGCTACATCACCTACCATTCTTCAGGAAGATGTAGAGCAGGATGATACGGATCTTGTCATAAGTGCTGACATTTGCATCAAGCAGGATGGGGACAATAGCCCTCATTGGGTCCTTTATTTTCTCCCCCTCTGCATCGGTTCCCATGGCCAGGTCCTGAAGAAGAAATATATAGCATCCATCAGTCTTTGCCCACTTTGGATCTACAAGGTAGATTGTCTTCTGCCGCCTGATGTCCATGTCAAATCCAGGGAGGGAAAATGCTGGAGCAGCACAACTTTACTCTTAATATAATCACACTGAAATCCTGAATTTAGGGAAAAGTAAGACACTGCATTTATTACATGTTTGATGGGAAAGCTCCTATTTCTATCTAAGATGGAGATGCCTTGAGCCATGCTTGATCTTGCTGAATCCTCATGGAGTGGGAGGAAGTAGGAAATGAGGTCAGCAACCCCAAGAGTATCAGTCTAGCACCTAAGGCAGGGGTGCCCAAACTTTTTCCAAAGAGGGCCAGAAGTGAATATGTGTGACCAAAGTTGTTGTTGAGCTTTTTTGGGGGGATTTAACTCCAATGTTTTTGAGCTCTTTTTTTTTACATTTTTACCCCAACGTTGTTGAGCTTTTCTTAGGGTTGAGCTGAAGTTGCTGAGCGTTTTTTAGGATTTTACCCAGGACATATACTGCCGCAGGGGCCGGATTAAATCGACCAGCTGGCTGGATTAGGCCCCCGAAACGGACTTTGGACATGCCTGACCTAAGGGAAGTTCAGCACAGGTTAGGTCAGAAAGGATGGGCTAAGAAACTTGGAGGTTTCTCTCTCCATCTGCTCTTTCCCCTGCAGACACATCAGCCTCCAATGCAAGCTGAGTTCCAAAACTTCCAACAGACTAGGATACTCCCACCCAGTCTTCCATTCCCCCACTGCCTGCTTATTCATTCTCACCTGCAAATGAAAAGCTAATCCAAGTTCTTCCCAATCCTTACAGTTTCCCATACTTAATAAAGACATTGCCTAGAGCCACCCAGATATCATGTCCATGAGCATTTCAAAGCTTTGATGTGCATCTCCCCCTTTTGGAGGAAGACACATGTATTGTAATCCTTCCATTGTATGTCACAGAGCACTTAAAAACAAAAGGTGACCCCTGTAAGACTACACTCCATCAATAAAGGAAAAATATAGCAACCTAGTCAGCAGCTAAGTCAGCTCTGAGATTCCTAGCAAATTATGCGAAAATGCATCACACACACACACACACACACAAAACCACATGGTGTTGCTGCTGACATAAGAATGTGTTTGCAGCAATGTCTTTCCATCAGCACAACCTGCTCAGCAATTTTTTGAATCAGTTGGTTTACCTGTTCAACTCGGCAGAGCTTGTCCACAGTGCCTTGGTAGTGTTTCATGCAATCTTCGGCCAAGTGAAGGTGAGTGGAGTACTGAAAAGAAATGTAAAAATAAAAATAAAAATGTGGCTAAGCTACTGTCCATCGTCAGTGCACAGAACCATAGACTTGTAGAATTGGAAGGTACCTGAGGGTCATCTACTCTAACCCCCTGCAATGCAGCAATCTCAGTTAAAGCATCCACGACAGATGGCCACTCAACCTCTGTTAAAAAAAACAACCTCCACAGAAGGAGAGTCCACCACCTCCCAAGGGAGTCCGTTCTACTGTCAAATAGGTCTTACCTTGCTCAGCTCCTTCTGATACTGGGGCATCTTTTTCAGCATCTGGGAGAGATCCCTCATGGTTGTCTACAAGTTTTAAACAGAGAACAAAAATCATCCACATGCCTTGCTTCCAAAGGGTACCCGGCAGCTTTTGGACCAGATGACCTGAGCTAAACAATGAAGATCTTAAACAGTTAAAGCAAGACAACCAGGTTGTTGGGGGTGTTTTTTGGAGGATAAAATCTTACTTAGAACCATTGAGCTGTACCTAGACAAACACCATATCTTGCACTACTCATTTAAAGAACCTGTAAAGCATTTTAAATGGCAATGGCTTCCCCCACAGAAACCTGGGAACTGTAATTTGTCAAGGGGGATGAGAGTTTTTAGGAGAACTCCTCCTCAATTCCCAGAGTTCCCTGGGAAGAGGGATTGATTGATAAACTACTTTGGGAATTGTTGCTCTGTGAGGGGAATAGGGGCATCCTAAGAACTCTCAGTGCCCTTAACAGTCATGACATCACTAAAAATAACAAACTGTGGTTTGTTAATGGTACCGAGAGTTGGTTGGGGGCTACAGTTCCCAGAGTGGTTTAGCAGTCAATTTGTCTTCCCAGGGAACTCTAGAAATTGTGGCTCCATGTGGGGAACAGTGTGTCTCCCAACACCTCTTAGGACTTTTAACTTGGAATCAGTGGGACCACGTTTAACTAACTTCATCTGGATCCAACACAAAGAATTCAAAGGAGCATCAAAAGGTCCAGTCTAATTCCTCATGAAGGGGAACTCACCACCTCTAACAGTGTAATCATGTTCCTCATAATAGTCTAATCCATTTTCTGTAATTTGAACCCCTCAATGCCTCACTCATTAATTCGCTGTGTCAGCTGTACAGCAGCCCTTTAAATATTTAACAATGTGATCTTAATCCTTTCTTCTCCAGAGTAAACACCCCCAGATTCTTCAGCCAATCCCTCATAGTACTTGGTCTTTTATATATTTGCTACATTTGAGGGGGGGGAGTTTATATCTATCTATAGGAATAAAAAGGCACCTTTCCTGCCCCTGCTCCTAGCTCTCTATTCAGTCTTAAACATTCTAACATATAATTGCTTGTTAAAGCTCACCTTATCACCTGTATTCATCCTTTTACTGGAAGAGAAGTCCTTCAGAGAGCGGGTGACCTCCCTGGAATCAAATAAAGACCAAGCAAGTCAGTAACATCCTCCCTACATCCAGCTCTAGCCATGCCCCTTCCCTAGAGCAGTGGTGGGGAACCGCAGGACCGGTGGTCAAATAAGGCCCTTTGGATCTCTCTATCTGGCCCTCAGAACTCTCCCCAGGCCACACCCCTCACTGGCCCAAGCATCTCTAGTAGGGCTAGAATGTGTCCTTCAACCCTAATAATGCCTCTTGCTTGTCTGGATGGAGGACAGAGAGCAGGGTGCAATTGCATGTGGAAAGTTGCCTACTCTTTGAAGGTAAAATTTGCATTCATTGCTCCATGCACTTTTGCTTCTGGCCCCACCCACCACTGGTACATTGCCCTCAGAAGGCTGCCCAGAAAGGAAACACAGTTCACTTCCTAAAAGCGTAGCTTCAGGCCACAGACCAACACAGAAGGTTAAATGTAAGTCTCTAGGGCTGCAACTCAACACAGGGAGGTTACGAGTGTGTGTGATCCCATCAGTTCCAATGGGCTTCACTAAAGAAGCTGAACTGCCTCAGTGGAGTGACTGAGCTACATATTAGTGACTGATCTACTGATTCAAGTCTCCTGTGGACCGTGAACTCGCTAGATGGCCTTAAGCAACCCATGTACACACACTCTCAGCCTGAGTCCTCCCTCCTCTGCAAATAATAATAATAATAATAATAATAATAATAATAATAATATAATAATAATAATAATAATAATATCCCCGCTTGCAAAATGGAAAATAATAACACCCACTGACTTCATAGGGTCACTGTAAGGACTATGCTAGACAATGCATGTAAAGTACTTAGAAAAACATAATTAAAGTTAACTTTTTACTGGTATGGAAAACCAGTGAGAAAACCAGAGTTTGTACAGTGAACACAAACACTTGAAAAAGTGCTGTGCAAATTATGATTATTAATGTTAGCCTCCTACTAATGAGGGGGTGGGGAGGAAAAAAGGACAGTCTGTTTACTATCCAGTTGGTTGCGTGCTTTGCTGTTTAAAAAATAAAAAGTGGTATCAAACTTCAATTAATAAATTAAACCTTCTTAATTGGATTTAGGATTCTGCAGTGCTGCTCTGCGTTATGATCCCCCCCACAAAAACAAACATATATAATCTCTCCTTTTGCACAACATTTCTAGCTGGAAGGCTGCTCCCTCCCAAAATAACCTCAGGCAACAGGAACAAAAGGCAGCACACTGTTTTGCAATATGCAGAGTGAACTCAACACCACCAAGAGAGAGGGGATGTGCTCTTACTGGGAGACTTCAGCAATGTGTTTGTGGCGCAAGGTGACCCAGAGGTCATCATCTTCATCCAGCAGAACCTCTTTGACACGGGCCTCCCCAATGCCACTTGTCTCATACCTAGTGGGGGAGAAAGAGAATGTAAGAACATAAGAGCCTCCTAACAACTCTCAGCAACCTTAACAAACTACAGCTCCCAGGTTTATTTGGGGGAAGCTCTCGCGGTGGCCAACCAGAGGCCTGGGGTAAACCCACAAGCAGGATTCAAGCAACTGGTATTCAGAAGCATTGCTGCCTCAAACTGGGAAGGCAGAGCATAGCCATCATAGCTAGTAGTCATCAATAGCACTCTCCTCCATTGATTTCTCTAATCCTTTTTAAAAGCCATCATTCCAGTGGGAGTGAGTTCTGCAGTTTGACTATGGGGAGAGAAGGTAAGTGCAGTAGTCCTTTTTGAAAAACCTATTTTAAAATTCATTTACAAGTGATTTTCACTTGTGCAGTGATGCTTCCCCTCTCCTATCCCCATGTACCCCCTAAATTTGTTATGGTGTTCACCAAAACTTTCAGTGCAGATTTTGGGGAGGCCTAAGGTGTGCATGGAGAAGAGGGGGGAAAGTCCTATGGTGTAGGTGGAAGTCATTCCACTTGCTCAAGGGTTTAGTGGAACACTGTCCTTAGGGCTTTTGCAACCACCAGGGTGTCTGCAGGACCCTTACTTGTAGACGTCATTCTCAATGGGAAGCAGATCATAGCTCATGGCTTGGAATGTCAGTTCATGTAGCACTGGAGAGCTGGGGTCAAAGCCGCGGTCCAGGATGACGAGCTGGGAACGGGCTTTGTCTGGACCCTTAGGAGGGGAGAAACACAACAGAAAGGCTCAAAGTGTGGGTGGGGACAGGGGGAGCATGGACAAGCCCCACCCTCAAAGCCATCATGTGTCACACCCAATCCCTGACCTTCCCAGTTCAAGGACAGCAAGCCCCTCTGAAGCTGCCACCTGGTGTCATGATGACATCAGGGGAATGGCAGGTTGCTGCCCCCACCCAGCAGTCAAAGTGTCCCCTGGAGTTCTGTGAGGCAGGTCCTCCTGCTGGCTGAATCTAGTTTCCCACCCCAGAAATGTCAGGAACCCGGCTAGACATGTGCCCCTTAAGAGAAAAGGTGCCCAGTTTATATGACCTGACCTTGTTGGTTGTTCCACACTGAAGTACTCACCTCACCCATGGTAGGGTCATCAGCCTTGTAAGCATCAAGTTTGTCCTGGATCAGCTGGGCCAACATGGCATTGTCTTTGTAATCCCTGCAAAAAAGCAGAAAAACAATGCAACATATATATATATACAGGAGACGCAGGTGGCGCTGTGGTTTAAACCACTGTGCTGCTTGGGCTTGCCGATCGGAAGGTCGGGTTCGAATCCCCGCAACGGGGTGAGCTCCCAGCTCCTGCCAACCTAGCAGTTTGAAAGCACATCAAAGTGCAAGTAGATAAATAGGTACCACTCTGGAGGGAAGGTAAACAGAGTTTCCGTGTGCTGCTCTGGCTTCACCAGAAGCGGCTTAGTCATGCTGGCCACATGACCTGGAAAATCTGTCTGTAGAAGCTCCCTCGGCCTGTAAAGCAAGATGAGTGCCACAACCCCAGAGTCGTTCGTGCTGCTGGACCCGGAAAAACCCACAATACATCAGTTCAGCTCCCACTTTAAAGAAGGTATGAACTGCTTTGCTGGATGGGACCAGCATTCATCTAGTTTTCCTTTTCCCAAAGCAGGCACAAGGAACCTGTGGCTTCCCAGACCTTTTTATAAATGGTGCTTTATGTTTTCATTGTATAGATGTTGTTGTACACCACCCTGACATCTTAAGAGATGGCAGCACACATATACTTTTTATAAAGTAAATCAATAAAACTCCCAACTCCCATCCTTTCCAGCCAGCATGGACAATTCAAGCAAACCTTTCCAAAAAATAAATAAATAGAAAATAAAGAAAAGTGAGCCGATTTGCAAGTGTGATTCATTAACCTGAGTCAGTTTGGGGAAGTTATTTCTAAGGATTTGTTTTAGCTATAACTTGTACGTGAAACCCTGCCTTAAAGCTACTATCTATAAATATATTTGGGGCACATCAGGATGGAGGGGAGGAGGAAGAGAAATAGTAAATAAAGCATCTTATTCATTGTTGCTATTTACTACCAGGTAAGTAAAGGAAAGAAAGGTCAGGGTTGGCAGAGCACAAAGCGCTTCCTTTAGAAGACCCCTGTCCAGAACCCAGACTTACCCTCTGTATCGGACAGCAGGGTATTCCTTCAGGGTGGCACAAAGGGTGGCAATCTGCTCTGCCAGGCGCTCCAAGATTGGGTTTTTCATCTGGGCCTTGTGAGGGCTGTAGAAGCTCTGGAAAGAGTCAGCAGAGTCCAGGGAGTAAACCTGCAGAGGGCATCAAAAGAACAGCAGAATGGCAAAGTGAGCTAAATTCTCAAGGCCAAGTAAAATGGGTGGATATCATACACGGGAGCCAGCAAACCTCTCCAAGGTGGGAAGATAGGAAGCTGACTTATCCCAAGTCAGACCACTGGTCCCTCTAGCTCAGGTTTGCATGCACTGACTGGCAGCAGCTCTCCAGCATTTCAGAGAGGGACATTCCCAGCCCTACACAGGAGATGCTGGGAACTGAGCCTAGTAGAGTTCCCTGATAAGAAGGGGTCACTGTTAAACCACTTTCGTCTGCTGCCTTCATTACACATCTTCAGGCACCAGGCAAAAATATTCCTTTACAACCAGGCCTTTGACTGATTGCACATTCTATGGCTTTTAAAATGGGTTTGTGGGTGGGGGTTACTTTTTTATTATGTATTTTGTGTTCTCATTTTATATTTTTATGTTGTGAACTGCTCTGTAAATTTTGGATTAAGGGTGGGTAGGTAGATAGGTAGATGATAGATAGATAGAGATAGATAGATGATAGATACATGATAGATAGATAGATAGATAGATAGATAGATAGATAGATAGATAGGAAATTGTAGCTCTGTGTGAGGAATAGGAGTCGCCTAACAACTCTCAGACCCTTAATAAACTATACTTCCCAGGATTCGGGGGGGGGGCCCTGCCTCTTCAAAGTGGTATAATTCTGCTGTAAATGTGAGGTACAGATGGGGTGTTAAGGTGACTTGTTAGTTCCTTCATTATTGCTAAGTCCCAAGATTTGATGCAATACTTCTGGACAGTCAGACCCAAAATATTTTGAAGTGTTGTGCTGTAATTATACATGCCCCCACAAGCATAAACCTTATCAAGTCCTCAGAAAGTGCTTCTGTGTAATCACCCAAAAATATGCATAGTAAGCACAGGTTGTGGTCTTTAAACAAGGAGTAGCATACAATGAGGCTTATTTCAGTAATAGCATCATCCCAATTCCATCAGTGCCAGAGGGCATTTCCACCACAGATAAAAAACAGTGGAACTTTGATGAAATTTATGTTTCAATAGCAACCCTAAGATTACAGAAAATATAGTTCCTTGCTATAGTCATTAAAACCAGGCCACAATTGTTAAAGAGAAGATGAGCCCCATGTCAAAAGTGTCTTTAAAAAAAAAACACTATTTCTGATTGAACATGGGTTTTATTGTGTTCGTATTTTAAATTGCACACTTTGTGTCCATGTATATTGTGGGGTTTTCTTCCTCAGCTGTTTGGTTGTCTTGATAACCCTTTATTATATTGGGATTTTTATGGTTTGTAGACCCTATTAGCTGAACTGAACATAAAGTACTTAAACACAGCAGCAAGTCCTGGGCCTGAAAACAGACCCTGAAAGGGAAGAAATCTTGCTCAAATTAAACCCCCTCTGCAACTAGCTTTTTTGTTGTTGTTTTTGTATCTTGACTGCTGCCACGCGCAGTCAGGAGAATAGTCCATTCAGATTAATATTCTGCCTCCTGGAGGAGATCTGACAGATGTCTTAGGGAGAGTTCAAAAGCAGGGCATGATGGTGCAGCAGATGTTGGGGATGAAGGAGGAGCAAATATCTCCAACAAATACCTTTGCAGAAAAAGGGGAACCAAATATATCATGGCAAAGCACCCTTTGAGCAAACAGCTGTAACAATAGCCACAATCACACATTATGCTCAACTGTGGGCTAGCGCAATATTCTCCAACCTTCACCACTTAAACACTCCCATTTCCAACTGTTCTGAAACTAAACACAAAGATGGGGGGACATTTAAAAAGAAAAATTGAAAAAATAAGAGGAAAACAAGAAGGAAGCCACTCTTTGATGGGTTGGAAGAATAGAGCACCACCAGGGAAATGTTGCAAAGCACACAAAATGGAGCTGAAGGCCACATACTGCTCCCAGGTTGCTACTTGGTTTAGTGGGATGCAACATCACCACTGGGTGAAAAAAGGGATAGAGTTTGCTGCAGGGAAGGGAAGGGAGTAAATCTTTCCTCCCAACACTGTTTGTTCAGTTGCCTCCCTAAGTTCAGAGGATATGTTGGCTGGTAGGCCAACAGAGAATAGACCAAGAAGGGAGTTCATCACACAATCATAACATGATGGCGACGGCCATGGCTTGGATTGCTTTAAAGAAGAATGAAACAAATCCATGCAGGAGGTCTATCAATAGCTATGATCCATGGTAGCTAAATGCAGCCTGTAGCTTGAGAGCCAGCCTACTACTCAATTGCTGGTTCCTATGGGGCAACAGGAGAGGGTAAGTCTATTGCATTTTTGCTCTGGGGTGCTCCAAAGGCATCCGGCTGCTGACAATGGGAAAGAAGATGCAGGGCTTAGATGAACTTTGATTTGATCCAGGAGGACTAAAACAAAACTTATCTTTGCATGCCTAGATCTGCTTGCGCTCATCCCTTCCCATGCTTGTTTCCTGCTGTCACTGCTCACTCAAGCAATAGAAAAGCAGGTTGTTAAGGCTGTCAGGGTAGGGATTTGCCTTTTTGCTAATGTCTGCAAAATGCTGTCTACACTGCTGCCACTATAGTACCTGGCAGCATGGATTGTCCAACTTCCAGCTGCCCCATTCCATCCTCTCTCTCCCCCCCCCTCCAAAGTCTTTACTATGCAGTATTCTGGGATATCCTCCATGTTAAGTCCCTCCCCCCTTAAGATTTCATTTTTATACTTTTGCAAATCTCTAGGCTCTCTGAGCTCTCGCTATATCTCCCGCATATCTGTGCCCAATGCAGTTTTGGCTATATTTATTTATTTATTATTGCGTTTTTATCTCTCCTCCCCCCCCCCCCAGGAGATCCAGGTGGCATGCATAGTTCTCTTCTGTTCGTCATCAGTAGTTCCGCTGGAAGTGAAGTCATCTCTGTGCTTATTCGCCAAGGGCATGTTTGTGCAGAGAAAAGTGACCTGTTTAGTATTTATAGCTCTGTACACCTGCCTGCCATCTGTTCCTAGTCACGTCACCCACCCACCCCTTGGTACGGCACAGGAAGGGCCAATTGCAAAGCAGATGGCCAAGGAAGGCTCCTTGCTTCTCCCATTGGAGAGAACCAGCCAATGGTAGAAGAGAAAGAGTAGAACGCAGGGAACATCTGTGTTTGTTTGTGCCTGCGTGTGGGGGTGCGAGCACGAAGGCTAAGGCCGCAACAGAGAGAGGCAGGCCTGGAGAAAGAATAAATAAATCAAGGAAGACAAGCACAGGGTGGCAGGAAGGAAGGAGGCCACTCCCTCGCCTAGAAAGCTGTTGCATGAATTGCAATTCCCACTGCAAGCCCTTATGTAAGCCTGTAATCCTCTCTTTCCTCTGTAGGCAACTTAAGAAGCATACAAGAAGATGGATGAGGCTATAGCTCTGAAGCACACACAAGAGAATTGTCATCACTGCTGACTGGGGTGGGGCTCTTATCAGTGGGCCCCTTAGGGAGATGTGAGTCTTAATTGGGCCAGCCCTTTAATTGGTAGCCAGACCTGCTCACTGAGAGGGAGTGGGGGAATCTTATGTTAATGTTGTTGTTTCTTACATTTTATATCCCACCTTTCCCCACCCCAAGGACTCAAGGTAGGGTACATAGTTCCCCTCGCCCCATTTTATCTCACAACAACAGATGAGATAGGTAGGTTGAGAGACAGTTGCCAGCCCAGGATCACCCAATGAGCTTCATGGGCCACGTTGGGGATTTGAACCTTGTTCTACAAAGCCCTAGTCCAACACACTAACCACTACACCACACATGATTCTGTTGCATCATCTGCAAATTTTATCCAGTTGTGTCAAAAGGAAAATAAAAGTAACAGCTGCTTTTAAAATTATTATTTCACAATAATGGTGAATGGGGGAGGCATGAAGGTAAGACCTGGGAAACCAGGGTTCAAATTCCAATTCAGCCATGAAGTCCCCCTGGGTGACCCTGGAGCAGTCATTATTCTCAACCTAACCTACCTCACAGGGTTGTTGTGTTGATAAAATAGAATGGGGGTGAAAGCGTGTAAGCCGCTTTGAGCTCCTCAGAGGCAAAACTGGTGCACAAATGCAATAAGAAAATTTAAAAAAAATCAGTTTTCTTAACTTTCCAATTTCTCCAATCCCAAAGTCAGTTCTCCACAATCTGCAATTGTACACTGATTTCAGCAACTTGGAGGAAAATGTGGTATATAAATGTAAGAAAGGAATGAAAGAAATGAAAGAAATGATTTTTTTTTTTTCAAATTGAAATGCAGATCCAAACTGAACCAGGCAGAAGTGCTTTGAAATGAAGTGGGATGTTTTCCCCCTGACACACCAAATCTGTGCTGAAACTGAAAACTAGAAATGCACAGTCCTTTCTCAGTTGTTGCACAGGGTCAAAGCATTTTTTGACATAATGAGCAGAGAATATCAAATAGAAAGGGAGCCCAGGTTCAGTTCCCCGACACCTCAAGTTCAAACAACCAAGTAGCAAGTGATGGGAAAGATTTGTGACTGGGAAGCTGGAGAGCCACTGCCAGTCAGAGGGTGACACTGGTGAGCTGGACAAACAGGCTGACCTTTTGCATGCAAAAGCAAGTTTAGCTCCCACCCACCCACCCTACTTGCCCCCACCACTCTGTGGACTCACTTGAGACTCGTAGGGCAGGAAAGCAATGTTGATCTCTGTCAGAGTCTTGATGACTTTCGCAGCACGGGACTTGACCAGCTCATTAAACAAGGAATCAGGGCAAGCTGGAAGAATGGAGTAAAAGTAGCCACTATAGTCAAACAGCCAACTCAAAACCATTTGGATGCCTCAGTGGGGGTATGAGGTGAGGAGCCAAATCAGGCCCACCCACACCATACAGGGCCATTTCCTCAAAACCACAGGTGACACACCATCCATTGCTGCCTCTGAATCCCTCCTTTCTATGTCACATTCCCATTCATTCATCACTGAAGCCACTGCTTTGTTTTGCTTTTCAGTCTTCTTTTTTCCACATAAGGAACAGTCATCTTCTGCAGCATCCCTTGCTAGGATTTTTGACAATGTCATTTCAGATGCTGCCACTTAAGGAATTCCTCCCTTATCTGCAGAAATTACAGATCAGCAGGTCCTTGCAGGAAATGGTGTGCATCCACCAATCAGCACTGCCTGGAGAACCTGCTTGAAGTAGAAATCTTTGACCTGGGGAGCCAGAAGCAGCTGTCTAGCCTTCTTTTTCTGGCCCTCAGGACTGCCCACAGGCCACACACCCTCCCCCGCCATACTTTGAACCTTCCCTGAGTGATTTTACTGGATTGTAATAGGTCCTTGAACTCACATCTTTCCTCATGCTTGCCTGAGGGAAAGGTTTGTGTGTGTAGAAACAAGCCTACTCAAGCAAATGTTATATTAGCATTACTTGGTCTACCCACTTTTGCGTCCAGCTCTGCCTACCATGCCTTGTGGCTCCCAGATGGTTGCATAGAATAGGGTTGCCATATCTTGATGAGCAAAAACAGAGGACAGCTTGAGCCACTGCCAACTTGAGCCACAGAAAGAGGCGCATGGGAGTGTGGGGCCACCACCGCCATGCCCACGTGCCTCTTTCTCTGGCTTGGGCTAGCAGTGGCCGCAGTGTAGAGAGCCACCTGCAGCTGAGCCTGCTGCCAAGCTGCCCACACCCGCACCACCCATGCAAAAATAAAATAAAAACCCTGGACATTTCCTTTAAAATGTTAAAATTGAAACACCCTTTGAGAACCACTGGTGTAGGTAGGTTGTGCAGATTTTTAATCCACGTGTGTACTTATTTTGTTCACAAAAACAGTTTTCTGATGCTCTGATTCATATGCATGGAGTTTTGAGCATAATATATTCATATGTCCTAGTTCCTCTAGCGTACAGTGTGAGCTTCATCTTGCATCATTTAAAATCTCAACACTGCCTATCAGTTAGCTTCTTTAAACTACCATATTAATTAGCCCAACTGTGGAAATAATAACAAGGCTAAGCAAAAAATGATACTGGAAGGAAATGCTGTTTCCATGCACATGCAAAATGCAGTTCATAATACTGAACCAACTGTTAATTGGAGCTGTGTCTATGAAATTATGTAGACAATATTCTTGCAAACAGATTTGGGTCCATGTGCATTTTTCCTACCTATGATGCATCCTTTCTAGCTTAATTAAATTTTACCTGTGGTATGATTCTGTAACGTTTCATCAATTCATTATTTGTTTAATCTGGAAACAGAAGACTAGGAGATATGGACCCACCAAGCTGAATAAATGTGTACATATTATTATTTTTTTTAAATGTAACAATTCCCCCAGATGGTCCTGTTGATCCCTCAAAAGAGGACATGTCTGGGATTTCCCAGATGTATGGCAACCCTACATAGACAGCAGGGGGTGAAAGAAGTTCCCCATGCTTGGTTTGTAGCACCATACAGTGTAGTTCTTGAAACTTCTAGTTATAACCAGGAGGGGCAGAGAGAAATTCCCAGTATGCTTACAGTCAGTAAAGAAGACATGGGCAGCTCGATACTTGGCATTCGGTGGTTCCTTGAAATCACCAATGAGAGACTCAACAGACTAGGAGAAAGAAGAATAAGTAAAAACAATCAGTTTTAGATGCTTGCTAGTTCTGCTCAAAGTTCAAACCTTGGTTTGTATGAAAACAATTTTTCCCAAGTTAGTTTGCTTGGTGAGCCCCCTTTATAAAGTTATTCTCCTGACTCCCTGATCCTGCCCCACTGACCACTATTATAACAAGGCTTGACTTGCTTAAAATGAGGTTGGGAAGTTCTGTCTTTGGATAGGAGAATTGGCCAATACAGTTTTGTCCCAAAATACAACCCTACTGGTTTCATTTGAAATATTAGTACATCCATATCCCACCTTTTCTTCAAGGAGTTCAAGGTGGCATACTTTATTCTTGCTCCTCTCCATTTTATTCTTGCAACAACCCTATAAGGTAAGCTAGGCTGAGAGAGAGTGCCCAGCTGGGCCCAAGGATACCCAGTGGGCTTCATATGGCTGAGTGGCGATTCGAACCCTGGGCCCCCAGATTCTAGTTCAACATTCTCACCCCCTCACTGCACCAGCTCTATTTAAGTCATTCCTTGAATGGCCATCACCCGAAGAATGCAGGGTAGAGTACAAAACTGTGAGGACAATTCACATGACATGCAATATATTTAAACAAACAGCGTAATATAGAGAACAAATTAGGGTAAAAAAACATTTCTGACTAGAAGTCTGTCTAAATGAAGGAAGTCTTGACCAGGCACCAAAAAATATTGCAGCATTTGTGCCAGATGTGTCTTCTTAGGGCAGGCATTCCAGAATAGCCAACCCCCTTAGCCATTTCAGAGGCATGCTACCTCATAAGAAAAGCCATACTGGATCAGGTGAATGACCCATCTAGCTCGGCATCTTCTTCTTATAGCGGCAGATCAGATGCCCCAAATGGTGTTAGGCTATTGATGTTCCATTCCACCTTTAGAACAGGCATGTGGAGTTGTTTTATGTCACATGTCTGTTTACTTCCAGCACAGCCTGATGGGAACTTCCGTTGTGTATAGCTTTTGCTTATGTTTCCTGCTCTTGGACATGAAAGAGAGCAGATATGTTTTCTTTGTCCTGAACTATGCTGAATAAACTGCTTGTAAATATGCTTTACATATGCCTCTGTCCGCCACTTCTGTTGCGTGTTATTCACCCTGCTGATTAAGGTGTGTTCAAGCTTCTGAAGGCTTCTGAAGCTGTGTGCCTCTGTTTTGATGCTGTTCCAAAGACCGGAGTTCACCCGGCTGCCGGCCGGTGGGCTGGAGCCAGCTGGGGGCCTGCGATGTGGCCCCGTTCCCTTGGACACATCCCAATAATGGGAAGCTGGCAAGCAGAACCTGAGCACAGCAATGTCCAAGGAAGTAGGATTCAGAGGCATTCTGCTTCTGACAATGGAGGAAGAACATAAGCCATCACAGCCAGTAGCCATTGATAGCCTTGCCCTCCATGAATTTGTCTAATCCTCTTTTAAAGCCATTCAAGTTGATGGCCATCACTACCTCTTGCAGGAGCGAGTTCCACAGTTTAACTATGCACAGTGTAATAATGAAACACTTGATTCCTCCAACATTCAGCTTCACTGGATGTCCTTGAGTTTTAGAGTTATGCAAGAGCGAGAGAGAGAAACTTTCCTCTCTCCACTTTCTCCACACCACACAGAATTTTATACACTTCTATCATGCTTCTATCACGCTTACTTTCTCTGATGGGGTGATGAGGTACACAGCCTCCAGGCTGGGCAGTGGCTCCCGGCGCTTGTTGATGTCTTCCACAACTGCAAAAGGCAACGCAACAGAGATTTTCATCAGGGAGGAAAATATGGCAGATTCAAGGTGGTTACCAAGTCCTGCAACTAGTTATTGCTCCATTCTCAGAGATCAATAGCCTACAATTCAATCAGTCCACGTGAGAAGTTAGCTTTCCCCTTGGAATACCACCACCACCTCCAACAACAACAACGCAGCCAATACTCAAAATAAAATGGACTTGGGTGGCTGTTGTGCTTCTGACTTACTAAATGAAGCCACCACCCAGCTACACAAGTAGTGATGTATTCAGGCCCTAAGATGTGGAAGAGTGAGGCAGCTGCCTCAGGCAGCAGATGCTGAGATGGGGGAAGGGCCAGAGCTATGAGTGCCATGTGCCCTGCCCCCCCCCACTAACCTGCTGCCCACTAGTGAAGTGAAATACATTGTTCTTTCACTAGTATTGGTATAAGTTTCAACTACCAGTCCAATTTGCCTCAGTATGAATGAGGAGCTTTTAAACCATTGTATGCTCCAAAACTAAACATTTAGGAATGCTGAAAACACCTCAGTTTCAAGAGAACAGGGCTTCACATACAATGAAACTTCACGGAAACACAGCTTAAGTCCAAAAGAAGATGTTTGATAACTGTCTCTGAGAGGAGATTGGCACCCATGGCACTTGCTCAGAAATCCAAGTTTGCCCATGGGCTGCCTGTGTGTTTGTCATTGATGTTTTGTAATATGTTTCTACACCGCCCTGAGAGCTTTTGATAAGAGGCAGTACATAAATTGAAATCATCATCCTCATCATCCTGGCAACCCATATGCCAGGCAAACGAGGTGGTATCCAGGTTTGGTTCTATCCAGACAATGAGGGTGAGGTGGCTGGAGAAAGGGGGTGGGGGAGGTCCTGAACAATGCACTCACTTGTTATGCCCTCAGTCATGATATCAGTCATTTTGCAGCAGGAAGAAAGCATACGCATACTCAGCTGATCCACCACCAGCACCTGGGAGAGAAGGAGAAAGAAGTCATGCAAAAGTTGCCACCGACTTGGCTTGGGGTTGAACTAAAACTGTCCTGCATATGAGCTTCTTCTTCCCCATTATCATCACCATCATCATCATCACTTACCTGCCCTTCACCATAAGGTCCTAGAGTGGGGTAACAGCAATTTAAAGACACAATCAAAATCAGTTTAAAGTGAATTACAGTCAAGAGAATATGGTGGATCCAAAAATATGTATCTCATGTGCCCAAGGTTCAGGTAAAAAGGCTAGTCTTCAGCTTACAACAGTTAACTGTAGCTAACTGTAGTTAAAACAAACAAGGCACATGTAACTTCCACATGTCTGGACAGGCTTGCCTAAATGTTCTAAGCAGGCACTGAGATACAGTGAAGGCATCTGCCTCATGTCAACAGACAGGGAGCTCCAAAGTGTAGGTACTGTCACACAAAAGACTGTTTTCTTACAAGTGCGGAATGAGGGTCATATGGTGTCTGTAAGAGTGACAGTTCCTCAGATCAAGGTGGTTGAGCAGGAATGTGTGTTAGGTAAGGTGATCCTGCAGATAAACTGGTCCCAAGCAGAGGTGTTATATGCTAGCAGGGTCTCACTCCTGTAAGCAATCACACTGCAGCATTTTGCACTAGTTGTAGATTCTGCACTGCAGTAATCCAACCCTGAAGTCACCAGTGACTGAACTACGGTGGTCAAGCTCTCCAGGTTCAGAGGAACAGTTGCAGCTATTGCACCAGTTGCAGCTGGAAAAGGCACCTCTAGTCACTGAGGCTATCTGGGCTTGCAGTGACAAATCTGGATGTAGAAGAACCCCCAAACTGCGTACCTGCTCCTTCAGGAGGAGTACAATCCTATTCAAAGCAGACAACTGACTCATACTTGGTAAGCATTCATCCACAGTGCCTCCACCTTGCTAGGATTTAACCCAGTTTCCTTACCTCATCCATCCCACCAATGCATTCAGGCACCAGTCCAGGGCCCCATAGACTCTCCTTATTCAGAGGTTTAGATAGAAACAGAGGTGAGTGTGATAACAATACTGATGGCATCTTGCTTCCAAATTACTTAAGGACCGCTTCTAGTGGCTTCAGGTATTAGTCACCCCATAGCAGAACCAGTGAAAAACACTCTCCCAGTGTTACTCTCTGGACTCAGACCCACAGGTAGGACCAAAACTGTTGTAACACAGTGCCTCCAATTCCCATTCCATGGAGCTGGTTCAGAGGATGCCATGGTCAACAGCAATGAGTGATCGAGAAGCAGGAGCAAGGTCACACTCCTTTTGTCTCATTGTCTGTAAAAGTCATCCATTACAGTGACCAAGGACAACTCAACCCAGACTGGAATGGATCTAAATAACCAGTGTCATCCAAGAATGCTTGCAGCTGCCCCACTGCAACTCTCTCCACCACCTTTCCCAAGAAGGGAGAATTTGTGACTCGTGGATTCCAGTCCAACAGTTCCAAAGTTGCTTTTCTTAGGAGAGACCACACCACCACTTCTTTCAAGGCAGCAGTCACCACTCCCTCGTGCAAGGAAGTATGTACCACACTCTGGACCCAACCAATCAAACCCTCTCTATTAGATTTAGTAGTCCAGGAGGGACAGGGGTCAAGAGGGCATGTAGTCAGGCGTACAGCTGCAAGCACCTTGTCCACATCAGCAGTCTGCATTGGCTGAAACTGATCCCACAACACATCACCTACTATGGCACAGGATGCTTCATCTGGAACAGCAGTAACTGCTGAGTTGAGGGTTCCAGTGGAACTCACATGAGCCCAGTTTTGAAAGACCATCTCCATCCCTCCTGACCTTCTCAGGTGTTAAGATCTGTGTGTGGCTCTCTAGGTTGGTTTGCCACCCTCAGAGGTGCAGAGAATGGTGGCCCAGGAGGGAGAGGACTTCTGGGCAGCAGCCCCTAAATTGTGGAACTCCCTCGCCACAGAGATGCACCTGGCATTTTGCCTGTACAGCTTTCCCTGTATGTTAAAATGCACCTCATTACCACGGTCTTTGCTGTGGTATTTGTTTTGTGGGACCCACCTCTGCTGCTGAAGTTGTAGTCTTCTGTTCCACTTGGAATGGTTTCAGTTGTTTTATAGTTAAACTGGTTTTATCTGCATGCTGCGTTATTATTCCTTCTTTCATTTATGAATTGCTTCTCCTGAGGCATCTCAAAATGTTTTACAATGCAATAAAAACATATATGAAGCAATGGCACACAAAAAAGTCTGAATAATTGAAGATATAATAAAGATTTAATTTATATTTTAAAAAGTACTTGTAACCAACCCACAGACCTTATGGTGAAGGACAGGTAGGAAATCTCAATAAACAAATAAATAAATAAAATTGAAGATGTTTCTGTGGATGCAAAATCCTGAATCATATCTTGGGCTTCTGTGACAAATGCTACAAAACATGCACACCCTGAGCCTACCAAGACGTCACAGTGAACTAATCCTTCTCTGGAAAAGTGGGACAAGGCAGCAGATGGCGAGTTGGAATTGGTTATAACTGTGTACATACACACATAAGCACACTAATTTCTACTAACTCACAATCTGTCAAGATCAAGCCTCTCACCTTCCATTCCCCCTTCTTCTTCACCTTTTTGATCACATCAGCCATAATTTCTAGAAGGAAGGAAGAAAGAAAGAAAACAAGATCAGAAAATAGAAGTGTTATGCTACACACTGCCCCAAGGTCCTATGGCTGAGATCGTCTCCTTTTCTACCACCTTAGAATGTCTCACTGAGAAAGGCTTACTCTGTTATTTACCGTATTTTCTATTTTTACTACACAAGCATCAATAGCTACGAGCCATGACAGCCATGTTCTACCTCCACTGCAGGAGGCAGTATGCCTCTGAATACCAGTTGCTAGGAATCATAAGCAGGAATGGTGCTGTTGCATTTAGGTCCTGCCTGTGGGCTTCTTGGAGGCATCTGGGTGGCGTCCATGAGAATAGGATGCTGAACTAGATGAACCACTGGCCTGATGCAGCAGCCAGGCTCTTATGTTCTGCCTTCTTTGATGGAGGGAATACTCATCTGGAAATCTCAGGTGGGAAGAGTACTACTGTGCTTGTTGGCCACTGTGTTGGGATAGATGCGTCACTGAGCAGCTCCATTAGGGCTCTTCCTATGTTCAACTGGCACTCTGCCTTCCCCCTGCCCTTAAAATTTTATTTTTGTAATGAGAAGAAAGGTAACAGCAGCAAGGAGGCAAAAGCGAAAGAGTTAGGGAGGAGTAAGAGGATTCCCTCCTCCAAAGTACCTCCCCTCCCTATATCTGGATTCTAAGACACTCTTCCCAACAAATGCACAACTGAGTGTTGAGCTTCCCCTTCCATGATTAGGAACAGAGGTAGCTGTCTTATAATGAGTCAATCAGGCCATTGGTTCATCTAGCTCAGCGGTAGGCACCCTAAGGCTCGTGGGCCAGATGCGGCCCAATCGCCTTCTCAATCCAGCCTGTGGATGGTCTGGGAATCAGCGTGTTTTTACATGAGTAGAATGTGTCCTTTTATTTAAACTGCATCTCTGGGTTATTTGTGGGGGCTGCCTGGTGTTTTTACATGAGTGGAATGTGTGCTTTTATTTAAAATGCATCTCTCGGTTATTTGCGGAGCATAGGAATTCATTCATTTCATTCCCCAAAAATATGTCTGGCCCACCACATGGTCTGAGGGATGGTGGACCGGCCCACAGCTGAAAAAGGTTGCTGTCCCCTGATCTAGCTCAGTATTGTCTACAGAGATTGGATGCAGCTCTCCAGGGTTTCAAGCAGGAGACATTCCCAGCCCTACCTGGAGATGCCAGGGGTGGAACCTGGGACCTTTTACTTGTAAGACAGGTGCAGGTGCTCTACCACTGAGCTATGCCCCTTCCCCAATTGCAACTGTGGTGGCTAGGGTCATCTCCAGATTGAATCCCTCCTGCAAAATACCAGAATTTTATGTTTGCCCCGCCTCCCATAAGAATCAATAAAAAATAGGTAACTGAGGTTCTGGCTCCCCTAACAAAAATCCTGGCTACACCCTGGGAGAAAGCAACACGTCAAAGAGAAACATTCCCTCCTACCCTTCTCTACCAACATGCTGGCTTGCCAAGGACAAGGATGTCCTGTTGCACAATGGAAAACTGCTAGTGTGCTGCACAATCAAGAATTCAAAGTGAACCTTCCACAGGACACAAAATGGCAGACTGCATACTGTGTAGCAGCCTTAAATATCAATGTGTGTGCATTTAAGTCTATGTGCATTAAAGACTTAATGTGTGACCCCACAATTCAAGAGATTTGACATGGATAGAGATGGGATAAGGGCCAGAAATCTGAAGAGCAGCACATAACCATGCACAGGGACAAAGGTCAGATAATGCAAGCACTTCACACTGCAACTTTCTGTTGCAGGTCCTACTTGTAAACAACACGCAAAGCAAAGCTGGATTTTAGGCAGCAGCCAACCAGTTTCTCTGTCCAGACAACATAGGCATTATGTGCTCAGGAAAATCTTTATCCCAATATGCCCCCTGCCCCCAAAAGTCACAAGGGAAACCAAATTATCTGGGCATTCAGGTATCATTGGGATTAAACTCACAACAGGACAGTTTACTGGTATTATTAGTTGCCAATGCCTACTGAATATATAGCAGTAGGATTGCAGAGTAGCTTTGCTAAGCAAGAGTTGAGAACTTGAGAATCCTGGTGGATCAAACCAAACCAAGTGTACTTCAATCAAACAATCTGATTTATTAACAAAATATGCAAATGTGGTACTGAAGTCAAGTAAACAGGAGTGGATTTCTGTGTTGAAGGACTGTGAACCTCATTCAGTTCTGGTAGCCAAATGTAATTCCTGGGCTTGGAATTACTGATAGACCACAGGTGAGGAATCTCAGGCCACAGAGGTCAGCTATCTGAGACTGTCCCAAGGCCACACTTCTCCCTGGTTTCCCACGAGTAACTGGTTGGCCACTGTGAGAACAGTAGGGACCAGATGGGCCACTGGCCTGATTTTACATTCTTATAATAAAAGTAATTCTGATATAAAGGCAATAACTTCTGTAATGTCTGCAAGTCCCCCATGGATATCTGTTGAAAACTTTTCCACTATAGGCCAGTGCCACCAAAGAGCACATGCTGACCAACAGTTATGGGCAACCATTGGTAGAAAATGAGATAATCATACAGGAGTCCTAGATCAACAATGAAATATCTTAAGAGCAGTTTCTCTTACATTTGCGGTCAACCAACTGGCTTTTTAGTCCATAAATGGACTTAGCCCATTGATTCTCCTCTATTCTAAATCATTTATCATCCTCCCACAATGTTTCAATCCTGTGATTGGTCCTGTCTGTGCATCTGGGAAAACTGTGTAGAAGTGTGAGACTTCTTCCCTTTCCCCTCAAGCCAGCTTTTAGCATGAGAATACTGTGAAATGGGTGTATACGCTTAAGCGCCCAGAAACTTCTTACTTTTGCATGGCTGGAATGTTGTCTAAAGCGTTCAAAACTCCCATTATTCTAGGCACATTTTGTGGCAGGGAATTTTATTAATGCGAGCAGTTTCTGAGCTCTGGATGCAGTACTGCGCCTAAGATTTCAGATTAAAACTGCCACTGGTGGAAGAAAAGGAGGAGCTTTTTCTGCCTCCCCACTTCCAGCCACTCTCTGAAGATTTGAGAAATTACCCTCATAAGAATACTAAGGGGGCTGGCAGGGGAAGCATAGCTTTGTTTTTTTTGCAATCTTCAGATGGGAACCACGGGTCTAGGTTTCAAAAATGAACATAAGATTTTAGCTGCAGTTCATTCATTTTCAGCTTTGTATTCTTGTTTTTAAAAAGTGTTCCTAGACCTGTGGTTCCCAAGGTGGGGCACATGCCCCACAGGAGGGCAATTTGATTTTTAAGGGGGGCAATTCAAGAATGAGTTATTAACAGCAAATGGCCTTTTAGGCTTCCTCCACATGAATAGGAGTTCATTTTTTGAATAATCAGAATTATATGTCAGAGGGGGGGGGGGCATCAGGATTTTAGAGATGCTTAGGTGGGGCATGGCCAAAAAAAAGTTGGGAACCACTGGCCTAGACACTCCATTGCAGTGCCCATAACCTAGGCTTAAGGTGCCATTTAGCTCCTAGCTTTCATATCTCAGTTTCTAACATTGGTTGTCTATCATACAAAAGTAAGAGAAACATCCATTTTGCCTTCTATTTTTGCCTGTGGCCCCACCTGCCATGGTCCTGTGGCCCCTAGAAAGCTACCCACAAAGGAAGTGATTCTCTCTTCAACACTGAACCCTGAAAAACTACTATTCTACACTGCAGGAGGAGCCTATAGAAATGGAAACAGGCTTCCTTCTTCTGAGGACAACAAAGCTTGAGACTTGGTAGGCATAGCTAGTGTGAAAATCCCTGTGTCCCCAATATGCCTCCAAAGTGAGGAATTTCTAGATTACAACTATGCTTCACCAGGCCTTTTAACCACATCTAGAATTCTTAGAACAGGGAGAAGCAACTAAGAAATGAAGGGATTTAAACAACCAAACAACAAACTGGAAAGGGGTCCACAGTAGTGCACCTCAACATGCATAAAACCTCCTCGCTCACAGCACACACAAAGTGAGGCATCAGTCCCTCAATTCGCTTGCCTTCTCCACGAGGAGCTGATAATCTGACACACAGAGAGAGAGACATTAGAACCTTATTTAGAAACAAGAAACAAGCAGCTTGAGGTGATGCCTTGTAATCCCCAAGCTAAATCGCATTTGGCAACCCTTTTATGGATGGTTTACACTAAGCGGAAGGGACGTCACACCGGACCCCCGTATACACAAGTCACCCACCACTTTCACCCTCTGCATGGGCTGAGATCTGGACAGTTGCTCGAAGGGACACAGGAAGCTGCCTTATACCAATCCAGACCATTTGTATATGTAGCTCAGTATTGTCTACACAGACTGGCAGCAGCTCTCCAGGGTTTCTGGCAGCAGACACTCCCAGACCTACTTGGAGATGCCAGGGATTGAAGCTGAGACAATTGTCCATGCAAAGCAGGTACTCTGCCACTGAGCTACAGCCCTTCTCTAATATAGCCTTACCCCTTCCTCCTGAAATACTGTAAATATATATTGTCCTTGTAAGGATGATTTGAGTGATAAGCAAACAGATGTTAGTCATCCATATAGAGTCTTCTGGAAAGACTCAGGCAGAGAGCGACTGGTCATCCATATGGATTCTTCTGGAACACTGCATAAAGAAAACTGCTTGTTGAATAAACATACACAAATTTATTGGTTGATAACATGATTGATTGATTGATTGATTGATAGATAAGGATATGTATAACATTATAACATGCAGAGAATAATATGTGCAGAGAAATCAGAGAGAGGAGCTGAGGGAAGTCCCTGGTGGGGGGAAGGGAGGGATGGAAGGTGGGTGGGGGAAAGGGGGGGGAAATAATGTATGTGAATATACAGTTTGATAATTTGTTATGTTGAAATTGCTTAATAAAAATATTTTTAAAAAGAAAACTGCTTGCAAAAATGTGCAAGTTAGAAATTTGCACTAAAATGTTGACTCACTTTCATGAACGTATGCCATTTAAAAAAAATCACAAACTGTTGCAGAAATGTGGAAAACTGAACTTGAGAAACAGAGAGGGAACAAAATTGACAGACCAATCCCTACCAAGAAAAGTGCACAGCAAATGTGCAGGAGTAAATACGTTTTTTTTTATCTCACTTTTTAAACAGTGAAGGTCTTTTTCTTTCAACAAATAGCTTATGAGACAAAAGGAGGAAACACACACACACACACACACACACACACACACACACTGCTGCACACACCCCTTTCTGCAGAAAGCATAGGGGAAGTTTCCAGAGTAACAAGGCATTGCAAACCTTCTGCTTACATAATCTGGCTCAGCAAAAAGAAAAACCAAGCCCTGTAGTTTGCACAGAATTATCTCCCCCACCCTATGATCTGCACCAAACCGCAGCCTATTGTCAGCTTCCCCTTTTCTAGGCATGGGCTGCACAGGCAACAGCAGCAGGAGAGAAGAGGAGATCACAACACTTTGAGATTATAGTGGAGGGGGGGGGGGGACACAATTTTTGAACGACTCCTTCATTTTTGTTTTTAAATTTCCTTATGAATAGAACACACTTCCAGCTTCAGACCCCTACAGCTGGGCATGGTACAGTCCTTTCTACCACTCTTGGACTCTACCACCCCATTTGTGCTGTGTGTATATTTTTAACCTCTAAGCAAGGCAAGGGCAATATTTTTTAAAAAAACAACAACAGCAACACCATACACACAGGTTTATTTCTGCTTCTCCCCCAGCCTGTTGTGTTTCAAGATGTACAAAAGTGAGAGGACTACAGCTCTCCCAGTAATCTTCCTAGAGAGGGAAGAGGCCACAGCTGAGTGGTACAGCATCAGTTCCCTCTGCACATCAAGTTTCGAGTTCAGTTGCTGGCATCTAAAGTTGAAAGGCAGCAGGAGATGTGAAAGCCACGCCCAGTACCTTGGAGAGCTGCTGCCTTGTGGTCTACTTTAAGAAGGGCCCCACTAGAGCAGGCCAGTGGCCCATTTAGTCCAACATCCTGTTCTCAAAGTGGCCAACCATAATGCCCCAAAGGGAAATCCACAAGTAGGACCCAGCACAAGAGCTCTCCCCACTTGTTATTCTTAGCAACTGGTCTTAAGAGGCATACACCCCCTGCTATAGTGGGTATTTAGGTAGAGCATATTCATTCCTTCCGATAACAACAACCTTTATACCCTGCCCATCTGGCTGGGTTTCTCCAGCCACTCTGGGCGGCTTCCAGCAAAATATAAAAACATAATAAAACGTTAAACATTTCAAAACTTCCTAATAGAGGGCTGCCCTCAGATGTCTTCTAAAAGTTGTGTAGTCATTTATCTCCTTGACATCTGATGGGCATTCTACAGGGAGTGCACCACTGCTGATGAGGCCCTCTGCCTAGTTCCCTTAGTTCACTTCTTGCAGTGAGGGAACTGCCAATTCTCACCCACCAAACCTCCTGGTGGTGATCAATACCTCCAAGTAATGACACCATTGGCTCCCCTTAGGCATACAAAGTGAGATCAAGCTTCGAGATTCTTCAGCCAGATGACTTGTGCAAGAAGGTAAGCCACAGAAAGCTGCCTTTGGTTTTTTTCAAAAGTGTCATCTTAAGGACATAGAAGGAGTCCTGCTGGATCAGGCCAAAGGCCCACCAAGTTCAGCATCCTGCTCTCACAGTTGCCAGCAAGGCACCCCAGTGGGAAGCCCCAAAAGCTGAACCAGTTTGCAATAGCAATTCCCTACTTGTGATTTCCCAGAACTGGTCTTCAGAGACATATACTGCCTGCAACAGTGCAGGAAGAACATATCCATCATATCTAATAGCTTGATCCTCCATTTGTCTAATCCTCTTTTGAAGCCCTCTGAATCAGTGGCCACTGCTATTCCTTGCAGGTATATATTTCATTGTTTAACCATGTGAAAATAGAGGTCAGAGCTCTATTGCAAGGGCTGCCCGGTACAAGTCTGCTTTAGAGAGTCTAAAAAGAACACTGGAAGAACTATGAGCACTTGGCTACCAGGCTGAGCAGGCACAGAGGTCCTGCCTTTCCATTTAAATTATAGCCACCATTTCTGAACTTGCACACATACATAGCAGTTAAAGGTTCTCTCTCTCCCTCCCTTAAATTTAAAGTTTTCTGCAGTTGTTATTATTTATTTGGGTGATGGATGTGTTATTTTGGAGGTGTGTGAAGTGGCTAACCTCCCCATCCTTCTGCAGCAAAGCACAATTTGGCCCTCTCAGCCGTTTCTTGTGCCATGCTCTTGATCCTCAGAACTGCATTGCAGCATTGCTCAGGACACACATTCACACTCTCTCCCTCTCCTTCTCTCTGCTTTCAGCTCAGGAAATCTAATAAGAAGGAAAGGAGGGAAAGGAGGTTTCAAGGGGACACACAGAGGGGACATTTCTCTGGAAACTGGGTGTGTGGGGGGCGCTTCCTTTAAAACACTCCACACATACAAGAATGCAACTTTCCAGTTTCCCTATACACTACTGGAGGGTTCTTTGTTTTGGTTTTTTTTGGGGGGGGAATGCAAAAAGGTGTGTGGGTTGGAGAATAACATTGTCTCAAAAACATGGAAGAATAACAACATGAGTTTGCTAGGAAGGAGAGAAAGGAAAGAGAGGAGAGAGGTAAGCAACCAGATCAATAAAGGACAACACCCAGAAGGAAGGATAAAAATGGACACCGTCACCATGACATTGCTAAAATAGCATGCTGGAAAAAAATTTGTGCTTGACCTGATAGCGGGATTTGTTCCTCAGATAAAGGGCACCCTTTGCTTTAGGCGATACTGGAATACATTTTAGTAGTATTTTTAAAGGCACTATAGGCTCATCCAGACTTCCTTTTGCACTGGGCTTTCCAAACATAGGCCCACGCTTTAATGCCCAGACCAGTGCCTAGAAACACGGCGCAAAATGAAGTCTGGAAGAGCCCTATGTCTCTATTACCAATATGTAAAACAGAAGTAACAAGTGAGAGCTGCAACAAAATGTTGCAGTGTAGGGTACTCCTGTTCAGAGAGATAGTCAGAGAGCTATCTTTTCCAAGATACTCCATTCCTTATCTCTCTCCCCCCCCCCCATTTTCTGTTTCCCTACCCCAAACAGGCCCTCGACATCCAGTGGCCACCAAGCACACTCAGTCCTTACTGCAGAGGGGTGGCGGAGGGTATTTTCCTAGTGGTTTTTTTGCATGTCTGCAAAGCTTGAGGTTCCACACAGTATGTGAATAACACCCACTTTTTTCTCAGTAGCCCGTTTTTGGCTACAGTCCTATCGGCACCAACTAGCCCATTTTGCTAATAGAGCGATAGTACGTATTCAGGGCAGCCAAAGAGACTATATTTTCCTCTGAAGATCATTGCACAAAAGCCTTAAATATTTTTGATCCATTTATTTACAGATGTATAGCTTGAACAGTATGATGGTAACATAGATGCAAGCATGCAGTCCAGCCTTCTCTCATGGCTGCTTTCCAGCAGATCTAAACAAACAAACAAACAAACAAACAAACAAACAGAACTGTAGGCTCCTTCTAGAGCTGTACCAGGGTCATAGCTTCGTGGCTTTGCATGTAGAATGTTCCAGCATATTCAGTTGAAGCTGGAAGAGACTCCCTACCTGAAACCCAGAGAGGCCACTGTCAGTCCGTGTAGCCAATGCTAAGCTAGCAGGACCAATGGCCTAGTCAGTATAAGGCAGCTTCCTATGTTCCCCTGTCTTAAGGGAAGAGCCATAGCTTAGTGGCAGAGCATCTGCTATGCATGCAAAAGCTCCCAGGTCTCCAGACAGGGATCGAAATGGCTCTTGCCTGAAACACAGGAAAGTCATTGTCAATCAGCGCAGACAGTACTGAGCTAAATGCACCAATGGCCTGATTCAGTATACGCCAGCTTCCTCTATTCCTATGTTCCACTTCAGGCCAATTCATTTGCCACATTGGTGGAAAAGCCAACAACAATAATCCTCTTTGCTGCTGGAAAACAAGCACTTCAGGCTGGAAGTGTTCTCCCTGAGGTGCTAGCTTTCTGAGGGGTGGGGAAATAGCATCCCCTGAGTAGTTGCCATGTAGAAGACAGCAAAGCCAACCCACCAAATGCCATGGGATTGTTAGCGGGCAATGCATTAGACACTTTGAGAGGTCCTTGAAGGAAAAGCAAGCTATTAATAAATAAGAATCAGACTATCATGCCCATGCCATCTTAGGAAACTGGCAGTCTTCTTATTCCTAGAATCAACGAAAAGAACGAAGAACTGTGCCAGGTTGGTGACCTCCTAAGAGAATCAACAAACCTGTAGCAGCTTCCGCTACTGCTGATTCACCTTGGTGCAGGTCCAAATCCCTCAGCATCAGGGCTGTCGACAACAAACTCTGCATAACACAAATGTCTATGGGCAACATTTTATTTTACTCTTTAAAAAAGCCACAATCTAGTTAGGGAGATTTGTAAGCAGATGCCCATAACTACCTTGACAGAGAGACAGTGCTGTATTAATGATTAGAGTGCCAGACTGAGTAGCTGAGAGACCAGGGGTCAAATCCCCCACTCAGCCACAAATCCCACTGGGTGACCTTGGGCCACAGTCACTACTACCTCTTAGACTAACTTCTCTCACAGGTTTGCTTTGAGGACAAAATGAAGAGGGAGAAGAACTGTGCATAGTACACTGAGCTCTTTGGAGAAAAGGCAGGATACAAATGCAATAATAAATACATAAAGCAACACAGATTCAGGGCAAGGCTAAAAATTAACATGTGTGGTGAGACAGGAAGCACAAGCAGCACCCTTTGGGAAGTTTTTATTACAGCTGAAGGGGGTTTCTTCCCTTGCCACAGCTCCATCAAAAATCACCTTCATGAAGTGGCTATACAAATGTTCTCTGCATTTGGAATGGGTTCCCTCTGAGGGTGATGAACTCTCCTTCAGGGGAGGTTTCTGAGCAGAGATTGGGTCTGTCATGGATTCTTTAGCTGTGCTTCCTGCATTGCAGGAGGTTGAATGCCTTGAGGTCTCTTCCAACCTTAAAATTCTATGATTTTATAAGTTGTGTGTCTTTGTTTCTCAGTTTTATCCTTTTGCATGGTTTTGTATGTATTGTGGTATTTTATGCATTGTGACTAGTTATTTTTATTGATCACAGTTTAGTAATTATTTATTGTAATTGTTAAGAGTGAATTTCTGTTTATTATTTGCTGATGTTTGGGAGTTAATTTTATTGTGTAGCATTAAATTCTAATAGATTACTGAATATTATTTTATAGTATTTATACGCACTGTGCTCCCAAGGAAGAGATCAGCTGCTTTGAAATGTGTTAGGGTCAATACGGAAGAAGAAAAACCTCACCCATGCTGTTATTAACTTCGTGGTTGCCAGAAATTGATATCTATACATGCCTTCAAATGACTGGGTAAACCAGCAATGTTTTAAAATTTCACCTGAAAGTCAAAATTGAGGGGTGTAGATGTACTAGATGTACCTCACAAGGAAGGAGACTCCACAAATGGGGAACGACCACCGAGAAGGTCCCACCACCAATCCATGCCAAATGGGCAGCAGTCAGAAAAGGCAACACCAACAGAGCCCTCTCTGCCAATCGTAGGGCTTGAAGTGGTTGATACATAGTGCCTTCTCACTTTTTATTTCCATAAATCACAAATATTATTGGACTCCAGTCCTCATCAACTGCAGCCAGAGTGGCCAATGACCAGTGATGAGGAACAGTAACTCTTCTAGTTGGTTAATTGATTCAGGAGCTTCATTGCACATGACATGTGATGCTAATTTTTTCAGAGAGTTAAATGAAAACTCACCAGAGACAGTTAGGGTTGCAAATGGCCACAAAATTTCTGTGCAAGGAAAAGGAGCAGGAGAACCAACTAGAAGTGTGATGAAGGCAGAAGAACTGTTTGTAATGAAGTGAGAAAGGTAGTTTACTTGCCAGAATTAACAGTTTGCTGAGTGTGTCAACCCTGACCAAGTGTGGTTTTAATGGAAATTTTAATCACAACAGATGTGTAATTACCAAAGGCAGAGTTTTACATGCACATGGTTTTGAAAATAATGGAGTCTTTGTGCTAGATACAGGTCAAGAAAGGGTGAATATGGTCAAGTAGAATTCAAGTGCAACTTGTGTTCATCTGTAGCACAAAAGGCTGGGACATAGAGACTTTGGTAAGAGGAATAGAGATTAAACCTTGTAAAGTTGATGTGAATGGTGAAGTATGTGAAAGTTGCTTGCTGGGGAACAAGACCTTCTTTCCCCAAGCAAAGCTGGAGAAGTTCAACAGAGCCTTTGCAACTTATTCATACTGATATATGTGGTCCAATTCAACCAACGTCTCATGGGAAAAATAAGTGAATTTTAACATTTATTGACAATTATTCCAGATACTGCACAACTTATCTTTTAAAGGAAAAATCAGAAACTGCAGAGAAATTGAAGATGTTTGTTGCAAATATTGAAAATCAATTTGGGAGGAAACCACGAGCAATACTTTCAGACAACGGCGGTGAGTACATGTCACACCACATCAAATCTTATCTAGAGGAAAATGGTATTAAACGTTTGCACACCACCCCATCTACCCCAGAACAAAATGGCATAGCGGAGAGAAAGAATTCCTCTCTGGTGGAGATGGTCAGATGTATGTTGATGAAATCTAATTTGAGTATTGGGGTGAGGCAAGGATGACAGCAACATATTTGCAGAACAGACTGCCAAAAAAAGCTGCAATAAAACAGCATTTGAACTTGGGTTTGGAAGAGTACTGAACATCAGTCACATTAGAGTCTTTGTATCAAAAGTTTTTGCATATGTGCCAGCACAAAGATGTACCAATCTTAGTATCAGGACTGAATATTTGTCGGCTTTGAGAAGGGGTGCAAAGGTTACATAATTCTTAATCCAAGGACAGGAGAAGTGAAAGTGAGTAGTGTATTTTAGAGAAGGAGATCAATCTTGTGCATGTGTTCCTAATCAGAACAATTTTAAGGAGAAACAGCCTAATGCTGATTTGGTAACTGAAGAAGTTCCAGTAAAACTGATCACAGAAGTTGAAAGAACAGAGAAAACTAGTCCAAGTAAGATACCGTACTTTACCAGGGGAAACAGAGTCAGGACAAGAAGGTGTGTGTGATGATATGGATGAACAATTAGAACTGTTAATCAGACACTCATCATGAGTTAACAAAGGTGTGCCAGCAACTATCATACATCGCAAGAGCAGTGCCTAATTGTGAACCTGACACATGGAAAGAAATCGACAAACTACCTGCAGAAGAAGCTGACAAGTGGATAGAAGCAGCCAAGGAAGAATTTGAAGCATTGAATAAAAACAACACTTGCACACTTACTAAATTGCCAAAGGGTAAAAAGGCTATAGGGTGCAAATAGATGTTTAAGAAAAAGTTAGATAAGAATGGAAATGTACAAAGGTATAAAGCATGAGTAGGCAAACTAAGGCCCAGGGGCCGGATCCAGCCCAATTGCCTTCTAATTCCGGCCCATGGACGGTCCGGGAGTCAGCATGTTTTTACATTAATAGAATGTGTCCTTTTATTTAAAATGCATCTCTGGGTTATTTGTGGGGTCTGCCTAGTGTTTTTACATGAGTAGAATGTGTGCTTTTATTTAAAATGCATCTCTGGGTTATTTGTGGGGCATAGGAATTCGTTCATTCCCCCCCCCAAAAAAAAATAGTCTGGCCCCCCACAAAGTCTGAGGGACAGTGGATCGGCCCCCTGCTGAAAAAGTTGGCTGACCCCTGGTATAAAGCAAGGTAGATGATACAATTTTGTATAGTGAGAACAAACAAGATTGTACAGAAATTGTTGGATGTTTAAATTAAAATTGATTAATTCAAATTAGGCATTGTGAGAAGTGGCTTGTAAGAAAAACACTGGGGCCTAATTTGAATAGTAGAGTGCCTGGTATCTGGTGGGCGGGGCTTGTGTGTTCTGCTCCAGAATCAGCCCCTCCCTTCAGGGTGTGTTCAGTTGAGAGTGTCAGTTATGAGGAACCAACTGCCTCTTCTTGTTTCTTGCCTCAAACTTGCCTCATGTTTTATTTGGCTTCTCTCATCATGTTATTTTGTTGTAGTTTTCTTTATTACTAAAGCTTAGTTTACATTTTCTTGAAAGACTTATTTTACTCAAAGAAAAAGAAACTCTGCTGAGGAAAGGTGTGGTATGTCCTAAACTGTGTGACTGAGGGGATATTCCCAGTTTGCCGGGAGGATTGGTTTTGTTAATCACCCCTCCCCCACCTCCAAAACATTCAGCAGGCAGTTTCAAATTTTCAATGCCTGTTGAAAACTTTTCTATTCCATTAGGCTTAAACAGGCAATTAAGAATGTATTTCCATAATTAGTTAGCCAATTTCTCATCGTAATATTTTTATATTTATTGGGTGATTTTATGTATAAATGTAAACGTCTATGAATATCAGCATATAAATAATTTAATTTTTTAAAAAATTGGTTCTGTGTAAAACGAGGAAATATGCCTCTTCCAAAATGGTACCAGCCACCCATGTTTTCACCCACCCCCTGAGGACTTAGATTAAAAATAAGTAACCCAATGAATTGGGGTGGGTGCCTTTTTAAATTAGCCAAAATATTTTTAAACCGTTCATCTCCAATCCTAAATCAACAAAGAGATACAGCCCTAGGTTACAGCTGTCTGGCAAATAAGAAAACACCTCAGCCTTCGTGGAACATTCACTGTACAGATATTCACACAGGTAACAGTGAATGAACGTGCAACATATGTACACAATAGGTTCATTCGTATGCTACACTGACCACAGGTACAAGTACACATGAAACAGCATTTGTGTGAAAGAGTGAACACTTGATGTGTATACATTCAACTATGGTACACACAGAACTGTACTCTCTTGAATGATACCAGTGAATGATTGTTCAAGTGTACAGCTGTATCCTTGCTGAATGGGAACACCCCTAACAGTTTGGCAGTACACTGGTAAAATTATTTACATCCCATTTTCAACAAGGTTACAGCCTGTGTACACAACAGCTGAGGAGTACAAATGAACCGCTAAGTACAAATGTACACACTTTCACACAAACACTTGTACATGTGGAGAGACAGCATGTACCTGTGTTCAGTGCAACAGGCAAGCAAAACTTGTCTGTTTGTTTTTTAAATAGATTTTATCTATCATTTTCAGTTTTGTAAATCAACATACATCAAACAATCCATACATTAAAGATTGACTTCCTTCTCCCACCCCCCATGGTTCATTAAAGTTCTCCTTCATTGCTGCAAACTCTAATTAGTCCCTATTTTAACTCAACCAATTTTCCCTTTGTTTATATTTTCACTGCTAGATTTAGTCTGTTCCTGCTAATGTTTTTAGATGTTTACAATAATCTTCCAAATATTCAACAAACATTTTCCAAACATTCTTAAATATTATCCCTTCCTGTTTTCTTAATTTGCCAGTTAAACTAACCAATTCAGCATACTCTTTGATTTAGCCTGCCCTTCCTCCTTAGTTGGCATTGTACCTTCCTTCAATTTCTAAGCATATACTATTCGGGCTATCGTTGTTGCATACATAAAGAGATTTTCCTTTATGTCAAACCTAATATTCGTAAGAGAAAGGCTTCTGGTTTTTTAATAATAAAAGCCCTTTTCAACATTGTTTTCATTTCGTTATAAATCATCTCCCAGTAGCCTTTCACAGCTTTACATGTCCACCACATGTGGAAGAAGGTACCTTCTTTTTCCAACAGGTATATAATTCTGATTTATACATCTTTGCTAACTTACTTGGTGTCAGATACCACCTATATATCATTTTCATATAATTCTCTTTTAACATATAACATGCAGTAAATGTCAGGTCAAGCAAAACTTTAATGTCCCCTTTTGCAAGGGAGGTGTCAGGAGATCTAAAAATTCTCAGTTCCCTGAAAAAACGACAGTCTGCAGGATTTTGTGGAGGAAGACACAACTGATTAAAGTTGTATGATACTGACTTAAATGTACAGTGTAGATGAGGCCCAGGATGCTAAGGGTCTGGAAACCATGTCCTTTCAGGAACAGAGCATGATACTGTTAGCCTGGTGAAGAGAAAATTATTTATTCATATTTATTCACTGCATTTATATCCCACCCTTTCCCCAAAAAGCTCAAGGCGCCCTACACAGTTCTCTCCCTCCTCATTTAATACCCACAACCCTGGGAGGAAAGTTAGGCTGAGAGTGAGTAACTGGCCCAAGTTCACCCAGCGAGCTTCATGGATTAGTTGGAATTTGAACTCTGGTCTCCCAGGTCCTAGCAGGACACTTTAACTACTATACCATGCTGGGCCTCCAGATTCAGGGAAGGCATGGTATGATCAGAAGGGCTGTTGAAGAAAAGTTGGAGCTGGATTGGTCACTGTTGCTTCAGGGGGTCAGGGCTAGAACCAGTGGGTAAAAAACAAAGGAAGGCAGGATTTCAGTTCAACATTACAACAGGGGTGGGGAAATTTGGCCTCCCAGTCTCCCTATCTGGCCCCTGGGACTCTTCCCAGGCCACACTCTCACCTCAGTCATGCCCTCTTCCCCCAATCTATAGTTTCCTAGATTGGTAGTTGAGGGACAGCCATGGAAGCCAGTGTGGTATAGATTGGGACCAGGAGGACCAGGGTTCAAATCCCCACTCGGTCTTGAAGCTCAGTGGGTGACCTTGGGCCAGTTACTGCCACTCAGTCTAACCTACCTCACTGGGTTGTTGTGGATGCCACCTTGAACTCCTTAGATTTTTTCCACCAAGGTAAAACCCAATAAATAAATAAATGTGCTTTCAATGCATTGTGTGGATGTGACTGACTTTGGTGTAGCAAGTACCTTTTCAAAGAAGGTACACTGGGGCAAGGAACCTTTTTCAGTCTCAGGGCCGTATTCACTTCAATACAACTTTCCAGGGGCCACATTCCTAGTGCTGGGTCGGAGCCAAAGGCAGACGTGGGCAGAACAGAAAATGCAAGTAACACCTTTGTACAGTGGGCAGATTTCTACCAATAGCCACACATCATTCTCTATCCTCCACCCTGGCAAGTGAGAGGCATCACCACAAGGCACATCCCAGCCAGGAAAATAAAACACTCAAGGATGTGCAGCAAGGACAGGACAGGGAGCCTCCTGAGGGTCAGAAAGTTGGCTGCATTCAGAGGTTCCTACACCATCACAAGCCAATTCAGATGGAAACAAGGAATGAGCACACAGAGGAAACTGAAAGGCAGGAAATAACTTCATCCCCAAGGATGCAAAGCATCAGGAAGTCATGGCTAGAGGGGCTGTGAAGGCATGTTGTACGATCTGGCCAATGTCTCGCCATGGAGGCCCCTCAGATAAACACAGGCAGAGGTCAAAGCATCCCTGCATAGCACTCATAAAGCCACAACAGTTCTGCCCACAAAACTGTGTTTCACAACAGGATACAGATAAGAGAGAGCAGTGTTTGAAACTGAGATATGAAAGCTAGGAGCTACATGGCACCTTAAACCTAGGTCATGGGTGCAACAACGGAATGTCTAGGTGCATGTTTTTATAAAAAAGAATACAAAGGTGAAAATAAATGAACTGCAGCCAAAATTTTATGTTCATTTTTCACATGGTCTAGTCTTTCCCCTGCCCACTCCCCTAATATTCTCAAGAGGGTCTCTTCTCCAGTCTTCAGAGAGCAGCTGGAAGTGGGGAGGCAGAAAAAGGTCCTCTCTTCCTTCCACTCTGCAGTTTTAATCTGAAATCTTAGGCACAGGACTGCGTCCAGAGCTCAGAAACTGCTCGTCTTAATGAAATTCCCTGTCGCAAAATGCGCCTAGAACAATGGGAGTTTCGAACACTGGGAGAGTGTGTGTGAAGGAGAACGTTCATTGTCATCAAGCTCGCCCTGCTGAAAGAAACCACCCCTCAAGTAGCTAGGGTAAGGAAAGATGTGGCCCTCCAAGCTTTGCTGAATGATAGCTTCAGCCACAGACAGCCTGATCAATGGTCAAGTGAGGATGGGAGTTGCTCACAGCTCCCCCACCCACCAAACCTTAAAAGTACTGAGAGTCACCTAGGGAACTTCGACCCAGCGGCTATCTTCAGTCCAACAGTCACTTTCTGGTTTTATTCCAAGGGCCCACCTAGATACAAAACATGTTGTTATCTATTTAACTGTTTTCCCCCTCTTTTTAAATAGCAGCCACAGAGGGGTCCAATTCAGATTCAGTGCAGGGTATATAGAGCAGAATCCATGAGAAAAGTAGCCTGTGTGTCCACACCCATGTAGTAAAGGAAGATGACCCTTTGTGAAATGAGCAAGGATTTATCCCACTCACTTGGGTAGGTTTGATCAGGTCTTATCAAATTGTATGAATTTCATGGGGTCATACCTAATGCTCATTGATTTAGCTAATAATATTTATATACCACTTGATTATAACAAAACCTCAAATTAAAAAAAATAAGTGATCTGCAAAAACAAGTACCCAAAACATTTTAAGAGGGGTTAAAAGTCATTAACATCTTATGTATCTGGAGAGACTTGCCTGTTTTCAGCAGGAGCCAATACAGTGAAGGTGCCTGCCTAGTGTCATCAGGCAAGGAGTTCCAAAGTGTAAGTGCTGCCATACTAAAATAACTATTTCTTACAAGTGAGGAATGAGTATTGTATGGCACCTGTAAAACCCATGGAAACTGATGGGCAGAACTAACTTAGGTTCATTGATTTCAATGGGTCCACTCTAAGGAAAGTCTAATTAAGAACAAATCACAAGTTCCATTTTTAAAAGGAAAGAAAATCAAAATTAGAACTCTCACTGAAATTAGGATTTGCCAAGACAGGAATACAAATGCAGGAGGAGGAATTGAGAGGGTTAAGCTTTGTGAATCATGCGGGAATTTTTTGAATGGGAATGGTGGAGATGGAAACACACTAAGGCAGCTTAGAGTGATGGACAATCATAATAACGTTTGACATTGCACATACACTAGACAAGGCACTGTAGCCAACCCTGGTATTGTAGATATATCAGAAAACAACAGCACTGGTTTGTATCCAATGCTAGCCCTACTCAGAGGAGACCCACTGAAAATAATGGAGCTGACTCCCATAAATCCATTAATTTATCTGGGTCTATTCTGAGTAGAACTTAGTTGGATACAACCCATAACATGTATGGCAGGCCTATAGCTCTGCCTTTAGATCAGTGGTGGGGAACCTGTGCCCGCCCACTCCCCACCAAATGTTGTTGGGACTCCAGCTCCTATTAGTCCTATTTAGTATGGTCAATGATAATGGAAACTATGGTCCAGAAACATCTGGAGGTCTATGGGTCCTTCACCCTTGCTTTAGATACAACAGAACCACCCAACAGTTTCTTAAGTATCTCTGCACCTCTGCTTCATTAAAACTCATGCAACTCACAGTCACAAGACGTGGTCAATTGGGTTTAGAAGATATTCATTGACCTTGGCTTTATCAAAAGGATAAGAACATGATAACTTTAAAATGGTATCTATGTTCAGACACTGTAGGTATGCTACTGAATATTTGCTGGAGGGTAAACATTATGAGGACTGCTAGTGTGGCATAGCGGTTGTAGGGTTGGCTAGGAGCTGGCAGACAAGAGTTTGAATCCCTGCTCAGTGACACCCCTATAAAAGGCGAATGTTCTGAAGCAAGGCCTCTGGTGATCATCTCAATAGGCAGCCAGGTTCATATCAGTATAAATCAGATAGTCTGCAGTTAAGCATCTCTCATACACGCTTTTGAGAGACCTAAACCATGGCTTGTAAGGAGAACCCCAGAACAGGGTCCTGAATTCTGCCCAATTTTCACAGCGTTAAGTATCACCACCAACAAATTCACATTAGCATCTTCATTGGTTGACGATTGTGATGATTAGTTGCTGCTGTAACAGAACTGTGTCAAGGTATGATATACCTAAGAGGGGAAAAATCCACAGTGCATGGGCTAGAGGTCACCAAAAGCAAACACTGAGATTGGCCAGCATTTCCCCCATTGCCTCAATCATTACGCTTTGATTTGATTTTTGTGTAGTTCCTACCTAGAAATGTTTCCAGCAAGTAGGGATACAACACAAACAAAGCTCTTCTCATTTATTATTTTTTTATGCTGCCCCCTCTGAAAAAATAAATAAATCTTGAAGCTCAAGAGAGGGAGGGGGATTCTGCCTTGCCTTGCAGGAAAGGGTGGTATTTGGGCTAAAGCAGGGGAAAACACCACCCCCCCCACGCCACCTTTTAGCAGCACCTGAGTCTCAATGCTTTCTTAGAATTGAGAACACGCAACAGTCAGGCAGAGATGCTGATCAGTGGTCTCTGGACAGGTGATTTAGTGCAACACAAAGCAGGCCATAAATCTAAGAGGATTATTTCGTTCCCCAGCCCCCACCTCGCCAAGTCATGCTACCACGCACCATCTCCAGCCTCATCTGACTGCAGTGCTGAACCAGTGTCATAACATGGAGGAAGATGCCTTCTTTCCTAAATACTAAAAAAAACCCCACTGCTGCCCCCCAGCAGCCTCCTTTTTGGGCTGTTTCCCAGCTATGATTCTGCTCCTTTCATTTTCTATGAGAAAGCAAAAATAATAATTATTTAACATTATGTTGCTTTTCTTTTTTAAACAACTGGTATAATTTGAACAACGCTGCCTTTGAAAATACGGCTTAACTGTAATTGCTTCAGACAGACGGCGGATTTAAATGAGCCATAGCAACATACCTCCATTAAAAGTAACCACCACCTTATCGTCTTCACTATTTATCTGCGTACCTACAAAGGACTGAAATTATTTACTTGCATTGTACAAATGGAAGAGGACTTTGGCAATATGTCACTTGACCTATATAATCGATACATTTTAGTATGTGGCTGGCACATTAAGAAAAAAATTAAAATGCGAAATTTTGCAGGATGAACAATAAAGCAAATCCCCCTTCCACACCATTCCCTGGATATACTTTAGAATGCACAACTCAAAAGGACCAAAAATAGCATTTCAGTTCCGTGTGCAAAGGCCCCCTCCCTTAAATCAGTGCGAGCACATATAAACCAAATTCTCATTTTCAGGAAAAAGCCTCCCATGCACGAAAAAGCTTCTATTATATGCTGTCATTCTAAGGGCTTCTAAATTTCGTTGGATTCTTCACAAGTATCCCCCCCCCCAAATAATTATTGGTTTATTGAAGGGAGGATGACAGAGAGCAAAATACATGAGATATTGGTGGGAGGGCTAACAACCGGGCTGTTTTGTACTGACACTGCAGGATCTGCGCTAGATCTTCCACTGTGAATGGGGGAGGAGTCGGATAGAGAAAATAAAGGACTGGATTTGGGGGGGGGGGCGCCCCAAATGAACCTGCAAGTACAAGAGGATTTCTCAGTTGACGCTTACACACACACACACACACACACACACACACACTCCATGTTCTGTATTGCAGGCCATAAAACATATAATTTCCAGTCACAGATAAATCCGTTAAGGACACAGGAGATACCAGTCTTACACTGATCTGCTAAGGATACATCTACTGGTAAAAGCGCCCCCCCCCCTTAAAACGGGGCAAGGATGAGGGGGATAGTCAAGCCGGTACTGTTTTCCCCCCTCCCTCATCTTCCACTCTACATACTGCAGAATAACAGCGTCGCCCTCTGCCTTTTCCCTTCCAGTTACGAACGCTTCTCTTTTTTAGCCAGGAAGCTATTCATAATATGAATAGATACTAATTGTATAAAAAGAGTGGTGTTGGAAGGGATCTCTTGACCCGTAGAGTCCTCGACCGTCGAGGGCGCCCCCACCCAACAAAAAAACGTAAGGTCTGCAGTGACGCTCCAAATCTCCCCCCTTCCATCCCTCTTAATACTCTATTTCATTCACCACTACCACCAACTCTCCAGATTTCTGCAGCTGCGTCCCTTATTTATTTTTACAATGGGGACTACGGAGCAGGAGGCGGGGGAATAGAAAGCCCCCGTCTCATTGACCATTAAATGAAAGGTGGGCGGGGGAGAGAGAGGAAGGAAGCAACAACAAAAAGAGTTTAATCTTACTTTCTCCCACCACAGCCTTAAGCCCAGCTGGTGCCATGACGTCCCTCTCTTGCTCTTCTTCTTGAAGTATTTGTGTGGGGAGGAATCCCCACGTCTGGTTTCCTCTTTTCTCCTTTTCCTGCTGCTGCTCGGCTCAAAACCCCGCACAAAACTGCACTCCGGTTTGGCTTCTCAGCTGACTGCAAAAGGAAGGAGGGAGGGCAGTCTGGGCAAGGATGCGGGGGGGGAGCGGAGGAGGAGGCAGGTCCAGGCAGGGCGTGGTCGGATTGTGATGCGAGCTGCTGATGCTGATGCAGAAAGAGGCTGGTGGTGCCGTGGATGGCGTCATACCCCCACCGGGCCAATCAGCGCGCCGCCTGCTCAGCATCTCTCTCTCCCCCCACTCTCTCTACACACATACAGACATACGCACCCGCACGGCCTGCGGCTCTGCTCATCGACCAACTCTGGTGAGGGGCGGAGCCAACATCTGCAAATAAAGGGATGGGGGTGGGTAAAAGAAAGAATCGCAGCCTCTTCTGCTGTATGAATGAACCTCCCTTACATGCGTTTACACATGTACTTGTTTGCAGAATGCAAACATTCGATGGCATCCCCGCTAACCCATGCCACCAAGTCCTTGTTTTGAATTTGCTTTCGTGCAGCTTTTATGTTGCTTTTTAAAAAAAACAACAACACTTTTTTAATGATGTTGCACTGCTGCTTAGAGATTTAATTTTTTTCAAATACACTAAGCAGGTTATAAATAAATAATGAAAAATATAGGCAGCTTCCACTACCACTCCTCAGTCCCAATAAGAACAGACAGTTATTCACCAGGCCCACATGTCAAGAGACACAGGGATATCAACACTAAGATGAAACTCTGTTTCAGACCCAGATGCCAACTTTCATTGTCAAGAGAGCAACTCTTCAAGAACTGGTGCCTGTTTTCCCCCTCTTCTCTTTCCCCTTATGTGTCATGTATTTTCATTTTGTTTATTTTTTAAAAAAAGATATTTATTAAGAGTTTACAAATTACAAAAAAAAGAGAACAGGAAAAGAAAACAATAAAGAATTAGACAAAACAAAACAATACCTTACAATACACTAAAGAAAAAATAAAACAATACAATAAAACAACAAAGAAAAATAGACCAAAAACATTTAAAAACACATCCAACCTTTCCATATCTTTACCTCTCATATACTTGTTTCATCGACCTCCTCACACCTCCCTTTTTTGTATTCTAGTTCAATTAGCTATTTCAGCAAGTCCTTTCCATCTTTCTCAATTTTCGTTCTAAAATTTAACTTAAGACACTCTAACCTTAAATTTTCCACTTCGGTCCATTAACGATCTATTTTTACTTAGTTCTTTATAACATTTCTGCTAAAACCATATAACTTCATTCCAGCATCCTTCTAACATTCATTAATTTTGCAATATTTCTGTAAATATACTTTAAATTTTTTCCAATCTTCTTCCACCGACTCTTCTCCCTGGTCTCGAATTCTACCAGTCATTTCCGCCAGTTCCATGTAGTCCATCAGCTTCATCTGCCATTCTTCCCTGGTGGGTGTATTTTCATTTTGTTTAGATGGTAAGCCTGCAGGCAAGGAGAGTCTTGTTTAATTGATTGTACGTAAACCACTCTGGAAGCCTTTCTAGGCTGAAGAGCAGAGGACAGACAATCTCAATATTGATGATGATTATAATGTAGGCTTCCTCAACCTCGGCCCTCCAGATGTTTTGAGATGATGGGGTCAAGGATGATGGGAGTTGTAGTCCCAAAACACCTGGAGGGCCGAGTTTGCCTGTGCCTACTCTAAACTGAATGGGAGCAGCTCACAAAGATTTTAGATGCCAGCGAACTTTCCTTTAAAAAAAAAATTATTGAGAATTTCAACATAACAAATTATCAAAACATATCATCTTTATTATTTCCCCCCAATTTTTCCCTCCCCCCTCCCCAAGAAAAGCCCTCCCTCATTCCCACCCAAGACTTCCCTCAGCTCCTCTCTCTGATTTTTCAGCACATGTTATTCTCTGCATATTGTAAAATTGTAAATTATCTGTCTATTATGTTAACAATCAATAAATTTGTGTATGTTTATTCAAAACCTGCCAAGGAGTCCAATTCATTTTGGGGTTTTTTAATTAGTTTATAAAGAGTTCCCATTCTTCTTTAAAGTCACAGTTGTCCTTGTCTCACAGTTTGCATGTCAGTTTTGCCAATTCTTCATAGTCCATCAATTTCTCTTGCCACTGGTCTTTTGTCGGGATTTCCTCATTCTTCCATCCTTGTGCTATTAAGACTCTTGCCACCATTGTAGCATACATAAATAAATTCTTTATTTTCCTTTGCAGGTCTTTTCCTACAATCCCTAACAAAAATGCTTCTTTTTTTTTTTTTTTTACAAATGTCAATTGAAACATTTTCTTCAACTTATTATATATCATTCCCCCCCCCCCATTTAATTTCTCTACATTCCCACCACATGTGGTAAAAAGTCCCTTCTTTTTCTTTACACTTCCAGCATACGTTTTTTTTTTTTTTCTTTTTTTCCAGCATACGTTTGACCCAGTTTTGTACATTCTTGCAATCTGTACTGGTGTTATATATACATCTATACATCATTTTCATATAATTTTCTTTCAAAAGAGAACAGTTTGTAAATTTTAGATCTATTCTCCACAATTTTTCCCAATCTTCAAATTGTATATTATGTCCCATATCTTGTGCCCATTTGATCTTGACCGATTTCACCTCCTCATCTTTTGTTTCCCATTCCAGCAGAATACTATATGCACCCTTCAGCAACTTCACTTTCCCTTCTATGACTTCCTTTTGGAATCTAGAAGTAGTATAACTAAATCCTTTCTTGTTGTCTTCTTTGTATATCTCATGTAATTGCCTGTAATGTAACCAACTCTGAAAATGATCTTTTATTTCCTCATACTCCTTTAGCTTCCATTTTCCTTCTTGGTCCTTTAGTAAGTCACTGTATGTAAGCCACTTTCCTTTTTTACCAAGTGGCTTGAGCAGCAAAGCTTCAAGTGGTGAAAGCCACCAAGGTGTCTTCTGTTCTATTAAATCTTTATATCTCTCCCAAACCCTCATTAATGATTTCCTAATTATATGATTATAAAATCCTTTATGTACTTTTCCTTTCCCATACCATAGATATGCATGCCATCCGAATCTATTATCATGACCTTCCAAATCCAATGCTTCTTGCTTTTCCAGTCCCTAATCCATACCAAACATGCAGCCTCATAATACAATTTAAGGTCTGGGAGGGCAAAACCGCCTCTTTCTTTTGTATCTGTAAGTATCTTATGCTTTATCCTTGGCCTTTTGCCCCTCCAGATAACTTGGAGATTTCCTTCTGCCATCTTTTGAGGCAATCATCTTTCACCATTACTGGGACTGACTGAAAAAGAAATATCATTTTTGGCAAAACATTAATTTTTACTGCTGCTATTTTTCCTAATAAGGAGAGATTCATTCTGCTCCATATTTCTAGATTTCTTTTTATCTCAAGCCACACTTTTTCATAATTATCTTTGTAAATATTTTTATTTCTTGATGTTAACCACATCCCTAAGTATTTGACCTTTTTATGGACTTCTGTTTCAATACTTTGCTCCAACTCTTTTTTCTCTTCTTCCTTCAAATTTTTAACTAATAATTTAGTTTTATTCCTATTTAATTTAAATCCTGCCACTTCCCCAAATTTCTGAATCTTTTCTATAACTCTAGGGAAGGAAGAGAATTTTTTGGATCTTCCACTGTGATCACCAAATCATCAGCATATGCTTTCAGTTTAAACTCACTTTCCCCAGTTTTTATCCCAGTGATCTCTTTATCTGCTCTTATATTCCTGGCAAGTACTTCCAGAACCAGAATGCACGACAGCGGTGATAATGGGCAACCTTGTCTGGTTCCTTTTTGTATCTTACATTCATCCGTTATCACCTGATTTACAATTAATTTCGCTTTCTGTTCTGAATAAATTGCTTGTATTCCTTTTAAAAATTTAGATCCACATTTAATTTCCTCAAGTAACTTTATCATGAAATTCCAAGAGATGTTGTCAAAGACTTTTTCGGCATCTATAAACAACATTACTGCTTTCTTTTCATTTTTGACCTCCAGGTATTCTATTATATTCAAATTATTTCTTATATTCTCCTTCATTTGCCTACCTGGAAGGAATCCAGCCTGATCCTGATGTATATACTCACTTAATATTTTTTTCATTCTATTAGCTAAAATGCTTGCAAATAGTTTATAATCATTGTTTAACAATGAGATAGGCCTATAATTTCTAATTTGCAGCAAGTCTGAATCTTGTTTTGGAATTACTGTAATATACACCTCTTTCCATGTTTCTGGAATTTCACCTGTATTTAAGATCTTATTCATAACATCTTTCAGTGGGTTTACCAATTGTTCACTTTATTTTTTATAATACTTTGCCATTAGTCTATCTGGACCAGGAGACTTGCCATTTTTAGTCCACTTTATTGCCTCTAGCAGTTCTTGCACTGTTATTTGAGTATTTAAGATTGCCATTTGTTCCTCTTTTATTTTTGGTAAATTACTACTTTTAATATATTCTTCTATTTTAAAAAAAATTCTCCTTTCCTTTCCTATACAGATCTGAGAAATATTTTACAAATGCTGCTCTTATTTCCTCTGTCTTATCTGTGATCTTTCCATTTATATTAATTTTATTTATGGAGTTCCTCTGTTCACTTTTCTTCTGCTGCCACACTAGCAATTTTCCTGATTTATTGGCATGCTCAAAATATTTTTGTTTCATTCTTTTTATTTTCCAGCTAATTTCCTCATTAACTATCATAGAATATTGGGTTTGTAATGTTCTAATTGCCTGTTTGACTGGCTCTTTATTTGCTTTCTTTGACAATTGTTTCTCCTTGTCCGCAATTTCCTCAAAAATCTCCTTTCCCCTTTTTTCTTTCAATTTCTATTTAAATGAATTTTGTTGTATAAACAATCCTCTCATTACTGCCTTGCTTGTGTCCCAGACCATCTGCAATTTTGTCTGTCCTTGAGTGTTTATTTCAAAATAATCACTCAAGGCCATTTTGGATTTTTCCATAAATTTTTGATCATCTAATAAATCTTCATTCAATCTCCATCTAAATGAAATTTGGCTTTCTTTTTGTGTTTCCATTGTCAAGGAATTATGAGCTGAAAATGTCCTGGGATTAATCTCATTTTTTTAAACTCGAGGTTCCAACATTTTGAATATCCACAAAGAGTCTATTCTTGAACTGCTATTATAAACATGGCTATAATAAGTAAACTCTTTATGAAGCAAATGTCTTGTTCTCAATATATCTATCAAGTTCAAATTTTGAGCCAGATCAAAGAAAGTCTTTGGTAACCTGCCTTCTTTCGTCTCTTTTTTCCTAGCTGATCTATCTTTTTCTAATGATGGAACTCCATTTAAGTCTCCCATTAAAAACTGCAAATTCAAGTAGTTCTGTTTCCAATTTTTTAAAGAAGACTGCTTTTTTCTCATTAGGTGCGTAAATTATGCCAGGGAACTTTCCTAGCTCTACATGGAGTTGTCAGGGATTGAACCTGGGACCTTTTTTGGAGGGGCCACTAGGGGCGCATCGGAAGATGGCTGACAATAACATATCTCCGACCCACAGGAGGTAATTAGGAGGCTGTGATGGGAGTAAATAGCCTCCCTACCCCCCCCCCCCAGGATTGTGGGGGGGGCTGCCTTTGCCTGCTGTGCCCTATACCACCCCCGAATTTGTGGGGATGGGGGCACTAGGCAGAATGCCCTCCTGTGGATTTCGGTGCTCCTGGACGCAGTCTCTGATCCGCGCCGCTAGCTGCAAGAACTTCAAAAGGAATAATTAGGAAGAAGTGAATGCACATATTTCAAGGAAGGAGGGGGAGTAAAGACTGCTAACTGAAGAGTTCTCTGATAAACAAGACGAGTCGGAGGAACAAGAATCAATCATGAGAAGATATGCCAAGACTCGGTATGGCAAAGGGACTGGATGGGGGAGGGGAAAAAACTTTCCTTTCTTTCCTCTATGCGATTAAATAAGAATCCCCCCCCACACAAGTCAGAAATGCCGTTTTAATGACTTAAGCTGTGGATTTACGACTGTGTGGAGATGAATTTTCTAACCAAAGCATGTTTTAAGAAGAGCGTGGAAAGTTTAAGAGCTTTGGAATGACGCAGTTAAAAATACCGTCGCCATGATGGCCAGCTCTGTCGGAGGACTTGAGTCTGGGAGGAGGAAAAAAGATGTTTTTATATTGTGAGTGACTCCTCAGTGGAACTTAAGAACGACAGATCCTGAGATTAATGATGGAAAGAGCGATGTTATTTATGAAAGTGATGATATATGGAAACCATCTCGATACGAGGATTGGACGAACGGAAAAATCCACACAGGATATAATTGGTGTTTATCTGCTTAAGGAGATTATCAGAAGAGATCATAAAGAAAAAAAGAAAAAATATATGAACAAGATGAGATGTGGAAACAGCAAGATAAGACTGGATAGAATTATGAACTTTATTTGGACTGATTTGGACATTAACGCAGTAGCAAGAAGCTGATCAGAATCCCCCTTCGGATCTTGAAATATGGGTCCCCTCAACAAAAATTTAAAATTCGGCTTTGTAATTCGGAATTTATGTGATGTGATGTGATTTGATTTGATTTGATTGGTCGGTTAATACAAAATATTTTTTAAAAAAAGAACCTGGGACCTTTTTTTGCATAAAACCTTCACACTACCACAGAATTGTTCTTCACTTAAAAGATTCCACTCTTTGTGGCTCTGAAAGCAGGACTAAATTAATTAGCAACACAGGAAGCTTCCCGTCTGCAGACTTTGCTGTTTTAAGGCTTCCTGCTTAAAAGAAGAAGAAAATACTTTCAATTTCAGAATGTGGGACTGCACAGAGTTTTGAACTCATACACTTCAAGTATATTTGTTATAGTATTGAGTCTGCCTCCCCCAAATCGTGTGTGATGATTTGTTAGCCAGTTCAGGGTTGTTGTTGTTGTTTACAACTTCACAACTTATGCATCAGACACACCCCACTAAAAAAAAAAGAGAGAAAAGCCAAATGATAAAAAGTGTGCTTTGCTCCTTCCTCACACCCTGTATCTTTGGTGGTGTCTCTACAAGAGCCCGTATTTCTTATGAAGCAATGGTTCATTATCAGTCTGCCTTAGTTCAGTAACAGGTGCAAAACCAGGAGTACTTCAAATGTATTCATGAGGATGTGTTATGAAGCATGACCTGCCCAGAGATGAAGGGGAAGAAGAGGAGTTTCCAGCCCAAAAGAATACAGTGTTTTAATTTGGTTTGGGCAATATCTTTTATGTATGAAAACCAAGCGCATCCTACCCTTACATAATTTGTGTACATGCTGTCCCTGACATTGGCTCTCAGTTAAGTGCTTAATAAACAGCTACATCTAAATTGCTCAATTCCACCCCCACCCATTTTTCAAATTGCACATTGTCAAGCTTTCTGACAGCACAATTTTCCCCAACTCTACATTTTATGTCCAACTGCGACGCGTGCGTGCACACACACACACAGAAGAAACCTTGGATGTGTTCCTAAGTTGTACCTAATATTAGAAATTATCTGATAGCTTCCCCCTTTTAAAAAATATACTTCTGGGTGACCAGAGGCGGTTTTAGAGCTTCAGGGGGCACCAAAACAATGCTGTAGAATGGAGCATGAGGGGTTGGGGAGTGGGGTATCATTGAATTTTAGCGTTGCACAAGGCACTGCTGAAATTTGAGAGCCCAAAGTCTGCCACTGCCATGACAACATAGCATCATACTATGCATAACCTTGCAAAGGAACCTTAATATAAACATAAAAATGCAGTGCACAGCAGTTTACTCCATGTTGAAAAGGGAAATTCACAAGCACACTAAATAAACCACTTAGTAATATCCACCAGGAGCTGCTTGTCCAGGGAGGTATCTCGGTTGTAAATCCAACAAAATTCTGCAGAAGTGACAGTTGTATTATTACACCTCTCTGACCAGCAACATAATACAGAATGGGGTCTTGTGTATCTGCAGAGCAGCCCCTCTGCTCCTCAACACCTTTTTGCATAAGCCATTTTGGCAAGAGACCAGACTTTGGACCACCATCCCACCAATAAGAACTATATGGAGTTCGTCCAGTGCTTGGCTATCTCTTAGCTGGGCAGCAGCCTTCAAGATTGGGTCTTAACTGCCCAGCATCAATTCCCAACAAAAAGGCCAATGAGCTTACACCTGCCCTGCCCACCATATTTTACACTGCTGCTGGCCAGCTCATCCCCTACCACCTAGCAACCCCATCACCTACTGATGTCAGAGGCGCAGTTTGCCACAAGGTCCCTAAAACCTAGAGCTGGCTCTGCTTTTTCTTGTACTTACAATGCTGATGTTTCTTAAGTTTGCTCATAAATAGAGGGATCTGTGTTCTCCATTAAAACAAACAGCCCCTTGTGTTAATCACCACCTGATTGGAAAAAGACTCTGCCCACCATTAATTTCTCAAAATCCCATTTGGAAGCCATCTAGTGTTCATTCCCAGATTCTACAGCAGTGAATATGGTAAACAAATGATAGCAGGGTATTTTGTTTTGTTTCACTTTGTCTGATAAATAATTTCTGCCCCTTGTCTGTCCTCAATTGCCTGCCAATCTATTTCATTGGGTGGCCATGGTTTCTAGTTATTATGAGTGGAAGGAGAAGTCTTATAAACTAACTCCCACCTTCCTTTTTGTTCAGTCTGAACAGTCTTTCCTCATAGAGAATGTGCTTCCAATATATGATTTTCAAGCTTTTATTTACCTAAGAGAAAGGAGCATGTGGGAAGGAAGTCCAATGGCTATCCCATAACTATTGCCTGGAAATAAATAGCTATTAATGTACACTACATAAATCTGTTGTTGTTGTTGTTGTTGTTGTTGTTGTTGTTGTTGTTGTTGTTGTTGTTATATTTATATTTATATCCCACCCATCTGACTGGGTTTCCCAAACACACTGGGCGGCTTACAGCATACATAAAAACATAATAAAACATCAAATATTTTAAAAATGGAATATCTTATACAGACTATTAATAAACCAATAAATCAACAGAAACAAATAATAATAGGATTGGGAAGTTGGTTTGGATGATAGATTTGGGTACCACCAATCCTGTGACTTGATGTATGTAAGATGGGAGTCTACAAGAAGTGGTCAAACTTGTCTCTTTGTTAACAGTCTTAGCCAAGCCTGTTACATGTCTTTTACATGTCTTTGGGGTTTTTTCTGGAAACCTAAGGGAAAGCAAGATCAGTTGCAGTGCTAATGCTGTGAATCCCTCCATTCTCTTTTTTAAAAAAATTAAATTTTTTAACATATAAAACACATACATATACATTTGCACAATTACACAATACACGTACATAACACACTACCTTATTTTCATAACATAAAACATACCTACATTACTCTATATAATACCTAAGTATACTGTACATATTAACATACCTACACACCTACCCCACACGGACACCCACCAAGTGACTTTACTTCCAGTCGTTCTTGTTACACTACTTTATTTTTCCAACTAGCTTAAACACATTTCATTATTTCTTTAATCTCTTCTTCTATCTTGACTTTACTCTCCTTTCACTCTAATCATTTTCTGGATTCACTCAATATCTGTCAGAGATTCTACTTTTTCTACATAAATTTGGATGTATTCCTTAAAGATAGCCCACTCTTTATTCACTTTATTCTCCTCATCCTCCCTGTTAGTTCAGCAATATGGAAGTATTCTATCATTTTAGATAACCAGTCTGTTTTAGTTGGGACGCTGCTGCTTTTCCAATTTTTGGCAATCATTAACCTTGCCACCGTAGTTGCATACATAAATATTGGCCTGACCGATCTTTTTATTTCCTCTGACATGATGCCTAGGAGAAAGGATTCTGGGTTTTTTTCAAATGAAAATCTAAACATCTTTTTCAGTTCGTTATAGATATTTTCCCATTCTCTGTACACAAACCCTTCAACATTTCTCTGATGAAAATAGGGACGTCCCATTCCATAATGATAATTTTACTATTTATACCCCAAACATTTTACTGGGTTGCCCCAGCCACACTGGGCAGCTTCCAGCAAATATAAAAACACAATAAAACATTAAAAACCTTCCCTATACAGGATTGCCTTCAGATGGCTCAGGGGTCAGATAACTCCATACCATTCAAAATTTCTCCAGTGAAAATAGGGACATCCTAAGGAAAAGTGAAACATTCCGGGGTCAAATCAGAAACTGAGACAGCTTCTCTAACTCAGGGAGCTCTCTGGCAAACAGGGACACTTTGGAGGGACTGTGTTCAGGTTCTATATATGTATTAAAAACCCATATATCCTAAAGACACCAGTCTCCTTTGACCTTCATTGTAAGAAAACAGAACACTTGGTACTCCCAGAGTCTCTCACCATTTGGGGGTGGCATGTAACAATACATATTCAAAATTTAAACCTGTGTAAAATCTGATGAGGAATCAAGCAATTGGCATTTTATCAGAGTAGTGGCTTCACACAAGGGATGTGTGTTGAGTGTGCTTTAAATGTGTTATGTACTGAAGTTCTCACCCTGGGCTAGCAAGGGGATACTGTAGATAGTTATGCAAATGAAGGATCGAAAGTGACGTTCAGTGATTGGATAGTTTGTATGCAAATGAAGGATCGAAAGTGACGTTCAGTGATTGGATAGTTTTAGAAAATGGCAACAGTTACATTGTACTGGAGCTCTATATAAGCAGGCTGACTGAGCTCCTCAGTTCAGTTCTGTTCTGGCATCTGAATAAAGAAGAGCTGTTTGAAGAATCGCTGTGTCGTCTGATATGTTCACCCACAACTTAACAAAATGCATGGTGCTGATCTGTCCAGAGTGGAAGGAAATGTATCATGCTGAAAGCAATCTGTCCTTACAAAAGCCACAGACATCTCTGGACACAAGTACAGACCTTCGTGTATAAAAATGAAACGTAAAGGGCAGTCCCAGCCAAAGACGTCTCCCATTCCTAGCACTGATTAGAGTTCTATACTAGCCCCTTTCTCTTTCCCTACCAAAGGGTTGTCCATGACTGACAATCTGCAAACACAGCTCAGCTGAGGCCTCAAAGAATAACTCGGTTGGTAGATTATGGGACTTTATCTCATGGTCGTTCAAGCCCCAGTTGGGCAAAAAATTCCTGCATTGCAGGGGGTTGGAATAGATTACCGTATCCTTTCCTTCCAACTCTTTTATACACAGAAAAAAGTGTGACTTGTTTGTTTGTTTGTTTGTTTGTTGTGCAGTTGGATACAAAATGTGGACAGGAGTGGGGCCATCATGAAGTTGGAAAGCTGATGTGTGGTTTGAAAAATTGGGGTGGACGAAAATCAAATACATAGGTGTAGGCATTTATTAAGAACCTTAACTACTAACTACAGGCTATTGCAGACACAGAGTGTACACACAAATTATGTAAAGGGAGAATGTGCTCAGTTTTCTCCCATTCTTAAACTCCCCAGACCATATTAAATCACTTTCTTCTTTCTGGCTGGAGCCTCCTCTTCTTCCCCTTTCAGTCAGGTAACGCTTCATGACATCAAAGTAAACACTCCTAAAATACTCCTGGTTTTGCACCTGTTACTGAACTAAGGTGGATAGATGGATGAATCCCTGGTGTACTACAAGCTCCCTATGGAGAAACCCACCACGGATTCAGGGTGTAAGGAAGGAGCAGGGCACATTTTGTATTTGTTTGGCTTTTCCTTTTTTGGTGTGTGGAGTCTGATGCAGAGTTCGTGCTACTGGAAAATCTGCTTTTAGAGTAATTTTAAAATCATTGCTCCCAAACAACCTGCTTCTGGCTGCCAAGGAAAAATGCGGAACCCTCCTGTGTTTTCTTCCATCTCCCTTTTCTAAAGGCATCATCAGGTGGTTTCAGCTGCAGTCTGCTGCAAAGACTGAGCCTCAAAGCTGCAAGGGGCCTGCTGCATCTGTATCCTCTTGCAGTGGAATGAATCTAAGCGGCAGAGAGACAGAGAGGGTCAGGAGATGAGGCGGCTGCCGAATTAACCAATGGCAGGAACCTAATGTCTTAGCCTAATAGACCCAACTGCCGGTGGTACCTGCTGGAGGTGTAAAGCTGCAAATGCTGAGAAATTTGGGGTTCATGCCAGAAAATTCTTGGAAGGTATAGTGATGGAAAACAAAGAATCTACTGTGGTAACTGGTTATACTTTACCCAGGGACCCTTTAATTCTCCTCTTTTGATATGTTAAAGAAAATTGTACTAACAGAGGACAGGGAATTAATCAACATCTATTAACTGCTGCCAGAACCTAGGAACCAACTCCTAGGGGCACGAGGGCTTCGGCACACACAATAAAATACTTGTGGGCACCAGGCCCCCACAAAGTTGGTGGGCGTTCCCATTCAGATGGTGTGTGTGTGTGCACTGTGTCATGTGATTGATTATGCAGGGAGGGGCTTACCTGGGCCCCCACAATATTTTTTTCAAGTTGGCACCCTTGTGCCAGAATTATTATTGTCATATTGGGGAGGAGGTAAGAACACCATTCTTGATAGAATGGATAACTAAAGTCTGGAATAAGGTATGTGTGGTTAAGCTTACATACATGGTGAGAACCAGAGGGCAGACATCAAGATAATGGTGTGTGTGTGTGTAACTGAGTCTTTTTCATCTGTTCAGCCACTGAACAGGATGCTGGACTATGGGTCACTGACAAGATCGAACATGCTTGTCTTATGTGCTTAAGACTCACCCTTTTTAAATAAAAAAAAAAGTTGGTGAGATCCTGTAGTTTTTTGTTTTAATTGGCTATAAAGATTTAAAAGATTACTGGTTGTAAATAGAACGATAGATTAATTAGTATGGTGGTTTTGTTTCTGGTATTTGATTTTGATTATGCTTAAGATGGCATAATAGGATGATACTGAAATGTTTGTTATTCGAGGGGTGCTTGTCTGGAGCCTTGTGACGGTAGCTAGCCTAAAAGGCGGCTTATAAATGATAAGATAAAATAAATATAGAACTAATATTATGCCTAGCAGAATAAGATAATCGCAGGGAGGCCCTCTGCGATTGCAGGAATGGAAGTGCTTCACTGAGCGTCCCTACCAGCTGTTACAGCTGTTGCATCCGGGCTTGCCGAGCAAAGCATTCTGGGAGGTGTAGTTTGAAAGTGTCCAAACTCTCCCTCTCTCCCTCCTTTAAAAATAGGGAACCACAACTATGCACCGAGGTAAACGGTATCGTTGCAAAGAGCCTTAGGACTACCCGACCCTTTCTTTCCTAGATTTACATTTATTATTCGCAGTATTATTGCAATATTTTTTCGAATCGGCCTGAAGAGCTACTTAAATATGGGTGTGATATTAACTCCTACTCTCTATTTACTCTAGAGTAAGCACAAAGCGATGCATGCAGTCAATCAAGGTTTTGCAATGTGCCGCTTGTCTAAATCGTAAAATAGTATTTGTTCTGGGCTGGGGAGGAAGACGGGAGTGCAAATAAATAAACCCAGAATAATAGACTACAATTCCCAGGATGCTGCGCGCCCTGGCCCACGTGACTCCTCACTAAATTCATTATCTTTTACCGAGGCATTGAATCTAGGCGGAACCTGATCGAGTGGAACGAACTTAATTGCGCGCAGACGGCAACTCGCCTGCTGCTTCTGCCGGAGGAAAAAACGAAGAAGTGAAGAAAATACTGCAGCAAGATGATGCAGGCAAGTCTGTATCAAAATTGTAGATGGTGTCTATTTAATTTACTTATTTAATTGGAAGCAAATTAAAAATGCGGAGCTTGTTTTTTTTAAAAAAGCAAAAGTTTGTGGACAGATTCTCCCCGGCTCGTGTTGCTTTCATTCTTGCTGAGATCGATGCTGATCCAATTTTTATAAACAAATGCCGGACAACTACTTTACTATAACGTAACTGTGCCCAGAAAGTAGCCTTTATTTAGCTCTTTTAAGAGCGTCGTAATGAAATTTCGATCGCGATCTTAATTTGCACGCTGGGCGAGTCAGCGTCTCCATCTGTTGGCTGTTTACCAGGAACAGACTAGTGTTTTGTTGGGTTCCTTGAAAAACAATGAGCCTTATTTTGTCCCTAATTGGGGGCGGGTGGTGGTGGAGAGAGAGATTTTGGGATGACTTTCCTTTTAAAGAGAAGTTGATGTACATCTCTCACCGTTTGGCGAGTTTCATCGGAAGCTGCCTCACGCAGAGTCAAACCATTGCTCATCTAGCTCACTATTGTTTACACACACTGACTGGCAGCTGCTCGTCAGGGTATCAGAAAAGGACTGTTCCCATTCCTACCTGGAGATGGCAGGGACTGAATCTGGGACCTAATCTAAGCCTGGGTAGGCAACCTAAGGCCTGGGGGCCGGATGCAGCCAAATCACCTTCTCAATCCAACCTGCGGACGATCCGGGAATCAGCGTGTTTTTACATGAGTAGAATGAGTCCTTTTATTTAAAATTCATCTCTGGGTGATTTGTGGGGCATAGGAATTTGTTCATCCCCCCCAAAAAATTAAATATAGTCTGGCCCCCCACAAGGTCTGAGGGACAGTGGAACAGCCCCCTGCTGAAAAAGTTGGCTGACCCCTGTAATCTAAGCAGATGCTGTACCATTGAGCTGCAGCTATTCCCTTGCCTTAAAAAGGTAAAGGTAAAGGGACCCCTGATCATTATGTCCCGTCGTGGCCGACTCTGGGGTTGCGGCGCTCATCTCACTTTATTGGCCGAGGGAGCCGGCGTACAGCTTCCGGGTCATGTGGCCAGCATGACTAAGCCGCTTCTGGCGAACCTGAGCAGCGCACAGAAACGCCGTTTACCTTCCCGCCAGAGTGGTACCTATTTATCTACTTGCACTTTGACGTACTTTCAAACTGCTAGGTTGGCAGGAGCAGGGACCGAGCAATGCGAGCTCACCCCGTCGCAGGGATTCGAACCGCCGACCTTCTGATCGGCAAGTCCTAGGCTCTGTGGTTTAACCCACAGCGCCACTCGCATCCCATTCCCTTTCCTTACAGACACTTAATCCTTGAGTTGGGTTGGAGAGATATATCTTGGGTACAGAGTGCATGAATACAAACTTTAGATTTACGGTATAAAGAAAATTTTGGTTCAGCTCTCCCAGTGGCTATGCACCATGCAGGCAGCTCAGAAGACTCGCAACTTCATAGTATATAGAAGACTATGAAAATGATTGGGGTGGGGTGGGCTGGATTGGGTTGTTGCACAGGCGTGCCTAATCACCCTGAATTGTGCACCCAGAATTTGCTGCTATGTTATAGAATCCCTCCCTAAAACTGTCTGGAAGTGGTGTAGTTAGGCAATTTCAGACTCTGGACTTCATGATTTTACAAGGGTGGCCCTCTTTAGATGGAGATGTGTATTATTTCACTTACTTCAGAATGTAATGAGAGAGCCCTGATGCTCTCCTACTTGTGTTGCTGAGTGGGGCCGCCAGCATCTGCCCCCAAATCCTCCCTTACAGTGCCACCTTTGTTGCCACCAGCCATGCCTCTGTCCTAGGTCTGACACTTATCTCCTCCTAATCTTTGGGAGAGGACAGGATAGTACAGGAGGAGGTGATCCCCCAGGTATCTTGGCCCCAAGCTAGGGTTTGAAAGGTCCTTGCTAAATTGTGCCTGAGAGCTAATTGGTATGGCTATGGGTGTAAAATGCCCCCGCACAGACTTTCATTCCTCCCCCACCCCATAACCCCCTGTCCAAATAGATGGGTTTCCTACTTCAGAGGTCAGCACAAGACAGACAACTGCTGGTGCTCATTCAGACCAGTGGAGCCAGAACCGATGAGAGGCAGAGCCAACTAATTCTGGTCTAGTCCCCTGCCCATCCTTCTCCCTTCTGGCTTCTACAAGGGCTACACTTGAGACTAAACTGGCAGGCAGGGCCACCCCCTGAACTGGTTGCAAGTAAAAGGGCAGACAGGCAGGAGCAGTTGGGGTTGATGGGGCAGTGCCCAACTGGACCAGCCTAAACTGGACTACCACCAGGTAAATGGGCAGCAGGAACAGAAGAGCCTTCGTCAATGTGAAATAGCCCTTGGACTGGTGTGTGTGGATTTTCAATCCAAGCCAATCCTATTGTCTTCCCAAAAGGCAAGCGGAGGACAGGAGAGAGCTGGAGAGTGGGGGCTGGTCCATTGGGATAAATGGAGCCCCGTTCCACCAATATCAGCCAGCCTTTCTACTCCCTGCCTTCCTACTTACAGTCAGTCCAGGGAGCGGAACTGCCAGTCAGCTTCCTCCTTGGTTTCAGTGTTGCCCTTGTAGAACTCAACGGGGAGGAGGGCAGGGGTCAAACTAGAATGAGTTGTCTCTGCCTCTCGTTGACTATGGCACCATCTGCCTCAATGGGCACCAATCACCACTGCATCCAGGTATTTCCTAGTCTTTCCGAAGGCCAGCAATTGAAGAAAAGTTGTCTCCCAGAGGGCACCAGCCACTACTGGGTTTGGAGGTGAATCTGATGTAACTTGACAAGGCTCTGAATTTTCTTGTTGCAATCCCGTCCCCCTTCCCATTTTCTATAATGGCTATTAAATAAGTATTTTGCTAATTAAAATAATGCAACATGTGTGTACATGAAAAAGGCGGTGGGGTGATATGAGTCATGCTTCCTCAGTGGGCTTTCCCAGTATAACCAGAAGCTGTTCTTTGGTTCCTTGAAAGTAGGTTAGACAGTACTGCTTCCGCATCCTACCTGCCTGTTTACTCAGGAAGTCCTACTTGAGTATGTGCCAAACTGTCCCACCTCAGTAGAGCGATCCTGTGCATGCATACTTGGAAGTAGGTCTCAATAGGCCAGTCACATTCTTTTGCATTTGCTGCAACAGGCTGATGCAGCTTCCTATGGAAGAGGACTCTGATGTTTATTGTAGTCCCCAGCGTAAACACTATGTGAACAAGCCAGTCAAAGCAAAGTCCTTTTAAGTCCCCATGAGTTCAATGTGAGAGAGTGCTATTCTTATTTTATGAGAAGTCCCATTGTATTCATTTTAGAGATGGATGGAGAAATCTGATTCAGTTCACATGCCTGACTTCTTCTTCTTCTTTAATTAAATTTCTATACCACCTTCATCTGAGAATCACAGGGCAAACAAGACTTTGGGTATCTTTGTAAATATGCCAGGGAAGGGAGAAAACAGCCCCAAGGGCCAAGTGTCTCCCTCCAGTGTTCTTTATCGGACCTTTGGGACTCACCCTAGGCCATACTCCTTCCTCAGCTGTGGGTTCTCTGTTCAGGCCATACCCCTCACTGACCAGAAGAGAACGTAGATCTGATTCTCATGCAGACTAACCCTTGGTTCAATTCTGAGTGTCTCTAGGCAGGGCTGGAAGAGACCTTGAAAGCCTGGAGAATCACTGCCAGTCAGTGTAGTCTAGTGTTCCTCAATCTTGGGTCCCAAGCTGTTATTGGACTACAACACCTGTCATCCTTAGCTAGCAAGACCAGTGGTCAGGTATGATGGTAACTGTACTCCAAAAACAACTGGAGACCCAAGGTTGGTAAACACTGCTGTGGACAATACTGAACTAGGTAGAGCAGTGGTCTGGCAGCTTCCTATGTTCCTCAGGAATTAGTGAAACATAGGAAATTCTCCAGTTCTCTGTTCTCCCTTCATGTGATCTGCTAGAAGTGTTTACCCGATTATCCCACTGATTAGAAACCACAGCTTTCTTCCCAAGCTCTTTTGCAATGAAAGAATCAGTCCTGGTTCTGTTTCCGCCTCCATCTCTTTCATTCACAGCAACCCAATAATTGCAACCTCACACCTAGACATGCCCAGTCTTGTGTGAATTTCCTCAACTCCCATTGGAGTTTCTTTGGCAGACTGTGTGTGTTCAACTTATTGCTTTAGGTTGAGCATTAAAAAGCTCAGTATTGTTGACACAGGCAAGCAGCAACTCCCCTGGGTTTCAGACAGGAGTTTTTCCAGTGCTACCCGGAGAAGACAGCGTTTGAGCCTGGGACCTTCTGTATGCAAAGAAGATTAGGTTTATTTTAATTTAATTAAAAAATTACATCCCACTTACTGAGAAATTGCCTCAAAGTGGCTTTTAAGAGATGTAGTTTTGAATGCTTTAATTATTGTGAATATACTTTTTTAATGATGTGAACTGCCCTGGACTCCTATGGGAGGAAGAATGTGATAGAACACAATCATAGTTATTGATAATAATAAATTATGCAAGGGTGGGGAGCCTGTGGCCCTCTAAATCCAGCCAGATGTGTGGAGTAGAAATAATAAATTATTATTATTATAAATGTTTTTGGACCCCATCTACCCCCAGCCAGCAAGCTCAGTGGTCAAGGGTTATGGGAGCTGGAGTCCAGAGACATCTGGAGACCTAAGGCTGAAAAACACTGATCTAACCCATTTTCTTCTCTGGCTGGCAGTGGCTCTCCAGAACTTGGGCAGGGATAGGACCCAAATACGCCATCCACTCCATAGGCTTTTGCAACTGACCCTGAGAATCTGCCTCTTAGGAAATCAGCTTTTGCATAATACAGTTGTGGTTCTCCTTTCACATTCTCAGTTTTGCATGTTTCAAGAGAGATTCAACTTGAAGGGAACAATTTCTGTTCGAAGATCCGACACAGGTGTGGAATTTGGCACCAAGAAACTGGTGCTGCCCGGAATTCACTGACCCTGTGAATGAGGGATTTGCAAAGACGCTGACCCTGTTTTTGACCATACCGTAATAGAGCTTCCACATTAATAAGCAAAACAGAGACCCAACAATTAGTTGGAATAAGATGACAGATAATCATAGGTTGGGATGATGAAAATGGCACATGATAAAGAACTTCCTTGTACAGAATCAAACCAGTGGTACAGGTTGTCAAATATAGCCTATGTTACTGGTTGAGTCGCCCTGACACCTGTGGTAAATTACATATACACAGAGAGAGACAGACAGACAGACAGACAGACACACACACACACATACACACATACACACACACACACGGTCTGTGACTGACTGGTCATCTGGAGGTTCCAGGGATCAAACTAGGAGCTTCTGGATTCAGAGCCTACATTGGCTCCCAGTACATTTCTGAGCACAATTCAAGGTGTTGGTGCTGACCTTTAAAGCCCTAAACGGCCTCTGCCTAGTATACCTGAAGGAGCGTCTCCACCCCCATTGTTCTGCCCGGACACTGAGCTCCAGTGCCGAGGGCCTTCTGGTGGTTCCCTCGCTGTGAGAAGCAAAGCTACAGGGAACCAGGCAGAGGGCCTTCTCGGTAGTGGCGCCCGCCCTGTGGAACGCCCTCCCGCCAGATGTCAAAGAGATAAACAACTACCTGACATTTAGAAGACATCTGAAGGCAGCCCTGTTTAGGGAAGTTTTTAATGTGTGACATTTTAATGTACAGTGGTACCTCAGGTTACATATGCTTCAGGTTACAGACTCCGCTAACCCAGAAATAGTGCTTCAGGTTAAGAAATTTGCTTCAGGATAAGAACAGAAATCGTGCTCCAGCGGCGCAGCAGCAGCAGGAGGCCCCATTAGCTAAAGTGGTGCTTCAGGTTAAGTACAGTTTCAGAACAGACCTCCAGAACGAATTAAGTACTTAACCCGAGGTACCACTGTATTTTTAATCTTTGCTGGAAGCCACCCAGAGTGACTAGGGAGACCCAGCCAGATGGGTGGGGTACAAATAAATTATTATTATTATTATTCCACCAAGCTCCTAACCCTAAAACGTCTTTAGCTCTAGCTCCTATCTGTACCAGCCACACCTCAGTAGAGTAAAATAGTGAATGACTATAGAGCCACGGGAGAGCTGGGAAGCAGACGTCACCCATCAGCTCTGCTATGACAGGCCAAGTCCATCAGGCCTCCTCTCACCTCAGCTGCCATTCCACCAGACCAGGAGCGATGGGAAGCAGGGCTCATTTCATCAACTTTGTCAGAGGCCCCGCTCCACCAGGCACCTCCTGCCTCTCTTGGTCAATATAGGAACAACGATTTAGAAACTTGCACCTAAGTTTTGTTTTTCCTCTTCCTTCCCTTTCCTTTTCCCTTGTGTGTGTAAGCCTCGTGGGTAAGAACTGCCTTGTTTTGATTGTGTGTAAGCAGCTCTGGGAGCCTTTCTGGCTGAACAGCAGGGTGCAAATACTCTCAATAAATATAGGATGCAAGCCCTTATCACACGTTCTGTGTGTGTAGAGGGGGAACTTCTGGGGTGTTTGGGGTGTTATGGGAGGGGCAGTACCTCTGGTGGAAGCTGCCAGCATGCAAGAGTGGGCACACCTTGGGGATGGCTTCCCCTGGCCGGCTAAAACAGGCGAGGGTAGCTGCTGGGTCTCAAACCCTCAGTGAGTGAGGGGCTTCCCCTGCATGCAAAGACAGGCTCTGACAAATGGTGCAGCTGAGACCAAGATTGGGTCCAGCGGTCAAGACGGTGGTTTATGCATGTGCTGTAGGGGGAAGTGACAAAATTTGGGGAAGCAACCTGGCATGCAGTTCTTTCCTGCCATTTTCACAGGGGAAAAGTTGGGGTGTGGCAACGCTGTCCAATTATGTTAGATGTTGTGCCACACTGTTCCCACTGGTGTGAATTAAATTTAACATGGCGTGCTGGTATATCAGTCAACACTGCCCCCCGATAACACAACAGGTACTACTGCAGTTTGAAAGGAAGATCAGAAAATGGGACAGGAGAACTTACACAGTGTTCTTCACATCTGAATGCACTTTTAGTCCTGGAGTTGCCCTTGTAGGACTCAGCAAGGAGGAGGGTGGGGGAAGCACTAGAATTAGTGGGCACCACCTCTCATTGGCCCTGGCGCTACCTGCTGCTGGGCTCCTTGCTTTCTGCCCTACCAGTCCCAGTGGATCAATTTGCGTCAACCTGGTGCCTTCCAGATCTGTGCGACTACACCTCCATCAGTCCCAGCAATGAACAGCCATGCTTGCTGAGGCTGATGGGATGTTGGCAGGGCACCAGATTAGCGGAGGCTGTTCATGATCTTGCATAAGCCTGCCCTGGATTTAGGTAATTAGATTTGGGGCTCTGGCTTATTAAACTGGCCTATCAACCAGGAACTAGTGGGGCTACTTTACATATACTAGGGTAAATTGTACATAAATGTGTGTGTGTGTGTGTGAAAATAATATGCAAAAAAAGTGTATCAGGAGAAGTTTGCACTAACATGTTGGTGAATTATCACGAGCACTTAAAAAAGAATTGCACGCTGACGTGGAATTGTGGAGAAATGAAATTAAGACCGGATAAGTGAGAAACTGAAATTGACAGATTCATTGACCCCTAATTCTGGAGGTAAAGGAGAAATTGGTGGATTGAATTGGAAAGAGGAGAAACTGAGATTGGCAGATTCACCCACCCTTGGTCCATAGCTAGTCCCAGAAACCTTGCCAGTGTTTCCTCTTTGTTAATTCTTCCTCCTTCCCATCCATCCTCTACAGATGTTTTTCTATTTCTCGGACAAAGTGGTCCTTCTTTTTGACTTCTGGAAAACACACACCCCAGCAGGTAAGAAAACAGCCTTATCTCTTAAGTAAATTTGAGCTGCTGAGGCAAACAAGAAAGGTCCTTGAGGATGAGGGAAGATTATATGAAACCTTAGCCTCAGAAACAAAGATGACAAAGCTTGCTCTGTGCTATACATAAGGCTTCCCTAGGCAACTGACTCCCTAGAATGCTTGGCTTCATAATAGTTTTGAGGGCCAAGAAGGAAGAAGTCAAACAAACCTAACACAGGATTTATCCACACTGTACTTAGTTTTTACCCTACTCTTTCCAGACACAGGCTTGCACTTTAAAATTCTTGTGTCTGAGTACTCTTTCTTTGCCCGGGAGCCTTCCCTGCAAAAACCTACTCTTTAGTGCTCAATTGGAGCAAAGGGCAATTCTGCTTTTCCAGAGATTGCTGTTTGCTTATAAAGATTGGGGGTTTTGTAGGGAAAGCTCTGGAGCAAAAAAAGGGGGGCACTTGGAGACGGAGTTTTAATACTCTGCTGTGCATGGAAAGAGCAGTGGAAAGGTAAGTGTGGAAAAGCCCATAGAAGACCAGTTGTCCATAATATATCAGCCGTGGCTCAGTGGCAGGGCACCTGCTTTGCATGTAGGAGGTTATGGGTTCAATCCCCAGCATCTCCAGGTAGAGCTGGGAGAGACATTACCTAACTACATGGACCATTGGTGTGACTTGGTATAAGATAGCTTACTCTCCAGTCTCGTCTCAGTCATACATGGTGTGGTAAAAGAATGGGGGGCCTGTGAGAACTGCAGCTCCCTTCAGGGGCAGAGAAGGTAGTTAAGGAGAACTTCCTCCATGCCAAGGGTATGGAACCTGCAGCTTTCCAAATGATGCCCACAAGTCCCACAATTCCTGACTACGAATTATGCTGGACTTTGTGCAAGGACATCTGGATGCTAAATCAGGGATTGTTGGATATATGTGAAAGGTAGAATAGGTCTGGAAGAGACTCAGCCTTCACCCCACCTCCCCAAATAAAAGTTTAAGGACCCCCCCCCCCGCTTTTACGCACAACAGTTAAAAAACAGTTAAAAAGCATACAGGCACAGAGTTAAGGGAGGATGGGCACAGGCACGTGAGTGAATTATGTAATTTACATGAACACACACACAGAGCACATGCCTCTTGGACAAGGATATAATTGTTGAGGCTCTGGTAGGTTTCTTGAGATCAAAAATAGCTCCCTATAGATGAGCAATGAAAAAACCAACAACCCATAGCAGTGGTCTGGTAGCTTGTGGGAATTAATATAAGCAGTGTTAGGGAAAAATCTCATAATACAGACCAGCGGAGTTTGGCAGTCAAAGCCAGCTTTGGCAGTCAAAGCCAGCTATATATATTATTATTATTATTAGAATCATTTACAAAATATAAAATAGAACCTTAAAATTGTTGATTAACAACAGGTATGTAAAAACGTTTGAAAGATGGTTAGCAAAAGGAATGCTCCAGTTGCTTCTTGAAAATTTGACATTGTAATCCTACACATGTCTACACCTGGGATTAAGTCCCACTGAGTTCTATAGGTCTTACTCCTAGAAAAGTGAGCGGAGGGTTGCCACTTGAATCTCCTTCATTTCCTCTCACTCTGAAAGTCTTATTGAGCCTCCTGCAGCTTATTGTTGTTTTGATAAAGAGGGTATTTATAATAATGAATGATCTTTTGATATGAGCAGGTGCTGATGTAACTGTTTTGGATATCATTACTATGCTTGCCTCTTAATAGTTGTATTATCAGTACCCCATTATCTTTATTGCATTTTAATATTTCAGCAGTGCCACAGAGTGCTAAAACTGCATATAAAATGAATTCTCCTCGATTTTCCCCTCCCAGAAATAAGCTTATCTTAAAACACATAAGGGCTAGAAACTTGCACTCTTAAAAAAAACCCCAAAGATAAGGTTTGCAGGAAATGGAATCCTGCAGTTGAATTATGCAGTCTGTAGTTACACAGAGGTTTGGGAATGGTTGTGTACAAATATATTTTTACACCCCCCACCCATCTCCAACCATAAATCTGTTTTTTTACCCAACAGGGATGGTGCTCTCAGTACTGGTGATCATGCTGCTTGCGGTGTTGTACGAATTCATAAAAGTTGGCAAGGCGAAAGTGCTTCAGTACACAATGCCGCCATCCATTGCCTCCAGCATCAGCCAGGAGACCTTGAGAGAGCCAGAAAGGGCATCTATTAACACGGGCCTGGAACAGCTAAGCAGCTCCCCAAAGAAGTAAAAAAAATGGGGAGGGGTGGGGAAGCAAACAGCAATCTGCAGAAAACCTGTATTGATGTTTGCTCTGATTCTGCTTTAAAGGGTGGGTTTTCATGGGAAAAGCTCTGGAGGGGCAGGGGCGGGGAAAATGCGTTCAGACACAGAGCTTTAAAGTGCAGACTGTGCCTGGAAAGCATGGAGGAAAGTTAAGTGTAGATAAGCCCTGACATTTGTTTCTCTTTCCTTTTGGAAAAGTTGGTTTTCGTGGCATGTCGTCCAGACCCTGCTCCATGTGGTCCAGGTGGTCCTCGGTTACCTGGTGATGCTGGCGGTGATGTCTTACAACACGTGGATCTTCCTGGGAGTGATTGCGGGCTCTGCCATTGGCTACTACATAGCATACCCACTGCTCAGTCCCAGATAGCAGCGCTGGCATCAGCGCAGGAAGATGGTTTAACAGTGCCGATTAACTGGAGACTCCTGCCTTGGGAACAGATCTGTGGTGCTTGGATACTGAACTGGGTAAACAGGAGTCACCCTGTTGTAGTTCCAAGATCCTTTCCCCTGCTCCCCATCCTCTGACTTCCACAGGCAGGGCATTTAAACCTTCTACCTTTTTGAGAATGACTTTTTGTCCTTTCACTGGAATTTATTTGTAACTGCCTTTACTAAGTGCCTTGGAACAAATGCTCAGTATCTAGAACTGAGATGTTTTGCTTTCTAACCTCAGGATGTGTAACAGTGGTACCTCGGGTTACAGACGCTTCATGTTACAGACTCCGCTAACCCAGAAATAGTACCTTGGGTTAAGAACTTTGCTTCAGGGTGAGAACAGAAATCGTGCGGCGGCAGCGGGAGGCCCTATTAGCTAAAGTGGTACCTCAGGTTAAGAACGAACCTCCGGAACGAATTAAGTTCTTAACCTGAGGTACCACTGTAGTCAGCTAAGCCTTGCACTGTCTACTCTGACTGGCAACTCTTGAAAGTGAGGTGGAGGGCAACTTTACCAACCCTTCTACACTTTGTCCTCTGAGGGGGTGGAACCCATGCCAACTTCATTCAAAGCATATGCTGTGCTATTCGGTGCATTCTCTTGTGGGCTTCTTAGTGTAGGAGGGCAATGGTGGAGATATATAAAATGGGAAGAAAGGGGATTAGGAGAAGTGTCGCCCCCCCCCCCGCCACTTCTCATAAACCTAGAACTGGGGTCATCCAATAACTCAGAATGGTGGGAGGCTCTAGCATTCAGGAGGGAAGTGCTTCTTCCCACAGCACATAAGTAAATAAGCTATGGGATGCATTACTGCTATAGCCATCAACTTGGGCAGCAATAAATGGCAACTGGACAAATTCTCAGAGGATAATGTTACAGGTGGCTGCCAGTTGTGATGACTAGGTCCTACCCCTCCAACATGCCTCTGAATCCCAGTTGCTGAGAATCATTAATGGTAGAGAGCCATTCAGCGCATACCCTGCTTAAAGGATTCCCATAGGCAACTGGTTGCCCCCTGCCACAGTCAGAGGCGGTATGCTTCTGAATCCCAGTTGCTGGAAACCACAGGAGGTGAGAGGGCTCTGCTGTTTGGGTTCTGCTTAAGGGCTTCCAATGGAAGTGTCTGGTTGGCCACTGTCAGAACAGGAGGCCAGAGTATTTGGGCCACTGGTCTGACCCAGCTGCTCTACTTTTGTCCACTGTCAGAACAGGCTGCCAGACTATATGTAAAGCCTTTGGTTTTTACCAATAGAGCTCTTACATTCTTTTATTTTTCTGGGGGTGGGGATATTGGATTCAGGGCACAAAAGGGAAGACTCTGCATAATTAACATAAGGGACTCACCACCACATGGTGAGGCTGTAAAGAGGGGGGAATCAAATGTTAGCCTCACTAATACCTTGCGGGACTGGGTCTGGTCAATGCTTGGGGGACAGAGAGCTGCCTCATACATACTCAGGCCATGGTAACAGTACCACTTTATTTTGCTTTGGTCAGACCACAACTGGAATACTGTGTTGGGAGGAAAATGTACACAGGGTGTTTAGCAAGGATAGCCTATGTGGTGCCTTCTGGATATTGTTGGTCTGCATGATCAGTGATCAGAGATTATGGGTGCTGTTGTCCAGCACAACTAGAGGGCACCATTATGGCTCTAGATGCTGAACCAAGGAAAAACGTTTGTGTGGCTAAATTAAAAATGAATGTGCTATGAAATCTGATGCAAAAATCAATGTCAAATAAAATATTTTACTTAACACATCAGATTTCAGAAGTTTCTTTATGGTCTTCAGATTAGGTGAAGGGTGTCTCAGGTTGTTCCTGCATGTGAAAACTACACTTTCTTCCCCCAAAACTGCTTAAGCACATTCAGCACATACCTCTGTGGATCATTCCAGACTGTTGCTACTTTTGGCTGGCATTCAATCACAAGCTGGCATATTCAGGGCGAGCCATCGAAGGTGATCTGATGCTCTTGTACAGCATGCCCACTTAACTTCCCCGCCCTGCCCCAGCCCAACCAAAAATGAACTTTCTGAGCTAAGGAAAGAATGGGAAAGGCATCGTAAAGCGAGGTAATCACGTTTGCTGTATGCTAGCCTCTCCACAAACCAAACAGAATGGATGCTCAACAGACGGGTGGTGATGGCTCACCACCTAGCACACAGAGCAGGATGAATGCAAAGCAAACAGGTTGGCTGTTTCAAGGTTGGCTAGAGAGCCCATCCCAAGGGAGGATTAAAAATGCTTAAATTGTAGATCAGGACAAAAAGAGTTTTGGTGGGGGAGAATAAGAGAGGCTGGAGTTATCAGTAGTAGAGTTTGGCTGTCTGAGAGTCTTACAGGGGAGCAGGATCCTGTATCCCAGACAGCTACTGTTGGGACTCCTAAGGCCCAGGCAGCAAAGCCAATGGACATTGATGATTGTTGTAAACCACCTGGATTCTATGAATAGCAGTGGATAGATAGATAAACAGAGATTATGGGAGTTCAACAACACATGGTGGTCCATAGATCCCCCCCCCCATCCTTTGAACCAGACTCAAGTGAGGAAGAATGCAGGAGGGCCAAAAGTGCATTTAGATGTGAGAGGTTATTGCATTAGTTTTCTTGATTGTAATGCCAACACTTCCGTCCATTTTCTAATGTTCTTTTCACACTGCAGTACCCTTTGCATTATGGAACAGTAGGGTGTGTTTTTTTGCCAAAACACCAGTACCGTGTGCTAAATTTCATTCCCACCAGTGAGGGTGTTGGCATCCATCATTGTGGAGACAATGGAGGAGTGACCTTTGGAATTGAAGTCAAGCTGTTGGACAGTTGCAGCGCCTGCTGTTGCTGTAGAGACCAATGCAGGAGAGACAAGTTTTGTTGCAGCTGGGGCAGGTGAAGGTGTCCGCTTGTGCTGCCATGACATTTCTTCTCTCGGTGTTTCTCCCAGCGGTCATTCCTCCTCTGGTCACTGCTGTGGATGTACAACCTGACTGTCTCCAGACACTGCAAGGGATTCCCACACAGCAGGGTTGATGTTGCCAGACATTTGCAGACATCTTTGTAACACAGAGTTGGTTTGCCAACAATAAATGTTGCTACTTCCCCACCCTCTGTTCCCCCATGAATTCCCCCTATGAAAACATCAGGAAAGAACCGTAGACCAAGATACCATCCCAAATTTTGTTACTTTTCTCCCATGATTTTCTGGGTTAAGAGGGCTGCAAATGGATCTTTTGTGCTATGTCCCATTGCTTTTCTGAAAGTACCTTTGTGTTGTGTGAAAGCTCAGAAACAGTGGGGGGGGGGAATGAACAGCTTGAGAAATGTCAGGGAAATGGGAATAAAATGCAGTGTGAATGCAGCCACAGTAAAATCAATTGGAGGCCTGTCTGACAAGAGGTTGTGTCCTCTCTTTCAAGCACACAAAATTTCCAAACGTCTTTTTGTCAAGAGCCCAAGCGATGGGAAGGAGGAGGCAGGCTGTACTGATCTTAAATAAATCTAGATTTTATTAATAATATATAAGCCACATTTCCCCCCTCTTAAACATTTGGTATAAGTTTTGCAATAAAGTATACTGGAAGAAAAAAGGTAAAAAGATGGCAGGCTTTAGTTCCCAAGATTAAGGCACCTTTTGTTTTACGAAGAGCAGAGAGAGAAAGTGAAAATGAATGGCTAAATAGGTCTCCATCCCCTCCTCCAAAAAAAATAAAAAATTCTTAAAGAGACATTAAGGGAATAATGAACAAGCACTTTGAAACTGGCAATGGTGCCACAATTGCAGGAAGGTGTGTGTGTGTGTGTGTGCGCGTGTGCATGCGCAATGTGCATTTACATGCAAGTCTTGGATCATGGTCATTCAGTCTTCCCATACTTTTGGAAAAGTGTACAATAGTTCTGCACTGACATTAAGACACTCCATTTCTAAGTCGCTAGAGCCTTTGGTGGGCTTGCTCCCTACCCACTCCTTCGAACTTTAGTGGAAGCCAGATGCCCCATTGGCCTCCACTGTTTTCATTCTAAAACATCATTCTGTCACCACCATAACTAAAACACATACAAATGTACCCGTGTCCATTTGCTTCCCTGCCCTCCTGCGTCTATAAAAGCATGTTTGATAGGTGAAAGCAACAACTTGGCCACTGGGGAAGAGGAAATGTGATGGGGATACGGAACCGGAAGGCCTCCAGGTGTTGTTTGACTGCAGTTCCCATCAACCAGTGTAGCCAGTGACTAGGGATGGTGGGAGCATCACCAACACCTGGAGGGCCAAAGGTTCCGCATTCCTGTACAAGAGGCCCCTTCAGTGTTAGTCAACTTTGGATTACCCAGATGGTGTTGGACTACAACTCCCATCATCTCCAGGCAGCTTAGCCAACATTCAGGGATGATGGCAGCTGTAGCCCAATAACATCTAGAGGTGGAGAACATCCAACAACATCCAGAGGTGGACTGATGGGGAAAAAACTTGTAATGAACCACTCTCAAGTATACAACATCTGGATATTATCTAGAACAGTCCTCCTGAGGTGGTGCTGTTCCATGGCTAAGGATTGACCGCCCTACACTTTCTGGGATGACAAGCTCCTCAGATTTGATTTGCCTCATAAACTAGAGTCAGAGGTGCTGAGAAATGAGTGAGTTAACCCTCAGATAACAGGAAAACCCAGCGGTGCACCCAAAGCTACCCTACTCAGAGCAGACTCACTGAAATGTGCCTAAGTTCACCATATTATTAATATTATACATTTATTTCACAGAATCGTAGAACTATAGAGTTGGAAGGGACCCCAAGGGTCATCTAGTCCAACCCCCTGCAATGCAGGAATCTCAGCTAAAGCATCGAGGACAGATGGCCATCCAACCTCTGCTTAAAAACCTCCAAGGAAGGAGAGTCCACCATCTCTGGAAGGAGACACCCCCACTTTCAAAACAGCTCTTTCCATCAGAAAGTTCTTCCTGATGTAGGTCTGGGTCCTCTAGAGCTGGAGAAAACAAGCTTGCTCCATCCTCCATGTGGCAGCCCTTTAGGTATTTGAAGATCTCCTCTCAGTTTCATCTGTACCAGGGTTTATACCCCACCTTTTTCTCTGACAGAGACTCACGTCTATTAATTTCAGTGGGGCTGCCTCAAAGCGAGGACTAACTTTCAGCACAATCCCTAGATGCTCCAGGATGCAATAACCATATTCCTTTTACCCATCGGGGGTAAAAAGAAAAGTGGATATTTTTGTAAATTCAATATGTACACGCATGCACGCACACTTTCAATGGGACAACCCATCGCTATGGCATTCAGTTTGCATTTCCCAACTACCCAGAATCACCAATGAAGAAACGTTCTAAAACAAAGCGGGCAAGTTCTCTTATAATTTTCCTTGCCTATAAATTGGGCGCAGAGAGAGGCCTACTCTAAGTAGGATGAGTATTGGATACAAGCCTTCACCATTAACATATCTACCCAGTGTCTTGCATTGGTGGTGAACCTACAAGATGTATGTTACTTGACCCCTCCCTGGGCAGGGAAGAAAACTCATTCCACAGCTTTGTCCTCATCCACATACGTTCACTGCTTTCTGCTACACACTTCCCTCGTTCGGCCTTAACAACTGCCACATCCGGTTTCTCTAACCTTCATTTGCATCGTCATTCTCTAGTGAGAAGGGACTCGCTGGCTCTACCTACTAGGCCCTGCAGCTAATATTCCTACCCAGATCCTCAAATCTCTCCAAGTGATGGGAGTTGCGGAACTACACTAGGACATGGCTGTCAACGCTGGGGAAGAGAGGTGGAGATGCACAGGTGATGAGATAACAGTTAAAAGGAGGTGACAACCCTTAAAAAATATATAATTATCAGTGGGGCAACAAGACTGGATTAAAACACAACCAAGTTCCAAGAAAATGAAGGTGGATTGGAAGAAATGCAGAAAAGCATTTTCTATATCTGTAGTGGAGGGCAAGGAGGAGGGAAGCAGCTGTCATTCTGTTCCTGTACCCCAGACATTCCCTGGAATCCAAGGTAAAGTGTCTTTTCAGTAGAACTGGAATGGGGGAAGGAGACCCCTGATGAGCCAATTGTGAACGAAAGGTGCAAAGGAAAGGAATGTGAGGAAGCCAACCTAATTCCAGGCTTACAGAAGCCCAGAACGGTCAGCATAGTCCCAAGAGAGATAGCTAGAAGAACTGATATTATTTCTGGGGCTCCTCCATCCCATCCCCTGTGCTCCCTCCCAATACTTCTCTGGATGGATTGAGCACATGCAAATTAATGAGGCCAAAAAACCAACTTTAGGCGCTTTGCTCTCACCTCGCCCTGCCTGCCTTCTCTCCCCCCCACAGCACCCCCCACAGGGTTCCCCAATTCGAGTTTGCCTTTGGCATTGACACAGCCAATAGAGGAACCCTCTTGCATAGAGGTGGGGCAGCTGTCCTAGAACTGAGTCTGCACCCCTTCGCTGCCTTCTGTAGCCCCATGGCTGTTCTCCACAAAGGATTCCTTGCTCGTCTCACAAACTGGGGTCACCTCCACTTGCACCCCCGTCTCCTCCCCTGTCTCCTTATCGCTAGGCTCAAGGCAGCCCACGCAGGACCCCCCGTCGGCAGCCAGGGAAGGCGATTGGGCAGGAGAAGTGGGCATGGAGTCCGTAGCCTCCTGCGCCTCTGCCTGGCACTCAGCGGGATGCTGTGGTGTTTGCTTGCCTGCCTCCCTGGTGGCTTCCTCCTCCTTCCCCTCCATGTGTTTGGGGTCTACTTCGCTCTTCTGGGCAATGGTGCCATTGCCCAGCTGGGAATCAGCCTTCTCAAGCGGAGCCTTGACGCAGATCTCCTTCACCAGCATCGTACGAAGGTCCTTCACGCTGTCAGGGGACCCCTGCACAGGAGGGGAAGGACTGCGGTCCACTCCCTCGGGCTCCAGCTCAGCTGCACCTGGGGACCCCTCCAGGGAAGTGACCTCGTAGGGAAGGGCCTCATCGTCAACGTGGATGACTGAAACGACTTGCTTGGCCCGGCGCTGCTTCTCATCTGGCAGGTCTGAGTCCGACTGCCTGCCGAACTCCTCCTCCCAGTTGATGGGTGTCTCCTCACCAAGCAAGTGCAGGTTGGGGTCGCTGTTGTGCATCACGATGCTGTCGCGGTACAGGTTGTGTTTCCGCTGCACAGCTGCCTCCTTCACAGCTGAAATGTGGAAAGGAAAGGAGCATGAACAGGACCACTAATGGGACAATGCATAAGGCCACATCCACACCAGGCATTTAAAGTGCGATGATACCACTTTAAGCAGTCATATCTTCCCCCCAAAGAATTATGAGAGCTGTAGTTTGTTGAAGGTGCTGAGAGTTGTTAAGAGGCCCCCTAACAGTTTGAAAGCACATTAAAGTGCAAGTAGATAAATAGGTACCACTCCAGCAGGAAGGTAAACAGCGTTTCCGTGTGCTGCTCTGGTTTGCCAGAAGTGGCTTAGTCATGCTGGCCACATGACCCGGAAGCTGTACGCCAGCTCCCATGGCCAGTAAAGCAAGATGAGCGCTGCAACCCCGGAGTCGGTCACGACTGGACCTAATGGTCAGGGGCCCCTTTACCTTTTATTCCCCTCAGAGATCTACAGTTCCCAGGGTTCCCTGGGAAGAACAATATACTGTTAAACCACTCTAGGAACTAGCACAGTGATGTCTGGGGTAGGCATCTTTCTCCCCAGTGATGTGGTGGGTCATGGGGGAGCACCTGCATCATTTGGTGTGAAGCCAGACCCTCTCCCCATGGTGGCTATTCTGTGACTGGCACCCACGGTGCCCTCTCACATCTCCAAATGTGCCCACTGACCCAAAAACAGTCAGCGACCACTTCAATAGAATAGTAACATCCCCCATGAGGAGGGCATTTGCTCCTCCTTACCCATCATGATGTCTTTCATGACAGATTGCAGTACCACCTCTTCGTAGGTGTTTTCCACCAGGATGAAACGGGCAAAATCCTCAAAAATCAGTTCCTGGAATCTTGAGAGGTCCTGCCATGGGAGAAAGAAAGAAAAGTATTTTGAAGGAACAACAGAAAAAGGGAAAAATAAGAAAGGAGAGAGAGGGGGAAGGAAGACCCACACTCAACAAAACGAAGTGAAGTGAAGAATAGAATTGACTGGGAAAGAGACTCTCTAATAGTAACAGCCCTTAAACATTATTTTAATTAATTATCATTATTTTATTCTTTCTTTCTTGCTGTAGTGTATTTGATTTAAAAATTATGAAAGTTTTTCTGCCGTACAGAATTGCCCAAGCAAAGTGCAATCTGAAGAACCTTATAGACAAGAGTGGTTTTACTGTTGTCATTTTTAAAAAGTTATGCATAACATTTACACAACAACCAGCAAAAGGAAACCAGTGGCGTATCCAGATGTTGTTGAACTCCAATCCCACCAGCCCCAGTTAGGGGTGGTGAGAGTTGCTGCCCGGTGCAGGCTGTTCCATTAGCACTTACTTGCAGAATCACATTATCCCATAAGCACCCACTCTGCTTCAGCCTGTGGTCTGTGTGATGTTAATATTCTGCACTTGTAAGAAATTGATCTTTTAGTGCAGCAGCAACTGCACTTTGGAACTCCCTGCCTTTTAACATCCGGCAGTCTCCCCCGTAGTCTTTTCGAAGCCTGCTGAAAACACTTTCCTTTGGACAAACTTATTCTCGACATGTGGACGCTGCCATGTATTTTAATATGGTTTTAGCTTATTGCTGATTTTATTCTTTTCAAATGTTTTGAATACATGCTTATTTTTTACCCTTATTTTTTTTTTTTTACTGGTGAGAGTTGGTTATCAATAGATTGTCAGGTATTGTGGAGAGCTTTGCAGATGCTCTGATCAGCTATGATGGCAAACTGCCCTTTAAGCTAAGCAAGATCATTGTTTGCCACATCTTGGCATCATCAGGATGTCAAGTGCAGAACAGGACAGCATGGCTTGGCCCAAATTATCTTGTGGGTCAATTGAGGAGACATATCCAAATGGGACGCAGGTGGTGCTGTGGGTTAAACCACTGAGCCTAGGACTTGCCGATCAGAAGGTCAGCGGTTCGAATCCCCGTGATGGGGTGAGCTCCCATTGCTCGGTCCCTGCTCCTGCCAACCTAGCACTTTGAAAGCACGTCAAAGTGCAAGTAGATAAATAGGTACCACTCCAGCGGGAAGGCAAATGGCATTTCCATGTGCTGCTCTGGTTCGCCCTGCTGGCCACATGTACGCCAATAAAGCGAGATGAGCGCCGCAACCCCAGAGTCGGCCACGACTGGACCTAATGGTCAGGGGTCCCTTTACCTTTACCTATCCAAATGTGATTTTGGTTTAAAATGCAGTGTAAGGTAGTCTCTATGGGAGTATATTGTATTTAATTATGGGGTATCAGAGTTTTTGGGCGGCTAACCAGGCTGGGATAGCAGGCTTGTTGGTTTTTGAATGTCTGATGTAGATTTTTTCAATTTCGTTGTTCTGTATGGGACAATAACAATAAAAACTATTGTATGGTATGGTAGGCCGAATGAGGTCCTCGTGCCAGAGGTTCTTCCTCTCGGCCATGATGCTAGCACACGCCTTCTGAAAGGGAGGCTTTGCTTGCCCTTGCATTTGTGCGCACCCCTCTTCCTCTTGGGGGCTTGTGCTTACCCCTTTGCAAGTGGGGGCCAGCTTCTTCAGCAGGAAGGGGATGGTGATCTGGAGCAGGGCCTCCCGGAAGAACTTCTTCCTTACTGTGCTGCTGTCATAGTCATATTTCTGCAGGGAGGAGAGAAAAGAGGGGGCAGAGAGTCACACCACTGAGACAGAGGGAAGGGACTTAAACCATGTAAGAGAAGAGTGGTCTGCCTAACCTCAGACCTAGAGGACAAATGCAACCCACCAAGCCTTGCTATCTGGGCTTAGGGGAGCTACAACTCCTCAACCACCACCACCCTCTCCCACACCAACCCCTTTACTGCCCCTGCTTGCCCCCCTTCCTTGAGGGTTCCTGCCTGGCTGCAATGTGTCATCAAACTCTTATCATGCCTCTTGCTTGTCTGGGTGGCAGGTAGCGAGGGGTGAATGTAGAAATTAGCCTGCTGTGCAAAGTGAAAGTTTGCATCCATTGCCCTGTCCACTTTTCCCCTATGACTCTGCCCTCCGCTGGCTATGGCCTCCTACAAAGTTGCCCAGAAGGAACGCTTTCCTTGGGGTGAAAACATTTCCACAACATGTAACCAAATGGGTACGGCAGATGGTTTCAGGCAGGTGTGGGAAGGCAAAAGCCAGATTTCCTTTTAAATCTGTCTTGACAAAAGAGACAGCACTTAAAATAGTGCAAAAATGGCACCTGATGCCTATGCGGTTAGTTCATATTAGCACCTCCTACTCACTAAACTGTTGGAGAGGCTGTGGAATGGCACATGCAGTGGACGTATGGCAAATTGGCTTGGTTCTGGGAGGAAGTATTTGTCCAAAATAAAAGCCATTACTGAACAAAATGCCTCTAAATTTCCAATCTTCCCAATCTTTTCATGACAAGTGATATTCACTTACAGCTGGAATGTCTAGCAAGTTCTTCTCTGCTAGTGGTCAGGCTTGTAATAGCGAGATACCTAAGAAGGTGTTTCTCTGACAAATTGGTACAATGAAGTATGGCAAATCGCACTTGTGGGGAAATTGAATAATAAAATAAAATTGGCACGAGGCACGAAGCACAGAGAATCTTTCGCTGGCACAGATTTGTTATGCACATGGCTGAAAATGAAAACGGAGGTATTTTATAACTTTAGAAAACTTTTGCTAGTGAGACGAGGTGGTTAGAGTGTCAGACTAGGACACGGAGGACCAGGGTTTAAATCCCTACACAGCCATGAAGCTCAGTGGGTGACCTTGGGCCAAGTCACTCACTCTCTACCTACCTCACAGAGTTGTTGTGAGAATAAAATGGGGAGGAGAACTATGTATGCTATCTTGAACTCTTGGATGAAAGGTGGGATAAATAAGTGATAAATAAAATGTAATGGAATTAAAAATACACTGTTTATCACCTTATGTACAGATGGTTGACTGGGATAGGAACTTATTATGCTATTTGGATGCTATTCTGCATGCATTCCCTGAATACCATCTTCTTGGGTGATATTTTATTACTTGTGTGTACGGTGTTGTTAAATGTCATAAAAATTTAATGAACAAAATAAGAATGTAAAAAGGAAAGAGAACATTTCCCCCGTTCCTGACCTAATGCCATGTGGCTTGATAGGCTACCAACAGTTCTCAACCAGGACAGCTCAGTCAGCAGACAATGAAACTCTTAAATTTCAGGGTTGTGGGTTCAAGTCCCACGCTGGGCAAAAGATTCCTGCATTGCAGGGGGTTGGACTAGATGGCCCCTTGAGATCCCTTCCAACTACATTTCTATGATTCTATTTGCTTCTTCCAGAAGCCAGCCTGGCAGGTCCGATCCAGTGCAAATGGACCTAAAGGTCGGCAGGCAGGCTCACCTTAAGCACCCGCTCCAGGATGCGCTGAATGGTTTTGCAGAGCTCATCTTTGTCTGGCGATTTCCCCACCTCCTGATGAAGGAGCGTCTCAAAGGTGTACACGGTATCATCCATTTGCTGCAACACCCAAAAACAACAAGTAACCGTTTATTTAAAAGATATAAAACACTGAATCATGTTGCTTAGAAGACCGCTGGCTTTGGAATAACTGTTTTAAACCCTGATTTGCTTGGGGCTCTGCCTCTACAGACCTCTTTGCTGAAGCGCCATTGACACTTGATGGAGAAGCACTATGACATTCTACAGATGTTCGGATTTGATAGCTTAGCCGCAAAAAAAAAAATTACCTTCTGAAATTAAAATAAGTGTCACAATTATGCTCTTAAACCTTTCGATTGTGTAATTTTACAGCATGCCTAAGTTCATTTGGATGTCATTGTTGTTTTTGATTTGAATTATTACATGGAAGAAAGAGAACCCAAACTGCACATAAACAAAAAAACTTAAAACGAGAATGTATGGCTTGTAAAACATGTACAAATCATCCTGGCCACTAGAGGGCAGTGGTGGCAATTCCCTGCCCAAACAGGGTCACAGAGAAGACCTATTCACCAGAAGTTGGGGGTTGTGCTAGGCTGAAAATTTCTTCAACAGCAAAGTAACCCAAATGGTGATTTTACAACAAAGAACACACACAAACATCACTGGAGGCCCTGTGATTAAATTACCGTATTTTTCGCTCTATAAGACACTCTACCAGACCACAAGATGCACCTAGTTTTTGGAGGAGGAAAACAAGAAAAAAAATATTCTGAATCTCAGAAGCCAGAACAGCAAGAGGGATCACTGTGCAGTGAAAGCAGCAATTCCTCTTGCTGTTTTGGCTTTTGTGATAGCTGCGCAGCCTGCATTCGCTCCATAAGACGCACACACATTTCCCCTTACTTTTTAGGAGGGAAAAAGTGAGTCTTATAGAGCAAAAAATACGATAAGTGAAGGTTTAGCTCTCTTTTTTAAAAAAAATGGCAACGCTCTGGGACATCTAGTGAAGTTGGGTGACAATAGTACTAAGGGCTACTCTCTCAGCTTGGTTGATTCATCTGATTGGGGTGAGAGCTGAGTGAATCCCTCCCTTTTGGGGGGAATTGGGGTAAAAGGTTCAATGGGGGGCGGAGATTCAGAACAATGGGTTCCATCCACTGCTAGTCCTACTCAAAGTTGACACTAATGGGTCCACTTTGCATGGAATTTAGTTAGGGATAATTTACTGATAACCTACTGGGACACGGGTGGCACTGTGGGTTAAACCACAGAGCCTAGGACTTGCTGATCAGAAGGTCGGCGGTTCGAATCCCCACGACGGGGCGAGCTCCTGTTGCTCGGTCCCTGCTCCTGCCAACCTAGCAGTCCGAAAGCACGTCAAAGTGCTAGTAGATAAATAGGTACCACTTCAGCGGGAAGGTAAACGGCGTTTCCGTGTGCTGCTATGGTTCGCCAGAAGCGGCTGAGTCATGCTGGCCACATGACCCAGAAGCTGTACGTCGGCTCCCTTGGCTGATAAAGCGAGATGAGCGCCGCAACCCCAGAGTCAGCCATAACTGGACCTAATGGTCAGGGGTCCTTTTACCTTTACCTAACCTACTGAAAATGATGAATCTAAGTTGAAGGATCTATGATGGAACAATCTTGTTTTCTGCCCCAGAGGGCAGGACGCAAACCAAAGGATTCAAATCAGAAGAAAGAAGATTTTGACTAAACGTTAGGAAGAACTTCCTGGTGGTAAGAGCTGTTTGACAGTGGAATGGATTCCCTCAGGAAGTTGTAGACTCTCCTCCATTGGAGGTTTTTCAACAGAGGTTGGTTGACTATCTGCCATGGATTATTGAGCTGTGATTCCTGCATTACAGGGGGTTGGACTACATGACCCTTAGGGGTTCCTTTCAACTCTACAATTTTGTGATTCTCGGTTAGTCCAGTTCATTAACAAGTTTTTGGGTGGGTACCAACATTGCTTCAAAGGAACAATCAAGAGCTTCCAGTGAGCTCACAATTGTTCCTTTGCTGAGGGGGGGGGGAGCAAACTCCCACTATCCACCAGCACCAGGAGCAAGAAGAGGCTGGCACTGACTCTGCCTTCTAAAATGAAGTGGGGAGGCTCAATTATATCAATGGTTTCTTCCTGCTTCTTAAGTAAGCTGGTGTGTCTTCTAAGACGCTCAATAAATCATTGTGTTCTCAGGGAATTCACTGCTGAGCAGTCACACCCACCAGCCAAATTTGGCCCACAAAGCATTAGGGCAAGCATAGGCAAACTCGGCCCTCCAGATGTTTTGGGACTACAATTCCCATCATCCCTGACCACTGGTCCTGTTAGCTAGTGATCATGGGAGTTGTAGTCCCCAAACATCTGGAGGGCCAAGTTTGCCTGTGTCTGCATTAGGGTATATGCGGATCTGGCCCACTGGGTAGAAAGATAAAAAAAAAGTTGTACACCACCCCTGACCATATTTAAATCTAGATAGCAACAGGAATATGATACAATGTTTGCATGCCTGCAGAAACGTCTTGAGTTCTCGGATGTAGTCTCACTCTACAAAGAGTCACATCCATTGCTCTGCCCACTATTACTGCCAGTCGCACCTACCACCAACTCATGGCCCCTGATATATGACCCTTGGGCTGAAATAAAGATGTCCTCCCCTTTGAATCCTGGGATCCAAAGAGCTGTTTGCAAGTTTGCCAGATACTGTCAACGAGGCTGGCTTTTGGTCCGATCTGGCAAGGCAGTCCCTACCTGTCTCATCAGGATCTGGGCCCGCTGCTTAAACACAGAGGCGCTGGACACATCAAACCTCTGCTGCAGCCCTTCCAGCTTCAACTGGTCCATCTTCTCATAGCAGGACTGCATCTTGACTGGGTGGAAAGCCAGCTGGGAAAGGTTTTCCATGTACTGGAGGAGCAGAGAGAGGAAAAAACATTACTACTACTACTACTACTACTACTACTACTACTATTACAGTCATACCTCATGTGACGTTTGCTTCATGTTATGTTTTTTCAGGTTGCGTCCTGCGGTGACCCGGAAGTACCGGAAAGGGTTACTTCCGGATTTCACTGCTCGCACATGTGCAGTAGCACTAAATCGCGCTTCGCGCATGCACACAAGCACCAAATCACACTGCCCACCTGCGCTGATACGGCGCTTCAGGTTGCACGCTTTTCATGTTGCGAAGAGGCCTCCGGAACGGATCCCGTTCGCAACCAGAGGTACTACTGTACTACTAATTACAACTGCTACTAGAGGCTTCTGTCTCTGCTTACTCTGCTCAACAACCCCCTTGCCACCCCCTTTCCCCCACCCACCCCCTCCCTTTACGCCTCACCCACCCCCTGGCCTATCCCCTCATGGCTTGCCCAAACTCCCCTTCCTCTCCTCTCCCAGCTCACCCAAAACCCCACCCCTTTTAAAGGAGGGTGAAGGGCTTCAGAGAGTGGCTTAGCAAACTGCTCTCTGAAGTACCTCTCCCCACCTCCATTAAACAGTTCACCAGGGCCACCTGCCTCCCACGCTGCTGCTCACTCACCTGCCTACCATACTGGAACATGATGACAGCCTTACATTTTTATGTATATAGAAGGATTTGTATTATTTTTACTACCACGACCACTTATTAGTGCTTTCCTCAAAAAAGTACAGTGGTGTCCCGCAAGACGAATGCCTCGCAAGACGAAAAACCCGCTAGACGAAAGGGTTTTCTGTTTTTCGATGCGCTTCGCAAGACGAATTTCCCTATGGGCTTGCTTCGCAAAACGAAAAAGTCTTGCGAGTCTTGCGATTTTTTTCGCTCCCCCCCTTTTTCTAAGCCGCTAAGCCGCTAATAGCCTTTTAGCCGCTAAGCCGCTAAGCCTTTAATAGCCGCTAAACCGCTAATAGCGCTAATCCGCTAAGCGGGTTGCTTCGCAAGACGATAAACCGCTAGATGAAGAGACTCGCAGAACGGATTAATTTCGTCTTGCGAGGCACCACTGTAACCCAAAGAGGCTTACAAATACTATATGAAACCAATTATAGGAAATGCAACCCATGAGAACTTTTAGAAGAATACCACATCTATTCAAATAGTTATTGCAGATACTGTCCCACTAAAAGAGGCCACAGGTAATTGAAACCCTTCATATTAAGGGCTAAAAGCTAGGGTAAATACCAAATAGTATGGGAAACAGCCCTACTAGAAAAATTAACTAATAAACTGAAACTGACACGGGGACAAACAGAAGACGCCTTCACCCCGGTATGGCTCCCCTTTATCACATACACAGCCCAACAAGACAATGACAAAAATCCACCAACAGCATACAAATCAATATGGCTAACCTGATCCAAAACACCCACCTACCCCACTCACACACGAAAACAAAGATCACCACAGCCAATCACAAACAAACAACCACACCCTAGGCCAACCCCAACCTCTCTCACCACCAAAGGAACACAAGTGAACAGCACAAGCAACGTTGACACCAAACCCTACATACATTAAGCGTAATAGAAACATCGCCACCCGACCCCACCCCCATCCATCTTCCCTCCCTCCACCCCCCTTTCTTTTTTTTCTTTTTCTTTTTCTTCTCCCCCTAATGCCTCAACAAATGAAACGGATTTGTAAAAATGTTACATGGGAAAAAATACGAGGCATTACACTTACTTCTGTAAAACAAGAAAATCCTTAATAAAATATTTAATTTAAAAAAAATCTACATAATCTACATAAGACCATTGTTCAGGGTTCTCCTCCCTCCTGCATGTGGTGAGTGGGGACCCTGTTGCAACTGTTTGTTTCCTTTAATAAAGATCAGGCTTACTAGCCACTTTGCTTCTCAAAAAGAAAAAAAAAGAAAAAGCTAGGGTAAAAAGAAAATACGGTAACTAATTTCCAGGTCCTTTTGCTGAAGTCTGAGGCGTCTTATGCTGAAGACCCTCCCCTACAATGTTTGCCCCAACCCCAAATTTCCTCTTTTGCCACCAAGACCTCTAGCTTACCTCCCCCATCTTCTCCATTCCTCCTTCGTTGAGGATGTTCATATTCATGTCGGTCACCTCCTTGAAGAAGACTTCCCGCACCTCAGCAAAGCCCTGGCTGGTGGGTATCATAAGTGCCTCCAGGATGGAAGGGATGTAAGGCTGGACGTGGTTCCGAACACAGATCTCTGCTTTAGAGAAGACTGTGGCTGGATGAAGAAGAGTCAGGGAGGTTAGAACTGCCTCCACAAACCTGCACCCCAGATCTGGACACCTGTGCAGGCAACTAGCAAACGCCGTACGATCGATCATACAGATAACAACCAGGGTTGGAAAATGCCTTGAAAGGTCATTTAGCCCACGGGTAGGCAAACTAAGGCCTGGGGGCAGGTTCCAGCCCAATCGCCTTCTAAATCTGGCCCATGGACGGTCCAGGAATCAGCATGTTTTTACATGAGTAGAATGTGCCCTTTTATTTGAAATGCATCTCTGGCTTATTTGTGGGGCCTGCCTGGTGTTTTTACATGAGTAGAATGTGTGCTTTTATTTAAAATGCATCTCTGGGTCATAAGAATTCATTCATTTTTATTGATTTTTCCAAATATAGTCCGGCCCCCCAAAAGGTCTGAGGGACAGTGGACTGGCCCCCTGCTGAAAAACTTTGCTGACCGCTGATCTATCCCAATCCCTGATGTTGCAGAAAACCCACAGATAGGTGCTCTGAAACCATTAACCAAGGAGATGCTGCCCCCTGTGGTTCTCCAGGGGTGTGGCAGGAGAGGGTGGCAAGTGTGGTGGGCAGATTCAAGGACAACCAAAGAAACATTTAAATATTCCAGGGTAGTATAGTACAGCAACTATTTTGTGCAACTGCAAAGGGGATTTGGATATTTCATTTGGCACATCTTACCCGAGGATCTTCTGCTATTCTATTCTATTTAATGCAACAAATAATTTTAGTAGCTGTGACCATGGTTTTATTGTATGTGTGGTGCCCAATGATTTTTATGGTTATTGTTTTTTGTTTGTTTTTTGTTCTCCTTCTGAATGATGCCATGGCCTACGGCTAGTGCAATAAAAAGTTTAATTGATCTAATTGGTCTAACTATTTTGTGCAGGGGATTCATCCCCGGCTACCACGCATGCTGGCGGAGCATGCATAAGCGTCCCCTGCCACCATTCTGCCCACTTCCGGGATCAAAAGGACCCATATGTTGACAATCATACGCCAATTGGACATGCTTAAAATGGTTGCTGCCACTATAGTATAGTATAGTATAGTATAGTATAGTATAGTATAGTATAGTATAGTATCAAAAATATTATTATTTTTATTTGCACAATATGGATAAGTATCTTTTCAAAATGAGATCAAAAGCATCAAGTGACAATGAGGACAATCCTAGTTGTGTTTTCCAATGTCTAAAAAACAGACAAAAACTCTTGTGTGACACAAGAAAAAATATATTCTTAAAGTGTAGCCCAGAGCAAAAGCTTTTGAGAACCACTAGTCTTAACAGTTTGAAAATGTCTCATGCTAAGTCAGACAGCTGGTCCCTCTACCTCAGTATTGTCTACACTGACTGGCAGCAGCACTCCATGATTTCAAAACGAAGTCTCTTCCAACCCCCTGGAGATGCCAGGGATTGAACCAGGACATTCTGCATGCAAAGCCAATGTTCTACAACTGAGCTACATCCCTTCCCTTCATAAGATGCTGCTATACACTGAGTCAGGCTGTTGGTCCATTTAATTCAGTGTTGCCTACACTGGCTGGCTCCTGCTGGGTTTCAGACTGGAGTCTTTCCCAGCCCTCACTGGACATGCCATTGGGGATTGAACTCATGCATGAGAAGCAGGGGCCTTGCCCTGAGCCACGGCCCTTTCCACAAAGCAAAGGGTCTCTCTCTCCATCCCCTACCTCGGATTTTGCTGGCCAGGTGCTCCTTCGATTGGATGATCTGATCCATATCTGTGCGAATGGTGCTGGTCATCCCAGGCTTCTCAACCTCGCATTTAACCACAGCTTCGTCGTACTGGACTTTGGTCTGGTCGTAGACCATCCTATACACAGCGTCAGAGACCTAGGAAAAGATGGGGAAGGGTTTTTTGGGGATAAGATGGAAGGTTGCAGGGAGAGCATCCTTCTTAGTGAGCCATCAAGAGACAGGCAACTCCTCCTCCTCCTCCTCCTTCTCCCCCAACCATCTAGCTGGGGTGCCCTAGCCACTCTGGGAGGCTTCCAACACATAATAAAACATCAAGGTTATTGCAGCAAGGGTAAGATATGCCCTGCAGCTCGCAACAGAACATGTGTACATGTGCAGGGGTGCAGAGATTAATAAATTAGAACGACCTGTTCTATGGGGAAAACCAAAAACAGAGAGAAAGTGAAAAGATTTTCACTCTGGGATTTGCACTTAGAATTGTTTGCACAAAGTATATGCCCATCAGGCTCTGTGGGAACCCCCCCCCCCATTTTTTCTCCTTCCCTCCGCCATCCGAACACCTACTACTTCTTTTTAAATTTGTACAAATAGTATTTACTTTAAGTGTATGATACAAACTGCTGTGATCCCTTGCTGATCTTTCTCTGCCCCTCTCCCATTCTATTGATCATATCAATTTGTTCTACTGTTAAGGAAAAGCAAAAATAAAATGAGAAGCTGTTAAAAATTGAGAAAAAATGTGCACTCAAGAAATCTAAATTTTGTGCCCCTTAATTGGAGCAGACCAGGCCACACAAAACTCTGCTATTTGCATGGTTTTATACTCCTTTCCCTAGAACAGGGGCAGAAACCTGTGGCCCGTCCAATGTTCTTGGACTCCAATTCCCATCTGCCCCAGCCAACATGGCTAATGGTCAGGGATGATGGGGGCTGAAGTCAAGCAAGATATTGAGGGCCACAAGTCCCACATCCCTTCTGCAAAGCAACACATATTTCCCCCACCGCTATAATGAAAGGAAAAAACAGTGGCATGGTAGCAGGTCCTGAAATATCACCTAAACTCTCACACTCTCATTATTAAAGGATTTTTATTTGCGAGCATAACAAAAAAAGGGGGGGGGGGCGACCAAAACCTTGCCAGGTGATATTAACAATAAGACTGCATTGCGGAGAGTTGGACTAGACCCCCGTAGTCCCCTCCAACTCTGATTCTGTGATCTATGACTATCCCATAAATTAAAATTTCAATGTTAATAAACACTGCACACAAGTCTTGCTCAGCTGCTCTGTTGCATTTTTTTAGCTGCACTTTCAAGGACATCTACACAAACTTTCATAAGGACTAGAAACCTGAATACAGTGATACCTCTGTTCCGGAGCCCCTTTCGCATCCTGATGCGAACACAACCCGCATCCGCGCGTGTGTGGGTCGCGATTCGCCGCTTCCGCGCATGCGAGTGATGTCATTTTGAGCGTCTGCGCAAGCGTGAGCTGTGAAACCCGGAAGTAACGGGCTCCGTTACTTCTGGGTTGCCGCGGAGCACAACCCGAAAACGCTCAACCTGAAGCATATTCAACCCGAGGTATGACTGTATAGATATAGACAGAGATTTTTTCTGGGGACGCTCAAGAGTATACAGTACTGGCATCTTTTTTTCTAGAAGAAAAGCAGTGTGTGTGTGTGTGTGTGTGTACACACACACACACACACACACACACACACACACACATATATATACACGCATACACACACACACGCATATATACACACACACACACGCATATATACAGATATAGATAGATACATGAAGAATGCTGAGATGTACAGGAGGATTAATTCTGAGCCCGATTATAAATTCCCGTGACGTCTCCCGGCACAGAATCACAGGGTACACCTGCAGCCCTACATATAAATAAGGAAGTATTAAGAAATTTGGAGAAGATGCATGCAAAAGGGGTCTTGTGAGGTTTTTTTTTACTCTTCCACACAGGGCTCCGGTGTGCTGGAGGGAATGTCCTCATTATACTGCAGTGTTTGGAAGGCAGCCACCGGGAGCTGAATATTTGTTTAAAAGGGAGTTTTCTGCCAATCTATTTTTAAAAATGGCTCACAAGGAAATATTTATCCTGGTTTTCAAACAGTATATATATTTTCTTCCCACCCGAGGTCTTTTGACATTCTGGGCCATAATTATCTTACAGCTAAATGCCTGGTTTTTGTTTGTTTGGGGTTTTTTTTGACTGAATGTAGCCTGGAAATGGGCAGGGCCACAAATGCATGGAGAAATTTCTGGTGGAGAAATCCTGTTTTCCATTCATAAGGGAAGTAGGGAGACAGAGCTGGGGAACCTGTAGAGTTCCAGATTTGGCAGGTGTCCAATTCCTGCATGCTCCAGCCAGGCCAATGGTCAGGGATGATGGGAGTTATAGTTCAACAACATTCAGAGAGCCAGAGGCTCCCACATTCCTGGAGCAACACTGGGACATAGGAAGCTGCCTTATACAAAGTCTGACCAATACCAATACAGACCTAGCTCTGTATTGTCTACGTTGACTGATAGTGGCTATCCACAGTTTGAAGCAGGGAGTGTCTCTCAACCCTACCTGGTGATGCCAGGGATCAAACTTGGGACCTTGCAGCAGAGAGTTCCATATGCTTGCATATTACAGAGTGCGACCTGGTGCATGCTCAGCGCACACTCACCTGTATCCAAACTCTGTGTCTCTCTTGGATTTTGCCCTTCAGGCGGGGCCCAATCATGTTCTTCAGCTCAGGAAGAAGTTCCTCCATCACCAAGTTGCTCAAGACCTGGATTAGGTATAAAGGTAAGGAAAGGTTGGTTCGATTTATTGTATTGCTTCCCACAACGAAAAGCCCTGAAACAATTCACAATGAGACTAAGGTACAATAAGACCAATCCATAAAACATAGTTGGGTTAAAAACATCCAGTCATTGGTGCTACCCAAACTCCTGTAGGTACAAAAGAAATACCTTTGCCTGGCGCCTAAGTGATGGCAAAACCAGTGCCAAGGCAGGTGACAGCACTGGCCACACACTGGGAGGTAGAAACAAAGGAAGCTGGCTTAAACTGGGCCAGATTGTTGGTTCATTTAGCCTAGTACTGTCTGCACTGACTGGTAGTGAATCTCCAGGTGGGGCTTGGAGAGACTCCAATCTGAAATCCTGGAGAGCATCTGCCAGTCAAAGTAGACAACATTGAGCAAGAAGGACCACTGTTCTGACTCAGTATAAGGCTGTTTCCGATGTTCTTATGACCTCAGGTTGTCAAGCATACCTAGGAATTAATTTCCTGGGCTGCTCCCTCAAAGACTCACCTGTGCTTCATTGCCACAAAGCATGTCCCATGTGCCATACTGGTCCTTAGACTGGCGGTACATGCGGACGGCATCAGTGAATGCAGGAGCCTCTACCTTGTTGTCCTCAGAAATACCTGGAAGAGAAAAGGGGAAGGTGCTTTTATTTTTAAGGGGAGGGGGAGCGTCAACTCTGTGTCTCTTAGAGAAGTGAGCAGTGTTCTTCAACCATGAGTTCCCAGATGTTGTTGGATTACAACTCGCACCATCCCCTGCCAGATGCCAATTGATTACAAGTCCCATTGTCCTCAGCCTGATCAAAGGAAGTAATAGTACCACACCTAGAATACTGTATCCAGTTCTGAGCACCACAGTTTAAGGACATTGACAAGCTGGAATGTGTGTAGAGGAGGACAACCAAGATAATCAAGGGTCTGGAAACCAAGCGTTATGAGCAACAATTTATGGAATTGTCCCATGGAAGATGGAGCAAGCTTGTTTTCTCCTGCTCTGGAGGTTAGTACATGAACCAACAGCTTCAAGTAACAAGAAAGGAGATTCCAACGAAACATCAGGAAGAACTTTCTCACACTAAGAGCTGTTTGACAGTGAAAGAGACTCCTACGAGAGGTGGTAGACTCCCCTTCCTTGGTTTTGCATGGCGAATCCCCCCCCCCCAGTTGAAATAACGACACATGACACAATTATTAACGTTAATGGGCTAAATAAGGCCACAACTTTATTGGTTACAGGTGATGAAGGGTATTGGCTTAGGCATTGGTCCTAACCGACTATATCCGAATTCAGTCCGTCTGCTTGAAGTCCAGGAAGGGTTAAGCAGAACAGCTGGCAGGTGGGGAAAAGAGGGAGATCCCTGGTTGCATCCTGCTTTAAGTAGGGCAGGCCACGCCCCCAGAGCTAGCCAATTGGCTGGCCAGGGGATGACGTGGCCGGGAATCCCCCCAATCAGCAGGGCTGGACTTCAGCCGTGCGCATGGTGGGGGTCGTGAAGCTTGCAACTCCATCTCCTTGAAGGGCGGAAGTGGCTTTTTTGAACCAGCAACAACAATTTTATAATTTGTACCCCACCTATCTAACTGGGTTGCCCCAGTGCTTCCAATATATGAGCAGAGGTTGGATGGCCATCTGTCACAGATGCTTTAGTTGTGATTCCTCCGTTGCAGTGGGTTGGACTAGATGGCCCTCATGGACCCTTTCAATTCTACAATTCTATGATGGAGTTGGACAACAACTCCATCAACGCTCAGGGATGATGGTAGCTGCAGTCCGACACATCTGGGGAAACAAGGTTGAAAAACTGCAACCTACAGCAATCAGGGTCAATCAAAATGATCCTATTCAGTAGGAGAGGCTATTCCCAGCCTCCTAGACAGGACAGAAAGAGAAAATGGAGCCCTCTGCCCCAATGCCATACAGACAAATCTTCCATAAAACAAAACAATAACACAGCCTTGCAAACTGGACCCCCTGAAATCCAGCTGCTGGGAATCACAAGAGGGGAGAGTGCTGTGGTGCTCAGATCATAGGCATGTAAAGAGAGAGTCCCAGTTCAACCCTTGCTGTCTCCATGCAGGGTTGGGAGAGAGTCCTGTCTGGAACCCTAAAGAGTCACTGCTGGTCAGTGCAAACAATGATAACCTTGATGGACCAATGGCCTAGTTCTGTAGAAGGCAGCTTCCTACATTTCCTAACAAGCCCAACCAGCTGAGGGAGAGGGAGAAGGGTTAAAAAGAAGGAAGAGTTAAACAGGCAAGGCTGGGCTGCGCCTGTGCCAGTGTCAGAGTTACAATCACAGCGCTCTGGAAATTGACGTAACATCCACAAAAGAGGAATCCTGTCTGGAAAGCCGAAGATGGAGGAAGGTCTTCAAAAGGGAAATTGCCACATTTTGGCACCGGGCAGGGGGCGGGGAGAGGGAAGAGGGAAGAGAAAGTGACTAAAAATAATGTGGCGGGATGAATCACAGTCAGCACATGATTTCTGAAAATCTTTTAACACAAGCAACACCCCCGTAAGGCGGTTGGAGAAAGGGGTGCATTGCAGCTGCCCAAGATTCCTCTGTGTGTGATTCACTGCTGGGGAAGGGGGAGGCTGGAAGGTTGGGAGCACTTCTCCACAGCCTTCCCACCCCCCACTCAAACCTTTTGGAGTAGACAGCTTTCAAATATGGGTGGAATGAGAAGAGTTAAGCCAAGAGGTGGCTAGATCTGGCAAGGTCTGGACTAAGGTTTCAGCCCGGGCACACACTCCACTCTGAAATGGGAGAAGGAAAGAAGAGGTGTAAAAGGGAAAAAGAAAAAGCTGGCATTCTTTTAATGACCGAGTCTGGAGTTGGCAGGGACAAACCGTAGAGGGACGGAGGAAAGGGAAGTAGGCAGAGAGCTCCCTCTCTCTCTCTCTCTCCTTTGAGAAAGGGTAGTGTTAACTCTGCCTTGTCTTTGGTTTCTTTGCAAGGCTCTGGGAGGGGAGGAAACAACAGGGATGCTGGATTAAGAACAACAACAAAAGGGGCTGTTTCAACACTGGTGGAAGAAGAATACCGGATGCCTGGTACATCATAAGAGCATATTTTGTCCGTCCTCAGGGAAGGCATGAAGCTACGCAGAATGTGACCATGACTCTCTCCTGCCCCCGTTACAAATACTATTTCCTACCCAGTAGGATTCAGAGACACCAGATGTTACAGCCAAACTCTATGGCTGCATACATGCATGAGATCCTATGGAGATCCTCCACCACCACCACCCTGCATCTCTAGATCCAGAACCACCATCTCCTTAGGAAAATAGGAACCTGCCATATATTCAACATATCATTAGTCCATCTAGCTCAGTACTGCCTATAATGACTGGCCATGACTCTCCAAGGCTTCCAGGAATGGGACATTCCCAGTCCTTCCTGGAGATGTTGGGAGACTGAACCTGGGATCATCTGTGTGCAAACAGATGCCCAGCCATTGAGCTACAGTCTTCCTCCTAACCATAAACTAAGGTTCTAGTCCTCATAATTCAGACAGAAACAGGAACACAGGGATCTGCTTTATGCTGAGTCAGAGCATTGGTCTATCTTGCTCAGTACTGTCTACACCAACTGGCAGCTGCTCTCTAGGGCTTTCAGACAGGGGTCACTCCCAGTGCCACTTGGAGATTCCACTGGGGATTGTACCTGGGGCCTTTTGCATGCAACGCAGATGGTCTGCCACTGAGCTGCAGCTGTTCCCCTTCAGATAGGCTTGGGAAATAAATGCAGCCATAGATGGAGGCAGGAGAAGGATGGGTGGAGGAAAGAATGAACCTCAGGACATTTCTCTGGCTCCATTTTGGCGTAAGGGGGTGCAGGGCTGCTGATCGTGGATGGGTTCCGAAAGCCAGCATGACCATTTCCCAGGCATGTGGCAGAACACACGCACACACAAAGAGCATGTATACGGCTGGCTGCCCAGCATCTCCCTTGAAAGATTCTGGAAGGTGAGATGATCCAGTGTCAGTCCTGCCTGGGGATGACTTGCCCTCCAGCAAGACAAGGAGATTTTGAAGTCACCATTGCCTGAACAACTATGGTTAAGGTTGTTGTTACTGCTCAGTAGGGCTGGCAGTGTATGCTCCTGAAGCTCACAACATGAAGCAGGCCTGATTTTAGAGCAGATGTTGTTAGGCTCCAGCTCACATCAGCCCCAGACCCAGATTTTGAAGTCCAAACCTCTGGAGCACAGCAAGTTAGCAGAGGGCTCCAATAAGCACCATCCCACGTGCCTGTTGAGGTGGCACAGTCCAAGTGGGTCTATCCCCATGTGATAATGGGGTGCAGAACATTTCCTCCTAGGCAACTTTCTGAGTGGCAGGACCAGAGACATTACGAACACAGATTTTACCTTTGAGCTACAGGCTATGCACACCCCTCTGTCCAGGCATGCAAGAGGCATGATCAGAGTTCAATGACACATTCCAGCCAGGCAAAAACTCGTTAGGAACGTGCAAAACAGACCTGGTGAAGGGAGAGGGGAGTGTGGGGCAATTTCGGAGGGCTAGATGGAAAGGCCAGGACAAGGACAGGTGTGTGTGTGGTAGGTTTTCATAAAGAGGAATAAATAAATAAAAGCACAGAAAGCCAACCTTGCAATCTCTCTTGCACACATGACCTTGTCCCATGGGTCAGTTGCAAAACATGCAGCCTAATGACGACTCCTTCATTTAAGGAGGTGGCGCTGAGCCATCTGAGCCCAGCAATAAATTAAAACGTGACTGCAAAGGACATAAATTTAAAATAACAAAGCAGCACACGTACTGGGAGTGAACTCTCAAAACGTTGCAGCTTGAAAGAAAGCAGGGAGGAAAGGGAAGGAGGGGAAAGGACAGGGTGGTTTATTGTAAGCACCGTGGAAGGATCTGCCCAGTTCAGGGTGGGAAAAGGAATTTCAGAGGGAAGTCCTCCCCAAGGGGGTGGGGAGGGGTGATGGATGGCTTTCTAGCCTGGCATTCTAATGCTCTCCCACCCGCACAACACATTCCACGTAGGCCAAGCGGCAGGAAACCTGCCAAGAGAGAAAAGGAGAGGACAGGATGGGCGGGGATCACCGCATCAAAAATGCCACCCTCTGCCAGCAAAGCCTCACCCTGCACAGGGCAGGGCTGCAAGCCCACAGAGCGGTGCAGGAGGAGGAGGAGGAAAAAGAGGGTGGTGGTGATGCTTGACCCTGCCAGAACCTGCCAAAGCATGCCAAGGGCCCACTATGGACAGAAAGCTTGCACAACTTTGCAGTAGGAAGCAGTAAAAGGGCGGCGGGGGGGAGCATAGCTAACAGCGGTTTAGGCTCTAGCAGGTGCTGGGAAGAGCTCATCTTAATTGGAGCTTGGGGAAGGCATTAATTTGTCCCCAGGTGAGAAAAAAGGCCCACAGCTCCTGCAGATTCTCAGGATCAATCAATCAGTATTTGCGGGCCCATTCAAAGGAAGGTGGGTGTGAGGCTTGCCTCAGAGAAAAGCTATCCAACAGATCTGCAGTTCCATGTTATTATTATTTTTTAAAAAAGATATTCAAGTGCAAGCACTCACAAACACCATATAAATAACACTAATTTATTGCACAAGTATCCCTCCTCTCCCCCTCCTTCAAGGCTGGCACTAAAGGAGGGTGAAAGCTAAACTGTGCCCTAGGGCTCATAGGAGTTGTATTCCAAACCATCTGGAGGGCACCAGGTTGGCAAAGGCTGCCCATGTGTTTTGATCCAGAGGTCGCTCAGATTACAAATCCTCTCAGCCCCAGCCAATTCAGCCATGGTCATGGATGATGGGAGTTGTAGTACAACAACATTGGGAAGATGTAGGAATATTTGTGTTGAGAATCCCTTAAGCAGAAAATCTCCAGACAATGGACATCAGTGGAAATGGCTTTGATGGACGTGGGCAGGTAGGGCTGGCCCACCCATGAAGAATGGTGAGGCAACCACCTCAGGCGACAGGATCTACAGGGGCAGCAGATCCTGATGTCGATCTTTCTTCCCCCCTTGTTCCTGATGCAGATCTTCCATCCCCCCTTTTCCCCTGGAGTGGGACACTATTTAGAGATCTACCTCAGGTGCCAAAATGTATTCAAATATATAAAAGGATGTCACATAGAGGAGGGAGAAAGGTTGTTTTCTGCTGCTCCAGAGAAGCGGACACGGAGCAATGGATCCAAACTACAAGAAAGAAGATTCCACCTAAACATTAGGAAGAACTTCCTGACAGTAAGAGCTGTTCAACAGTGGAATTTGCTGCCAAGGAGTGTGGTGGAGTCTCCTTCTTTGGAGGTCTTTAAGCAGAGGCTTGACAACCATATGTCAGGAGTGCTCTGATGGTGTTTCCTGCTTGGCAGGGGGTTGGACTCGATGGCCCTTGTGGTCTCTTCCATCTCTATGATTCTATGATTCTAATGTATTGGGCCAGCCCTGTGGGTAGGCTGTTATTCCATTCAGTAATTTAAAAGCCCAACCAGTGAAATCTCTGCACTGGCTTGTCTTTACACCAGCCTGTCCTAACCTGCACTTCAGAGGTTTTGGACAGCAACTCCCATAAACCCTGGGCACAGGCCATTTTGGCCGGGGCTGATGGGAGCTGGAGCCTAACAGCATCTGCTCTAGAATCATGCCTGCTTCATTCTGTGTCCATCAGGAGCACACACTATGAGCCCTACTAACAAATAGCAGCAACAACCTTGGCCATAGTAGTTCCGGCAATGGTGACTTCCAAGGTTGGATTGTTGCAATGCACTCTATGTGGGGCTTCCCTTGAGCTTGACCTGAAGGGTGCAGTTGGTACAGAATGCTGCAACACGAATGCTGACAGGAGTGAGGCCCTGTCTGCACATAACACATCTGCTCAGAGAGCTGCAGTGGTTGCCTATCTGCTGTTGGACTAAGTTCAAGGTGCTGCTATTACTAATGCCTTTAACACCTTGGGATTGGTTTACTTGCAGGATCGCCTTACCACTTGGCTGCTTCAATCTGCAGAACTAGCACTGTCAAAGGTGCTGCATAATTCTTATTCCACACTCCAAATAAATCAATCTTACAGTGTGGCAGCACCTACACTTCCTGCCTATTGATATTAGGCCTTTGCTATATTCCTTTTGGTGCTTGCTAAAAATATCTTTGTTTAGGCAAGGCTATCCAGACATGCAGAAGTTGCTTGCATTTCATCTCTTTTCAGCTACTGTTGATTTTAGTGATCTCTTGCATCTTTTATAATATCTTACTTTTACTAGTCTTTTTTTAAAAATTGCGGACGTTTTGTTTTTATATTATTTTGTAAACCGCTAAGAGGTTTTCTTACAATCCAGCAACATACCGTCATGGGAAAAATAAAGTGCACCCTCTTCGAATATGGTGGTTTTACATATGAAGACATAATAAGAATCATCTATTCCTTAGCAGGTCTTAAAATCAGGTAAATACAACCTCAGATGAACAACACATGACATATTACACTGTGAAATTATTGATTTAACAGAAATAAAACCGAAATGGAAAAGCCATGTGTGAAAAACTAAGTACACCTTATGATTCAATAGCCTGTAGAACCACCTTTAGCAGCAATAACATGAAGTACCGTAATTGTTTTCTGTAGGACTTTATCCATCTCTCACATTGTTGTGGAGGAATTTTGGGCCATTCTTCTTTACAACGTTGCTTCGGTTCATTGAGATTTTCTGGCATTTATTTATGCACAGCTCTCTTAAGGTCCCAAACAGCATTTCAATTGGGTTGATGTCTGGATTTTGACTGGGCCATTGCAATACTTTGATTCTGTTCTTTTCTCCTTTTTTCTCACTACAGAACCATCTACTGTAGATTAGAAAAAGAGTTGATTCAATCAAAAGAGAAAGCTCTCTTTAAAATGTATAAACTTCTGTTGTAGATTTGCTGGTGTGCTTGGGATCCTTGTCCTGTTGCATGACCCGATGTCAGCCTAGCTTCAGCTGTTGGGCAGATGGCCACACATTTGACTGTAGGATACTTTGGTATACTGAGGAGTTCATGGTAGACTCAATGACTGCAAGGTTCCCAGGTCCTGTGGCTGCAAAACAAGCCCAAATAATCACCCCTCCACCGTGCTTGACAGTTGGTATGAGGTGCTTGTGCTGATATGCTGTGTTTGGTTTTTGCTAAACATGGCACTGTGCAATATAGCCAAACATCTCCACTTTGGTCTCATCTGTCCAAAGGACGTTGTTCCAGAAGTCTTGTGGTTTGCTCAGATGCAACTTTGCAAACCAAAGCCATGCTGCCATATTATTTTTAGAGAGACGAGGCTTTCTCCTGGAAACCCTTCCAAACAAACCATACTTGTTCTGTCTTTTTCTAATTGCACTGTCATGAACTTTAACATTTAACATGCTAACTGAGACCTGTAGAGCCTGAGATGTAACTCTTGGGTTTTTTGCAATTTCTCTGAGCATCGCAGGGTCTGACCTTGAGGTGAATTTGCTGTGACGCCCACTCCTGTAAAGATTGGCAACTGTCTTTAACATTTTCCAATTCTGAATAATCTTTCTCATTGTAGAATGATGAACTTAAAACTGGTTGAAGATGCCCTTAGAACTCTTCCCAATTTCATTGGCAGCAGCAGTTGCTTCTCTAAGAGCATTGTATCGTCTTTGCTTTTATAGAAGTGGGCACACTTGCTGATGATCAATTAAGCAAGGGCATTTTATTAGCAGTCCTTGCCTGCTGCTTAGCCTCTTAATTCGTATGGAAGCAGTAAGGGTGTACTTAGTTTTTCGCACATGTTTTCTCCATCTTGGCTTTATTTCTGTTTAATAAATCATGACACGATGTAATATGTCATGTGTTGTTGTTCATCAGAGGTTGCATTTTCCTGATTTTAAGACCTGCTAGGGAAAGATGATTGCTATTATGTCCTGATATGTAAAACCACAGAATTCAAAGAGGGTGCACTTTTTTCCCCCCTGACTGTATACATGTCGTTAAATAAAATAAATAAACAAAACTGCAACACTGCTGCTATTAACAAATTCATCAACCCAGGTAAACAAATAATTCTGAGGCCGGATTATAAGAGAGGTGTTCCCAGTTGGTATGTCTGGGCACCGCTCTGCTCTCTTCCAAAGCATCTCTTTGGCTCAAGCTGTGGAGCTCAACAAACTGCAACTTGAGACCCAGCTGTGGAAAAGACACATCATGTTGCTCCACCAGTTGCTCACTCCCTGTGCCTGCTCAGAATCCTATACTCACAACATCAAAAACAGTTCCCATCAAAAAATTTAAGTTCCTTAGACAAACTTTGTCACGGTTGGCAGAGGGTGACTCAAAGCTGATGAGAAGCAGAGACTGAAATTTACATGGCCTCTTTGTAGCCATGCCAGTCCTTCAAGAAGCTTGCAGCAAGGGCCATAGCTCAATGGTAGAGCATCTGCTTTGTATGAAGAAGGTCCCGGGTTCAAACCCCAGAAGCACCAGATCTCACGAAACTCAAGGCGCTCGCCACTCTACAATGCACCCAAACATTTTGTTTCCTGGGAAACTCTGTTAGAAAACCACTGTTTTAACCTCTGCAGCAGTTACCTGCAGGCATTTGGATATTTTCCCACACTGTTTTTCTTTGAAAATTGATGTTGTATTATTACCGGGACCACTGGTCCTGAGAGATCTGTATTGGCTCCCAGTACGTTTCCGAGCACAATTCAAAGTGTTGGTGTTGACCTTTAAAGCCCTAAACGGCCTTGGTCCAGTATACCTGAAGGAGCGTCTCCACCCCCATCGTTCTGCCCAGACACTGAGATCCAGCGCGGAGGGCCTTCTGGCGGTTCCCTTGCTGCGAGAAGCCAAGTTACAGGGAACCAGACAGAGGGCCTTCTCGGTAGTGGCGCCCGCCCTGTGGAATGCCCTCCCTTCAGATGTGAAGGAAATAAGCAGCTATCCTATCTTTAAAAGACATCTGAAATCAGCCCTGTTTAGGGAAGTTTTTAATATTTAATGCTGTATTGTTTTTAGCACTTGATTGGAAGCCGCCCATAGTGGCTGGGGAAACTCAGCCAGATGGGCGGGGTATAAACAATAAATAATAATAATAATAATAATAATTATTATTATTATCATCATTATTATTATTACCCCTGTTTATATGAATTTTGAACTGTATTTGGGGGAAAGGAAAAAAAACTGGGCAGGGACACTTATATGAGAGAGGGGAGGAAGAAATAAGGCAGGTTTATTTAAAATATAAACATGTTTTGAATATATATATTCACACAGCACATAGTTCCGCTATGGAATTTGCTCCTGCCTGAGGTAGTAATGGCCATCATCTTGAATGCCTTTAAAAGAGAATTAGACAATTTTGTGGAGTATAAGGCTATCCATGACTACTGACCATGATGGCTATGCTCTGCCTCCTATGTTGGAGAAACCTTTCCTTTGCTGGGGATCCTGAGTGTGGAGAGAATTGTTCCACACAGATCCTGCTTTCAGGCTTCCTACTGGGGCATCTGGTTGGCCCCTGGGAGAACAGGATGCTGGACTAGATGGGCCATTGGCCTCAGTCCATAAGGCATTCCCACACACACACACACAAACACACATGCTTTCCCACAATGCGCTTCCATACTTGTTCCTTCTTGCCTCTGCTGGAATAAAACAGTTGATACTGCAAGAAAGAAGATTTTGACTGAATATGTCAAGAGCAACTTCCTAGAGGTAAAAAGGCTGTTCAGCAGTTAAACCTCTGAAGGTGGAGCGCTCTCCTTTCCTAGAGGAGGTTAAGTAGAAGATAGGTAAAGGGACCCCTGACCGTTAGGTCCAGTCATGGACGACTCTGGGGTTGCGGTGCTCATCTCGCTTTATTGGCTGAGGGAGCCAGCGTACAGGTTCCGGGTCATGTGGCCAGAATGACTCAGCCACTTCTGGCGAACCAGAGCAGCACACGGAAACGCTGTTTACCTTCCCGCCCGAGTGGTACCTATTTATCTACTTGCACTTTGACATGCTTTCAAACGGCTAGGTTGGCAGGAGCAGGGACCAAGCAACGGGAGCTCACCCTGTCACAGGGATTCGAACCGCCAACCTTCTGATCCGCAAGTCCTAGGCTCTGTGGTTTAACCCACAGCGCCACTCGCATCCCTAAGTAGAAGATACATGCCCATTAATTAGTCAGTCATGCTGCAGTTGACGAAGTCCTCCTATGTTCAGAGTGATGGAAAAGGATATCTGCACTGGGTGCCAATCTATTACCAGGCCAAGTTCAAGGTGTTCCTATTGGTATTTAAAGCACTTAATGGCTTGGGACAAGTTTACTTGCCCCATATGAACCCACTTGACTGCTTCAGTCCATGAAACTATTACAGGTGCCACATTAATACTTGTGGACCCTTACACTTCGGAACTCCCTGCCTATTGACATTAGGCAGACACCTTCACTCTACTCATTGGAGACCACTTAAAACATTTCTTCTTCTTCAGGGAAGCCAATCCAGACACAAAAATGTTAATGCGTTTGAATATCTTTTACTGTTAATTTTAATTATTGTCAATGGTGTTTTGTTTTGTTTTTATTATTTATTATTAAATCTGTATTTATATTTCTTGTAAACTGCTTAGAGATTTTACTACAGTCAAATGTCTTACAAACGTTGTTAAACAAATAAATAATCCTCAGGGAACCTGTGTAAAGAGATTCAGCAAGCACCTTCTGTTTTAACCTTTAAACGCTTGCTGGAATCTTTTCTATGCCCACATTTCATTAGTTCTGGAAGCGGCATTTACACCATTTGCAGGCTCAAACATACAATGTCAAGTGAAACCATGGGGGAAATGGAATAGGCTGTTGTGTGAATGCAGCCTCTGCTGTCCACCAAGAGGCTAAACAGGCAGTTTCTGACTGACTTACCATTGTTGCAGTGGCGCACACAGTCCTGGAAAACGGCTCGCCACTTCTCATGCTCCTTCCCAGTCATCACGCAGAAGTAGTAGTGCCGGGCGTAAGGGTGCCATAGGATGAGAGGGAACTCTGTGGGGCATTTGAAGACAGAGGTGTTGCCCGATTTGGGTGCAGAACCTGGGGGACAAAAAAACATGAAGAGACAGATGTGACAGTGGCAGAGCTAGGAAGAAACCACTTTCAAAGCTTGGCACACATCATGTGATTTATTCCTGACTGGAAAAACACACACAGTCAGAGAGGCCAGCAGACGAGGGCATTTGCGCTTATGTGATGTGGGATTTACACATCTGGCTAGTCGGTTGAGAGAATAGGATGTTGGATTTGATAGGAAGATCTCTGTCGCTACTCTGCATCATTCCCCATGCTGAATCTTGCCTCCTTCCCAAATGGGTAATTCAGTCACTGCCTAAACACAAGGAATATCTGGCCTCAAAGAAGACTGCCCATTGCACCTTTGCACATTGCCACTCCCTGCCAGGAAGCCAGGGCACAGCAGAAACTCACACAGGGAAGTGGAGTCACCAGAGGCTGGGGAAGCCCATTGTTCTCTCCAGTCCTGCCTGATACACAGACTGTGCAAATTCCCTCCTCATGCAGGGAGGTAGCAACTACCAAGAACTACCTTAACTTTCAGGAGAGCTTACGCATCACATGCCCATGTGTTGCCTCTGTGGGGCAGCACTGCTTAGATTGGAGATTCAGCCACATCACACAGAGAATTGCCCCCCCCCCCCAGTGCTGGCAACACATACTTTGCTCTTCCCCAAACTGGTGCCCTCCAGATGTTGTTGGACCCGGTGACTGCCATTGGTCCCAGCCAGAATGGCCAGTGATGATGGGAGTTGTACTCCAGCAACATCTGGGAGGGCCACAAGTTTTGCCATCCTCCTCCTTACAAGGTCACTGTCAGAACTGCAACACCAATCACTTTGGGACCCTTGAAAGTGCTATACCATTGCTGGGAAATTTCAAACCTGGGGGCCGAACGTGGCTCTCCATGCCTTTTTAGCTGACTCTTGGAACCCTTCCCAAGCCATACCCCTCTCCACAGGCCACACCCACACAGGCCCTGTTTCACACTCCAAGTATTTTTGCCTAGCTGAAATGTGCTCTTGAATTCTGATAATGCCTCTTTTTTGTCTGTGCGGAGGGTAGAGAGGGGAGTGTGTAGAAACCACAAAGGAAAAATGAAGTTTGTTGCTGCACCCACCACTGGCATGTGGCCCTCAGAAGCTTGTCCAGTAGGGAATGCAGCACTCGGGTGCAAAAAAGCTTCCTTGCCCCTGCACTATGCAAAAGTGCAGTAGTAATTATTGCCACTGAAGCGCGGTGCAAAGAAACAACAAAAGAAAATCCATTTAAAAGAATTGGCATATTTTAATCCACCCTACCCATTCAAGCAGTAGGTCAGAAGCCATGCTTGGATTCAGTAGCTTGAACAGGAGTCTTAGCAAGAGGCAGCAGACTAAATAACTAGATAAATGTTTCTACTGCAAGGCACAGATTTGTCTGCCACATGCTGCTGAGGCCAGGCAAACGTGCAGCCCACCTGCCACTTCTGGATTTGATTGCAGATGGCAAGCTCCCTGGAGGCCAGGCAAAGGAAATGGGAACATCTGGGAGGCAGGGATTGGGGGAAGGACCATAGCTAATGTGCTGGATCAGTGCATGGTCACAAGGATGGACTGGAGCTGGAGCTTAAAAGAGACGACTTGGGGAGCAGGTTTCTCGTCTTGTGGGTGCTCCTGGACCCACTGCCACCACTTGAATATCTTTTACTGTTAATTTTAATTATTGTCAATGGTGTTTTGTTTTGTTTTTATTATTTATTATTAAATCTGTATTTAATAATACAGATGGCCACGCTGACACAGAGTGCCTTCTGTCAAATCAGACTAGTGGCCCGGCTACAACTCTATTTGGATATAAATAACTTAGCTGCTATGATTTATATTCTAGAAACCTCAGGAATGGACTACTGCCATGCTCTTTACATAGGGTTGCCTCTGAAAACAGTGCAGAAGCGTCAAATTAGTGCAGCAGCCCAGCTGCTGACAGGTTCAAGGCAAACAGAACATATAGCACAATCTAGGTTAACAGCTACACAGTCCAATTCATAGTGCTTGGTTGTCTTCTTTTTAAAAAAAAAAAATGCATAAATAGCGTTTTTATTGGCTTTCCAAAATGCAGAAATAGATTTTTTTTTAAAAGTTAGATTTATTTATTTGTAAGTTAGAGGCTTACATAAATTGAGAAGGCACAAAGTGCTGGTTTTGACCTATAAACCTTTATAGATCAGGATCCCAGTATATTCTAGAATACCTCTCAAAAGGGGAACATACCCATACCCTTACATCGTCACCTGAGGCCCTACCCTGGGTCTCTTCTTTGAGTGAGGCTCAGAGGGTAGTAACAAGGGAGAAGGCAGCCTTCCCCTGTGGCTCTCTTGAGGGAGGTCTGCCTCGCCAGGTAAAAAGCTCACCTTCCCACCCCCAGGCATCTGACAGACTTTGATGATGTTTTTGCTGCCAAAGCTTTCCACAGTTTTCTAGTGGATAAAGTTTTGTTTTTAAATGAATAGTATGTGTTTTCGTATGACTATGAATGTTATGGTATATTTATGTTTTTTAAGTGGGTTTAAACCACTTTGATAGGGATGCGGGTGGCGGTGTGGTGTAAACCACTGAGCCTAGGGCTTGCCAAGTGGAAGGTTGGTGGTTCGAATCCCCATGACGGGGTGAGCTCCTGTTGCTCGGTCCCAGCTCCTGCCAACCTAGTAGTTCAAAAGCACGTCAAAGTGCAAGTAGATAAATAGGTACCGATCTGGCGGGAAGCTAAACGGCGTTTCCGTGTGCTAGTAGATAAATAGGTACCGCTCCGGTGGGAAGCTAAATGACGTTTCCGTGCGCTGCTCTGGTTCGCCAGAAGTGGCTTAATCATGCTGGCCACATGACCCGGAAGCTGTACGCCGGCTCCCTCGGCCAATAAAGTGAGATGAGCACCGCAACCCCAGACTCGTTCATGATTGGACTTAACTGTCAGGGACCCCTTTACCTTTAAACCACTTTGATACATCTGCACAATGAGCAAATAATGAGTTGAATAAATTATTATTAATAATAATATAAACTCAGTGGCAGAGCACCTGCCTTGCACACAGAAGCTCCCAGGCTGAATCTTCAGTGGCTCCCAGTAGGGCGTGGAGAGAATCCCTGTCTGAATTCTGGAGTGCTGCAGCCAGTCAGTGTACATAATAACACTGAGCAATCCCTCCAGGCCTGTCCCCAGGCCACGCCTCTCTCCTCAAGCCACACCTCTCACCAGCCCTGCTTCATGCCCTCCTGGAGTGTTTTTTGTCTGGCTGGAATGTGTCCTTCAACCCTGATGATGCCTCTTGCTTGCCTGGATGGAGGGCAGAGAGGAGTGTGCTGAGTGTTTGCAGAAATTAGCCTAACTGTACAAATGCAACATTTACTGTGCATTGTTGCTCCTCTCACTTCTGGTTCTGACCCACAGCACTAGGGGCACGTGCCCCACAGAAGGTTGCCCAGAAGCACATGCAGCTCTCGGGATGAAAACGGGATGACCAATGTTTTACGCAGATCTAAATAAAAATCCACAGATCAACAAAACCCTGCAACCATCATAAATCTCCTATGATGTTCGCACCAATCCTTGATTTCCCTCTGCACACTTTCACCTCATTGGCCGGTGGTCCAACTGAATAGCCTCAGCTGTTCCCTGAAGAGGTGACCTCGTCATCCCAAGTGAGAACCTGCCAGGCCCTGGGCAGCCGGCCTTTCTCCAAACAAATGTCTTTTCAGGCTTCTTGAAGGTCCTGCTTGGAAACGGACACCCCTCCTTGCACCCCACCCACCAACCACACTCCCTGACTGCGGTGGTTTTGCAAGCCAGCCTCACACAGCTTGTGTCAAAGCCTGGCAATTCACACAAGGGCCAGGCAGCAGGTTTGCTTTCCCTTGTGAGCTGAGGCACTAGCACACCTCCCCTCCCCACCCCCACTCAAAACAAGAAGAGGACAGACGGCAGGCTGGAGAGACATTATACAGTACAATACAATACAGTTATCGTGTCCAATGTAACGTTAATGACATTTCAGTCATGATCAAGACGCTGCATGCTGGGCATCTCTGGTCTACCTATTAAAATAAGGATTTCAGAAGAGCGTTGCTGGATCAGGCCAGTGGTCCATCTAGTCCAGCATCCTGTTCTCACAGTGGCCAACCAGAGGCCCGTGGGAAACCTGAATGGAACAGCAGCTCTTCCCACTTGCGACTCCCAGGACTGGTATGCAGAGGCACCCTGCCTCCAGCAGCAGAGGGAAAATGCATCCGCTGTGGCTAATAGCCACTAATAGCTTTGTTCTCCATTAACAGATTAGCTGAGGCTCCCCGGATACTTCCTATATCCAAATGAGGTGTATTATGTAGCCACATCATATTCTAGATCAAATAGTCCAGACTGTGCCACTTCACAGTCTCATTTCAAAACAGAGGCAGATGAAAGCATGGATGATTATTGGGAACAGTTAGCAACTTGCTCCCAATAATCAAAAGGGCCTTAGTAATCGTAATTAAAACAAGAAGCTGGCCAGCCATTAGAGCTTTGGAATTTGCCTGCAGCTTGAAGGAGCAACACTCTCATCCAGAACTGAGGCCCCGTTTAGGACAGGGAACCCATATACCAGGAGTGGGGAACTTCATTCAGCCCGAGGGCCACATTTCCTTCTGGGCAACCACCTGGGGGCCAGTAGTAGGCAGAACCCGAGGCAAAAATGGGTGGAACGAAGAATGTAGATTTTAGCTTTGAGCAGTAGGGCAACATCAACAAACACTCCCCCTCCTGTTAGGATATAGTTCCATTCCACCTTAAAAGGGTACAGGCATGACGTTTGTGTATCACATGCCTGTTTACTCCCAGCACTGTCTGCTGGGAACTTCTGTTGTATGTTGCTTTTGCTATACTGCTGTTTTGCCGGAGTCAAAGGGATGCAGACATGTTTTCCTTTGTCCCTGAACTATGCTGAATAAATGCTGTAAATAATGCTTACATCTGCCTCTGTCCACCTCATCTGCTGTGTGATGATTTACACACTCAGCTTACAGAGCATGCACGGGTCTCTATCTGAGGCTCGTGTCGCTGACTGATGCTGTTCCACAGGAGACCGATGATCGTCCGGAGCCAGCTGGGGGCCTGCCTGATGCCCCCATCTCCCCGGCATCCTCCATCCAGGCAAGCAAGAGGCATCATCAGAGTTCAAGAACATATTCCAGCCAGGCAAAAACTCTCAAGTGCACAGGGTCAGTGAAAGGTGTGGCTTACCGGGGGGGGGGAGTTCCAAGGGTCAGGAATATTGGCCTGGAGGGCCACTGTCACTGCCTGGGACACACCTCAATGGCACAACATCCACCTTCTGTGAAGCTGGCCCCAGGTCTCTGGGCAGCGCTGGGAAAGTTCTGTGTCAAAAACCTGGAGAGCCACTGCCAGTCAGTGCAGACAGTACTGATCTAGATGGGCATGCTCATCATCCCTGCTATGCTCCTCTGAGCCCTAAGACAATGGAGCCATCTGGCACCGAGAAAGTGAAGTATGGGCAGTAGGACTCACCTGGCAAATTGCTATTGACCAGGTCCAGGTATTGCTCCAAGGAGGTGAGGATCTTGTAGCCAGCACTGTTGATGAGAATCCGGGGCTGGAGACCTCTCTCATAGGCCTGCACAAGGAGGAGAACAGACACATACCAGGAATGTCCCAAAGGCAAATCAGATCTGCTGGGCCACTCAAGGTTCTGGACCTTTGCTCCAGCAAAATCTAGGCCCTGCTAATCTTTCAATAAAGTCATGTTTACACCTTGTCTTTCTGCAATTAACTTAGCAGATCAGTCAAGGATCCATCTCAGGCTGTATAAGACCCCTCACTTACCTGCCAGTACTTTCTCAACACATGAGGAACGCAATATGACTAAAATTCAGTTTTAATGGAAGACTCCAAACAGGAAGAAAAGTCCCCAAAATTGCCATCAAAATTAGATGAGCTCAGTCAGAACTGGTCTGTAATATTGTGGGCTATACTCAAAAGGTAGTCTGCATGCATGGATACTGCTCCCCACCCCCCAGCCCCTGATGCTGCCTTGATCACCCTATACTGGATTTGATGTTTATGATCTGCAGACCAAATAAAGTGAAAATGACTGAACTCAATATGGCACAGTATTGTCTACACTAACTGGCAGCAGCCCCCTAAGATTTCAGACAGGGGAGTCTCTCCCAACCCTACCTGGAGATGCCGGGGATTGTATCCGGAACTTCTTGCATGCAAGGCAGATGCTCTACTGCTGAATTACTGAATTATAATGTCTGGGGTCTGGTGTTAGCTGGCTTATACTGACACAAGACCAGCTCAGTACTGTATACATTGAATACCAATGGTTCTCTAGGGTTTCAGGCAGGGGTTCTCTCCTAGCCCTCCCTGGTGATTGAACCAGGGACCATTTGTGCAAATCAGGTGCTCTACAACTGAGCTATGTGCCTTCACTAAAAAGCAGTCAGCCAGGTCAAGTGAGAGTGTGCACAAATTGTACTCCTGGAGAAGTTTGCTTTGCAGCTCAGAGAGCTGCTACTCCTCTGTAGGAGGGCCTCCTTGAGCAGCCATCCCCAGAGATCACCTCAAAACACAAGAGATCTCAAGAAGGTGCTCAAGACCCTACCTATAAAGCTGCCAGCGGGACAAGCGCGCCTCTGCTCAAATACCACCCACCAGCAAGCACAATGCATGCTTTGTTAACCCAATTGAGGGGCCTCACCAGTTTGTTCTCATACAGCACCAGCCCATAATTATGGGGCACGACACAGAAACGGTTCCTCCACTTCTTGTTTTCTTCCATGTACTGGAACAGATTCCCCGAGAAGATGGTACGTGGCTCCAGTGGAACCTAGAGAGGCGGGAGTGGGGGGGGGGAGAGAGAGAGAGAGAGAGAGAGAGAGAGAGAGAGAGAAGCAAAATACAGTGAACCTGGAAAGAAGGTGCAGCAATGAGACTTCAGGACACATTTCTGCAAAACACTCACCCCCCTGACTTGCATGCCAGCTGACAACAGTACTGTAACAAATTCCGTCTTTAACAACCCTCCTAGTTGCCTAACTCCTCCTCCTCCTCTTCTTCTTCTTCCTCCTCCTCCTCCTTGCCGATCACTCATAGCCGAGTAAGATTGCCTTCCATACACACGGTTTTAACAATGAGTCCGTAAGTGGCGGCTAATTCTGGACTCACATGTCCTTCCACAGTGGGAACACTGGTTCCCAGGTGGGAGCTGGTCACGGTGTGGATTTGCCAAGCATGCCTTCCTCTTAGCACATTTCTCCCTTGCATCCTGAGTTCCAGTGTCTTCAAAGCCCATGACACCTTTGGTAAAGGCTGTTCTCCAACTGGAGCGCTGGCAGGCCAGTGTTTCCCAGTTGTCAATGTTTATACTACATTTTTTTTAGATTTGCCTTGAGACAGTCTTTAAACCTCTTTTGTTGACCACCAGCATTACGCTTTCCATTTTTTAAGTTCGGAATAGAGTAGTTGCTTTGGAAGACGATCATCAGGCATCTGCACAACATGACCAGTCCAACGAAGTTGCTGTTGAAGAATCATTGCTTCGACACTGGTGATCTTTGGTTCATCCAGTACACTGATATTAGTTCGCCTGTCTTCCAAAGTGATGTGCAAGATTTTTCGGAGACACCGTTGATGGAATCTTTTGAGAAGTTGGAGATGGCGTTTGTAAGTGGTCCATGTTTCACAAGCATACAGTAAGGTTGGTAGTACAATAGCTTTGTAAACAAGCATTTTGGTTTCCCTGCCTAACTATGGTATCAGGAACTCCTTGAAGGAGGGAGAATACCCTGGTGGAGGAGAAGTGATCTATTCATTCCTTCTTTGCCAGAGCACATTTCCATGCTAGATGCAGCAGAAGATTTTTCCCTTTAAACCCTCTGCAAAACTTTAAAATACTGAAATCAAGGTAGGTAGCATATAGAAGAACACCTACCCATAATGCTAGAAAACACAACTGCCCAACAAAATTGGGACAGAGATGGCAAAGCACTCCTTCATGCCATGTTTAATTCCCTTGTAGAAATCACTTTCCCAAGATTTTTGCTGCTGCTTTAGATGACTTTGAGAGAGTGGGTGACAGGAGGGCAGGTCTGTCAGTGGCTATTAACCTAAATGATAAAACAGAACCCCCATATTCGGAAGAAGTAGACCTCCCAAATGCCAGTTTACTGGAGAACACCACTGGGGAGGGTGCTTCCAACACTTGAAACAGGCCGAGTAATCATTATGCTAGGATACAGTGGTACCTCAGGTTAAGAACTTAATTCATTCTGGAGGTCCGTTCTTAATCTGAAACTGTTCTTAACCTGAAGCACCACTTTAGCCGCGCCGCAGGAGCATGATTTCTGTTATCATCCTGAAGCAAAGTGCTTAACCTGAAGCACTATTTCTGGGTTGGCGGAGTCTGTAACCTGAAGCGTATGTAACCCGAGGTACCACTGCACTATCAAAATATCCAGGTGTAGTAAGTTTCACAGGTTGCCATATGGGAAGAGGTGTCATTGGCCTTAACAAAGCCATTTCCATTCATTTCCTCAGATGATCCTGTAGTTTTGCTTTCTTTTAACATCAGAAATTAATAGTAATTCTCTTTTTCATTGAGGCAATCTTTAGCAATCCTGAAGAATCTCACATCCCAACCTCCCCATGAGTCAGGAGCAGTCACTTCCTGTGCTGGCTTTGTTGACGAAGCAGCATAAACAGGAACAAACCCACTCATCTATTTCTTTTACACACACACACACACACACACACACACACAGCCATCTGTCAGAGAATTTGAGCATAAATACTAAGAGACACTTAAAAAAAAATTTTTTTTTGCAAGGTCAAGGGTGAACAGATATGGCTGCAATCCTACACATACTTTCCTAGGAATAAACCTTACTGAATACAGTTGGATTTCAACTCTTGATTAAACATGCAAAGGGTCCAGCTGCACTTCATCATTAAATTATTTGAATTTGATCCCTGAGGAAAGGAAGCAAACTTCCCTCTCTGCCGATAAACACAGATAGTCTGCATGTTATAAGGCCACTGTGGCTAGGATCATTTGCATGCGTTTGCAAGGAGAAGCATACCACAACGTGAGCAACCACAGCACTTCAATGCAGTAGCAGCCAGCTGGTGACCGTGGTGGAGCAGAAGGCAGTGACCAACTGTGGGTGGAGTCAGAGGCAACGGCATAGAATGAGCAGCTCCCTGATTGGCTGCAACTGAGAAGGCAGGCAGCTAGGGATTGGATGGGGGCAGACAGAGGTTGATGAGGCACTGCCCCATGTGCCCTAATGGACCAGGCTCCAATGCTACGGTGAGAATGAGTTAAGGTTATGACAGGCACATGGACACACACACAAACTACCCAGTAATAAGCAGGGCACAGCCAACATCCTCCCTCCCTTGCCAAGGTCAGCCTTAACCACAGGCGAGCAACACCCAGGGGTGGTTATTAAAGCCCAAATGTTTATTTATTTCAGGTATCCTGCAATAAACAGGAGGCCACAGCAGACACAGCAAGGACACCAGTTTTTGAAAGGCACACACCCCTGGCTGCTTATGCACTTCAGAATTAAAGAGGGATCTGTTGCGCTCTAGCGACAGGACGGCGGTCATTAGCAGCTGTCCCTTACAGCTCAGGACTAGAAAGCAGGTTTGATGGAGGCAGCTAGCCAGGCACAAACAGTGGAGAGATGCTCCGCTTTGCACAAGGACAGGGGATTCTGACCCCTCATTTTGCTATTTTGAACCTCAGCCAGTCAGATCAAGAAACACTTCCACGCTTTCACATATGAGAGGAAGCATTTATTCGCACAGCACATATTAAAACAATGGCATCCTCTCCCAGAAGATGTAATGACGACCATGAATGTGGATGGTCACCCTGTTAAATTTGGCCTCCGAGGGATGAGGGATTATGATTTGGCCACAACTAGTTCTCCACCCCCCCCACCCCCACCCCCCGTTCTGGAGAAAAATGTGCCAGCGTTTCTGTCGCGATCTCATGCATGACTTGAAAGCAAAACTACAGGCCACATATGTAGAAAAACATTTACCCACACAATGAGCAACAAGCATGGGGCAGTGTGGTGTAGTGGTTAGAGTGCTGGACTAGGACCTGGGAGACCAGGCGGGCACAGGGCACAGAGGGTTCATGGGGCCATGCTGTGTAGCCTGCCTGCCCACCCACATAAGGGGAAGCCTGGCCGGTGACGCTGGTGAGGGGGCCGTGGGTCTAGCGGCAAGGTAAGGCCAGGCTCCGGTGCCCAGAGACCTCCAGTGCAGGGGTGCCTGTCCTGTGCCCCCTCTAAACCATGTGCCCAGGGCTATGGGCCCTCTGGCCCTCCTCAATCTACTCCCTGTTTCAAAGCAGTGTACACACCACTGTAAAGAACTAGTGTGTTTATTGCAGCCAAATAAGGTCAAATAGCAGCAGCAAGTTCTTTAAAAAAGCATCAAATAAACCTGCATGTAAATTAAAAGACAGAACATAAAAGAGAAAGTAAAATGCCCTCGCAAACCATCCAAGTTAAAAGAAGCTTGAGCAAATAATAATTTTAAGAAGTCTTATTCTTGTGCCTTAGGCTGTGTACACGCCATACATTTAAAGGACATTTAACATGCGTGCGCACAGACACACACAGAATCCTTGGAACTGCAGTCTGTTAAGGGTGCCAGGAACTGTAACCGTGAGGAGAAACTACATTTCCCAGGATTTTTTATTTTTTTTAGGAGGGGGAAAAACTTAAAATGTATGCTGCATATATAGGGATTCCCCCCACTTATGGGTGGGTTACATTCCAGGCCCCCGCATGCATAAGTGAAATTGCATAAAGCGGGGAGCGCCCTCTAAAAAGCCTCTGGATGTCTATTTTCCCCTGCTCTCCAGCAATCTCTCCTGCTCGCTCTTTGTGCAGTCCAGACGATCTGCTGTTGCAGCCCTGGGGCCAGCAGGAAGCTGTAGGACATGTGGGAAAGTGGCTGCTGCGCTACCCCACACAACAGCTGTTAGGCGGTGAGGCTGAGCAGCATAAACCAAGTCCTACTGTGCCTTTGGTCTCTTTGGAGCTTCCTCTGCCCTTACTGATATCCTCTTAGGGCTCCTGGGAGGGTCTTCTCGTGAGCTACAAGGAAGCTTCAGCTCTCTCACATTTCTGAGTATGATTCTGTTTGTTTATTTATTTCCTGGCACCACGCAAATATTTGGTTGCACACAAGTAGAATGTGCATAAATTGGGGGGGGGGGGAGAGAATGCCTGTAATCAGCAAAGGTGCTAGGAGGAGTTCTGGAGCTAGGACGGGGCTACCACCAAGAAGGCTCTGGTAATGCCCACACCATACATTTAAGCCACACAGTAGCGATTCCCAGCACCCTTCCCAAACTATAATTCCCAGGATTCTTGGCGGGGAGCCATGTGCCTTAAAAGTATGGCGTGGATCTGAGCTTTGGCATTTCCTAGTCCAATAAGGGTACCGTCAGGTTTCCTTCCACTCACTCCAAATTCTGCAGAAGCCTTTTAGAAAATGGTTTCCGGGTCCAGCACCTTAACCACATGCCTTGGCCAATAGCATTCCACCACCTGGTCTGGTCTGAAAAGCAGCTGGAGGCAGCTTCACTAACATGTGACCCTTAACCTTAATGAAGATGTTGGAGACCTTCCTCCTGCCAGTTCTCCACCCTCACCCAGCAGCTGGGACAGGTCACAAGACTGGAAGCCCTCCAGGTTCCCTCAGGATCAAAGGCTCAAGGCAGACAGCACAGCAAGTATCCTGTTTTGCATCTGAGCTTGTCTTGCCTCTAGGCAGACAGAGAAAGTTGCAATTAAGCACTTAAGGGTGTTTATATGTCTTGAAAAGGATGGAGGATCAGCTGGAAAGAAACATCACTGCCTTGTTTGGACAGCAGAAGAGACAAGAGGTGGAAATGGGCATAGGGCCTTCTTGGCAGTGGCACCCTCCCTGTGGAATGCCCTCCCATCAGATGTCGGGGAGATAAAGAATTACGCAACTTTTAGAAAAAGTCAGGGAAGTTTTTGTTTTTGTTTTTATTTAATTTTTAATTTTATTTATAGGTTTTCAGTTACACACTCATATCATTTTATATTCTTGTACAATAATTCTTTTGGACTTCCCACCCAGCATTCCATGACAGTTCTTTGTATATCTTAGGTAAAGGTAAAGGGACCCCTGACCGTTAGGTCCAGTCATGGTTGACTCTGGGGTTGTGGTGCTCATCTCGCTTTATTGGCCGAGGGAGCCGGCGTACAGCTTCTGGGTCATGTGGCCAGCATGACTAAGCCGCTTCGGGCAAACCAAAGCAGCACAAGGAAATGCTGTTTACCTTCCCGCCGGAGCGGTACCTATTTCTCTACTTGCACTTGATGTGCTTTCGAACTGCTAGGTTGGCAGGAGCAGGGACCGAGCAATGGGAGCTCACCCCATCGCAGGGATTCGAACCGCCAACCTTCTGATCGGCAAGTCCTAGGCTCTGTGGTTTAACCCACAGCGCCACTCGCGTCCCATTCCCTTGCCTTACAGACACTTAATCCTTGAGTTTGGTTGGAGAGATATATCTGGGGTCCAGAGTGCATGAATACAAACTTTAGATTTACAGTATAAAGATTTACGGTATATACCTATTTCTCTACTTGCCTATTTACGGTATATACCTATTTCTCTACTTGCACTTGATGTGCTTTCGAACTGCTAGGTTGACAGGAGCAGGGACCAAGCAATGGGAGCTCACCCCGTCGCAGGGATTCAAACCGCAGAAGAAGGCCTTTATATTTCCCCCAAGTCCTATCCATATTTAGTCTTTTTACTGCAACTGCTTCTACTGGTGAAATCCAACCGGGGGTCTTTCTTTCTAAAAAGAAAAGAAACCCAGCCAGATGGGCGGGGTCTTAATAAAATACTAATACTAATAATAGTTACTTGGCAAACAATGCAATCTGAACAACAATTAGTTTTGTGGCCTCTGGCTTTGATTTTGTCCGGTCTCTCTGTCACATACAAACAAAGGAAAGGGAGGGAGGTGGGGAGAAGAACTGTTGTCCCTGCATGAGAACTTAAAATGTGTTTTCACATGTAAAGCCTGCCTTGCTCTGCAGGCACATACTTCCACATGTGGTGGGATTGTCCCAAAATTCAACCCTTTTGGACAGCAGTCCTACAAAAATATGCAAAATAACTAAACAGGTATTAGAAGCTACCCCATCGCTGGCCATATTGAAAATTTCCCAAGACAATAACGCTCACTCACGCTATAAAGAGCTTATAACCCACCTACTCTCAGCAGCCAGAAGCATCATAGCTAGACACTGAAGATACCTGTGAGAAGTGAACATGGACCACTGGTACCAAACTGTATGGGAAACAGCCTTACTAGAAAAGCTAACCAACAGACTAAAACTGACATGGGGACAAATAAAAGAGGACACCTTATCCTCCAAAGGTGGCTCCCCTTTATTACACACACAGCCCAACAAGAGAACAAGAACACACCAACAGCATACAAATCAATATGGCAACCCCTCCCCTGCCTCAAACAAATCTCACTGCAGTCAACTAAAGGCAACCAACCATGCCATGCCCCACCAACCTCTCTCACTTCCAATGAAAGCTAATAAATGAATAGAAAGAGAACCTACCCAACTGATGCTGACACAAAAACCTCACACATACACTAAGTAAAAGAACATACGTTTACCACCACTCCCTCCCCCCTCTTTTCTCCCCCAACCTTAAACTATGTGCAAAATTAACATCGCACATGGAATGAAACTGATCTGTAGAAAAGACTCTACAACCTGAAAATAGAGGCAATGCATGCATTTTGTAAACTCAATAAAATCTTTAATAAAAACATTTTTTTAAAAAAAGTTTGCCTTGCTAGTCACTTGTCCATCGTGTTTGGGGTTAACAGGGAAATGTAATGAAAAGTGTGGGATGAATGAATGATTGACAGGAAGATGTATAGACATGCCCCACAAACAAATAAGAAAGAATGCTCAAGAAAGACTGAACATAGCCCTCAATGCACAAAGCCTTCGTGGTCCCTCAAGAACGGTTAGATCAGATCTGGGGTCTGGCTGGTTCAGCCCCATCATTTACAGAACTGTTGAGTGAACTGTGTTTCCATCCACTCCGTCTTTTTGTAAACTTTGAGGGTTGTTGTTATTGTTGTTGTTATTTATAATCAAGCACTGTATAAATTTTATGAAACGAAAACAACAACATATCCCTTCAAGCTACACTCCAAAGTTAAGGGGACGACTGAATATGCCTAGTGAATGTCAAGACAATGCAAAGGAAGCACATCTTCACGCAGCTCAGATTTAAAATACAAAACTCGCTTCCATACAAGGCAGTGATGTACAGTGGCACCTCTGGATGTGAACGGGATCCGTTCTGGAGCCCTGTTTGCATCCTGAAGCGAACACAACCCACGTCTGCGTGTGCCGCGATTCGCCTCTTCCGCACATGATATCATTTTGAGCGTCTGCGCATGCGTGTGACGTCATTTTGAGTATCTGCGCATGCGCAAGCAGTGAAAACCGGAAGTAATGCGTTCCGTTACTTCCAGGTCGCCGCTAAGCGTAACCTGAAAATGCTCAACCTGAAGCATATTTAACCCGAGGTATGACTGTATAGCTTTAAGAGAGGATTGCACAAATTCATGGAGAACAAGGCTATTGGTATGGCTACTAGACACTGCACTGACAATTTTGTGGGTGCCTGGGCACCTACCACCCTGCAGAGACAGTGCCAGCCATGATGGAGATACTGTCTCCATGGTCAGAGGCAGCCATGCTTCTGAATACCAGTTGCTCCAACAGGAGAGGAGAGTGCTCTTGTGTTCAGCTTACAGAGAACCCAGTCTGAAACCTTGGACAGCTGCTGCCAGTCAGTGTAGTGTAGACAATGCTGACCTAGAAGGGCCAACAATCTGAGTAAGTACAGCTTCCTATGTTCCTACAGTATGACTAAGATTTGATTGAAGCTTTTAGGGTGCTTGCTCAATGGTAGAGCACCTTTTCATTCATTCAGCCTTTATTGGCACAATTTAGACAACAGAATCATAAAAGAGAGGGAGAGGGGGAAAAACACCTATCCATAAAGCACTGGTAATCCAGTCATATTAAACACATAAAACATATAAAAGACTCAGTAGCCACCATTAAGTTTTAAATTTTACTTTAAAAATCTTGGCTAAATATCCTGAAACAACCTCAGTAGTTTCGGGTATATCATCCCTCAACAGATACTGGATTACAGGTTTTTAAACTTCTTTTTTTTTTTTATTGCTCAGTCTTTATTTTTTTTTTTTAAAGAATATTTATTCCAATTTTAGGATTACTTTTTTTTTTTTTTACAGGTTTTTAAACTTCAAGGGAGCCACAAGTAGGTCTCTCTGAAGAATATCGAAGAGAAGGCAGTCCAAAATTATACGGTATATTGTATCCAGGGTACTCATACCCAGTGGCATATCAACCTCCAACAGCGTCTGGAGCAGACCTAAGCTTTTTTTAGGGCAGTCGCCAAATTTCCATAGCTGCCGATTTCTACCACCCCTTGCAGCACCCTATAGACCCCCGTGCTACTTTGCATGTAGAAGGTCCCAGCTTCAATACCCAGCACTGCCAGGTAAGTCTGAAAGAGGTACTGTCCTAAAGCCTGGAGAGCTGCTGCCAATCAGTGTGGTCATTACTGAGCTAGACAGAGCAATGGCCTGACTCAGTATAAAGTGGTACCTTGGGTTACAGAAACTTCAGGTTACAGACTCTGCTAACCCAGAAATAGTACCTTGGGTTAAGAACTTTGCTTCAGGATGAGAACAGAAATCTCTCGGCGGTGGCGCGGTAGCAGCGGGAGGCCCCATTAGCTAAAGTGGTGCATGCTCTAGTTATCTCCCGCTTGGACTACTGCAATGCGCTCTACGTGGGGCTACCTTTGAAGGTGACTCGGAAACTGCAATTAATCCAGAATGCGGCAGCTAGACTGGTGACTGGGAGTGGCTGCTGAAACCATATAACACCGGTCCTGAAAGATCTTTATTGGCTCCCAGTACGTTTCCGAGCACAGTGCAAAGTGTTGGTGCTGACCTTTAAAGCCCTAAACGGCCTCGGTCCTGTATACCTGAAGGAGTGTCTCCACCCCCATCATCCAGCGCTGAGGTCCAGCGCTGAGGTGAGGTTACAGAGAACCAGGCAGAGGGCCTTCTTGGTAGTGGCGCCTGCCCTGTGGAACACCCTCCCTGCAGATGTCAAGGCAATAAACAACTATTTTACTTTTAAAAGACAACTGAAGGCGGCCCTGTTTAGGGAAGTTTTTAATGTCTGATGCTGTATTGTTTTTAATATTGAGTTGGAAGCCTCCCAGAGTGGCTGGGGAAACCCAGCTAAATGGGCGGGGTATAAATAATAAATTAAAAGGGACGCGGGTGGCACTGTGGGTAAAACCTTAGCGTCTAGGGCTTGCCGATCGCATGGTCGGCGGTTCGAATCCCCGCGGCGGGGTGAGCTCCCGTCTTTCGGTCCCAGCTCCTGCCCACCTAGCAGTTCAAAAGCACCCCTAAGTGCAAGTAGATAAATAGGTACCGCTTTACAGCGGGAAGGTAAACGGTGTTTCCGTGTGCTGCGCTGGTGCCGGCTCACCAGAGCAGCTTCGTCACGCTGGCCACGTGACCCGGAAGTGTCTCCGGACAGCGCTGGTCCCCGGCCTCTTAAGTGAGATGGGCGCACAACCCTAGAGTCGGACACGACTGGCCCGTACGGGCAGGGGTACCTTTACCTTTAAATAATAAATTATTATTATTTTATTATTATTATTATAAAGTGGTACCTCAGGTTAAGAAGAACAGTTTCAGGTTAAGAATGGACCTCCAGAACGAATTAAGTTATTAACCTGAGGTACCACTGTAAAGTACATCTCCCCATGATATTTGAGTCAGGTTACTATCCCCAGCCAGCTTGTCAGTGCTGCATAGTAATTGAGTTAACTATTGTTGTAAGGAACAATTAGATGGGTGTATGCATCATTCTTTCTTTACAAAAGTCTTTTACAGGCCACCACGCAAGCCTCAAAAGGCACCCCAAGGCAGTTCTCAACATTCAAAATGAAAATTAAAGACGCGAACCATAAAATCAGAAAGTAATTAAACGGAGCCAAAGAAAAAACCCCACAACCATCCACAACTGGCTGGAATAAAAAGGTATTTAAGCTGCCCTGTCTAAAACATGCACACACATACACACTGAGCATGGGGCCAGTTGAATCTCCTCTGGGAGTGGGCTTCCACGAATGGAGTGCCACAACATAGAAGGCTCTGCTCCATGTCCCAAGCAAAGGTAGCTCTCCAGGTGTTAGGATGTGGAGTAGCACTTCTGAGAATATACGCAGTCACCAGGCAGGTTCATACAGAAGGAGACAGTCATTCAAAGTATCCCGGTCTCAAAATGTTCATGGCTTTAGGTAATGAGCAGCACCTTGAACTGGAGTGAACTGGGATCCAGTGCAAACCAAAGGAAACCAGAACCCCTAACCTGGCTGTGCTCTAGAAGGCTCCCCCCCTCCTCATCTGTCACCAGAAAGCAGCCATTCCATCAGGCTGCAGCAGAGGGAGAGAAGGGAAGCGGGGACACCCCATCAGCTCAGCTGAAATACCAGCAACTTTTGGTTCCGCCTCACCTGAAACTGTTTCCCTGTTCACTGGAATAACTCTGCTACCTAAAAAAAAATATCCCTGGGTTTCCTCCCCCACCCCTCCCTCTGTATCCCCTTTCTCCCTTCTACGCCATGTCTTTCAGAAAGTAGGCACAAAAGGTAGGGATTTCTTCTTATCAATCTATCTGAGCTTCTCTAGGACCCATTTTTGGCTGAAGAGTCTAAATCCAACAAGACTCCTTTGAACCTTATTGCAAGACCCTTTCCAGCCACCCCTCCCCGTGCCCGCTTCCTGAATACTCTACTTCCCAGCCCCCAAAGTCTGAAACAGAACCCCTCAATCTATATGTTCTCTTACAGAGCTGCCCAAATTTTGGAAGAAAACTTTCCTGCCCTGCCCTTAAAAAAAAACAACCAACACTGTCAATGCTTATTTGAAGTGCAAGATCTCCCACCTCTTGCAAAAAAAAAGAGGGGGGGAATCTGGGATCTATTCCCAATCCTTCTCCTGCAAATCATGCTAGCTTCTCCCTGTGCACAGGCATCTATGGGAATATTCCTCAGGGTGGTGGGAGGGAAAGGAAAACACTGAAAGTGCAGACCTGGTTAGTTTCTCACCCCAAAAATAATAATAGTGCCTATCTCAGTTTCTATGATGCTAGAAACTGGCCTCTTTTTACAAAAATATAAGCTGGGAATCCGGGTATTATGGCTGGTCAGGCAGAGGAGGAATATTGCTCCTCTTGTGGGTATTAATGTCCCTGTAGAGCAGTGCTTCCCAAACTTTTTCATAAAGCCACTTCCAACCTCGGGAGGAGGTGGCGTTGCGGGCTTCATGCCCCCAACATGCACACGGGGGCTGGGTGTCAGGCCCGGTGTGATTAGGGAAATCCTCGGCCGCGTCATCCCCTGGCCAGCCAATTGGCTGGCCTAGGGCATGTGGCCTGCCCCATTTAAGGCAGGCGCGGCCGAGACTCTCCCTCTTTGGCTGCTCAGCTGCTCGGTTTCCCACCCACCCTCCCTTCAAGGTTTCTCTTTTGACCTTGCTATGGACCTCAGTTGGTCGCCGTTAAGGGGCCTGGTAGGATTTTTTCCACTTGGCAAATTGGCACCAGCCATTTGGTTTTTCACCTACCTCGTAGCAAATCGTCACAACTTCCTTGGTACTGGTGGTTAGGCATTGGTAGGGGTATTGTTATGTAGATTGACGGGGGGGGGAGGAAGCGCCATCACCTCCCCCAGATATTGAAGGGTAGTCCGATAAAGGATTCCGGGGGGCGTGGCCCTGTCCGAAACCAATGGAGGTGAGGGCCTAAGGCACGCCCCCGAGCAGTGACCCCAGGGGAGTTCCTAGTTGATGTGCATCAGCAGGGCTCCCCCTACTGGTGGTTAACCCTTCCCGGTTTTCAAGCACACAGGCTGAAGCCAGATAGTCGTTTAGGACCAATGCCTAAGCCAATACCGCTCATCACCTGTAACCAATAAAGGTGTGGCTAATTTTAGCCCATTAACCTAAAATAATGGTGTCATGGGTCTTTATTCCTACTGGGGGGAGGCGGAAAATCGCCACACAAACTCATCCTCAGTGCCCCCACTCTACACTAGAAAAAGCATTTTTCAGAACAGCCCACTAAAGAAGATAGCAACACGATAATATTCAAAATCGGAACAATGAATTCCACATTTATTCAAAATACCATTGAAACTGTTTACATTCATTAATTCAACAAAATTAACTTGATCCAGTGATACCAGCTTTCCCAAGCTGATAGTCATTTACACCTCCAGCACTGCTCTCTGCCACCTTTAGTGCCCCCTAATTAATTCCAATATAGGAACATAAAAAGCTGTCTTATGCAGGGCCACATCAAAGGCCCATTTAGCCCTACACGGACTGGCTTTCCATGGTTCCTAATAGGGTTCTCTCCCAGCCTGGCACTTTCTGCATGCAAAGCAGCTGCCCTACACCACTGAGCTTCAGCCCTTCCTCACAAACATAGGAAGTTGCCATCTACTGTCCCATAAAGCTCAGTATTGCCTACACAGACTGAGAGCAGCTCTCCAGGATTTGAGGCTTTGGTGTTTCTTCTAGCCCTATCAGGAAGTGCTAGGAACTAAACCTGGGGACCCTCTATATGCAAAGCAGATGCCCTAACAACTGAGCTACACACCACTGCCCAGAATGAGCCCCTTTCACAAGCAAACCCCCCCCCCGCATCAACACCAGGCTTCCTCAACCTCGGCTCTCCAGGTTTTGAGACTACAGTTCCCATCATTCCTGACCACTGGTCCTGCTAGCTAAGGATCGTGGGAGTTGTAGGCCAAAAACATCTGATGGGCCGAGGTTGAGGAAGCCTGATCTACACGTATTTCCCAGGAGGCTAACAGAAGTCACGTCAGGTAACACCATCCACATCGCCCCCCCCCCTACTCAACACTCCCAGAGGCTTGTCTGTCTATCACCAGCATCTCCCCTTGATTCTCACAAAGTGCGCCAAGTACATGATGGCTCAGGTTTGTTCCATTTTTCCACCTCCTCTTCCTCTCCTGAGTGCTATTTGCAGAGGTCTCCATGTAAAATTAAACTGAGGACACTTCAGCATACAATGGCTCATTAACCACTTTGGCTGCCTGCCAGGAAGGGGGTTCGGAATGAGAGAGAGAGAAGAGAAGAGAAGAGAAGAGAAGAGAAGAGAAGAGAAGAGAAGAGAAGAGAAAAGAGGCAGCCATCAAAAGCCGGTTGTATTAACATTAACAAGTCCAAGAAGCAGCTGATTGTGGGGAGCAGGGGGATGGGAAGAGAAATTTCTAGCTGTCGCCAAAAGTGTCTGCATGGGGGGAACTGACACAGGCAAAAAGTAACATAAAATTGTGGACTAATATAAAAAAAGAGTTATAGGGTACTTCATATTCCATTCAGCCCTGTTGGTGCTGTTTCTCTCTTGGCTTAAAAGGAGTGCTATTGTGCATGTGGTTTTCCATATGTACACACACCTGCACTGCGTCATGGGCTTTACATGCACTGCATCATGGGCATCCACTGAATGGGGGTAAAGGGAGGTAGCTGTCCCACCGTGAACGATCCATAATCCCCAGACTTCCAGATTTCATTTTTTAATAAAGAACCTGAGATATGTGACAAAATGCACAGGCACTACTTCCTTCTCTCTCTCTCTCTCTCTCTCTCTCTCTCTCTCTCTCTCGTGTTTTCAGTATTTTACTTTGTGCCCCACCCAGTTAAAAATTCCTGCCAACACCTATAAGCATCACAGCAAAGCGATGGCAGCACCTGCAGTCTCCTAGGCCACCAGAAGATCTCATCATCACTCCTTCCCCAGAGAGAGGCAGAGATATTACTTGTGCTGGATCAGGGCAAAGGCCCATCTGGTTCAGCATCCCAATCTCACAGTGGCCAACTAGATGGCCCAAAGGGAAGCCTGCAGGCATTTTAAAACTAAGGATTAGATCCCTCAAAATGGTCACCTTGCACAGTTTGAAACGAGTATTAGACAAATTCATGGAGGCCATCAGTGACTACTAGCCACAATGGCTATGTTCTCCCCTCCACTGTCAGAGGCGGTCTGCCTCTGAACACTGGTGCTGGGAATCACAAATGGGAAGAGTGGCTATTGTATTCATCTCCTGCTTGTGGGCTTTCCGGAGACATCTGGTTGGCCACTGTAGGAACAGGGTGCTGGAGTAGAATGAGCTACTGACCTGATCCAGGAGGGATCCTGCTATGCTCTTTTGTCAAGTGGCACAGTTTACCCCTTGAGAACAACCAGCTCCACTCTGCGAGGTAAACTAGACTGAGAAAAAGAGAGCAGCCCTTGGTCACCTAGTGAATTTTATAGCCGAATGGGGACTTGAACCTGACATTCCTCAAGTCCAGCTCTCTAACCAGAATGCCACACTGGGAAGGAACATCCAACACATCTGAATCAAATAGTCAAAATGGCACTGGGCTGAACCGCTGGTTCACAACCAACACATACATATTAATAAACAGTAATGAGTGTTTCTGTGGGATTTTGAATGCTCAAAAGACTTTACAACTGCCCTATAAGTTAAAGGTAAAGGGACCCCTGACCATTAGGTCCAGTCGTGACTGACTCTGGGGTTGTGGTGCTCATCTCACTTTATTGGCCGAGGGAGCCGCCGTACAGCTTCCGGGTCATGTGGCTGGCATGACTAAGCCGCTTCTGGCGAACCAGAGCAGTGCACGGAAACGCCATTTACCTTCCCACTGGAGCGGTCCCTATTTATCTACTTGCACTCTGATGTGCTTTCGAACTGCTAGGTTGGCAGGAGCAGGGACCAAGCAACGGGAGCTCACCCCGTTGCGGGGATTCGAACCTCCGACCTTCTGATCGGCAAGTCCTAGGCTCTGTGGTTTAACACACAGCGCCACCCGCATCCCTGCCCTATAAGTTAGGCCAGCATTAGTACCACCATATTACAGTCAGGAGGCTGAAGCCAAGAGCTGGCAGTTTGCCTAAAGCAAGGATGGGGAACATGTGGCCCTCCAGATGTTGCTGGACTACTTTTCCCATCATCCCTCACCACTGATCAAGCTGCCTGGAGCTGATGGGAGTTGGAGTTGAAAACCTTATGAAGGGCCACGGGTCCCCCATTCCTTCACAAAAGCCTCCTAGCAATTACAAATACAAAGGGACTGCTCAATCTATGAGCCTCCATATCTCACTGAGGATGGTAGACAGGAAGAGACAGCATTTTTTTTTTTTTTTTTTTTTTGCCAACCCTAGGCTAGAGATGGGGAACTCCAATCATCCTTGCTGGCTGAGGCTGATGGAAGCTGCAGCCCACCAGCAACTGAAGAGCCACAGGTTCTCCATCTCTGCCATAGTTTATGTTCAAAAAGCTGCTACTTCCAAAGTTAGGACACTTCAGCTAATGTATGGCCAAGGTCTGCTTCTCTGCAACTGCCCCCATTTAATTAAAGTCCTGTCTGCTGGGGCAGCGGAGCACGAGCCTTGCTCCATCTTCTGTTCTTCAGATATTTGGGGACATGTCTCCGCTTAATCTGATCTTCTCTAGGCCAAACATATTAAGCTTTCCTTTCAGCACGTGGTTTCTCAGGCTCCTCACCATCCTGCTCACGCTACTCTGGTGACCTCCTTAGAAGGCAGCATCCAGAACTAAATAACAGTATTCCAGATTTCACCCGACAAGTACAGAATAGAACGGAGCTACTATTCTCACTATGCTTTCATCAATGCAGCACACTTATTTTATTTTATTTATTAAATTTCTATGCCCCCTTCATCCAAGGATTATGAGGGGCTTATAGTATAAAAGCACAAAAACACAACATGACCTTTGCTTTTTAAGTAGCTGCCTCACTGCTGGTTCAAGTTGTCCATTATCATAAGGACCTTCAACGTTGATGGCACAAAAACCAGATGCACCTACATGCACCCAACTTATAAAACTACTGCCTTTTTGAGCAGCAGCACTGTTGGTGGTCAATCCCTGCCCTCAAATATCTCAGTCCACTTACCTTACGGCGCAGTAGCTGAGCCTGGGGTCCGCCACTGCCTTCAATTTCATACCGGACACTGTTGAAGAGGGAGACACCATACTGTTCCTCATAGAACTGGCAAAACTCGGCCAGGACCTTGCCAGTCTTTTCTGGAAGTTAAAGAAACACATACAGATATAATAGCAGAAATACAAAAGATCAACCCTTTTGCGGGTTGTGGGGAGATGATCTGGTTCTTGGCAGGAAGTGGGATAAATAGAAGCATTGGTTATGTAGCTCACATAGTGTCCTGAGGATGTTGCTACAACTCCCATCAGTCTCAATGAGAACAGACAATGGACAAGGATGGAAATTAGAGTCCAGATACATCAAGAGGGCAAAAGGTATCCCCAACGCTGCAGAGGATTCTCTTCTGCTGCTTGTTGTCGTATCTATATCTTAAATGCTCCAACCTAGCATAGATTTTGAAAAAGGAAAAGGCATGTTACACCTTTCAACATGTCATAGTGAAAAGGGAAACGTGCTTGGGGCACTGCACTTCTTTTATCAGGGATGTCCTACTTCAGGGGTCCTGTGCTTCAAGGGTGGGAGAATCCAGTGGCAGGCCTACAGCTTGCACTGTTATGGGGGCCCCTTTGCAACCAGCAACGAGGTTTGGGTAACCACTGTTACCTTTTTCAATGGGGTTGTTTACAACGTCTGTGCTACTGACTCTCAAACTTTGGGATTGTTGAAAAATATACCTCAAAAAAATCAAACAATTTGAGTTGTCCAACTCAAATTTGGTCTACTAGAACCAAAACGTTTAAGCAGTGTGGTTCTGGGGCCCTTCCAGGATTAGGAGCCTTGAAGCTGAAGCTTCACTAGTTTCATAGTAGATCTGCCCCTGGGAGAACCTCCAAGCCTTTCTCTTCGACCTTCTGGATTCTCTCCAGGCCATCCCTCCTCTCCCTAGGACATTCCCTCATTAGCCCTGCTTTACACCCGGAGTGTCTTTTGCCTGGCTGGAATGTTGAACCCAGACAATGCCTCTTGCTTATCTGGATGGAGAACAGAGAGGGACGTGTATATGTGTGTGTATTGAAGCTAGCCTGCTGCAGAAAGGAATTCACTTACATTAGTTGCTCCACACACTTTTGCTTCTGGCCCTACCCACCGCTGGCATGTGACCATCAGAAGATTTCCCAGAAAGCAATGTGGCCCTTGAGCTGAAAAGGATTCCCCACCCCAGCTGTAGTTGGATCCTGCATAGAGCAGGGAGATGGACTAGATCAGTGATGGCCAAACTCGGCCCTCCAGCTGTTTTGACTACAATTCCCATCATCTTTGACCACTGGTCCTGTTAGCTAGGGATGATGGGAGTTGTAGTCCAAAAGCAGCTGGAGGGCCAAGTTTGGCCATCCCTGGACTACATAGTCTCTGGCAGTACCTTCTAACTCTTTGATTCTCTCCACCAGGGAACTTCTAATACCAATAGCCAATTGGGAACAGTAAGAGACAACAAGACTTTGTAGGAAAAAAAATTATATATACACACACAACTTCCCTATGAGATGAGTCAAAACGAGAGACTGCCTCACGCCTCAGTAAACCAAGTTCTTACGTCATGGTAAAAAGATGTCCAGCCCTGTCTTGGCCAACTTTTCCTATGGATCATGCAGTGAGTAGTTGAAGGAGGCCTGAACACCTTGTGACTTTGGGGCAGGGCAGCAGAGATCAAAAGTATTTATGTATTTTAAAAAACACATATTTATTTTAATGGTGAATGAAACTCTTCCTTTTAGTGTTATTGGACCTCGTCCATAAAAGTTAAAAACACCCCACGACAAAGGCAGGGAGTTAAGAACCTAAGAGTCTAACCCTAACCATAGTCAGCTGGGACTTCACCTGACCATAACCTGCAGACCCAGGATGGGATGTTTTAGTGACTCTTACCAATAAATCTCTCCGAACTTCCAGGCATGGCAACAAGTACAGTTCCAAGGAGGAGAGCCAGGACAACACCCACCTGCGCTACACCTGACATCATATATGATGCCTGGTGTGAGGCAGGTTAAAAAAAGGAGCGGGGGTAGCTGCTTGGTGCTTACAGGAAGCTGGCGGGGATCCCTTTGCATTGCTGGGTTGAACTGAAACCAGCAATGCAAAGCATCGTCTGGTATTTAGGGGCAGCTAAATAATCATTATTATTTGCTTTAAGTCACTGTGAACTGAACTACAGGTGGAAGGCCCTGCCCACCAGCTAAAATTCCCCTGGGGGGACGGGTCATAATCTATCCTGCTTGGTTGGATCATGTTCTCCAACTGCATGCTTGCAAATGCTCAGTATTAATACAGGTTTTAACCTAACGTGAACCCCAAATATAGAATAATTCAGGAGAAATAACTATTCCTCACTAGGGGCAACAAGCAGAGGAACAGAACAGGCAACCAGAGTTTTGGACACAATCTGCTGGGAAGTTGTCCAATGCAAGCTCCACAGAAACAGGAGCAGCACAGGTGGATGGGTGTCATGCTGCAGAACATCCCAGCAGACAGTGCCTCTTGGAGAACAGTTGCCATCTCAGATTCATTCTGCAATGAACAAATACACATGCACACTTGGGGAGGGTGGGAGACAAGGTCTTTTGGGAACTAGATCAAAAAAACAGCTCCTTTCATGCTAAAGGGAGTGACCTTTACCAATACAGATTAATGGTTCGTCAAAATATGGAAATAGGACACTGCCACATACGGAATCAGACCACTGGTCCATAATGCTTAGTGCTGTCTACACGGGCCAGCAGTAGCTTTCCAACTTTTCAAACAGGGGTTCTCTCGCAGCTCAAAGAGGACATGGACATGGGACCTTCTATATGCAAAGCATATGCTCCACCCATGAGCTACAATGATTCCCAAGGATAGGGAAGGAATTCCAGAGAGTAAGAAGGGGGGCGGGAGTAGGAAAAAGTAACTTTGAAATAGCATCTTTGAAAAAAGGCAGTCACATCCTGGAAGGACCCAGCCCAGCCCAAAACAGAGCAGTTTCTTGAGCCTGATAGGGAGATTTCATGCTGGCTCTATGCGAGCCACAGGTTGCAAAATCAAGGAACCAAACATTTTATATTCTCCTCCTCCTCCATGATTCATATAGCAAACATTTTGTGCATATTGCTTTGCAAAGTACAAGGGGGCAGATGGCTAGTGGAAGAGAGTTGCAATATTCAAACATTCTACAAGTCAGACATAGGAACATAGGCGTATATCAGGTCAGGTTATTGGTCCATCTAGCTCAGTGTTGTCTATACTGGTTTCAGGCAGAGGAGATTCCCAGCCCTACCTGGAGATCCTATTGGGGATTGAACCTGGAATCTTCTGCATGTAAAGCAGGTGCTCTACCACCCTCTTCCCCAATCCCAACTCATGCAGCACAAATTCAGTGTGTGTGTGTGTGTGTGTGTGTGTGCCCATTCATCTCCCACTACAGATGCAGCTGGTAGTAAAGGTAAAGGTACAGGTGAAGGGACCCCTGACCATTAGGTCCCGTCATGGATGACTCTGGGGTTGCGGTGCTCATCTCACTTTACTGGCCGAGGGAGCTGGCAGTACAGCTTCCGGGTCATGTGGCCAGCACGACTAAGCCGCTTCTGGTGAACCAGAGCAGTGCACGGAAACACCGTTTAGCTTCCCTCTGGAGTGGTACCTATTTATCTACTTGCACTTTGATGTGCTTTCAAACTGCTAGGTTGGCAGGAGCAGGGTCCGAGCAATGGGAGCTCACCACATTGTGGGAATTCAAACCGCCAACCTTCTGATCGGCAATCCCTAGGCTCTGTGGTTTAGACCACAGTGCCACCCGCATCCCTGCTGCTGGTGGTACTATAATACAAATGAAGCATTCTCCCATTCTAAAAATGGCAGAATTTTAACAATAATGAATCAGAGCTGCCATCAGGAACAAGGGGAGTGTCCAGACAGGCTGTCTATTTGCACATTTGGTTGTTATTCCAGACTTTCTAGTGCAATTATCCCATTGTTTTTCTAACCACAACAAAAATCCTGATAAGCAAATTGCACTGGGAAACATGGGTATAACCAGCTTGTTTGTATAACTTGTATTTGACTACTTCGTAAAAAGCAGGGCCCAAAAAATCTATAGGAATGTTGTGGTTCAAAGCTGGAACCTACTGCTGCATCTGTGGGTACCCAAGAGCACTTTGGGCTTCAGGCTGCAAAACAGGAAGCCAACACCAGAAACACATGCACTGTGACCCCTGTAATTACAATCATACCTTGGAAGTCGAACGGAATCCATTCTGGAAGTCCGTTCGACTTCCAAAATATTCAGAAACCAAAGCACGGCTTCCAATAGGCTTCGGGAAGCTCCTGCAGCCAATCAGAAGCCTTGGAGGATGTTCAAGTTCCAAAAATAGTTCGCAAACCAGAAGAGTCACTTCCGGGTTTGCGGCGTTCAGGAGCCAAAAAGTCCGAGAACTAAGCTGTTCGAAAACCAAGGTACGACTATATCTGTTATTTTGCATTACAGATGACAAATAACCACGGTCTTCTCAAAAGTTTACAGTGGCCAGACAGGTGGCTCATGGGACACTCACAGCAAGCAGTACTTGAGTGCACCAGTGCTTTCCCCTCCTGCAGTTTCCAGCAACTGGTATTGAGAAGAATTACTGGCCCAGCGACAGAGTGAGCTCCCATTGCTCGGTCCCTGCTCCTGCCAACCTAGCAGTTCGAAAGCAAGTCAAAGTGCAAGTAGATAAATAGGTACCGCTCCGGTGGGAAGGTAAACGGCCTTTCCATGCACTGCTCTGGTTCACCAGAAGCGGCTTAGCCATGTTGGCGACATGACCCAGAAGCTGTCTGCGGACAAACGCCAGCTCCCTCGGCCTATAGAGCAAGATGAGCGTTGTAACCCCAGAGTCGTCCGCAACTGGACCTAGCGGTCAGGGGTACCTTTACCTTTACAGTGGAAGGAGACTGCAGGCTTCATAGCTAGCCCATGAATTTGTCTAGTGCTCTTTTAAAGCCAGCCAAGTTATATAACAACAACAACAAACAAACAAACAACAACAACAACTTATACCCCGCCCAACTGGCTGGGTTTCCCAGCCACTCTGGGAGGCTTCCAACAAAAGCTTAAAAATACATTAAAACCTCAGCCATTGAAAATTTCCCCAAACAGGGCTGCCTTCAGATGTCTTCTAAATGTCAGATAGTTGTTAATCTCCTTGACATCTGATGGGAGGGCGTTCCACAGGGCGGGTGCCACTACCGAGAAGGCACTCTACCTGGTTCCCTGTAACCTCACTTCTCACAGTGAGGGAACTGCCAGAAGGCCCTCGGTGCTGGACTTCAGTGTCTGGGCGGAACGATGGGGGTGGAGATGCTCCTTCAGGTATAATGGACCGAGGTTGTTTGATGGCCATCCCCACATTTCATGGGAGCGTGTTCCACAGTTCTACCACGTGCCATATGAAATTATTTTGTCTGTTCAGCTCCACCAGACAGCCCTGAGTTCTGGTTCCCTCTCATGAGAGGGAAAAAGAATCTCCCCTCAACTACCTTCTCCACCCCATGTATTAGTTTATGCACCTCTTATCATGTCCCCACCCTTTAGTCATCTTTTCTCTAAGCTAACAGGTCCCAAACGTCATACTTAATACACAGCCACAAGCTCCCTGGGACTGGCCAGACCTGATATTAACACAACGAGCATCCATCTGCCCTGCCCTGATCAACAGAGCAGTCCTCCTTCATGATGCTTTTCAGCTCCTGTTATCAGACTATTTTATTTAAGTAAATAAGCCAATTAGTTAATTAAGTAATTAGTTATAATTATTGTTAGCTTGGACATACTGACAAACCCTGACAAAAGGTACCTTGTTGATAATTGTGGAGAGGGAGAGAAGGCACCATCTAGCACACCTTTATTTATTTATTTAAATTTGTACACCACTAGATTGTTTTTGAAGAAGAAAAAACCTCAAAGCATGGAAACTTTGGCCCTCCAGATGATGCTGAACTACAGCTCCCACCAGCCCCAGCAAGCACAGCCAATGGCCAGGGTTCATGGGAGTTTGATGGCCATCCCCATTGTAGTTCAGCAACATCAGGAGATCCCAGAGGTTCCTCATCCCTGGTACAGTGGTACCTTGGGTTATAGATGCTTCAGGTTACAGATGCTTCAGGTTACAGACTCCGCTAACCCAGAAATAGTGCCTCATGTTAAGAACTTTGCTTCAGGATGAGAACACAAATCGCCTGGCAGCGGCGCAGCAGCAGCAGTGGGAGGCCCCATTAGCTAAAGTGGTACCTCAGGTTAAGAACAGTTTCAGGTTAAGAATGGACCTCCAGAACGAATTAAGTTCTTAACCTGAGGTACCACTGCATAGAAGACATCCATGCCTAAGATTTTCATTTTCATCCCAATCTGAAAAAATGAAACATTTCTTGCAATATTCAAACCCCGATATTAAAAACGATAGAGGAGAAAAAATAAGTTCAACACCCAGGAATACTGTAGAAAATACTGGATTTGTTTGTTTATTAAAGGATGCACTGGCAAGAGTTTAACCAAGCACACTTGACCTCTCCATCTGCCTGCGATTATTGTTCATAGAAAAACCACAGTAGTTTCAAGATGAAAATGCAGAAATGGCTCTTTGCTTTCAATAAAAAACAGATGGTAAAAAGAAAAAAGTTGTGTGTGTGTGTGTTTGGGTGAACTAAATTCAGTGTTGAATTGAACTACAGAACTTGCCCTTGCAGGAGGCAGTGACAACCACCAACTTTAATGGCTTTAAGGGAGAATAGGAAAAATTCATGGAAGATAAAGGCTCCTCAATGGCTACAAGCCATGATGGCTATGTTCTGCCTCCCCAGTCACAGGCAGCAATGCTTCTGCATACCAGTTGCTAGAAACCACAGGAGGGGAGAGAGCTCTTGTGCAGTGATCCCTCTTGCAGGTTTCCCACAGGCATCTGAGCGGCCACTATGAGAACAGGATGCTGGACTAGACAGGCCATTGCCCTGACCCAGCAGGGCTCCTCTTAAGTTATAAAGCTTCCTCTTAAAACACCCCCAGTGGTGGTGTGTGTGCAGTACATTAGCTGGTCAAGAGTTTTAGACTGTTGTGGTGCAGAGGTTTACAGGTGAAACTCGAAAAATTAGAATATCGTGGAAAAGTTCCTTGATTTCAGTAATTCAACTTAAAAGGTGAAACTAATATAGGAGATAGACTCATGCAAAGCAAGATATGTCAAGCCTTTCTTTGTTATCATTGTGATGATCGTGACGTACAGCTGATGAAAACCCCAAATTCACCATCTCAGAAAATTAGAAATCAGCAAAACAAGGACTGCAAAATAGAGCAATACTGGACCTCTGAGAAGTGGAAGCATATCTCGCTTTGTATGTCATGAGTCTATCTCCTATTTTAGTTTCACCTTTCAAGTTGAATTACTGAAATCAATGAACTTTTCCACGATATTCTAATTTTTCGAGTTTCACCTGTACACAGGCAAACACAAGAGACTTAAAGAGACAACAAATGGCTACTAGCCAAGATTATTATGTTTCCCATCCGCTGTTGGGGAGCTGTGTGCCTCTGAATGCTGGTTGCTGCAAATCGCGAAAGGGGAGAGAGCTGTTGTGCTCAGGTCCTGCTTGCAAGTCTCATACAGGCAACTGACTGGCCACTGTGAAAACAGGATTCAGTATTGGAATATTGGAGTAGGTATGGGCTGAAGCTCCTTTGTTGACTAGCAAGGCTGCTCTTGGGACGCGGGTGGCGCTTGGGACGCAGGTGGCGCTGTGGGTTAAACCACAGAGCCTAGAACTTGCCGATTAGAAGGTTGGTGGTTCAAATCACTGCGTCGGGGTGAGCTCCCATTGCTCGGTCCCAGCTCCTGCCAACCTAGCAGTTCGAAAGCACGTCAAAGTGCAAGTAGATAAATAGCGGGAAGGTAAATGGCGTTTCCATGTGCTGCTCTGGTTCGCCAGAAGCGGCTTAATCATGCTGGCCACATGACGCGGAAGCTGTACGCCTCAGCCAATAAAGTGAGATGAGCGCCACAACCCCAGAGTCCACGACTGGACCTAATGGTCAGGGGTCCCTTTACCTTTAAGGCTGCTCTTACACCTCAATAACTGTCGATATATACCATTGCTGTACTGTGCATTTGGGGTCTGTTGACCGCAATAAAGCTCTGTGTGTGTGTGTGTGTGTGTGTGTGTGTGCGCACACACACACACATGCGCATGCACACACTGGAATAGATGAGCCAGTGGCCTGATTGAGCAGGCCACTTACGTTCCTAGGTATCAGGACAACTAGAAAGAGAGAAGTCCTGAAGCATCCAAAGGCAGGAAGAGAGAAAAGTTGTGCTTTTCCACCGTCTTTGGCATGAACAAAAAGCCAGTTTTTCAATGCTTTCAAGTAAAAGAAAGAAAGAAAGAAAGAAACACACATTGAAAAGCCATAAAATCTGACAAAAGAAAATGATTAGCAGGCTGGAGCAACTTCTCTGATGAGAAAAGGTTACAGGGAGGGAAGTTACTTAGGACTTGACAGAGATGAAAAAATGATGCCTAGCATGGAGGAAGTGGCTGATCATACAAGAATCTAGAATGGTCACTCAATAAAATGGAAAGGTGGGAGATTCAAGGAAAGGGAAAGGAAGTACTTCTTTACACAGTGGTTAATTGAACTATGGAATTCACTCAGGGCGAGATTTAGGTTTGATGAGGTCCTAAGCTACTGAAGATAATGGGGCCCTTTATATGTCCAGCTGTCCTTTGTCAGCAACAAATTGCCACTTTTTTTTGTGTTGAATATAGGCTATATGGTAATTTATGGACCTAATAGGTATCTAAAGCCATTCACACATAACAAAATATTTTTCCCCCTCAAAATAATTGTTGAACTGAAATACAATTAAGAAGAAGTATATTAACAGTGAAATACAATTAAGAAGTATATTAATAGTATATTATTAAGCTCTAACTGTATGTATGTATGTTTTATTTTATTTCTTTTTTTATCTTATATTCTAGAAATGTACATCCAGGGGTTTTTTCCCCATTTAAATTTTTTTGGGGGGCCCAAGAGAGTGGGGCCCTAAGTTATAGCTTGTTTAGCTTATACGTAAATCTGGCACTGAATTCACTGCTGCAAGAGGCAGTGATAGCCACCACCTTAAATGGCTTTAAAATGGGTTTAGAAAAATGCAGGGAGGATAAGGCTGTCAGTGGCTATGAGTCCACCAGCAGGACATTTTCAGTTATGGCTCACTGCTTGTGAAATTCTCTCCCAAGGGAGGGCTTATCCACACGTCCTTTTGTCCCGTGCCTGGAAAGCGTGCACCCTCAGAAGTTCTCACCTTGTCCAATGCTTTCCAGGCATGGGCCCAAGTGATTGTCTGCTTGTCCCAGTGTTTCACCCAGGAAAAAGGTGCTCTTTAGTGCTAAATCAGGGCGAACATCAACCTGCACAAAATCTGTTTGCTCCAATTCAGTACTGATAAGCGGGTTCCTCCAGGGGATAGTGGCAGGACAAGCCACTATGTTCCACACGGTGCCATCATCAGCCTCCATTAAGCACCAAGTAAAGATCAATCTCTTCTCCAAGGCATCTGACAGATTATGATAAAATGAGTTGTATCCACTAAATTAGGCCCATTAATTTCTATGGGTCTAATCTGAGTAGAAATTAGCTAGATACAACCCAGATTTCTGCTGCTGTTTTTTGCCAGGTTTCCTTATGGGTCATTAGAATGGTTTTATTGCAATGCATTCCTTCCATTTGTATGCTATGCCATCTGGCACTTTGTGCTTTGGAAATCACTTACAGACTCTTTTTGTAGTGACCTACTAAGAAATCAGGGACACGAGTGGCGCTGTGGGTTAAACCACAGAGCCTAGGGCTTGCTGATCAGAAGATCAGCGGTTTGAATCTCCACGATGGAGTGAGCTCCCATTGCTCGGTCCCTGCTCCTGCCAACCTAGCAGTTCGAAAGCACATCAAAGTGCAAGTAGATAAATAAGTAATTCTCCGGCAGGAAGGTAAACGGCGTTTCGTGCGCTGCTCTGGTTCGCCAGAAGCGGCTTAGTCATGCTGGCTACATGACCCGGAAGCTGTACGCCGGCTCCCTCGGCCAATAAAGCGAGATGAACGCCCCAACCCCAGAGTTGGCCGTGACTGGACCTAATGGTCAGGGATCCCTTTACCTATCTTCTACTTAACCTCCTCTAGGAAAGGAGAGTGCTCCACTTTCAGAGGTTTAACTGCTAAACAGCCTTTTTACCTCTACGACTGGACCTAATGGTCAGGGGTCCTTTACCTTTACTAAGAAATCAAAGGATAATTATTATTACCACTGATTAATTCATCAGTCTAGGATCAGAGACAGTATCAGTTGCTGGGAATCACAAGTGGGGAGAATGCACTGTTGTGCTCAGGTCCAGCTTCTGGGCTTCCCAGAGACACCTGGTTGGCCACTGTGAGAACAGGGAGCTAGACGAGGCACACCTTGGGCCTGATCCAGCAGCCAGGCTCCTCTGCTTGTTCTCATGTAGTACAACAACAGCAACTAGAAGCTCAGACTAAGGGCTGCCTTGAGAAGGATGAGAATGGGCAGTGGGGGGATGGGGATCTGTACCGTGGTGGGTGGGTCATCACAACTGCCAAGGGAAAAGATCTGACTCCACATGAAGTCATCTGAAACAAGGAAGCCTGGCAACCTTCAGTTCTGCTTTGTGGGAATCCCAGTCTTGCTGGCTTAGTCACAGAGCTTCTTTCCCAACTGACCTCACAGGGTGGCAAGGCAGCAGTGGGGGGTGGGGAGGCTGTGTTTTCTACTGAAAGCAGTGTGTGATTCATAGCCCAAAACTGCAAGCCACGCAGAGTATCTGAAAAGCCCAGAAGAAAGCCTTGATCCACCTCCAGGGCTGGTTATGCAAAAGAGAGAAGCACAAAACAACTGTATGCGGACATAGAACCCTCTCCCAAGGGGAATGCCGTCTGAGTGTTCCATGCCCAGCACAACAGTTTCCTACAGAAGGTTAAGAAGGCAAGGGTTGCAAATAGCTTCCCCTCGCCTTTCAGGTTGGAAAAGGCAAAAGGTACAATAAAACTCAGGACCAGAACATTGTGTGGACTTACAGAGGTACCTTGGGTTAAGAACTTAATTCGTTCTGGAGGTCTGTTCTTAACCTGAAACTGTTCTTAACCTGAAGCACCACTTTAGCTAATGGGGCCTCCCGCTGCTGCTGCGCCACCGGAGCATGATTTCTGTTCTCATCCTGAAGCAAAGTTCTTAACCCGAGGTACTTTTTCTGGGTTAGCGGAGTCTATAACCTGAAGCGGCTGTAACCCAAGGTACCACTGTATTTCCAAGACTGCAACATGCTTTTTCAGATTCTGTTCAGTCCCCTTTGCACATTCTCTCTCTTGGCAGAAAATGAGATGGTTTTTTTTTTGGGGGGGGGGGTTTCAACATGTGCACAGTCACCAACTGAAATATAGGCTTTAGCATATCCAATTCCCCCTCCCATATTTTTTTTAATTTTCTTTACACAATCATTCTTACAATACATTAATCAACATATAAAGCTTTTTGCTCTGTAGAGCTTGCAACTTCCCTCCTTCCCTTCAGCTGGTATCCCTTATCAAATCCATTCGCGTATTTTAACTTTTAGCATATCCAAACTTTTGTGTGTACCAAGGAAAAAAGATAAGCAACATCCCCACTACGTACTTAGTGCAAAGGGCACTGAGTATCCTGCAACTTGGCTGATTTGGGGGAAGGGCTGTAGCTTAGTAACAGAGCATATGCTTTCCATAAAGGAGGTCCCAGGTTCAATCCCCAGTATCTCTAGGTGGGGTCCAGAAATGTCCAGTGTCTGAAACTCTGCAGAGTCTCTGCCTGTCAGCATACACATTGCAGTACTTGGATGCACCTGGTAGCCTATCCAGGAGCTTCTTGGGCAGGGGAGGAAGAAGGGGTGTGTGGTGGGGGCGGGCTGCCCCAGGTGTCACCACTGAGGGGGTGACAAAATACCGGGCAGTACTCACTGCAGGGCTTGCAGCGCACCCGCAGGCTCCGTGGTGCCCCAAACGGTCCGCCCACTGCCTCCTCCTCAGCTGTAGGGTGGCTGAGTGGGAGGAGGCAGGCAGACTCCTCAGAGGCCCCATGGAGTGTCCTGCCCCGGCTGGCATCGCCCCCGCAGGCAACTGGCCCCGCCCCTGGGCACAGGGCACGTGTGCCACCCCAGGTGCCCGATCGGCTTGTTCCACCACTGTTCCTGGGTTCTTCTTTAGACAAGATATGATTACAAACCCCAGAGACCTCTCCTTGGCTGATTTTCCACATTTGGGCCTCCAAACTTTCAACACACACACACACACAGACAGATGCCAAGTCTAATAACCAGACAAGCAGGTTTGGAGGAGAGGGACTGCAGCCAACAAAGGGAAAGAAAAAATAACTCCTATTCCCCCTTCCCTCTCTCTCAAGAAATCATGTGAAAATGAACGTGCTCTTTAAATAGCTGCAAAGCTGGCTACAGTCAGATGATCCAGTAGCAGGGAAACCTTGGGACTTAAAGAGTTAGATGCATGAATGGTGGATGAAGCCTCAGACGACAGATGACCCCAGACTGAAAGTGGACGAGGTTTCCTTCCTATGGACGCTTGGCAGAAAACCAATAGGTCTCTCCAGGCATCCTTTCTATTGCATATTCAGGACGATCTGTGCTCATGAGGGTATTGGGGTAGTCATACATGATCCCGCTTCCAATGCTGTTTACACTTGGAAAGGTTTGGGGGAGGTTTCATTTCCCATCAAAGCAAGTCCTGTAGCTTCCTGCCAAAACCCTGGAATCAAGAACGATGCAGGCGTTGTTGTTTGTTCTACTTTTGCTGCGCTGCTGCACAAGTGTCCCTCCAGACAGCAATAATGTGGCAATAATGAGGAAGCGTCGCACAACATCTGACGACGCAGAATGATGTGTGGATGGTCCAGTATCAATCCAGCACTAATGCAGTATTATTTCCTTAATTACTTGCTTCAGAATAGAACACACACAACACACCCTGTTGCACAAGCTCCTCCCCCCCACACACAAAAAGCCCAGTCTGAAGGGACCTCAATTTATCTAATGTAAAATTGAAAAAGGTACTTATGTTGCATTATTTTTAAACAGGTCTTCAGTTGGTTTCGGGGCTTTTAAAAAAAAAACCCCACCAACAACTATGTTTAGTTTTTATGGAAATTTCCTTGAGACGTATTTAAAAGGTGACCCAGTCATCACTCCGCCACAGTTTCTAGGATGAGTGCATCCTTCCAGCAGCTTAGGTTTATGGACACTGGGGGTTCCTGGTGGTGGTGAGATTTTTATTATTATTACTTTAAAATGCTAACTTTCCACTGTTTATATCCAAGGCTGTTCACAAAACCAAGTTTTAAAAACAGATGACTGAAGCTCTTTAGAAGAAACAAGCGGACTCTAAAAGTTCTAATGCTGGATACAACCTACTGTAACGAAGAACTTTAGACTCCCAAAAGAGCTTATTGAAACTGTGCAACCTATAGATAAATGCAAATCAGAGAGTGGTTAGTGTCAGACTAGAACCAAGGAGGGTAAAGGGACCTCTGACAGGTAAGTCCAGTTGCGAACGAATCTGGGATTGGGGCGCTCATCTTGCTTTACAGGCCGAGGGAGCCGATGTTTGTCCGCAGTTTTTCCAGGTCATGTGGCCAGCATGACTAAGCCACTTCTGGCCCAGTGGAACAGTGACACCAGAGCAGCGCACGGAAACACCGTTTACCTTCTTGCTTGAGTGGTACCTATTAATCTACTTGCACTTTTGGCATGCTTTCAAACTGCTGGGTGGGCAGGAGCTGGGACCGAACAATGGGAGCTCACCCCGTCGCGGTGATTCGAACCGCCGACTTTCCAATCGGCAAGCCCAAGGCTCAGTGGTTTAGACCACAGCGCCACCTGCGTCCCAGGACCAAGGAGACCAGGGTTCAAATCTTCATTCGGCTATGAAGCTCAAGGGGTGACCTTGGACCCGTCACTGACACTCAGCCTAACCTACCTCACAGGGTTGTTGTGGGGATTAAATGAGGAGGAGGAGAATCACGTATGCTACCTTGAGTATTTTGAAGAAAAAGGTGGGATATAAATGAAATGAAATGAAGGCCATCAACACAGCACAGGGAACAGGAACAGCAAGATGACTTAGGCTCAAGAAATGGGACAAGAGTTCAGCATTACAACAGACTGCCATGCTACAGTCATTTGCTACAGAAGCAAAAATGGGTGGTTTTGCAATCATTGAAAGCATACAACCAAGAGTTTCTGGAGGGGGGGGAATTGCTGTGTTTTCTGTTTGTGAAATTTTGATACTGCCTCTTCTATGTCTTGAAGGGCAACTGGGCTTTCTGGCAACTGGTGCTTGGCTGCCTGGAGTGAATATTTGGCCATATAATTGGGTGGGTGACCAAAACCTACACAGGTTGTTAGCAAGAGAAACAGACAGAATAGCAGGGGTACTACAAATTGTGTGTGCAGGGGGTGTGGGGCATGGAGAATGAAATATCCCAGGGACTAAGGAGGGTCTGCTTTCCACACAGAAGGTCCCAGGTGTGATCCTCAACATCTCTGGATAGACCTGGAAAAGATACCTGCCAGCCAGTGTTGACAATACTGAGCAAGGTGGATCAAGCATATAAGGCATCTTCTTATAAGGCTTATAATTCAGTGGCAGAGCACCTGCTTTGCATGCAGAAGGTCCCAGGTTCAATCCCTAGCATCTCCAGGAAAGGCTTGGAGTGTCCCCCTGCCTGAAACTCCAGAGAACCACTGCCAGTCAGTTTAGACTGTACTGAGCTACATGGTCTGACTCAGTAGAGGGTAGCTTCCTCTGTTCCTACCCAGGAGAAGCCAGGCAGGTGAAGGAAAGAGAATTTGATGAGCAAGTGTCTCCGGTCTTACCAGTTGACACCAGGGCTGTCGATACTAAGACAACCCATCATCACCCACGTATAGAGATTGAGGCCTTCAGGCAAAACAAGAAGAGTTCCTTCTTCTTTTCCCTTAAGGCACAGGAACTTCTCTCCTTCCTTTCCTAGAAAAGGGTAGAGAGAAGTGCCCAAAGGCAAAAGCAAGCCGCCGCCACCTGGTGATTCTCATAACAGGCAGTTCAGGCAATTACCTGCTCCCATGTACAAGCATCTCAGGTTCTGAACAGATATCAGCATGAGGGATGTGAAGCTGGGCAGATAGGAAGCTGTTTTATACAGAGTCAGACCCATTGACCCATCTAGCTCAGTACTGTTGACTGACTGGCAATAGCCCTCCAGGGTTTCAGGTATGGATTTTCTCTAGCTTTACCTCCGGATGTCAGGGATTGAACCTGGGACCCTCTGCATGCAAAACAGATGAGCCATGGCCCTTCCCCTTCCCTCCTTAGTCCATAGGGCAGTATTTGGATCTCCATCTGTTGCTGGACTACAACTCCCATCATCCCTAGCTGGTGGAACCAATGGTCAGGGATGATGGTAGTTGTAGTCCAACAACAGCTAGAGACCCACATTTGAGAAATGTTGCCCTAAGGTATTTCCTTTTTCCTACTGCACCAAGTCAAATCATTGGTTCAGCTAGCTCAGCACCAGGATTTCAGGCAGGGCTCTCACCCCGGCCCTACCTGCAGATGCCAGAAATTGAATCTAGGATCTTCTGCATGCAGAGCAAATGCTCCACCACTGTTGAGCAACATCCTTTCCCCCCATGTCAAAGGATACTTATACATTTAGGAACACATGAAACTGCCTTATATACAGAGTCAGACCATTGGTCCATCTAGCTCAGTATTGTCTACACTGACTGGTAGTGGCCTTCCAAGATTTCAGGCAGGTTTCTCACCTAGTTCAACATGGGTACACCACTGCTTCTTGAACCTGGGACCTTTTACATGCAAAGGGAGATGCTATTCCACTGAGCTGAAACCCTGCCACTAAGCTTTGCAAGTGGTAGCCATAAACTCCTGGTCAGCCGCAGACACTGGGGATTCATACACAAAGCACATGCTTCCCCACTTAGTTACGTCACCCTCTGCTCCTTAGCATTCCTTCTGCATCTTTTAAATGTCAGCAGAAGCTCACACCTCCAAGTCTGAATCACCCATATCCTTAATCTCTCACTATGGACAACTACGGATTAGTTGCAGACACACAAAGTATTCCAAAGGGACACTTGAAGCTGGGGTGGGTGGGGAGCAAACTGGCCAAGTTTTCATTTTTGATTTTTACACACAGCACAAAACTTCAAACAGAATGTTTTCAATTTATATTTGGGAATGGTGGGAAGACTTCTTTCTGGATCTCCTCCTGGGGAAGGAAAAAAACTCTGTCCCTTTTCCTCCAAGGGAAAACAGAAAAGGAAGGTACTGACTTTTGGATTCTAGGGGAAAGGGGAAGGGGGTGGGGAATCAAATGATAAAAGACTTCCAACCAGCTTCAGACATCAGCTATTTACAGTATTTCCTGCTTTTTCTCCCCCTGCCAGCCATGGAATGTCTCCATTCCAAGAACCGAGGAGGCAGGGGGAGAGAGACAGAGACGGAGAGAGATGTTGTTGGCAGCCTCTGGGAGGAAATAAACATAATGCAAAGCTAAACATTTGTTTAGGGGCTGAAATTCAATTTGTAGAGGCAGGTAGAAGGTCTTGGTTGCAAGACCAGATGATTTAGGGACAGATTTCCTGTAACAGCTCTGCAGAGTTTCTGGCAGAAGGCGGTACACAGGAAGCACGCTTACACATAATTAGTCCATTGGTCTATCTAGCTCAGTAATGTCTCCATTGACAGGAAGCAGCTCTCCTACCTGGAGAACTACAATTCCCAGAGTTCCCTGGGAAGGATTGGTTGATAAACCACTTTGGAAATTGTAGCTCTGTGTCAGCACCCTTAACAAACTATAGTTCCCAGGATTCTCTGGGGAGGGTGAACCATCACTGTGAAAAGTGGCATAATAGGGCTTGTAATGTATGGTGCAGATGTGGTCTAAGAGTAGACATACATCTGGCAAACCAATGATCTCCACCTCCACCTATGTACAGCAATACCTTGGTTCTCAAACGCCTTGGCACTCAAACGCCTTGGTTCCCAAACGCTGAAAACCCAGAAGTAAATGTTCCGGTTTTAGGACGTTTTTTGGAAACCGAACGTCCGATGCAGTTTTCGGCTATTATTACCAGGGCACCTGCACCAATCAGAAGCTGCGCCTTGGTTTTCGAACATTTCAGAAGTCGAATGGACTTCCGGAATGGATTAAGTTTGGCGCTTTTGTTTTTGCTATTTATTTTGCGTTTTTGTTTTTGAGGCTTTTTCAATTAATTTATTTTTGTGACTGTGTGGAACCCAGTTCAGCTCCTGACTGATTGATTGTGTGACTGCAGAAATGGATAAAAGCCCCCCATCCAAACAATGTCTATCATCAGTGCAGGTAAGAAAAAAAAGGAATTTTTATTTTTATTATCTACAATACTGTCTTATTTATTTTATAATACAGTACATTGATTATTATGGGACACGGGTGGTGCTGTGGGTTAAACCACAGAGCCTAGGGCTTGCCGATCAGAAGGTCGGCGTTTCGAATCCCCACAACGGGGTGAGCTCCCTTTGCTTGGTCCCAGCTCCTGCCAACCTAGCAGTTCGAAAGCACGTCAAAGTGCAAGTAGCTAAATAGGTACCACTCTGGCAGGAAGGTAAACGGCACTTCCATGCACTGCTCTGGTTCGCCAGAAGCAGCTTAGTCATGCTGGTCACATGACTCGGAAGCTGTTTGCGGACAAACACTGGCTCCCTCGGCCAGTAAAGCAAGATGAGCACGTAACCCCAGAGTTGTCCGCGACTGGACTTAACTGTCAGGGGTACCTTTACCTTGATTACAGTGGTACCTCGGGTTACATACGCTTCAGGTTACATACACTTCAGGTTACACACTCCGCTAACCCAGAAATAGTGCTTCAGGTTAGGAACTTTGCTTCAGGATAAGAACAGAAATCGGGCTTCGGCGGCACGGCGGCAGCAGGACACCCCATTAGCTAAAGTGGCGCTTCAGGTTAAGAACAGTTTCAGGTTAAGAACGGACCTCCGGAACGAATTAAGTACTTAACCCGAAGTACCACTGTAATGCTTTCATTTTATAGATCAAAAATTCATGTTAAATTGCTGTTTTAGGGGTTGTTTTTAAAAGTCTGGAACAGATTAATCTGTTTTGCATTACTTTCTATGGAAAAACTTGCCTTGGTTTTGGAACTCTTTGGTTTTGGAACGGACATCCGGAACAGGTTAAGTTTGAGAACCAAGGTACCACTGTATTTAAAATGTTGTCCATACACTGCGTTGGCAATCATTCAGCAGCATACATTTGTTGTTTAAAAAGAAATAAATCCCAAGGCATGAAACTGCCCAGCGTCTTAGGGTGGAGGAGAAATTAGGTTCAGCTTATATTTAAAGGAAAACTGTTATTTGTAGTTCCTGAAAGACCACACAAACCAAAATGCAGCCATCCTTTGAAATCCACACTTCTCTGAATTTTGCAATGCATCTCTCCAGTCAAGTAATGTGTGCAACAGGGCATCTACTAGGGCAAAGTGTGCATGCAGATGTGTAGATGAGTAAAACAATATACAAAGCAGCATTATATTGAGGGAAATGCATTTTACAACATGTGTTCTCTTGGGATAAACGTACAAAAATGTGTAGATTAGGGAGAAATTTGCACGAAAATGCATTTTTCCCAATGACATTTTAAAATAAAAATTCACAAACTGATGTGGAAATGTGGAGAACTGATATTTGTTTGTTTGTTTTGGGGGGGAATGAGAAACCAAAATTTTACTTCTGAATAAACAAGGATTTTAGATCTGGCCACAAAGGCCCCTTGGCACAATACTCATTCAGAACCCAAAGCACAGAAATGAAAAGCATCCAGCTCAGGTGACAAGCACAAAACCAAGGAGCAGTCTCACAAGGGACAGGGTTAATCTATAATTTAGTCAATGATTAGCTCAAATCTCTGTTGCTCCCCTGCTACAGTGGAAGCCACAGACGGAGAGGCAAGGAACCCAGGAAATATGCAAGACACTTGCCAAGCCCAAGCCACTAACCTGTATTTTACACACACACACACACACACACACACACACACCCCACTGCTATCCATTGCCTTGTAGTTTATACACACAGACGGCTTTATGAATAGACGGAAGCAGATTTCTATCTCAATGCAAACAAAGCCAAACAAAAGCTAGGGAGCCCTTTTGAAAAACACACCCTGCTCCAGAGGCCATGAAGCGTCCACAGGTAAACACGAAGGCAGCGACTCTACCAGCCCACACCACCCGCCCTAAGAAAGCAGTCAATGGAATTCGGAAGGACTCAAGCACTACCCAAAAGGAACTGGGCTCCAAAGGGCCAAGACAAGAATCAATGTCATAACCCATACAGACAGAAGACCAGAGGTTATCCAGAAGGTGATCTCTCAAAGGCACAATGGTTCCACTGACTGGATATATCATTCAGGATCGCGGTGCTTCCGAAAAGGGATAATTTGTGCTCGCTTCCACCCACAGAGCAGAGGTGAGCAACCTGTGACCTTCCAGGTGTTGCTGGACTAAGACCTCCCCCATCCTCTGATCACTGGCCACACTGGCTGGGGTGAGGAGTAGAGTACAATATCAGAGGTTCCCCATCTCTGCTAGGTAGTGAGTTACTGTAATGTATTTAAATAAATTAAAGCATCAATCAATTTGTTTAAAATATATATTAATCAACTCCCCCTTAAATTGATTAATCTACCTGGGGCAGATTTTCAAACAAGTTGTGAATTATGGGCATGTCTGTTTAAAGACACAAAAAGGAAAGGCCAATGAGAAGTTGCTTTCTTTCATTAAATTATACCTTCTTACACTTACAGTGGTACCTCAGGTTAAGATCTTAATTCGTTCCGGAGGTCCATACTAAACCTGAAACTGTTCTTAACCTGAAGCACCACTTTAGCTAATGGGGCCACCTGCTGCCGCCGTGCCACCAGAGCACAATTTCTGTTCTCATCCTGAAGCAAAGTTCTTAACCTGAAGCACTATTTCTGGGTTAGCGGAGTCTGTAACCTGAAGCGTATGTAACCTGAAGTACCACTGTACTTGACTGGTTTTTAGATATATATAAAGGAAGCTATTGAACATTTGGTAATACGTACATTGAAATATTTATAAAGGCAGAGAATTTTATTTTTTTTAAGTAACATAGATTTAACACCAAGCAGAGTGGTATACCACATCCTGAAAGTTGGTTACAAACATTAAATATATTTTTTCACATTTGTTTCGCATATATCATCTGCTTAGTCTGTATCTAATAGCCTTGGGCAATTTCTGCACTTGCCTGGTAAAAAAATCAAATAATTTTCCTGTTCCACAGGGGTCTGGGGGAGTTGATACAATTTCTTTTGCCCTGTGAAGTTTGCAGCAGAGGTGGAACTTGATTTCAGGTGCCAAGATCTGATCTCTATTCCTTTAATGCCTCTCATTTACCTCAGCACCTGGCTTAGAGAACCAGTGCACCGCCAGACACCGGTTTTGTAGCAAAACTGAATGCCCCACATAGAGTCTCAGACAGATACTGCAGGGCAACAGATGAGGTTCAAGAGCAGATAAGAGTGCAAAAACCAGTTCGGCAAGGGCAAGCCTTCCACCCCAGTGCCACGCCTGCGGTAAATAAGTGAGAATACAAATTGCTCAACATCGCATCACACCCACATCGCATCATCATTCCCTTCCAGAAAAGTTGGTGGGTGTCTGTTTCTTCTTACAGAGCAGAGATGAGGAACCTGTGACCCTCCAGAGGTTGCTGGATTACAGCTCCCATCACCACTCACAACTGGCCATGAGAGTTATAGCTCAGCAGCATCCAGTGGGCCAGAGGTTTCCCATCCTTGCTAAAAGCTGGCCATGTATTTGAACTGATCCATGCCTCCTATTGCCACTCCATCACTCATGAAAACCTGTTCTGAGTTCCTCTAGGGCAGGCATCCCCAGATGTTTTGGCCTACAACTCCCATGATCCCTAGCTAACAGGACCAGTGGTCAGGGATGATGGGAATTGCAGTCCAAAACATCTGGAGAGTCGAAGGTCGGGGATGCCTGCTCTAGGGGAAACAGCCCAGGAACAAATTCAGAAGTGTGGGACCATTGACCTAGTTGCTGGAGTGCCCATTGGAACCGGTGGGGCAGAAAAGATGAAGACAAACATTGGGCAGAGTCAGAGCCAATGACAGACAGTCAACTAATTCTAGCTTTGCCCCTGTCCTTCTCCTTGTTCTACAAGGGGAAACACCAAGACAAAGGAAGAGGAAGTTGAAAATCAGAGCCACTCCCTGGACTGGATGTAAGAAAGAAGGCAGGCAGATCGGAGGCTGGCTGAGAGCAGACTGAGGTTGGTGGGGCTGTGCCCCATTTGCACCAATGGATGAGCCTCTGCTGGTTTAGATGGCCAGACCTTCAGCAGGTGCACATCAAACATTTTAAATTCTCCTGTTATGTGTCATTAATATATAGTATTCTTCTTCTTTTTAAAGCAGATTTGAAGAAGTCAGGGCTGCTTTATTCCCCTCTCTTGGTTTCTCATCCCAGTTGAATTCATGACTGATGAAAGAAAAGAGTGTGACCTAGGAGTGGGGAACCTTTGCCCCTTCAGATGTTGCTGGACTATAACTTCTATCACACCTGACCTTTGGCCATCCTGGCTCGGGCTGATGGGAGTTGGAGTGCAACAAGATCTGGAGGGCCACAAGTTCCCTATCTCTGGTGAAACCCAATGAGAAAAGTTATAACTCACATTATAGAGATGGAAAGTCAGCTACCAGTAACATTATGAAGGATCTTTTCCATCCCAGAGGAACCTATGGTTTTACACGCTAAAGTGATTTAAGAACACCACCACTAACATAGCTTGGAAGATTATCCTTGGCCAAATTACATACGATTCATCAAGCAGAATCTTGATCTTACAAAGATTTAATATGATGCCAGCAGTTGTTTTGGAATGGGCCCATTTTAGGTCCTCACAGTCCAGGAGAAAGGGAAGATATTGAAAGCTGCATTTTCAAATGCCCCACCCACATAATTGATCTGTCATGACTATTTTGCCTCCAGCTGCTCTTGAGTAAGGAAAGGTTTTCATATCTTCAAATGGTTTTATCTCGTCAGTGAAGCAAAGTTTAAGCACACAGACACACTTCAAATTAGCAGGTTCTACATTAGTTGGGGATCCTTTTTCAGTTTGAGGGCCACACCTTCTGAGGGCTACATGCCAGCTGTTGGTGGGGCCAGAGGCAAAAATGGGTGGAGCAATCAACGCATATTGTACCTTTGTATATAGTAGGCAAGTTTCTACACACACATCTCTATCCTCGGTCCAGACGAGCAAGAGGCATTATCAAAGTTCAAAGATACATTTCAGCTAAGACAAAACAGGAAGGGCAAAAAGCAGTGGCAGCAAGGGGTATGACCTGAGGAGAGGTGCAAAGCAAGAGGAAGAACAAGCGACACGTCCTCTGTGTGGAGAAGACGGAGAAATGCTATTGGGTGACAGAGAGAAGGCGGAACTACTCAACACCTACTTTGCCTCTGTCTTCACCCAAAAGGAAAGTGATGCCAAGCCTGGTGATAACAAAGTACAGTAACTAATGTAAGGAGGGAGCTGCAGCCCAAGATAGGAAAATGGGTAGTAAGGGAACACCTAGCTGCTTTAAATGAATTCAAATCTTCAGAGCCAGATGAGCGGCATCCAAGGGTACTAAAGGAGCTTGCCGATATAATCTGAGAATATAATCTTTGTCTATGATATTTGAGAATTCTTGGGAGAACAGGTGAGGTCCCTGCAGACTGGGGTGGGCAAATGTTGTCCCCATCTTCAAAGGAAGGAGGGAGAAGATCCAGGTAACTACCAACTGGTGAGTTTGACATCGATACCAGGAAAAGTCCAGATAATTCAACACTTGGTCTGTGAGCATTTAGAAATGATGCTGTGATTACTAAGACCCAACATGGGTTTCTCAAAAATAAGTCATGTCAAATGAATCTCATTTCTTTCTTTCTTGATGGAGTTACAAGCTTGTGGATCAAGGGGATGCTGTGGACTCAATGTAACTTGATTTCAATAAGCTTCTTGACAAAATCCCCCATGATATTCTTGTGATGAAGCTGGTAAAATGTGTCTTGAACAAGGTATCTATTAGGTGGATTTATAGCTGGTTGACTAAACCCAAAGAGAACTCATTCAAGGTTCCTCATCATCCTGGATAAAAGTGAGGTGCCACAGGGTTCTGTTCTGGGTCTACTGTTGTTCAACATCTTCAGAAATGACTTGGATGAAGGAATTGAAGGGATGCTCATTAAATTTGCAGATGAGACCAAACTGGTAGGGGTAGCTAATGCCTCAGAAGACAGAATTAGAATTCAAAATGACCTTAACAGATTGGAAAACTGGGCCCAAGCTAACAAAATGAATTTCAGTAGGGACAAATGTAAGGTTCTGAACTTAGGCAGGAAGAATCAGATGCACAAATATAGGATGGGGGACACCTGGCTTACTAGCAGGGCATGTGAAAGAGATCTAGGGGGTCACTTCCAACTCTACAATTCTATGATCCATCTTATTTTGAAAAGTTAACTTAGAAGCCATTTAAAATTACAGCAGTTCTGAGAGTTAAAAGCAGGCACATGGGAGAGACATAGGGCTGTAGCCAACTAAATTCTACTCAGAGTCGACACATAGAATCATAGAATCATAGAGTTGGAAGAGACCACAAGGGCCATCGAGTCCAACCCCCTGGCAAGCAGGAAACACCATCAGAGCACTCCTGACATATGGTTGTCAAGCCTCTGCTTAAAACCTCCAAAGAAGGAGACTCCACCACACTCCTTGGCAGCAAATTCCACTGAATTCCACACTGAAACAAATGGACCTAAATTCACCATGTGTAAGAATCTCAATGGGTCTGCTCTGAGTAGAACAAACATTGCCTATGACCCATAGTTAAGAGGGAAGGCTGAAGGCTGAAGTTTTCTTAGACAGCCAAAGGCGTCTAAAGAAGCACAAAAGGTCACGAGAGGAACCTCACTGATCATGCCACTGGCAAGTCTAACCCAACATCCTGTTCTCACAGTGGCCCACCAGATTCCTGTGGTAAGCTTGCAGCTGGAACAGAATATGACAGCCCTCTCCCCAATTGTGATTCCTAGCACCTGGTACTTAGAGGGGAAAGTGATCTCTTCCAGCTGGGAAGGGCTAGAAACCTACATGCATGGTCTTAGCCTTGCACCATGGCAAGATGATAGGATTCTATATGTTTTGCTGGAACAGCTGGTGGTCATCACCCACTGGGACCCTTCAAGGCCATGATGACTCTCCCATATCGTGGTGATAAAGGCACTGGAATGTGCAGAATTTCCTGCCAAACAGGATTCATTCAGCGTATTTCCGTCAGCAAACCCCCGGCATCAATGTAGCATGCCAAGTGATACACAGTTCCACAACAAACACAGAAAGAAGCTTCCAAGGGAGACATTATCTGATAATTTATGGATCGCTCTAATCCCAAAACAAAGGCCTGCTTTGCATGCCACAGTAAGCCAACAATGGTTTGATGGGACTCTGGGAATGTGTGCTGCCTCCCAGGTTACTCTCAGCAGCTAAGGAGAGTTTCAGCCTAGCATGGGGTCCAAACTCGCTATCTGGCCCCCAGAACTATGCTTCCATTTTGCCCCCTCCTCAAATGCTTTGGCCTGGTTCAAATGTTTTCTTGAACCATGATAATGCTTCTTGCTTAACTGGAGGGTGAGATTGGGGGTATGTGTGCAAAGAAACCTCTGGCTTTCACACAGCTGGAATAGGGCCTCCTGAACAAAAATGAGAATGAGAAACCCTAGTTGGTGCTTCATTCCCATAAACCCAGAATTGTGAGGCCTGAGGAGATTGTGATGATGCCTCCTCAAGTGTTGCCACTGGCTGTAGAGTGTCTGTGACGTCCCCAAGTCACGTGACAGTGAGTGGATATAAAGGTGGACCAAAGGAAAACTCTGTGGATTAAGGTCCTCTACCCCAGCAGAACACAGCAGGGAACAGCTGTTGTGACTATTTTGCTCTGTGCACAGGACAAACCTGAGCCTGATTTCTGCATGGTAGGAACTGAGTCTGACAGTTAAGATCTTCACCTTAGTTCCCTCTGGAACAACTGCCATGTTAAGGGGGAGAGTTTGCAACACTGTAAATGAGACATGCCATATTGGCTGATCATCTTCCACAAGGAGGAAATGAACTGTCGAATGAATGAAAGGAAGCAATCATCTGGGTGAAGGATGATATGGATTCAAGAGAAAGCCAAGTTTGACTGATATCCACACTGGAAGCTGGCTGATGTCTCAAATTGGACCTAGAGGAAGCCGACTGATGGCAGTGGGCAGAAGGTGGGGAGAAGTTTGCATTCAGGAACCAGGAGATGTCATAAGGCTGAAGCAGGCTGCTGTTTGCTGATGTAAGCTGGCTGAAATTCACCTTTGGAAGCCAATCAAGAGTGGATATTTGTGGGTTGAAGCCAGGGCACAAATGTGAATGAATGGAGAGAGAACACATGAACGGAATGTGTGCAAGGAAACTGGGGGAAATGCATGAATAGATGGAAGTTGGGAGGCTGAAGTCAGCGGATGAAGTTGCTAGGCAGAAGCTGATGGTCAGAGAGTAGCCACCCCACAACCTGTCCCTGTTTTTCCCCTGCCCCCTGAACCAGGGAAGGCTTCTCAAGACCACCCGCAAAAGCAATGAAGAGGGCCACAGCAAGCCAGTTCATATTTCTAAATAAATGTCTTTCTTAAGGATCTGAACTACTGGCATGACAAAATCTGGCATGCAGACTTCCTGGAGAAAATTTTATGAACAGAAAAAAAATGAATTTACAACTATTTGGTTTCTCTTTTTCAGATGTACACAGGATCACAGTGGGATGGTCCAAATAATGTATAAAACTGGTGTGGGTATCCTGAATTCTGTGGGGGAATCTTTTATATTTCATTATTTGCCAGGCAGAAATTTTGTAAAAAATGTAATGGGAAGAAAACACCTATAATATTCAAATCTTGCTTTAAAAGAAAAAAGAAAAACATTCAATAAATTCTCCCCCCTACCGCCCATGGAAGAACAGATTCATATAAGATACAGAAAACCTATAGTTTGAAAGTCACCTTACTAAGAGATGATAAATAAAAGAATCTGTCCATAATTTGCTGTGAGTTGCTGGTAGTCGATAGCCATGCTCTTTTATACAAGCACCTGCAATAAAATCAAACCACGTGTTTGATAGCCTATTCAGTTTATATTAATGGTATATATATTATTTTATATTGCACCTTGAATTGTAATTTGTGGGGTCTGGATCCTGTTTATCTCTGAAAGAGCTGGGGGTAGTTTATTTATCTGTAGTAAAAGGTAAAGGTAAATGGAACCCTGAACATTAGGTCCAGTCATGGCCGACTCTGGGGTTGCGGCGCTCATCTCGCTTTATTGGCCGAGGGAGCCGGCGTACAGCTTCCAGGTCATGTGGCCAACATGAGTAAGCTGCTTCTGGCGAACCAGAGCAGCACATGGAAACGCCGTTTACCTTCCTGCCAGAGCAGTACCTATTTATCTACTTGCACTTTGACGTGCTTTCGAACTGCTAGGTTGGCAGGAGCAGCAACCGAGCATCAGGAGCTCACCCCGTCGCGGGATTCGAACCGCCGACCTTCTGATCGGCAATCACTAGGCTCTGTGGTTTAACCCACAGCGCCAGCCGCGTCCCTATCTGTAGTACAATATTATCTGCAGTACAATATTCCAATTACATAATGACTTCCTCTTTTGTAGTATGCAAAATTCTGCAACAATATGTATTTAAAATGTCTTTCTAAATACACCTTCCTTAGATGTCTTTCTTTGCTTCAATACTTTTTTCTCCAAAGAACGGGATATCAAATTCCTGAGTTTTATGGTGTGCCCCTCCTCACCTCAGCATCAGTGTATATGAATAAACAAATAACAGATAATCAAATAAATTACTGCTGAGGTGCCCCCACAATGGCCAGATGTTAGAGAAGTTAATATTATGTTGTCCCAGCTTTTGGCTATGGAGTACCTGTGATCTCAAAAAAAGTCAGGGTGGCTTATGGGAAAGTGGCAGTTATGGGGGGGGGGGGGCGATGCAAACTAAAACTAACCAAGCCATAAAGCTAGTAAAACACTATTTAGAATGTATCTGAATTTTAGATAACACTTTGAATATTTTAAGCACCAGTAAAAATCAATAGAACACAGCACTTGTTTTTAAAATGCTACCTAAGAAAAAAGCAAGTGTTTACTGCCCACCTTTAGGGCTTGTAAATAAAAGTGGGATGCAGCAGTATCATATATGAAGAAGCGGTTTCTGCCAGTTCAGCAGGGAAGATAATTTTGATATTCTTTAAACACACACACACACCACAGCGAGCAAAGAATCACTTTGCAACTAATTACACAGTAGCACTATGACAACTGTGCATATGATCACAGAACTGTAGAGTTGGAAGGGACCCTGAGGCCCTCTAGTCCAACCCTCTGCAATGCAGGAATATGCAGCCGCCCCATACAGGGATTGAACCTGCAACCTTGTCATTATCAGCACCATGCTCTAACCAAGGGAGCATCCAGTTTTGTGCAACCTTCTATCTTAAATACCTGTGTGGCCAACTGAGAAGCACTTTTGCTTAAATGCACTACAGCGCTGTTGCAACTGCACACAAATCCTTGTATATAATCTTCTAGCCTTAGAGGTTGAGCATAGCAGAGTAAATTGGGTTTGTAGATCGCTTTTCTTGCCCTGGGTGACGTTTTCCAGGGAGGGAACTAGGTCAATGAATTATTCCCACACATTTTGGGCTCCAGGTGCCTGGGAGAACCAAAGTTTAAAGGTGTATAGGAAAGGAAGTTGCATATATGTGGCACATGGCATTTTCAGAGGTATTGAGGTCTGAAATTCACTCACGAGTGACCTCCCCCTGCATGGCCGAACTTTGGTCAAGCTTAATACCAAAATAAAATCGCAGATAGGCACCTATTTATGTATGACCATGTCTAAGTCACCTAATATTACAAGTCTCTTAGTGGTATACCTCCACAACATCCCTTTGATTATGGCTGCATCACCCAAGCTTTCCAGTGAATTCTGCAATACAGTAGATGAGTCTTTTTGGATGAGAAGGGACATGCAGGTTTCACCACTGCCTAAACCAAGAAATTCACCCTACAGAGCTGCCTACAGTTTCAAGCAGATCTCTTCCTGGCAGATCTGAGTGGCCTTCCCTGTCAGCCTCAGAAAGAGGTTCCAGCTGTTTCCACCAGCACCTCCTCCAGCCCAGAAGCAGGCAGCAGAACCCAGGCTAGAGGCCATTATTTTTAACAACTTGGAAATGCCTGTGCACAAGCCACAGAAATCCTGAAGCACAAGGAGTTGCTCACTCATGGTCCCCATCCAACTGGGAAGAGATTTTATCTTTTCTAACCCTACTCTTCAGCACCCCATTATATACATAAATGTCAGTCTAGCATACTTCCTACACAAAAGAATACTTTTCAAAATACTTCACAATATGAATATATATTTTCAGTTAACTAGGTTTTGAGATTTTCATCTATTCAATGACAATTGCTCATTTACTCTCTTATCACACACACATATCATTCAGTCATCTCCCTCCCACCCCATATTCTGTTTCACACTCATGGGGTCACAATATATATATTCCCAAATGATAGTGCTCCACCAAGCATGCAAATGTCTCCCATCTTGTTTCTCAATAGACCCATTTTGGCTTAAATCCTGTTAACACTAAGCAACTGAGTTTGCTCTTAGCATGAGTGATGTCTCACGTTGCTTAATTCTTACTGGTCACAGAACTGAGCTGTGCTTGGCACAGAATTTGTTGGAAGATTCTTAGCACGGGGGGGGGGGGAACACATAGGGACCATTGATTCAAACGAAGAAAGCATTTGACATGCAAAAATGGGAACCCTTGGAATAAGCATCGTTGCTGAGGGTCAAAAAACAACAACACACACACTCCTCCAAAATGTCAGACTAGGACCTTGGGCTGCCAGTTAATACAGATTGGGGATGAGGAGTCTTTTCAGCCCAAGAAATGCATTTAATTCTAGGTAACTATATGGGAGCTACATACAAGTGGTAGGTGGGATCAGAGGCAAAAGTGGGTAGGGCTACGAATGCAAATTTTACCTCCATACACTAAGCTAGATTTTACACACACTTGCACACCACTCTCTATCCTCCATCCAGGCAAGGAAGAGGCACGAACAGAGTTAACGGACACATTCCAGCCAAGCAAAAACACTCGAGGTGTGAAAGACGGCTGGTGTAGAGCGTGGCCTGGGAAGAGTTCTGAGGGAGAAATATAAAGACATGGATGGCTGCATTTGGGCTTGAGGTTCCCCACCCATGATACAGATTAATCGAACCAACAGCAGACTGGTGTTCCCCCCGCTTCAAAGTACCATAACTCATGACGGGGGCACAGAAGTCATAGATACCAAACATCAGGCACCTGAATCCAGACTTGCACAGTCTCGGGCTTTTACAAAGCTACTACGGGATTTAAATAGTTTTCTAGTTTAGTCTTGCAGACTAACTTATAAAAAATGTGTCTTAGGAAGGGTTTATGGTCAAAGCCACATGTGAGCAAATTCTTCACTGAGGTGCCAATGCACTCAGATATCCAGGGTTTGCAGCAGTGGCAACCAACCAGGGATTTGGGGACAAAGAGTGAAAAAAGGAGGGGCTGGCACAAAGCAGCTCTTTCACATCACAAGCAGTTTGGAAAGGCAACCACACAGAACAGGATGTTCCAGGCAAAGCCCAGGCTAGAACCAGCATGGCAGCACTTCAGGCAGCATCAAGAGCTTAGAGCCATCCAACAGACCACAAGTATGCAAAAACCTCCAGGAAGCTATTGCAAAGGAAAAGAAGCTGCTTCTCCCTGTCCGATTCAAAGTGACAACTACGAAGGAACACACAGCTTCAAACACACTGGCATTCTGTGGGCCGCTTCAGAACCTTTTCACATGTACATTTTTTTCCTTGGGAATCCTATCCCAAGCAGGCTACCACGTTACAGTATTCCCCACTAGGGGCGAGATGCACACACAGGTCCCCCTTTATGAATGTTCGGTATATGAAAACCTTGCTATACACACCGAAAATTCAGATATCTGAACTTTTTACTTCCTGTCTACCTTCTACTGGCTGGCTGAGGAACAGAAGAAGGGAGGGTGATTGACTGGACAAATCAGAGAGCAGCATTCCATATTCCCTTCCCCCCCCCCCCCCCGCAACTTTGCAGGCTCAAAATTCCATGGTCAGGAAGACATTAGAAATTTCCCCATAGGAATAAATGGAAATTGGGGACTCATTATGTGAACACTCACCTAATGAATGATTTCCAGGGAACAACTAAGAGCAGTGCTTTGTGTGTGGTGGCCACTGTTCTGTGAAACAGGATCGCTGTTGAAACACAGCAGGCACCCCACTATCTAAACTCTTTAGAACATTTTTTTGTTTCCAGAAGCTTTTCCAGCTGGTTGAGAAGGTCTCTCGGCTTTTAGTGTTTATTCCACATTGTTTTTACACTTCTCTTTATTATTTACCTTTTTTTGCACTGTTTTAGACACTGGTTTTATGGTATGTTTTTAAATCACATGAGATGCATGTAAAAGTTGGTTCATTAAAAAATACAGTGGTGCCTCGCAAGACGAAAAGAATCCGTTCTGTGAGTCTCTTCGTCTAGCGGTTTTTTCGTCTTGCGAAGCAAGCCCATTGACGGATTAGCGGATTAGCGCTATTAGCGGCTTTTAGCGGCTTATCAGCTTAGCGGATAAGCGGCTTAGAAAAGGGGGGGGAAGGGGGAAAAACCCGCAGGAACTCGCAAGACATTTTCATCTTGCAAAGCAAGCCCATAGGAGATTCGTTTTGCGAAGCACCTCCAAAACGGAAAACTCTTTGGTCTAGCAAGTTTTCCGTCTTGCGAGGCATTCGTCTTGCGGGGCACCACTGTATGATTATTTTTATGATGGGATCCCTTCCAACTTTACAATTCTATGTCTCAAAAGGGAAGAGCAAAAAAGACATGAGACTGCTTAGTTGCTGTCCTGCTCTGCGCCTAGGTCCTGGGTGCAGAATTCAGCACCCTCAGAATTCTTATGGTGGTTAAGTATGCATGACAGGTGTTTTGCCCTGGCCAGAACCTAAGAGTTATTCCATATCTTTTCTAAACCTGTATTTAGTTGCCGGCTTGTTTTGTTGTTATTTTGGAACAGTTTTTAAAGCTATTTTTAATTGTTTTATGTAAATTGCCTTGTTTTAAATTCTAAATTTGTTCTAAATGGAAGGTGGTTCATAAATATGTAACATATATATTATTTCTAAATTTGCATGTATGAATAAAAAACTTGCATCTGCAAGGCCATGTCCTATTTTGCCCTCTTTTAGGGGTGTTGCATAAAGCAGCCACCAGCACAACCATCGTCAAGCAAGGAGACATTCCAGGGTTATGGCTACTGCCAGTGTTGGGAGGCAGCAATGCTTCTATAGCAACTGCTAGAAACTGAAGGTGCAGGAGCTGCTCCTTGCGGGCTTTCCATAGATCCCTGTGACAGCAGGATGCTGGTCTAGATGGGCCACTGGACTGATCCAGCAGGGCTCACATAATGTTCATTTGCAAGGCTACCAGGTTTCATTTCCTGTCAACAGGAGGCTCCTCCTATAATAATAATAATAATAATAATAATAATAATAATTTATTATTTGTACCCTGCCCATCTGGCTGGTTTTCCCCAGCCACTCTGGGCGGCTTCCATAGAAACCAAAAAACACTAAAATATCACACATTAAAAACTTCCCTGAACAGGGCTGCCTCCTAGACTTGAGGCACCTTTTAAACACCTGATTTAAAAAATACACATGAAGACAGTCAGTAGAAACAAATGGACACTTTCTCAAGGCAGATTCCCTAGGAAGCAACTTGGGCCACACAAATCCCAAGGCTGGACGTCACACCCCAGCATCCTGTTCTCTCAATGGCCAACCAGGTGCCTCTGGGAACCCAGCAAGGGACCTGAGCACAGGAGCACTCTTCCCTCCTCTGTTCTCCAGTAACTCAGCATACTGTCTCCAACAGCGGTCGTGGAACATGGCCATCACAACTAGCAGCCAATGAGAGCTTTTTCCTCAGTGAATTTGTCTAATCCTCTTTCAAAGCCATCCAGGCTGGTGGCCGTTCCTTCCTCTCATTGGGGCAAGTTTCACCATCTAACTCTGCACTGTGTGAACCTCCTCTCCCGCATCACAGCCATCTCCAGTCTCAAACCAGCATCCCCAGATGAAGCAGGGCAAGAAAAACCATCCACTGTCTGCAAAACAGGCCGGCTGTACAACACAGGGGTGGGAGGCGAGGAGAGAGGTGCTGACAGGTCACATACTGGTTTCAAAAACTGGCCAGCATCTGTGTTCACCCTACTCTGATGCAATGGAGCTCAGTATTCCAGATGTTGCCACAGCTTTGCCCAACCTGGGCAGCTCCTACTTTTGGCAATGCAGTCCTCTGAGAAAGGCACTAAGTCAATGGTCCCTGAAGACAAGACAAGGCATGTTATCACAGACTGCAAACCCACCAACTTCCCAACCTAGGAATATAGTGATTGAACCTGGGACCTTCTGCACGCAGAACAGGTGCTCTGCCACTGAACTAAAGACCCTCCCAGTAAGGAATAACATTATTTAGGACTGTCTAAATAACCTTACTTTGGTGACTAGCTGAGCAATGCTGATGATGGGTAGCCAAGCTTTCTCTGGGTTCCATGCTCACTGTGGTTCAGCAAGAAGTTTAGAAGCATCTGAAAGACTCTGTCTCATTGGGCCAGAAGTTTCTTGGACCAGAGCCCACTTTGCCAGATGCATGGAGCATTCTCACCTGGCAATATATATCCACACAGGAAAACAAACAGCTTAACTTTAGTTTGGAAGAAAATTGCAGCTCAGTGAAGGTCAGCAAACTCTCTTCCATTGCAGCTGAAGTGAACAACTAGCAAAGTTGGGAAGGCTGGCTGTGACACAGCTACTGATGGAAGCATAGCTCAGTGGCAGAGCATCTGCAGGGGCAGTTGGAAGAGAGAGACCATGTCTGAAATTGGGAGAGCCACTCCCAGTCAATGTTAATAAAACTGAGCTTGGTGGACCAATAGCATGACATCATATATGGCAGTATATTATGTCCCCATGCTATATTGTTCAGAAACATCACAAACTATACCTCTAGCATTGCCTTGCATGGATTTTTGGGCCCATTGTTTACTATCCCCTCCTCTCTTTTCCCAATTACACCTGACACCTGAAGATCACTCATCCACTTCGTGACAAAATTCTATCTATCCAGAGGCACCATCTTCTCAAGATGATTGAGGGGTCCAACACAATGTTCTGACGCCATGAGCATTGTGCAATGTCATGAGGGGGCCAGGCCCCCTAAGAAAAGGAGGGAGGGGGGCAAAAGTCCATTGGCTCCTAGGAGCTGGCGCCTATCTGTCTATTTGCCTTTCTAGCTATCTAAAACCAGTCAGTCTTTCAGGTGCCAGAAGGAACTTGGTTGGTTTCCTTGCCACAGGTTAACATCTCTGACCTGCTGGAATTTCTGAAGAGAACCGCACCAGGGGATTACATCTACCTGCAAGTCAACTGTTTTGATTTTAACAGAGAAACCTCTCCCACTTAACCTGAGCTATATGCTGTGGCTGTTCTCTAGAAAAGAAACCAACTGTGCATATGTTCAGAGGGAGTAATCATTTCTCATACCCCCAAGAATCACATTGGGATTAAGAGTTTAGCCGAGAGCACAGTATGTTTGGCCGAGAGTAGGGGTGACTAACCCTTTTTGGCCCTAAGGATAACCCTCAGCTAACCCTCTGGAGGTGGCATACCAGCAACAGGTGTGGCTATCCCACACTCTTGCGCACAGGCACGCATCCTCCTTCCTTCACTGAGCTGTGTCTCCTCCCTCCTCATCAAATAATTAATCTGATAATACTGGGAAAGGGTCAATTTCCACCCCAACAGAATGCCACCCCAGAACTGTGGCTTTCACCCCACCTCCCATGTTTCTTCTCGCCACAGTTGAAGGGATACTTTTCATGGCATACTTTTCATGGTTTAGCCCACACTGAATAAGTTATAACATGTTGCCATGTACTGCCCTTTATATGTTGCTTTGAGAGAGGAATTATTTGGAGACTTTTAAAGGGGAGATGAGGCAAGGTCTGACCAGGTGCCCATAGTTTATTTACAGAGTGGGCAAAATAAATAAACAACTATCAGAACTGCTACTTTTTACATCAGCAGTAACTGATGAGAGAAGATGAGAGAATGCTGTGCTTTGCCAGAGAGACACAAAATTTTAAGTTCCACACACTGGTTTTATACGCTCTTTATCTAACACTTATATGAAAAGGTGGGACCTCTGGTGAAAACAGGGCGGGGTGCTTATCATGCTATGCTTTTGATAAAGGGAACGTCTCTCATTCTTCTGCTGGAAAACGCTCTTTATTTGAGAAAGCAGACACTAATCAAAATCACACACCCACACCCCACCAAGATTCATTAAAAAAAATAAAGACAGAGGGTTATATCCAGCCTATGTGCTAGGCTGACCTAGAGAAGGCACACTTAAATGAATAAACATAACTAGCTTTAAGTCCACTGATTTCAGTGGGTGAACTCTGAGGACTGTCAGGATCCTGCCACATCTTCTCCATGTACAGTAGTACCTCGGAAGTGGAACAGAATTAGTTCCAGATCTTTTGGTTTCTTACACTTTCTGAGCAACTCTGGACATGAGACTGCTCATTATCGATATTTCAATTTCAAAAATGATGATTAGTAAATCAGTAATTACTTTTATGTAATTACTGCTAGAGTGAGTCATGGCAAACCCTGAGCTAGGGCCATTCCATATGAGAAGTGCCCCTGCAGGAAAGTCAAGATTGTGGCCAAGTAATCACACGTTAGCATTGCACAAACATTTGCCATTTTTATTTTATTTTATTTGCAAGCAGTTTATGCAGACAATTCAAGTAAGACAGAAAAAATATGCTACGGTTAGCCAGTTATATGCAATTTTAATATTTATGTTTTTATTTTATACATATTCGCAAACCACTTTGATTTTTTAAGAAATAAATAAATTGTGGTGTATAGGTTTTTAAAAAATAAATAAATACAAACTAAAGTGCAAAGAGGCAGCTTATCATGCTTCTTGGGAGGAGCATGATGAACCACAAATCCTCTCCTGAATTTACAACCTATTTTTCTTTCCCTCCCTTCCTTCCCTCTAAGGAGGGGGGGAGAGAAACAGGGCCAGTTTGGGCACAAAGGAGGAAGATCAGATAGGAATGAGGCCTAATGAAAAAACAACAAAGAAACCACAGAATGCAGCACTCAGTTCTCCCAAGCCTGGGTGTGTGTGGTCAGGGAGGTTTGCATAGCACATGTGCCGCTGCAACATCCACAGGTTGACATGTCAGCCACCTCCCTTGCTAGCCCAGAGAGAGGTGCCTAGAACCAATATTTAGCATCAGGATGAAAGCAACGGTCAGGAATGGCAAGCTGTAGTCCAACAACATCTGGAGGGCCCAATGTGTGCCATTCCTGTCTTATAGCTAAAGGTAAAGGGACCCCTCACCATTAGGTCCAGCCGCGGACGACTCTGGGGTTGCAGCACTCATCTCGCTTTACTGGCTGAGGGAGCCGGCGTACAGCTTCTGGGTCATGTGGCCAGCATGACTAAGGCGCTTCTGGCGAACCAGAGCAGCACATGGAAACGCTGTTTACCTTCCCGCTCCAGGGGTACTTATTTATCTATTTGCACTTTGATGTGCTTTTGAACTGCTAGGTTGGGAGGAGCTGGGACCAAGTAACGGGAGCTCACCCCGTGGGGGGGGGGGGATTCGAACCGCCAACCTTCCGATCGGCAAGCCCTAGGCTCTGTGGTTTAACCCACAGCACCACCCGCGTCCCATACTCCTATCTTATAGTTCCTGCAAATGGGGGGGGGCGCAATGGTTTGCAGGTGCATTCTGCAATATTTAATTGATGCAACACTAATGCATTAATGATGGATTTTTAATTAACCTCCCCCACACACCCTGTTTTATGTGTGGCCTAGTGGTTAGAGTGTCGGACCAGTGCCTGGGAGACCAGGGATCAAATTCTCACTTACTTATCATGAGTCAGCAGTGTGATGAAGAAGCAAGAAAAAAAAAAAAAGCTGGTGTAATTCTAGGCTGCATGAACAGAAGTGTCGTGAGAAGTAATAGTCCCACTCTATTCTTCCTTCGTCAGACTACACCTGGCATAGTGTGTCCAATTATGGGCACCACAATTTAAGAAGGATGTTGACAAGCTGGAAGGTGTGAAGAGGAAGGCAGTCAATATGATCAAGGGTCTGTACACCAAGTCTTATGAGGAATGGTTGAGGGAGTTGGGTATGTTTAGCCTGGAAAAGATGAGACTAGAGGATATATGACAGCCATCTGCAAATATCTCAAGGGCTGTCATATGGAGGAGGGAGCATGCTTGTTTTCTCCTGCTTTTGAGGGTAGGACTGAAACCAACGGCTTCAAGTTGCAAGAAAGGAGAGTCAGACTAAACATTTGGAAAAACTTTCCGACAGTAAGAGCTGTTCAGCAGTGAAACAGACTTCCTCAGGAGGTTGTGGACTCCCCTTCCTTAGAGGTTTTTAAGCGGAGGTTGGATGGTCATGTCATGGATGCTTTAGCTGAGATTCCTGCATTGCAGGGGGTTGGACTAGATGACCCTCAAGGTCCCTTCCAACTCTACAGTTCTATGATTCTATGCCATCTCTTATCTTTTTGATAGTTACTGAAGTCTTTTAAGTAGTAATCTTTCCCACTTGCATCTATATTGGAATTGTTTTCAAGATGCTTTTATTAAGTTATCACTTTCATGTCTGCCACTTTGAGAAGAAGTAGGCAGTAACCAAACAAACCCCTGTGTTGCAAAGAGTATGTCAGCAATGTCTAGGCAACACAATGACCTTGTACATACGCAATAGACAATCTTTATAGAATTCCTTCAAACCATAACAAGTACAAAATGAAATCTTTAGTCTCAAAGTCTCTGAAAATCTTTAAATGAAGCGAGGAGAAGGAGGGCAGTATCTAAATTTAATTATTAGTTGTCCTGCGATGCTACCGAATGTCATTGTATTATTGCTGTCTTGCACTACAATGCAACAAACATGGGGCAAAAGTACAACAGCCTGAAACATTTGTGGTGTGAGAAATTACAGGAGTTCAGCTGGAAGCTGTAGAGTAGAAAAGAATAAGTGTGGGTACCTCAAAGCTTTTGCAGGTACAAACAGTATTGAAAGCATGATTACATATAACTCCCCTGATACCATCACAGGCACAAATAGCTGTGAATGCACAATGCAAAGTTCACCAACACCAGCAAAGTTAGTCCTATGAGGTGTCTAGCTTCCACAGAAGTGAAGCCTAGTGTGATTTACAATTCTGCAAGGGGGAAGGACTGAATAGCCTGCCATTTCCCACTAAAAGGCCTACTCATCTATTCCATTCAGTCACAAAGGAGCTCGAGTCATCATTGAGCAACTTCTGGGTACTTGGCTCAGCTGCAGCAGATCAGGTGCTCAGCAGGTGAAATACTTAATGAAAAGGACTGCTCCTGTCACAGGTGGCCTTCAGTGCCATGCAGATTATTGATTTAGGACTGCTCCTGCCCCAGGTGGACTTCAGTGCCATGCAGATAATTGCTTTAAACATGCTCAGAGATATATCAACCAGCACTTCAGAAACATGAAGTTTCCAAGGGGCAGTGGAAACAAGCAGATTGGGGTCGGAAATTCCTAGGCACTCTGGAGTCATTTGCGGAAAGCGCACAACTGAGCAGCAGAGCAGAAGGTCTTAGGTTCAATTCCTGACACCTCCAGGTAGGGGTAGGAGCTCCCCTTCTCTGAAATCATGGAGAGCCAGTGAGCATAGACAACACTGAGATAGATGGAGCAATGGTCTGACTCGGTATAGGGAAGCTTCCCATGTTGGATAAGGGCTGTAGCTCAGTGGTAGAGCCCCTGCTTTGTATGCAGAAGGTCCCAAGTTCAATCCTAGCATCCCCACTTAAAAAAGTATTAGGTGACAGACGATGGAGAAAACCTCTGATACCCTGGAGAGCACCTGCCAGTCAGAACCGTCAGCACTAGATTAAACCATGGGTCACTAAAACGGTGTTTTCCAGATGTTGTTGTTTGTGATTCCCATCAGCCCTGACCATTGGCCATGCTGGCTGGCGCTGGCTGGAATTGTAGTCCAACAAACTCTGGAAGACAGCACATCAGCAGTACATCTTAGTTTGATGGACACAGAATTTGACAGGATATAAGGCTAAGTTCCCTGTAAGACAGATACAGATACACACACACACACACACACACACACACACACCATCTTCACTTGAATTTTATAACAAACCATTCACCACAATCCCCGTTTTAAAAGTAGATGATAAAGATTCTTCTCCCGCTTTTGCAACATTGGAAATTGTGCCCTAAAAATGATTAACATAGCCTTATTATTATTATTATTATTTCAATTTATGTACTGCTCTTTATCAAAAGATCCCAGTATGGTGTACAACAGTAAAAACACATGACAGAGCATCAAATATAGTGGCTTCAGATATTTGCTTTGGCACAATCCCCCATCACCACAGAACGAAGCATACTCTAAAATAAAATATAGTACAGTGGTGCCTCGCAAGACGAAAAGAATCCGTTCTGGGAGTCTCTTCGTCTAGCGGTTTTTTCGTCTTGCGAAGCAAGCCCATTGACGGATTAGCGGATTAGCGCTATTAGCGCTATTAGCGGCTTTTAGCAGCTTATCAGCTTATCGGATAAGCAGATAAGCGGCTTAGCGACTTAGAAAAAGATGGGGAAAGGAAAAAAACCCCAGGAACTCGCAAGACATTTTCGTCTTGCGAAGCAAGCCCATAGCAGATTCGTTTTGCGAGGCACCTCCAAAACGGAAAACTCTTTCGTCTAGCGAGTTTTCCGTCTTGCGAGGCATTCGTCTTGCGGGGCACCACTGTAGCAGTTTTGCACAAGGCACCACTTGAGAATTCTAACAAACAAACAAAAATCTGTGCACTTTTGAAATCAGTGGGTAAAATCAGTCCACCATCTTGATTCAAAATGTCATTCAAACACAGGTGAAAACCTGTTCCTTGACCTCAAATTTGGGCTAAATTTTGATGGTGATATCTGAAGAGGTGTCCAAATGCAGAGCGAACAAAGAACTTTCCAAAATATACAGTAATATGTAAGGCAGATATGGCAAAAGCTACACAAGCGCTAGCCTGCCATAGGATCAGCCCTTTTGCTTTTCAATAGCTGATTATCTATAGCTTCTATGTCATTCATAAGAAGAGCCTGTTGGATCAGGCTAACAACTCACGTAGGGCAGCATTTTGTTCCCAGCAACTGGTATTATTATTTATTGGAAGTATCAGTACAATAAATAGCCACGAGCCATGTGTGGAAGATGGCGTAGGGAACCAAGGAGCCTTAAAGGGCCTGATCTGTGTTCAAATCACAACGTGCGCCTGCGCCATTGGTTCAAATCACATTTAAAACATATGACCTCCCTCAAAGAATCTTGGGAACTGTAGCGTGGTTGAGGGTTCTGGGAATTGTAGCCTTAGGGGTGAACTCCAGTTCCCAGGATTCTTTTGGCGAAGTCATCTGCTTTAAATGTGCGGTGTGTACACAGCTGGATGGGTGGGGGGCTGGAAACAAGGAGCTTAGCTCCCTTATCTTTCAGCTACAATTTTCACAGTACTATGGGGGGGGGGGAGAGCATGACTGGTTGGACTGTATTTATGAATTGCACTTCTTTTAGAAAGTTAGATTATGACATTACTCATAAAATTAGCAATGAGATGCATTCAGGGGGATGGGACAGGCAGGCAAATAGCAGCTATGGCGATTCAATCCATCCCCTCTTCGTGTCACAGTTTGCATCAGGGATAGAAATCATTGCCCTGAAATAAATAAATGCAAGAAGATTCTTTTCTCTCAAAAGTATTACTACTATTTAAAGGTAAAGGGACCCCTGACCTTTAGGTCCAGTCGTGGCCGACTCTGGGGTTGTGGTGCTCATCTCGCTTTATTGGCCGAGGGAGCCGGTGTACAGCTTCCGGGTCATGTGGCCAGCATGACTAAGCCACTTCTGGTGAACTAGAGCAGCACACGGAAACACCGTTTACCTTCCCGCTGGAGCGGTACCTCTTTATCTACTTGCACTTTGATGTACTTTCGAACTGCTAGGTTGGCAGGAGCAGGGACAGAACAACGGGAGCTCACCCCGTCGCGGGGATTCGAACCGCCAGCCTTCTGATTGGCAAGTCCTAGGCTCTGTGGTTTAACCCACAGCGCCACCCGCCTCCCTCAATTACTACTATTTATTGTAGAGCAATTATAAATATTCCACTTATCTGCTTTGATATGTCCCCAGTAAAAACGTTTTTAATAATAATAATAAGACTGTGACTTAGATCAGGTATATAGAAAAGATAGCAAGAATGGTTTGGCTATAATTGAGGGAAGGAGTCAGTTTGTGTGTGGAGATGTTGTTGTAGATTTCCATTAAGGACACCCTACACCCCCCACAACCAGTCGTTATACAAGCACCACTGGGCCTGATGATCGCACACACACACACACACACACACACACAAACACCCCTGATGCACAACTCTAAAAGCTGGAAGTGAAGCTTAGAAAGGCAAGAGGCGAAAAGGGAGAATTTGTAGGGTTGGGAGATGAGGGCTGCTGGCTTGTCAGTTACCGGGACGGGCGGGGGGCGGGGGGGGGGAGTCAGGAGAGAGAGTGTGCCTCGACTGATTCCTGACCTCTCTCTCCTCTTCACCCTTTATTAGGGAACCACCAAGCCTCTGTAGGCAGCAATTAGCAGAGCCTCCCACCCAGTTTTCCCAGACTATAATCAGGCCCTTTGCTTCCAAGGGCAAAAGAGCAATTGTCACGAAGTCTGACTGCAACACAGTCTGCTCCCAAAGGCAGTAGCAGGAGGGAAAGCAGGCGGGAAATTGCCTTTCCAACAAGGAGCCATACATCCTGTTACCCTATGCCTTGTGGGAGGAGGGAGGGAAGGAGAGGGGGAGAGAGTGCTTTTGCCAACAGCCCTACAGGCCAGACTACGAAAAGTAAATTTAAACTGGCAACGCTGTGTGCCAAAAGAGTCTAGACAGAGAAGGCACAATCCAGGACTTCCACAATGTTTAACGGGCCAGTCTCTATCTGACCAACCTTGCAGGGTTGCTGGGAGGATATTTTTTGGGTGGAAAGGGACACCACACTCCATGTATGCCTTCCACAGTTTCTTGGGGGGAGATTTGGGATAAGAAGCCAAACCAGTAAATTCCAGAAAATAAAACATTACTTATTGATCCCTATGCGTCAGATGAAGAGAAACCCCCTGCCAGCGTGCCTACAGGTTGAGTCCGCTGAGAACCATGCCTATTCCTTACTCCTCAAATGGAAATCCTTTGCCTTAAAAGAAAGGCAGGTGGGTAAAAACAAGTGGGAAAGGTCCTCTGCAGATGCTCAGGGAAGCATCACTCATTACTTTATCTGTCTCCAGAGCTCAGTCGTAATAATTCAGGAGAGGTCCCCCAACTAATCCTAGTCCAAGATTAAGCCTATCTGAACACAGGCTGAACACATGATCTAGTCCTCAAAGGATTATTACATATTTATTTCATCAACCCCTGAGCATTTAAGGAAGGCGGGTTGCAAGGGGCAGGCAAGTGAAAGAGACTAAAGTGCCAGCTGCAAAGTTTTGGGTACCCAAGATTTTTCATGGATAATATATTTGAAGCCACTCTAGGAACTTTCATGGTTGAAGTATGGGTAAGAAATGATTCAAATAAAATTTAAAACAGGGGGCTTCGAGCAGTGATCCTAAGCACCTTGCAAGCAAACTCAGGGGTTTGTAGCACTTTATTCACATAGTTTCTTGAGTTTATTGCCACTTTCTGCTCCATGTGCACACAAGCAGTAAAGACGCACCCTTCTGCTGCGCACCGTTCCTCAGTCCTGCCACTCCCTAATTTTACAATCACAGCACCAAAACATACATTTTACTCCCCATTCCCCCACAAGAACACATTAAAAACAAAAGGCATCCCCTTCTTAATTTAAGATTGTGTCCCTTTGCACCATTAAGAGGCAGAAATCCATCAGGTGGCACCTTGCCCATCACTTGACCTTCAATGCATTGGGGAGGAAGCTCATCCGGTTCAATTTCAGCCTGCTACGCCATTTGTAATAGCTTAGACCTGCTTCACCCCTCAAAAAAGCCCTTACTTAAGAAACTTGGGGGCGGGGTCAGTGTGTCGCATTAAGTGACACCTTTCTCCCTTCCTGTTCAGGTTCCCTCTTCAAAAAACACCTTTTTTCAGAACAATTATCCCCATAATCCTCATTCCCAAAGTGCAAAGTATGTGTGATGACATTCCTGCCTGGGGGGAAGGGGAGACATAGTTGGCAGTGGATCTTAAATTGGAGCTCTTAGGTCACTCAGTCTGAACTAAATTTCAGGGCTGCCATGAGGTTAATAAACGTGTGCAGTCGCATAGCACTCCTTGGAGGAAAGAATAGGATATCATCATTATCACCATCATCCTTTTAAAGGTAAAGGGACCCCTGACCATTAGGTCCAGTCGTGACCGACTCTGGGGTTGCGGCGCTCATGTTGCTTTATTGGCCAAGGGAGCCGGCGTACAGCTTCCAGGTCATGTGGCCAGCATGACTAAGCCGCTTCTGGTGAACCAGAGCAGCACACGGAAACAGTGTTTACCTTCCCGCCGGAGCGGTACCTATTTATCTACTTGCACTTTGACGTGCTTTCAAACTGCTAGGTTGGCAGGAGCTGGGACCGAGCAACGGGAGCTCACCCCGTCGCAGGGATTCGAACTGCTGATCTTCTGATCGGCAAGCCCTAGGCTCTGTGGTTTAACCCACAGCGCCACCCGCGTCCCATCCTAATTTAATATTCATACTTTTCCCCACTATCTGTAGGCTCCATGGGACAGAGACCTATTTGGTTTTCTCAAAAATCTCTGTATAAATATTTGTAACATCACTGTATAAATATTCTCGAGGGAAGAAGTAAGTTGGTCTTTAGGAACTGAGTGCCAGCTTCTTCCTTGACTGAGGAAAGGAAGGACAATTCGCCCTCTATAGCTTCTTCAGCAACCCCCCCTCCCAAAACCATCCTCCTTAAACTCTCCCCTTCATCAGATTAGGTAAACCAAACAAGCCTTTGCACAGACTTGCTTCTTAAAAAGAGGCGGTACCTCCTCTCACCCCGCTCCAAAGGCAGAGCGGGGAAGGGAGACGGAGAGACTGAAGCAAAGGACTTGCAACGTGGAGAAGGGGAAAAAAGAAATGGTGTGTGTGTGTTGGGGGATCAGACTCCGATAGTACGAAGCCTGAAAAAAATTCAGCCAGGAGTTTCCCAACTTCTTACGTCCCTCAGATTTCTAACACACACACACACACACACTCCAAAAACATATCTCGTAATGCCACCTTCTATCGAACCAGAATAGTGTGCAATATTCAGTATACTAGTACAATCATTTGCATAGGTAGGTAGCCCCTCCCCCTGCAAAAAGACATTTAAAATAATACCAAGATCAACTGGTTCCCCACAACCCCTCCCCCGCCAAAAACTTTTTTTTCAGCTAGACGGTTAACACCTCCCCCTAAAAAAAATCTCAAGTGGAATTCACATTATATCATACTTTGCAGAGGCCAGAATGATGTAAAATACTCAGTTAACCTAGCTTGCTATTATTTCCATGGGGAGGCAGTCTCCCCAGCACAAAAAAGGAAATCAGCCCCCACCACGCCTAAAAATGCATTGGGGGGGGGGGGACACGACTCGAAGTTGTATCCAACCAAGTTCTCCTCGGAATAGACCCAGTGAAATAAATGAACCCAAGTTAGCCATGCCCACCAATTTCAAGATGGTCTACTCCGAGTAAGGGGAGCATCAGTGACAACCCTCAAACTGTGTTGCGTCCAAGGTTAGTCGCGGTCAGAACAGACCCGCTGAAATAAAGACACGACTAATTCAGGCACATTCACTTCAACGGGGTCTACTCAGAGCAGGGGTGCCTGCCAACTTGAATAAAATGGGGGGGGCAGGTAAGCTCAACCCCGCATAATCGATCACATGATGCGGTGCACACGCACACAATCTGAATAGCAATGCCCATCAACTTTAGGGGGGACTCATATATTTTACTGGGGAAGTCAAAGACCCCTCGGCCCCTAGGAGTTGGCTCCTATGACTTCTGAGGAGAACTCGGCTGGAGTAGATCCTTCGTTTTGGGGGTTTTATTCCCCCTCCCCATCGCCAAGCTACACGGCGGATGTATCCAACGCTAGCCTTACTCTCAATGAATCCAGTGAAAAACGAGAGGCACGGTTCCCTTAGTCGTGCCAATATGTCTACTCGGAGGAGGGCTAGCATTGGATGCGACAAGAAAGTAATAATAATAATAAATTCAGACTTTCTGGGGTTGTTGTTTTGCAGCCGACAACATGCTCGGCCGGCCCGCGCCGAGAACCAAGACGCCTCACCTGCGATGAACTGCCGCCTGCTGTCGTCCAGGTGTGCCGAGATCACGTCCCCCATGGCGGAGAAGGAGAGATCGAGACGCAAGGAGAGGACGAAGAGGATAAGGAAGAAGCAGCCGCTGGAGAAAAGCCAAGCCCCGGCTAAAGGCGACGAGGAGAGGAAAACGAAGACGTGCCCCGCCAGGAAACCCACTCCATGAGCAAGCGAGGAATAGGCGGACGCGGTTTCGTCCCAGCTGGCCTTGCCTCGCGCCCAACTCGCCTACAACTCCCAGGCTCTCCCTTCCCGGGGACACGCCTTTTGCCTTCTACGCCGCCCCCTTTCTTCTCCGCCTCTTGCTTATTATTTCTTGCGCTCCCTTGCAGACAGGCAGGCGGCGAGAGAAGAAAGAATTGTACGTGTGTGCGTGTAAGAGGTGTGGTTGTCTTGATTTCTCTTTTTCTGTTTACTAAAAATAAATAAAATTTAAAAGCTGTTTCCGGTGTGCCACTCCTATTATTATTATTTAACTTTTATTTTAAAACTTTCTGTACTGTGCCACAGCCACTATTTAATTGTGCCACTATTCGTAAACCACAATGTGGCCATCGGACGAACGGCACTATGCAAATTTATGAAACTAAATAGTATTCTTATTTAAATTTTATTTTGAACCGATTTCCGCTGTGCCACTATCAATACAGTAAGAACTGCAACTTACATGGGGTTACATTCTGGGGATCGTGCCCAAAGCCAAAATTGCATACAGTACAGTCAAAGCACATCGGGCGCAATGGCGAGTGGGATTGCGAAAGACTTTCCCCCGCCCCCAGACGTCAGCCCCCATTCTGCCCCCCCCCCGTTTTAATTTTTTAACAACTTTTTTTGCCAAGCACATAAAGCTGAATGTGCACAAGTTAAACGTGTGTTGGCTGCAGGCTTACTGTATCAGCAATTAAATTTGATTTTAAAACTACCTGCACTCTGCCACTATTTAGTATTATTAATACTGTATTTCTTTTTTAGTTATATAATTAGTTCAGCTCACTGCATGACACTATTAGAGGTTGATTAAGATGATCAGAAGGTTGGCGGTTTGAATCCCCGCAACGGGGTGAGCTCCCGTTGCTTGGTCCCTGCTCCTGCCAACCTAGCAGTTCAAAAGCACGCCAGTGCAAGTAGATAAATAGGTACCACTCTGTGTTTCCGTGCGCTGCTCTGGTTCACCAGAAGTGGCTTAGTCATGCTGGCCACATGACCCGGAAGCTGTACGCCGGCTCCCTCGGCCAATAGTGAGATGAGCGCCACAACCCCAGAGTCGGCCACGACTGGACCTAATGGTCAAGGGTCCCTTTTTAAGACTGGAGAGCCATTGCCAGTCAGTGTTGGCAGTACTGAGCTGGATAGACCAAAGTTATGGCCAGTAAGGCAAACTTCCTATGTTCCCTATAAGGAAAGGTTATTGTGTTTGGTGCTTTTTTAGTTTAGAGAAAAAGGAAAGATGGAGCATGATGGGGTTGTATAATAAAATTATGCACAGTGCAGAGAAGGTTGATAGGGAGATGTTTTTCTGCTGTGTAGCACTAGAACTTGTGGACGTCCAGTGAAACTGAACATTGGAAGATTGAGGAGAGATGAAGGAAAGCATTTCTTTACACAGTGGTTAATTAACCTTGGAACTCACTTCCACAAGAGGCCGCCATGGCCATCAACTTGAACAGCTTTAAAAGTGCATGTTCACTAAGAAGAAAGTCTCTTTGAGGGCAGTAGCATTTACTTCCAGGGTGGCGCTGTGGGTTAAACCACAGAGCCTAGGACTTGCTGATCAGAAGGTCAGCGGTTCGAATCCCCGCGACAGGGTGAGCTCCCGTTGCTCAGTCCCAGCTTCTGCCAACCTAGCAGTTCAAAAGCATGTCAAAGTGCAAGTAGATAAATAGGTACCGCTCCAGCGGGAAGGTAAACGGTGTTTCTGTGCGCTGCTCTGGTTTGCCAGAAGTGGCTTAGTCACGCTGGCCACATGACCCGGAAGCTGTACGCCGGCTCCCTCGGCCAATAAAGCGAGATGGGGGCTGCAACCCCAGAGTCGGCCACGACTGGACCTAATGGTCAGGGGTCCCTTTACCTTTACGCTTGCCTACCTGATCCTAGGCATGTCTACTTGCAAGTATGTCCCCCTGAGATTGATGGGACTCCCTCCCAAGTAAGCACGCATAGGATTGTTGCTTAACAGAAGCACATCCCACTTAGCTGAATGTGACTAACTCTGGAAAGCATGCCTGGAATTGCAGCCTCAAGGCTGTAGCCAATGTTAGCCCTACTCAGAGTAGACCCAATGAAATTGGTGGGTCTGTTGATTTCAGTAGAACTTAGCTGGATACCACACGTGGTTTTTCTACAGCAAACATCCGGCTATGTAACCCGGCAAAAGATTGGGGTGGGGTGGGTTGCGATCCTGCATACATTTCCTTGGAAGTGAGTCCCATTGGATTCCATGGGACATAACATCTAAACAGTCACTTGCAGGATAGGCCTTTTTAGGTAAAATCCCATTCTCATTTCTCTAGGAGGAAGTGAGCACAAGAGGGCCTTGCTTCCCAGTAAGCATACAGACGGCCAGGCTGCCACAGAATTAAGATTAGTCTTGTTTGACAATGTGCTGGCTTATACCACAATAAATCTGTCAGTCTTTAAGATGCCACAGCCTCTCTGTTGGGTTTACAGCAATCTGGACATGTCAATAAAAAAATTAGAAGGAGCTATATCAACACGTGGCATGTGATCTGCAATGTGACAGTTTCAGTTTCCTTCCTTCTCATTATTGCAGGCTTCAGTTTAGTTCTCTAGATTTCCACATTAGTTTGTGATTTTTAAAAGTTTTTTTTTAAGTCCTGCAAATTCATCAATATTTTAAGATTTTTTTTTCCTAATACACACATTTTTGTATGCAATTCTGCCTAATATTTTTTTGCAAAGCAATTTCCTCTTATAGGATACATTTTTGTACGTCCTTTTCACCAATACAGTACATGCACTTCTATATAGGCTTCACACAAATTTGGGATGGCGGGGAGAGCGGGTTGTACACATTGCTTGACTGGAGAACAGCATTACAAAAATTCAGAAAAGTTCAACTGCTGAAGCATATTCATCATTTGATCTGCATATTGTATTGGAAAGCATGAACTGTGGAAGGTTGCCTTTCATTGTACACTGAATCAGATGCAGAAGTGGATGTACTATGAAACTAATGAAGTTTAAGCCTCGGGCCCCTAATCCCGGAGGAGCCCCAGAACCACATTGCTTAAACGTTTTAGGTCTAGTAGACCCAATTTGAGTCGCACGACTAAAATTCTTTGATTTTGTTGTTGTATACAGTGGTACCTCGGGTTAAGTACTTAATTCGTTCCGGAGGTCCGTTCTTAACCTGAAACTGTTCTTAACCTGAACCACCACTTTAGCTAATGGGGCCTCCTGCTGCTGCGCCACCGGAGCACGATTTCTGTTCTCATCCTGAAGCAAAGTTCTTAACCTGAAGCATTATTTCTGGGTTAGCAGAGTCTGTAACCTGAAGCGTATGTAACCTGAAGCGTATGTAACCTGAGGTACCACTGTATATTTCAACAATCCCAAAGTTTGAAAGTCAGTATCACAGATGTAAAAGATTGTCGCAAACAAACCTGTTGAAGAAGATAACAGTGGCTCCCCAGCCCTTGTTGCTGATTGTGAAGGAGCTCCCATAACAGTTCAAGCTCCAGGGCCCCCAAAATGTAGGTCTTCCACTGATCAGACTTGTCCCACATCCCAAATGCCAATACATTGTTTGGTGGTGTGTAGACTGTGCTCCTAGGAAGGAATCGAAGTGCATCTTGTCCATCATCTCGACAACACAACACTAAGTAGGGCACAGAATGTTTACCCTTTGTAATTTAATGGTATTTCAAGTACCACCAGACTCGTTGCTTCCCCCGCACTATAAGTAATTTCACCCAGGAAGCCCTCTGTAATTATACCTATGTTGGGATTCTAGGAGGGAGGGGATGGCATTGAGAAATGATGGATAACCTCTAGCCTACTGGGTGTTCACAGCCCCGGCGAATGTAATCATCTTGATTAAAAGATTGTGCTTCTGCGAATTGATCCTATGTACATTTCATCAGACGTGAGTCCCATCAGCCAAAGCGTTTTCACAAACAATCAGAAGAAGAGGAGCTCTGCAGAATCTAGCCAATGGCCCATCTAGTCAAACAGGCTGTTCTCATGGAGAAGGGTTGCCTGCAGTTTCTGGGTCTATTAAGGCTTCAATGGGGAATTCAATAAACTCAGGAAGATGGGAGGTTAGAGCTAAATGAACTTTGCTGAATTGGGCGCAGAAGCAGGGACCTCAGAGTCTTGAACCTTCCCTTTGACCAACAAAGATAGAATTATGTAAATATGATAACATAATATATACACATTGACTTGATTTGTATAATGTATACAGGTCACAGAAATTGGGATAATATAAACCTTGTTGACAGCAGCAGGATACGACCCTTTCCTCCTCCTTCCTTCAGCAGGGTTTCCAGGGTGATAAGGACAGAGGAAGCTGCCGTATACTGAGTCAGACCCATTGTTCTAGCTAGCTCAGTATTGCTTACACTGATTGGCAGCTGATCTCCAGAGTTTCAGGTAGGATTTCAGCCCCACCTGAAGATGCTGAGGATCAAACCTTGGATCTTCTGCATGTCAGGCATTTGCTCTACCACTGAGCGATGGGCAGGGGTGGCCCATTCCATTTCAGTGCCTGAGGTGAAATGGGAAGATGCTGCCCCACTGCTGTCATAGCCTCACTTACTGGGGTTGTGTGGTGGTTTCTGGCTTCTAGCAAGATCTCACAGGGCTCTTGTAAGATCTCAGCAGAAGCTGCCACCATTGCTGCTTCTCTGTGCTTCTCAGGCAGTGGTGGGGTGCCTACAGCATTGCCAGAAAAGTGAAAAGAAGTAGCTGCAATTTCTGGCAAGATCTTGCTGGAACCTGGAACCTGCCTCAAATTGCCTGGTTAAAAGGCTGCTCCTTGCTACAGTACTTCTGTACCAACAATGTTTTCATAGAATCTTAGAATAATATAAATATGGAGTTGGAAAGGACCTTAAGGGTCATCTAGTACAACCACCTGCAACACGGGAATCACAGCTAAAGAATCATTGACAGATGGCCATCCAACATTTGTTTAGAAACCTTCAATGACTGAGAGTCCTCCACCTTCCAGCGGTGTCTGTTTTGCCCGATACCTCTGTTTGCTTATGT